CGCCCGGGAAGCCTCGGACGGGTGTTCGGCACCGGAACCTACCCGGTGGGTACCTGAAGGAGGGTACCTAGGCCCTCCCGCGCCGTACCTCGGAAAGATTATAAACTAACAAATAACGAAATTATACCTAGTATAAAAACGGGGGTGTTAATTAATAACGTTTCGGTTAAACCTCGGATAAATGGATTTTATGTATTTTTTTATTAAAATCTTATAAATTTTATTATTTTTAAAGATTTTATGGATTTTATAAATTTTATGGATTTTAATAAGATTTATAAGTAAAAAAGTTCACGAGTATATTTAAATTATTATATATTTAATTATTTATTTACATTTTTTTAACTATTAATTTAAATCTTATATTTAATTTGTATAAATGGAAAAATTTTAAGCTTTTTTAATAAATATTTTAACGTTTTTAATAGTTGTATAATATTAACACATAAGCACTTTATTAAAGATAAAATGCCTTATCGCCGATATTAGAAAAAAGAATAATGTATTTATTATTACTGTATAAAAGGATATTATATTGTTAATTAACCTTAAATAAATTTTTCCTTTTTTAAATATTATTAATATACTAATTTTACTTTTATTATTATTTAATTTATGGTGGTTGTATAACATTAACGCGTAAGCACTTTATCGGGGATAAAGTGCTTTATCGCTGATATTAAAAGGAAAAATAATGTATTTACTATTATTATATAAAAGGATATTATACTATTAATTAGCTTCAAATAAATTCTTTTTTCCTTAAATATTATTAATATATTAATTTCACTTTTATTATTATTTAATTTACTTATTTATTACTTTATATTATACGTACGTACTTATTAATATTAATTAGTATTATTAAAAATTTAATAACATAAATTAATAAAGTTAAAAAAGTTATTATTATAATAATTTAAAAAACTTTATAATAATACATGTAATATAAGTATATTTTCTTTTACTTATAAATATATATAAAGTTTATAATGGATTATCGATTTACTTTATCATTTAACCTTTTTAAGTTTTTTATTATTTACTATAATTTTAACTTATTATTAATATTATTAACTAAATTAACGTTTATTATATATTACGAATATTTTATAATGTTTTAATTAAAAAGTTTAGCATAAGCATGTTACGAACCAACAGCACGGGAACCATACCTTGTAAGGAAGCGGGGTTCTTGAAACGTACGATCAAGCGGCTATACCTCGGATAACCTAATGGAGGGTAGTGATCTCGTTGATCTGGTTGATCTCGTTGATCTTGGCGAGATCAACAAGATCACCAAGATCACCAAGATCACGATAACCTCAGGAACGAAGGATAGGGAAGGTCCACGGGTATTTAAGACCATCATGTATCTAGACACTCATTTACATTTTCCTCAGCTATCAATCTAAGTCTTATATCTAACCCATATAAGGGGGAAAACTCCAAGCCTTCCTGACGAACACTTTCAACGTTTTATTAACACTTGACCCATATCGCTACTATTTACCTAAAATCAAGACCCCTGTTATTACACTCTAACGGACCTAAGTGTAGGTTCGTCACAATATTATTAAGCATTTTAATATTATAATATTTATAAAAATATAAATTATAATTTAAAAAATATATTAAATTAAAATAAAAACTTTTAATAATAAAAATTAATTATATAATTAATTAATTTAATATATTATAATTAAATTATAATAATTTTAATTAAAAAACGTAAAATTATAAATTATTAATTTATATAAATTATTAACTTATAGTTTATATTATAATATAAATTAAAATACTTTATTAAAAAATTTATAAAAATGTATTTTATATTAAAAATATTATTAAAAAGTTTTAAAAAATTTAAATTATAATTTTTATATTAAATGTTAATATAATTTTTAAAAGTTTTAATTATTTTAATTAATAAATAAAATATTATAAAAAAATAAAAATAAAAAATTTAATAAGTAATAAAAATTAATAAAAAATAAATTAAAAAATGATTTTTTATTATATAATAAATATTAAATTAAAATATTTTATTTTATTTTAAAAAATATTATAAAAATGTTACAATAAGGTTATAGTAAATTATCATAGTGTTTATAAGATTATATATTATATTAAATAAGCTTTTTATTAGGATAATTTTCGCCAAGATATTAAAGGTATATGTTAGCATCGGTAGATGCCCGATAGCTAATTGTTAGCCGCCCTTACGCCTCCATACCTAAAGGAGTCCCAAATCACCTTAACCCATCCAATTCTTTTGCAACTTGTTGCGATGAGACGAACGACCTCGCCGTTCGCAGCAAGCCTCTTCCGCCGGCCAGCCTGAGCGCTGATAGAAATCCCATCCCCCCCGCGTGCGTCAGCACGTTCCTCGCCATGACCAGCGGAGTTTCCAAGGCACGGACCCACCGCTCCCGTGTGCAACTATCCAAGGCCTTGCAAGAAACGCTGCTAGACGCTGTTGCAGGTAGCATTACAGGTGCGCATATCGATGTCCCCGGAGACCGAGAAGACCTGTTAACCCATCAGGTACAGAACTTCCGCGGAGCGACCGAGAGCAGTCTCCAGAGAGCGGAGATCCCACCAGAGACACGACACCCGTGCAGGCTCGTAAGAGGGGACTGGACGCGACAGAGAACGATCCGTCGCCCGCAAAGAGAGCCCGATTGATACGGCCGGACGCGCAGCAGCCTGGAATTGATGACAAGCAAGCAGAGCAGGCTGGCAAGGTACGACAACGGTCACCCACACACGTCCACAACTAATGGGGCAGCTCGTGCAGGCAACTCTACAACAGCCAAAGCCCAACCTTCCCAAGCATCCATGCGCCTCATTCCTCAAAGATTTTGTCGAACCCGTCCATCCGGCACCCGGTTCCGCATCCGTCCACACCTTTGTGTTCGAGTGGCTGAGTCTATCGGATCGGAACGAGAGAATCACTGCCGGTCGGACAGCCATCTGCACCATTCGGACGACGTCCCCATTTCGAGACAGCTCACAAGATCGGCACCGGAGATAGGCTGCACACGGGACGCTAATGGATTTGTGGTGCCGCCGGCTAGTTCATACCGAGCAATACAGGATTCTGCTTCCAGCACTGCCAGCGTTCGCCATCCTTCTTATCGTCGTAACAACCTAAGTGCCAAGTCATCCCTAATGTCTTCTCATCTCATTCCCAACAATCCCGAAAGCCTGTTTAGGGTTTTCGGCCCGAGACCTGATCTACTCTACGAATACTCTGGCGCACTCGGGGATGGGGCCTTCACTCAGCCACAATTCTTTGCCCAAACTAGTCTACATCCTCAAAATACACGGTTTGCGGAAGCAACAACACAATGCCTTAGGTTTCCGTTCTTCGCCATCGAATTCAAAGCTGCCGGGGGTACTTGTGGCGACCTCTGGGTTGCTACAAATCAGTGTGCAGGTGCTGCATCAGCATGTCTCAACGCCGTCGACCAACTAAATATTTCGCTCCCGAAGCATCCAAGCATGCAACATATCGACAATTTATCATACTCCCTTGCTGTAGACAACAATACCGCCCAGCTCTATATATCGTGGAAGGAAGATGATTTGAATTATTACCTCTAACGGGTTGGTGCATTCCTTCTATCAGACCCAGAGCATTTCAAGAACTTTCGCAAGCAGGTTCGAAACATTCTCGATTGGGGAAAGGACACACGCTTAACGCAGATTAGGGATGCACTGGATACAATCCTTAAGAAAAACAGGAACAATGCCGCGGAACATGCGAAGTCCCGCCAAACACCATCAGATGGTTCTGCCACCACCACCAGCAAGAAGCGCAAATCCTCATCGTCGCGCAGAAATAGCAGCAGATCCAACAGCGAGCAAGGACCAAGCCGCGGAGCAAGTGGAGCGTATTTGGAATGGGATGAGATGACCTCACAACACGCCCATGAGCTATCTTGCCCGCTGATGTTGGCGACTATACACCCCAAGATACCGACGGGGGACTTGCTCTTACTGAGTATCACTACCCAGAGGACAACCAGCAAGACCACGGTCCAGCACCTGTGTCACTTGGCTTGGCCGAAGAACCACTGGTAAGCTTCGTGACGGATCCACCAACCGAAGAGCAGCCGGCGGCCGCCACAGACGGTTACTGGACTTGGAGTGACAGTCACGGGAAGTGGTAAGTCACGTCGGCGAGATTGGTTTAATACTAAAGTTTCCTGCTTCAATTTTTAATGAGTGTGTTAGCTAGGTAGAGACTGTTCATATATAAACGACCAGCAGGTCCATGCCTTTGGGTATGCTGCCTCTCGAAACCGCCTATGGTCTCATGTCCCACAAAAAGAATAACTTGAAGCCCTCATCTATATCTTCACCCACGCCACTCCGTCTGTCACTTCATTGTCGGTGTAAGGATTCGGAAGATAGCCATCAAACCGCTACACTACCAAAAGGTAGATCGATGTCAACTCGAGGAGTTGATGATGCTATCTCCACCTATAAGGACCTCACGGACAGTACCGTGACAGTCAGATTCGAAGTCGGAGCTCGAGTCGGAGTTGGAGCCAGTGTCGCGGTTAGCCCACCTTCTTTCTATACACTGCTTACTGTAGTAGTCTCCTTCTCACCGTACTCTTTCCTCTAATCGTTGAGATTGGCTAGCCCGCCCTTGAATTCCTTTGTTTCACAATACGTGGTCCTAGACCAAGCGTTAATAATCTTCTTGTTGACCCCAAAAAGATACATTCTCGGGTTAGCATCGGGTACGGTTGTTCGGCACAGGAGTAGTTCGGAACTTTTATATCCGACTTCAGGCGACCTTTTAAGCTCCTTTTCGGCTGTTGCTTTATCGTCGGCAGTTGGCCCCTTTTAACGTCCTCGAAGCGTCGAGTTTTTTGGGGATAGTCGGATAGATAGTGCCTTTCCTCATTATTGTTATTGAGACTCCTAAGGCAGAGATACAAATCCCGCGACGGACGCAGTGGTTCTTCCTTGACATTCTTATTCGTGTCAAGATCGGAGAGAAGCGTAATTTAATCCCAGTACTCCACGTCCTCTAGTAACAAGCGCCCGAACAACCGAGCTCGGTACGCCTGTGGGTTCCTAGCCCATGCCCGCCTTTTATTTCCGGCAATAATTGTGAGTATGAGTAGTATCTATCATAGGCCCGTTTAAGCTGATGATCTTGTTCGCTTAGGTCTTTCACTCGCCCCTCCTTGTCTTTCTTCTCTCGTTCCTCCTTGCTCTTCCTGCGTTCCTATTTGTCCTTCTGCTCTCATCTGTTATCAAAGAAGCTATACAGCAAATCAATCTTATTAAAAAGCTTTTCACGCGTTACCAAACCTGGTTCTCAAGGTCGGTCCGGTTTGCGGACTGAGTACCCACACGGTAGGAGACCAGCGGAAGCTCGCCGAGTCTTGGGATGGAAGGCACAAAATTTGAAGAGACGGGGTGATCTGCCCCGATCATTGTCACCGACTAAGGCAAGAATCTTTTTGTCCCAATATTGCACAGGTCCATGAAGGCTTGGATGGACCCTGACATACTGCTTGTGGCCGGTGCTGCTATAGCTTGCCTACCCAGTTGTAGGGCGACTAGAGTGGAAGCCCGGAGCATAGGGACCTAAGGGAAGCGAAATTTCTGGTTCTGAATCCGCATCTCTATATTGTCCCATTTTGAGTAATAAAGTTCGGGCACAGGTAAAGCTTGGAGGAGGATGGTTGTACCTAAGCTGCGTGGCTAGTAAACTCGAATTAATGTAGCGCCCCAAGGGGGCCCTCAAGCAACCTGACCTGAGTTCGGGCATTGAACTAGGTACCTACCTACCTAATGTAGGTAGTGCGGATAGGGCATCGCTGTTTTATGATCTAAGCAACACGCACGAAAAAAACAATTCTTTTTTATATAAGCCTTGTACAAACATTTAAGACCAGCTACGTGATTTTGTGAAGAGACTACTCTTTCCTTTTTTGTTTCGTCATTTTCATACTCTTTTTGTTTTCCTTCATTTTGAACCTATTGTTATCGTTTAACTTCCTGTTAAAATGCCGAAGGCTTTCAAAGATTACACGGATAAAGACCTTGCTGGTACCGTGCTAAGCTTGTCAATACCTGTTGAAGGCATTCCGAAGGAGGCATTAACCACCGTATTCGCTGAATGCTTTCAAATGTACGACGATAGCCTCTTTGATGAACCTCTCTGGGAGAGATTCAAAGAAGACTTCGAAGGCTGGACAGTCAACCACTTTCAAGGCGTGAACCAATATCTACAGTGCATGGGATACGAGCACCTAATGTACCACGGTGTACACATATCCAAAGGCAAAAGCACCTTCAGCCTCAAGCTATATGAAATCCTTACTGCGAAAGAGTGGCCACAGTTAAAGGCTCAGGATATCGCTAAAATTCGTCAATATGCGCCTAAGAAACTCATCAGCCTATGCAACCCTGTCGTAGCAGCCGAAATTGCACGACAACGAGAAATCCCTCAATATTACCCGCCTTTGGCCGACGCCTTAGTCAACCTTGTCACAATATACCACAATGATGAGTACAAATTTGGTGGTGATAAGTACGATTTTCTGGACGAGAAGCTAAAAGTATTTAAACACCATTGCCATAAAGCTGGTGTCTGTGAATATCAGTGGGATGACGCAATCTTCGTTATGCTGAAAGGAAGGGCTTTGCAATACTATTACGATCACCTTGTTACGAGAAACGGCGATCGTAAATACACTTTTAACGAAATGATCAAAATGATGGAAGACTTTTTTTATACCTTTGAGAACTATCAGACGTACTTCATGGACCAGCATACTACCACCATTTACTCTGTACAAGCCGAGAACCCGAATAAAAACCTTGCCGACTGCGTCGAAATTCTCATCGAAAAAGTCCAGCGTATTCACAAAGGCATATCCATCCATAGTGGTCACAATGGTCTCTTATTAATGGGTAATATACTTTTTGCCGTACAAGGCCACCGAGCATTTGACCGGGTTTTAATTAGACCTTCGGAAAAATTCGACGGCATTTGCTTAGATCTGCGAGCGGCTGCTAACAGTTATGTGCGCCAGCAAACGATTAACCGTGGGGTAAACACATCAATCATTAATCATTATATCGCATTTAATCTCACAATGCAGGATATAAAATTTGCATCGCTAGCTTCGCCTTAATTGGAGCTTTCGAATGATGGAATATCAATTAAATGCATGCCGCATTTCAAAAGCTATTTGAAGATAAAGTCAATTGAACGTTAATGTTTTGCGAAAAATGGGGCGCCTACCACCACCACCACCACTATTACTACTACTGATGCATCTACCTTCCCGCTCGAATAGCTTTTGAAATACGGCATGTATCTAATCGATATTAGTATCATTAGAGAGCTTTAATTAAGGCGAATATAGCTATGTAATTCTCATACGTTGCATACTTGGAATAAATAGGATATATTAATGGTTAATGTGTTAGATATGGTATGTAATTAGATGAGGCTTTGCGGGAGGCTCTTTTGCGGTCGCGCGCCCTTTTGATATAACATTCAATTGAATATATCTTCAAATAGCTTTTCAGATACCCCATGAAATAGGATGAATGTATATAATTTGAACGCTCTAATTGAGGCGAAAATAACGATATAATTTTCATATGCTGGATGTTTAGAATGAATAGGATATAATGGTTAAGGTAAGACGTTGTGGTGTAATTGAATTAATTGAAAATAGGTGGTAAGGATGTACATACCTTCTGTACTGGGTGTACCTAATAAGCGCTTAGTGGCAAAACTTTTTTTTTTAAACGCGTACGGAAAAAAAAAACATTTTATGGCATATCACGTAATCATGGAATGCCTAAGGTTCAGGAAATGAAGAGAGAAGCTGTATAATAAGCTCGGCCCTAAAGCGCTACGGTTACATCGTGGCTACGTAAAAGCAATGGAAGACCTTGAGGAAATGGGGATAATTACAGGATAGCTTCTTAAGCGAAAGCTACTGCCTATGTACAACCTGGCGATCAGCCTTGCAGAGAATGAGAGGACGCAGGAGCTCAAGAAGAAAAAGAATGAGGTAAAATACCAATGGAGACGAACGGGGACAAACACCCTTATTGCCACCACGGCAAGGCCATAGCCCCAGAACGGAGACGCAGCGGTCAGTCATCAAAGCTAACGAATTCCCAATCGTCGGAATCGTCCCCATCGCCCCCATCCTCCTCCTCAGCTTCCTCTTCTTTTTCCTGCTCCTTTTCTTCCTTTCTAGATCCTTTTCCTGTTTCCCCTCCAGTTCCTCCCCCAGCTCGCCGTCTTAATCCTGATCCTGGTCCGGATCGTTGTCTAGACCCGGGTCTTGGTCTTAATCATCATCATCGTCGTCGTCGTCGTCGTCGTCGTCATTAAGCAGAGTAACTAAAGAGCGAGGGTAGAGCATACTGATGATTCGAGTATAAAACTAAGCCTGATAGCCAGCTAGATAGAATCGTCATTTGTCAATCTAAGTTATCTTAAGGTTTACACATCCTAAATCTCTTAGATATCAATATGAATGTTGTTACCTTAAAACCAAGCCTCAGCCTCGTGACACTTGTCTCCGTCTAGCAGCACACGCTGATTATATCCAACTAAGTAGAGAAATCCTCGAAACCGTCTAGCCCACCTAGTCCAGGCCGAGAACGCGTTCTCGAACGATCAACCCTCGCTGGCCGAATTAAAGAAGTTGGTGTTGAGTGCGAAATCATGCCGTGCTTCCACTGCGAAAAACGAGGGCTCCAAAGGTATCTAGCAAGATGTTCGAGTCAAAGCATCGGGTTGCGACTATTCGGATGTTCCTCTCAGCTCCCTTAATTGTCTGAGCAAAGAGGAGCGGCGATTAAAAGCCCAAGAACACCTGGTTCAAAATAACCTCTTAAAGCTTCAAAAGGATCTTTCTCTCATTGAGTCCTCGATAAACGAATCCCTGTCTAGAATCCGTCAATTACGGCGACAACAAGAGCTCCTTCGTCTAGAAGGGCTGGAGATGTTAAAACGGGGCTTAGAAACCCTATACGAATTGGAAGAACAAGATCAGTCGGAGTAGTAAGGGCAGGATCACGCTGCCTTAGGGCAAGCCTGCATAACTGAGGAACAAGCTAGAGCCTTCTGGCCTTTACTTCATCACCCCCGGAGGGCTATCGCCAAGCATGGGTATTAAAGGAAATATGGAGGAAACAAGAGTTATGTGGACGTACTTAGCTACCTTATATGTGAGCAACATGGAAAGGCTCTTGGGCTACGTACCTAGGTAGGTACATACCTTACCTATATAAGTCCTATCCTTACACCTTAAGCACTTGGTAAATTTAATCATTTGACCTTACTAGGTATGATAATAACAATGCTTAAAGCGAATTGCAAAGCCCGTGCCGTAAGCTGTAAACAGTTATAAAGACATAGCTAAGTACTCAGCTATATTCTCAAATTGTCCGTTAGCCCCATTGTACCAACACTTTCTTCCGGCCTTTGTTTCCCTTCTTCCCCTTTCCAGTATTATCTTCTCCCTCTCCGCCTGCATTATCGACATTTTGCGTGGATGCATCTCCGCCAGATGCCCCCCACGCGAAGCCCGTATTTCTCGGCCCACCAGCATCCCGCCGTACGCTCCCTGTCCCGTAGCCGAATATTGTTGTAGTGGGCTTTGGCGCTGTGGGCAAAGCGGGAAAGGCTTCATCCCGATTGCCAGGCTTCGGCGTTCTAGTCGGGGTTTGGGAGCTTGTGCTAGAAGCCCAATGTGGTGTTGTCGTCGACCGCGATGTGTTGCCCACGCTCGCATTACTTTTTGGTAAGGCAGGGAATGAGGCTGCTGTTGACGTCGACGGTGGATGGCGTGATGAACTTGAGCTAGAGAACACACTTGAAGACTGTTCTGCATTCGACCGTCGTGATTGTTGTGTCGAGCTTTTGAGTTTAAGAACTCGGGTTGTGTGCCTTTGAGATGGCGCCGTGGCGGCCGCAAGAGGCGAGCTGGAGGCAGCGGCTGCCCAGCCGGTGTTCGAAGATGTTGCACCATGCATACCGCTCAAGCCTGGCAGAGTTGGGTAATCTTCATTGATGGCTCTCCAATCATTCCATGCCTTTCGTAAAGCATCTCCCTTATTCTTATCCTCGAAAAGATCCGCAACCTCTCGGACAAGCGTACCGAGAGGGGAAGACGAGGTATCGGCAAATAGAGAAAAGAGGGCGTCTACAAGCGCCGCAGCTGACAGCTTACCTTGTCTATAAGAAGATATTTGATTACGAAAGGTCGCAATCTTGTGCCGATCATTCTGCAGTAGGTTCGAGGCCCGTTCAATTACGGCAGAGTGCCGGAGAAGTCGAACGCGATCTTCTTGTGACAGATTCGGATCCGTCAAGCTTAGCCCTTCCATCTCAACAGACGGCGCTGTAGCAGTTGAGACAGAAGAGTTGGGCGGTCTTGTCGCTTGCTCACTTGCTTGGGCGGAGGGAGTAACATTATTTGAAGAGGGCGTCGCTGATAGCTGGCCACCAAACGTCCGGTTGGAAATGGACTGCGAAGAATGTATAGCCATTTGCCTCTGGAAAGCAAGCTCGTCTCGCCGAAGAGGTTGTGCCGAGCTGACTGGAAGAGGATCTGCGTTCGGATCACGACCTCTTCCACGCCTCTCCCTCTCTCCATCTCTTTCCCGGCCGGAACCGCCACCTCGTCTTTGTTGGTAAGGCTGCCGATAATCGAAGCTGGAAAGGTCCACTAGACGAGCATCGCGTCGCACATCTTTAGACAAGGAATTCCCGTGCTCGCTCAGCTGATGCGCTTTCAGGTCCATCTCGGAGTCAAAGACAACGAATTTCTTCTCCAGACACTCGCGGTCGAGGCATAGGAAATGATCCTTTTTGAAGTGTTCTTCTAGCGCATTATAGTCCCGGTAGTAATGAGGCTGTCTAGGATCTTGTCGGTCGCAAAGAAAGCAACGTTCATGCTTGCTCCGGCAATGCTCGTAGAGCTTGTCGTCGTCGTAGAACCTCTGGCCGCAGAATGCACAGAGCGGATGTCCCTTAAATCCCGTCTGGTCCACCGCACCAGGACGATCGTCTCCGTGTCGCATGTGCCTCTCCAACTCCTTGTCTGTGAATAGCTCGTGCTCATGCGTAAATACTTTCTTGTTTCTTGTACACAAGTCGCACATCTTCTTGTGGTGAGTCGTACGAACGTGTCGGTGCAGGTCCGGCCAGCCAAGGCCGGCAAAGTCGCAAGAGTCATCTGGGCAATTATAGCGCAGAAGTAAAACAGTATCCCCGACGATATCTTCCTTCGTGTACCGGATCCCGATATTATCGTCGGTACTAGTAATGTCGATGTCGGAGTAGTCTTGATATCTTTTTATCGCATCGTCTGTGAAAACAACGAATGGTGCAAGTGTCTGCGAATGCGATATAACATGTCAGTTTTCAGTATTCTACACAGTTGGGCCGTCATCGCAATGGTGGGACGATCCATACCCTGCAATGCGCGCATTCTTTATTCTTGTATAGCGCCCTCATCCGCAGAGAACATATGTGACATGTTCTATGGTTACAGGGAGCGACAGACTGGTGGATAACTGGGCTCGCGCAGATGAAGCACACTTCGGCCTCCGCATCTTCCTGATCGGCATTCGCTTCGGTGATAGTCGGGGGGTTTCTGGATTGTAACGGGGGCGGTGCTGCCATGCCTGAGTCTCCTTGAGGAAGCGGTGTTGCAAATGATGAGGTAGAGGCATCCGGTGCGCTAATCCCCTTACCTCTCCCACGTTGCGATCTGCCTTGTCCCCCACCCCTAGAACTTCCATCACCTCGTCCGCGCCCCCTACCCCTACCCCTCGAGTTCCGTTCTCCTCTGCCGCGGCCTTGCCCAGCTTGTGTCGAGGTTGAAGTCTCACTCGGCGCGTTTATTGAGCCATCGGTAGCAGCGGGCATAATGGACAGGATAGCAGTATTTCTTGGTCGGCAAGATCTAGTTTTAAGCGTAGAAGAATCGCTGGGTGTTTCGTAAATTGAATTGGCTTCTTGCTGGCGATATTTAGGTTCCGACTCTTGGGTCGGGTAAATAAATAAAGTTGTCAGAGCTAGGTATGCAAAGTTAAGAAGGACAGCTATGGAAATAGAATGCGGTGTTCTAGGTAATACCTAACTGATTACATATAAGATACCTTAGGTATATTTTTTTAAAACACGAGGCCACCCTTCGGGGGGTAGCATAAGCACCTGTGGTGGTGGGTATTACTGACTCATTAGAAAATTGTTACGCAGTGGCTAAAGATGGCTTTAGAAGCGAGATGCGCCTTATCGTACATAAGTACCTTACGTACCTTAGGTAGGTACGTATTTTCGCAAAAGTTGCATAGGAGGTAAGTAAGTGGGGAATTCCAGGTACCCATCTTTCCTTAAAGATGCATTCAACGAAACATTTCTTCCTCGGCGATGCACCCAAGAAAAACGGTTAGACACTCTTGTTCGATTCTTTCCATGTTGGCAAAGGCCCTTAGCATACATACCTGTTTAAGTCCATAAAGGCCGCAATGAATATTACTTTGGCTTTTAACAGGACTATCTCATCAAGGAGTAGGATTGAATCAGGCGCCATAGCCGCCTTGACATTTTCAAACAACTGCTTTACTTATGCGGCTGATTGTAGTGCGAACCCCCCGCATAAAGTAGAACTTTGCTCCTGTTACTTAAGCTTCGATAATCAGTAAAGTGTTACATATGGACCAGGCGAATATATTATACCTTTTACTAGCTGTGGCAGAAAGGGGTCATGTACCATCCTCTCACATCGGGGTACTACTACCTACCTAGGCTTTACGCAGTGCTCACCGATGCACCGCTACCTAATAGCAACATACAAAGAAGGCCGTTCAGGGTCGGAAAGGTTGATGACCTGTTCATTTTCAGGATCTACTGTGAGCCACGACAGATTGGTTTGACGCCAGATGGCCATATGTGTGTTGAAGTGCTCTAGCTATTCAAGATGCTTAATCATCCATTGAAAGGGATTTGCTCGTGTCATCCATCCATCATGGAAAGGCGTATCCGTCTCGTCAATAGGATTGACATATGCCTTCCTTTTCAGATACGAGGGAATTGCTTGGTAAATAGGGGTACATATGCCGTAACTAAATATTTAGATACGGGAGTGTATTTGTATATCTTCCATTGCTGGTAAAGACTCACCTCAAGACTGCCAGACTCAGGGTTGGCGATATTGCCAATTTGTCCAACGGTAATGTGCATTTCGATTCCTGGCATACAGTGACCTGAAGATGCTATGGAACGTCCACTGGTAATATCATAGTCGGGACAGTTAATATTATATATCGCACCTGCGCATGTCTCAGTCATGCCGAATCGGGGTGCGGTGGCAATAGGACTTGCGCCGTAGCGCTGAAGCAGCGTTGGGACCGCCAGATATGTTTGAACATCGTTAGCCTCGCCACCGGTGACAAGATAGCTCAGATCAGATGGGTCACATGTAGCCGGCGGTGGGTTATTGGTGGTGCATGTCGCAACCAGCAGGAAATTCGGTGCGAATGTCCGTGATATTCGATGCCGATGTAGAAGCTCCGGAAACAAGGGGGGGTTTTCCAACAATATCGGCGGCATGAACATGCGCCTTGGTGGACTCCTAGTCAAAGAGCCTGGAGGTCTGTTTGAAGGAGTCCCGCGACGTGGCCGGGGCCCGAGTCCAATCCAGTTCAAACAGGCGTCACGTTCTGAGGCACGTATCGATGTCTTCCCGGATATCGAGGCGAGAATTTGTCTATGGCCCAGGGGTACGGCCTTGGCGTTTCCTGTGCTGCCTGATGTCAACATTAGGGCAGCTGGGAACTCTTTCCAAGTTTCGGCTACGTTGTCAACGTGCCTTTTATACGATTCAAACGAATGGTAAGAGCTGACTATGGAGTTGCAAGGCAGTGTTGGCGCCATCAAACAAATGTAGAAAACTGGCCTTAGTAATGCAGATGGGTCGTTCGAGCAACTGTGATAGCCCTTGGAGATGTTTGTTCCTATGTTCATCCACATTACTTAGGGGTGAGGATAGGACTGGAATACCATGCGCAAAGAGGATAGTCAAGAACCACAAAATGGTGTCCCAATGGTCATGTAAATGGAGAAGTACAGAATCGCCGGGCTTGAAGTTACTCATGGCGGAAATCAGTACGCTGTTTCTCTTGGCCTTATCATACAGTATACGATATGACATCTTCAGTGGAGTTGATGAGGTCGATCCAAGGGAGTGATTCATGACGTGTTTCGTGGGAAAAGACTCTGCTCTTGCTTTGAGCACATCCAGGATGCAGCTCCATGTAGGCTGTTTTGAACTCATCTTCTCAAACGGTTCGCTACTATAAGCGGTTGCTTTTGAATAGTTCTAAACTCGTAACATAAAGAAACTCACGAGGAGCCCCGTGATTTTTGCCCACTTTAAACCGATGCAAATAGATTTTAAGTTAAATACAGTAGTTAGAATGTCTTGTAGTGCTTCGATTACAGCTCGAATAAATGTTATCAAATGTATATTAAGCATTTAATATACACCCAGCTAGCGAAACACCTAAGGAGGCACTGATGATGTTCCCCCTAAAGCTTTATGTGCTTTGCCTCTGAGGGCTCATCTTTATCTTGTCTCGTCGAGACTTCAAACACTTCCAACCTACCTAAAGACAGGTACTGTAGTGAATTACTGCAGCAAACAAATTTTGTGACATGTAAGGTTGGCTATACTTAAAGCTATCATGCTGTTGGTATATATGCTGTACCTTTAGTGGGGTGCCTTGATGGGGGTGTCATTAGAGTACGATCTGCTGTTGGTGACTGGCATCATATCAGGTCACCACCTTTGGGTCGTTTACGACGTGCTGCAGTGCACATAGCCTCATGCTACCTTCATAATGGTGCCGGCTAATGTAACTGTTGGTCCGTTATCCCTGGGCTTCAATCTGGGCACCAATATTTCGGCGAATAGACGACAAGGTGGCTCATAACATGAATTTCCATCGACTCCGAGGATACTAGTAGGCCTACGATCATTTGCTACCCATCAAACAACATCCGGTTTCCCCCCTCCCCCCTTTTTGGGACCCATGAATATGTACTTATTTCAGTAGTTGGTCATAACTGTGGGACTATTAATACCTTTAGTCTTCCCGCACTTAATCCAAATATTTCTTAGACTTTTCATTTTGCCTTGATTACACGATTCTGATTTGAATATACTGTATCTCGTCTAAGCAACTTTGATTCATCTGCTACTCACTTACTATCATAATGTCGTTGACTACTGCCCAATATGAAGCGCTAGCAGACCAAATCGAGCTGATCCTACAGACTCCTGGGGCAGCCAGCCAGGTTAAGGATGAAAAAGTTCGTTGTCGCCTAGCTGAGGGTGGACGCAAGCTTGGCATCTCTTTTGAAGAGCCTGGTGACACCCTGCGTAGGTTTGGCTACATGGTATGGTCTCCATTGTGTCCAATAACAGGTAGTAATCCATCTCAGTTATGTCTAACCTTTGTTTAGCACTTTCAACTTCCACTTGTCTGCATCGGTGTCGAGTCAGGTGTCTTTAAGGCTCTGACAACCGAACCTGAGAGGACATTCACCAACGTTGAACTGGCGGAAAAGACTGGCGTAAACTCCAAACTATTGAGTGGGTGCTTCTAGACCCATCTGCTTAAGAGTGACTGACAATGAGGAGAGAGGCTGCTGAGATATTATCAGTCTCTCAGCATGATTGCTCAGCTTGAGGATGATGGTTACAAAGCCAATAACGTATCTCAGGTCCTGGGCATTCACGATTATGGTAGTACAATTCGGTTTTTGTGAGTATTATCTTGCTTCATATGAAAACTAGCAGACTTTCTAACACTTTGAAGCCAACGAGTCATTGCGCCGGCATCAATAATGCTGCCTGACTTTCTCAAGCAGCATGGTTACGGCGATCCTACAGGGGTTTCGCCGAATTCCTGGAATATCGGTCAGAACACCGACCTACACCCTTTTGCATGGACTGGCCAAACCCCTTGGGCGATGGAGCTCTTCCTCCCGTACATGAACATCCAAAGGGAGGGGCGGCCAGCTTTCTTCGACGTCCTAGACTTCGCGACGAAGTTTGCGCAGGGCGCCACCGGCGAAACTCCCTTGTTCATTGATGTTGGCGGGTCTATGGGCGCGCAGTGCGTTGAGTTCAGGAAGCGATATCCTAACCTCACCGGACGCGTTATTCTTCAAGACCTGCCGACTGTCATAGAGCAAGTCAAATCGAAACCTCTGTCTGGGTCTGAGAGAATCGAGACACAGCCTTACGACTTTTTCACACCGGAACCCATTAAAGGTACTACTCTCATTGTTTAAGATTCCATGAAGCTACAGGTAACACATTATACTCAATGTAGGAGCACGGGCCTATTACTTGCGGAATGTCCTGCATGACTGGCCAGATGCCAAGTGTGTCGAGATTTTGGGCAACGTTAAGGCGGGCATGACGGAGCAGTCAGTGATTCTTATTGATGAGACTGTTCTGTCCGAAAACGGGGCTCCGTGGAGGGCTACGCAGCATGATATGGAAATGATGACCATCTTCGGTGCACAGGAACGCACCCTGGCAGAATGGACAAGCCTTTTCGAGGAGGCCGGACTGAATATCAGGGAGGTCGTGAGGTATTCTGAGGAATATGAGGACAGCTTACTCATTCTAGAGCTCAAGTAAGCTACGGCCCCTTATAGGGATGACTGGATGTGTCATGTGCCCGTCTATGTGAGCCGCGTTATAGATCCCGAACTTAGAAAAAGAGTTCGGTGTTCCTCCAGACCGGGATTTTAGTATAGCGATGTATCAGACATTCCGACGTTCTTTTTGCCGATATCTGGTTTATTTTCTCCCCCACTTCCACGGGCTTTTCGAAAATACGTACATGTAGCGTACACCTCGCTTCGAAAGCCACCTCCTTAGCCAGCCCAACAGCACAGGCCAGGCGGCCGTTCGGTACATATTGTGGCTGGTGTTGTGATTAAACAGCTATGGCTGGAGAGTTATCTCTTAGAGACCCAAACTAGGGTCCAGGACTAGCGCTATGCAGGCTATTACTAGCTTGTTAGCTCCGACGTATTAGATTTCTGCGTTTAAACACATCTCCACCTATTTCATACGAGGCTTTACATAGTAAGTATAAACGCGTTTAAACACACGTAAAAACACGCTACGTTTTAAAAAGATACATACAGGGGGACAGTGGCTTGGTAGCGAGATCACATTGCATGGTTTAACATGCATGCTAGTCCCGGACCCTAGTTTGGGTCTCTAAGAGATAGCTGCACGAACCACAAATGACGAGATAATACAAGGTACATGTATGTTGATATATATGAGGTACCTGGCGTTAAAGCATATCAGCTCGTATTTTCTCGTAAAATTTAATAAGGTACCTTATTTATTGTTGGTAGGTACGTACGTTTAGTATAAATCAATAAACAAGTAAATCAAATAACAATGGGGGTGAGACTGGTGTATTGATAATGTCTAAGGAGGGAAGAATCTATCTGAGGCTAGCTAGCAGTGTGATGTCCTTTTATACAGTAATAGTGGGTACACTGTTCCTCCCTCCAGTATCGGCAACAAGGCACCTTATCCCCGATAAGGTGCCTACGTGTCGATGTCATACAACCACCATTTATCATATTTCAAGTAGACTCGATATGTGAAATGTTAAAACGAGGTAAAGTTAGTGATGCATGTTCCTATCACCCAATCTACTTAAAACGGCGCTTTCGAAATCCATTGTGCTGGTTTAGCTAGTCTGAGATGGTACCTCAGAGCGTACCTAAAGAGGTACCTACCTTAATCACGGAAACCCACTTGAAGTAAATAACCCAGTGGCTACGTCGCTTTGCCGACGCATCAATCTCGTTCCCCTTAACGCCGAATAATAATAACCCAACCGAATCAGCCTACGACTGCGTTGGAGGAAGTAGCGGGTGAAGGAAAACGACTATAAAATATGTTACGTCCATCTTAAGAACACATAGCCAGCCACACACTTGGCCGGCTACTCATATAAGCCCAGGTAGCTAACTCTTTTAAGGATCGACTCAAGGGAATGCCCGCGGCCACAGCTCACCAACTACCTAGGGAGGTACATGTAGCCAATTATTCCCTTTCACTCCTCATCCACGGGGTAGAGATGGTTCCCAACCAGCTTGTTCATCTGAAACATGTCCACTCTGGCTTGCTTGAAAACGGCTTGCATCATTTCGTCACATCGTATCTGCCGCTTGTCATTTGGGTCTTGCAGCTGGTTGCCTTTGATGTGCTGCCATAACTTCTTGACAACTTGTGGTCGAGACAACTATACTGATGATTAGAAGACTGACGAGTACTACAGAGACCCGGCATTTATTCAACGCCGGATTAAAGTAGCACTTACCTGCGATTCCCCGCAGAGCTCCGCGAGCGGGTAACTGAGGTTAAAGGGTTTCTGAAAACCTCCGCCGGCTTTTCGTGGCCGACTACTCGACTCTTCACTCCCCGCCACGTCACTATCATCGTCGGGTCCAACTTTCTTTTCGCTCTTCTTTCGAGGGGCGGCCTTCTTCTTTATGGGAGCCTTGGGCTTCCCACCCCCGCGCGTTGCGCGAGTGCGCTGGTTCTCCTGCGCCTGAAGCATTGCTGCTAATTTGGCGTCCGCATCTTCTGTATCTTCGCTCTTCTCTTTCCGCTGTTTCTTTTTGGGTGGTTGCATCGACACCTCGATCTCATCCCTGTTCGTATCCTCTGCGTCTGGGCTGTTTCCATTGTTGCCGTTGACTTGTTCTGGGGGTGAAGGGCGTGGAGAAGTCGAGTCGGGTTGGGGAACCGCGGAGGATGGTGGTGGAACAGCGAAAGAAACAGCGTCAAAGCGCTCTTCTATAAGCGCCTTAATAGCATTCTATCCGAATGATAAGTTAGCAAAATACGAGTCTCGCATTATGCAACCCTAAACATAAAAATCCAACAATCCAATCTTATTAGAAGATGAGGATGGAATGGAGGTGTCCAGTCGCGGGAACAAGATCCAGGAGCTTGCTACGTACCTTCTGATCGCTCAGATCCTTTCCGCCTAGTGCAGCTTCGAGCCCCATGCGAATCTTCTTGCGCGTGACGGTTTCGAGGTCCGCGGTGGCTAGGATGCCATCGATGATTTCTGTGTAACGCGTCTCTTCCTCCGCGGTTACTACCTCTGTTAGTAGCCGCGCCTTTGTGGGGTTCGGCACAGCAGGAGTTATATAACTGCATGCTGGCCAAATCTACGTGAGCACGGAACTTACAAGGAGTTGCCATGATGCTGAATATTAGTTCCAACTAGGTTTCGAAGTACGATGTGATATAAGGAAACTTTTATGATAGAGAACTGGCGACAGAATGGGACAGGTTTAGTCTAGAATGTAGATAGGCAACGGATAGAGGAGGTTTGATGCAAGCGAGATGGCGTAAGTGCGTAAGATCGACTCGGGAGAGGTTAGAACATAACGATATGGAATGGTCGACAAGAGAGGTAAGCGGCGGTTCACGATAACTGATACTGGGTAATTCTAAACGAATGGCAAGTGGCGAATCGGAAGCACAAGCCCTAGGAACGTATAAACAACAGCTTAAGTGGAGGGTAATCTACCTGGGTATGTAGGTAGTAATGCAGGTATACGGACTTGATTTTCCACTTGTAGACCACAACCGGCGGCTGAAGGCGCGATGGTAGCTGTGGCTGGTAGTGGTGGTACTATTGATCCTATGAGACTATGCGAGGTAGGCAGGAGCAGAAGAGAGGGCGCTGTTTGAACTGGCCGAATGCTTTTATGTTGGTAAGCCGGTAGTTACGAGGGAAGAATGTTGAAGGGATGTAGCTGGAGACGACGCTTATTGCGATGCGCGCATGTAGTCTCGAAGAAGTAGACCTTCGCTTAAACGTCGAGCATAGGTACCTAGGTAGATATAGATAACTAAAAGATATAGATTTAAAATCTCGCTGAGCAAAATTAGCTTGGAGGGCCGTATTAATCGTACGCATATAGTTGTAGCTATTAATGAAAGCTACCTAGAGGTAAGGTAATTATATAGAAACAGCACAAAGACTTGTCGTTGTCGGTCCGCCTGTGAGAAAAGGTCACTAGACCAATTATGGAACCAATAGAGCGTTGCAGCTTTTCTAGTCGCATACCTATACGTTAAATACATACTTATTAACTAAGCTAATTTATGTATATAAAAGTACTTGGCGCGTTCAACTCGCATTTGAGAATTTTAGTTGCCTTAGCCAATATGCAAACCTAAAAGGACGTTCTAATAGTCTCGTAGCAACTTATTCTTAGGCATTATTTTAAACAGAGCCTTCATACTTTTGACCTTTTGGTAATCCTTATCGTTTGATACTCATATAAAGAATTCAATAATGGTTGCAATGACAGCTAAGTATCAGTTAGCCGCAGGTACCTAGTACTTCACAATCCATCCCCACTAATCGGCAAAATTGACCTTACCCAGCGGCGACGCTAGCTTCAAACAGGATGTGGGATATGGCGCGATTAGATTTAGCCAATCGTAAGACCAGCCTTTGTGTTAAGTTACCTGTCTTGCGCAGACGGAAGCAACACCTAGGTAACAAGTTCTATCCCGAAACATCATTACCTATTACGTAGAACCAAGCTGTTTAACTTGTAAGAAAATTGAAGCTTTAGTTATGTCAATTATCATTTGTCCCAGCATTGAACATTGAAATAGCGCTAACACAATGAGACGAGGTACATTAGGTACAATACTTAGGAAGGTAATTAATGTAAATTCATAGGTAAGTCAACTCAACTACCTATGCTTTAACGACGGGCCATCCTATTTAAGCGCTCCGCGGGCATACCTATCCTGGACAGAACCAATATGTGATACATGATACACTTGCAGTGGCACCCCGTTGTTACGAAGATATAGCATTACAGCTAAAGATAAAAACATAGCGATGACCATATAAGCCCTGGCAGAATATTAAAACGATGCCCTCACTCTCGCCGGTTCATGCAGCTCTTGCCTGGCCCGTTTCTTTGCTAGTGTTCATGTTAAAGACGCACCAAGCTTTAGGTACCTAGTATTGTTGCTAAGACATCCGGCCAAAAGGATTGAAGCCAGTCGCTTATCCACGCCCACTTATAATGTCGCGAACGATATCTGGTCCGTCATCTTGTGTTAAGTAGCAAATGATCACATATTCCGAAAGCACGTTCGGAAACCAAGGTTAAGAGTTCCTCGAGAAAGTCTTTAGCGTTATAGCCAATATCTCTATCTTCGTCGCTCCTCTCCCCCTTCCTCTCCCCCCTCTTCCCATACGGACAGCGTCTAAGCGCCGTCAGGTATCAGGCCTTTTTGGTATCGGGGCAAATTCTCTTGCGCTTATCCCTTATACCCTATTATCTGCTATGTTTCTTCGAAGCCATCTTTCCGTAAAATGTTCCAGAAGTATAACTACGACCTCATCTTCGGCGCTGATAGTTTCGCATTTCCATCGCGATTTTCTCTGATCTCCAGTCAATGGTGTAATTGAATTCCGAACCCATTCTGTCCTTCAATTTTTCTCCCGCTTTTCTTTCGTTATCGGAGATAAATCGGCCGGGATACCGCCAGGAAGATCGTCAACGCAGACGTAAGAGATGACAGCTAACTATTTTAACGGTTATGGATAAATCATCACACATTGGGGGAGCTGGGAAGGGGAGAACATGGGGAAGCGCGACAGGTGATAGGGTTTCCATGATTAACTACAAAATGATATAGCAGAAAAGCGCTGATACCAATGCCATTGTTTAAAAGTACGGTTAGTTATTTTCTTTACAAGTGGCGGAATCATTCCGCCGGGGTCGTAATAATAAGCGCCGTCATGCTCCTTTACCATTTTGGGGTGTTTCATAAGGTTTATGGTTAACTTGACGTGAGAATATATTAATAGACGCATGTAATGATAATGAGCCGCACCCATGCAGCTATCATTCTTAGGTTCAGTTCCAACACTACCTACTCTCATCTTCATACCCAATGTAAGCATAGCTGATTTGAACCTCAAAATGAAATATCTAACCTACTCACGATAAGTACGCTTGTGTTGAAATCAGACCCTATTTCATAGTTAGATCTGTACTAGAATACTGGATAAGCTTACACGCCATAGATCTCTTCTCGACTTTCAACTGAGCGAGCCGTAAGGCGAATGGAATAAGCCAGGTATTACTCCATTTGTGGCGGGAGTGGGATTTATCAAGGTCGTACAGTGGTCGAGGGCTCAGGGGCGACACACGAGCTGAAATGCAGCCAAGACCAACAGCGTACTTGGCGAACTGACCACCATGCCTAGATCTTCTAGTTTAACAAGGCACCTGCATATCATATCCCCTAGTCTATAAACCGCTGAACAGGGATCCTAAAAGAATACCCCATACAAGTAAATCTGATAGTTCTGGCAAATCACGGGATAAGCGGTTGCTTACCAAGGTAAGCAGCAAGAAACCCTCGCCTTTTGCTCGATCTTATCCACATTAATTAAGATCAGATCGTAGAACAGCCTAACAGGCCTACTATGTACTTTTGCACTGGCAGAACTAGTCATGCGAGCAAAGTTTTAGGACCTCCGTTCAACGGTCACTGGGATACAAAACAGACAGTTCGCAGCAGAAAGTATACTCATGATAGGGAAAGAAGGGAAGAACGAGGAGGATGTTCATTTACCATGAGAATGGGGTATGATAATGTTACCGATTTTCGGTTCAGGCGACTGTCAAAAGGACGGCAAGTGAGTCCAAGCAAGCTGCAAACGAGGATGTCTAGAATCTTGATGTCATATGCTAGCATTCAGGGTATCAGGACAACGTATGGTGAAAAGAGGTCAAAGTAACAAATTCCCTAACCGCTGTTGGAACCGGGAAAGATAGTGAGGCGCCGCCGATCTGCTACTCAACCTGTTCGGCGCAATTAAGGCCGTGATACCTCGCCGAAACTTGTGCTATCCACGTGGAAATTGGCATAGGGATGCAAATACTAGCCTCCAGGAGAATATTATGAGAGTCGGTAGCCCCTCAGAGATGTTCCACTTGTCATAAAACTTCTTTTGTTAGCCTAATCGCTAGGATCGAATTAGTTATACCACTAACCCGGGCTTTCATATATACTAAGCTATAGCATGATGAGTGCTCCATCTACGACTACGCTAACAAGAATTAGTAGACCTAGATCATCGAAGGAAAATGTGAAGGATATGGAAGGGAAGAAAAAACGGCCTTTCTCTTCGAATATACGGCTATTCATGGGAACCGATTGATTATGGGCCTCACGGCCTATGACGTTTTCAATAGTATTATTCATAAGAGGGCAGCTAGTAGTTGTTACAAGCCTGTCCTTAGAAGAGAACCCCCCCCCCCCCCCCCCCCAAACGTTCCAACGCGCTATCGCAACCTCGGCAAAAGACCCGTACTTCGCATCGGCCGGGAGTAGTATATCCCTTTACTGTCTCCCATCTCTTCTGAGTTTATGCCATTCGGAAAATAGAACTTAGGCCGAGCGTTATCCAAGCGAGTGGCTGTTTCTCAGCTGCATAACATCTCGTTAGCTTACGCACGAAGGGGCTGATAGATGGGCATGGCTTATAGCGAAGAGTACGGTCCACTGGCTCCAACCAGCGATACTCTGTCGCCTCTACCTACCGGCCACCGGAATGGACTCATCGCCGTCGCCGTCTGTGGCATGGTTTCGTTCGTGTCGACAGCCACGCTAGTTCTATTCCTGACGTATAAATTGGTCACCTGGCACCTGCGAACTCCGAACAGGATAGACGACAATCACCAAACCGCAGCAAATGACCTGTCGTTGGGCCTGGCGCAGAGGAATTATGGCACGTCCAAGAAAGCTATTCCGGAGGTGGAGAATGTAGAACAACGACGCCGGCAGAAAGCGAGACGAGGCCCGCCAAACCAATTTCTCATCCTTGTATATAACTTGTTCTTCGCCGATATGCACCAGGCAACGGCGTTCATGTTGAATATTCCGTGGGTGCAGAATAACGAGATAACTGTGGGAATTCCGACTTGCTGGGTGCAGGGCTGGTTTGTATCAACGGGAGATCTGTCTGCCAGCTGCTTCATATGCGCCATTGCCATTCATACCTACCTAACAGTCGTAAGGGGATATAAGCCACCGCAGTGGGCGTTGTATCTTGCCATCTTCGGCTTGTGGGTGTTTATCTATGTGATGGCCATCGTTGGAGTGGCCTCTACCAATAATGGGAGAGGAGTTGGTGGATTTTATGTTCGCGCAGCTGCTTGGTAAGTGAAAACATGAGTAATATCTATTACCACCGCACGGCCGATCTGGTTATATGCCTTACATGTATGGCAGTTGAGATCGCGAATGGCTGACGTTAGTTAAAGGTGCTGGATAAATGCCAAGTACGAACCGCTTCGTCTATGGCTCCATTATATATGGATCTTCCTCTCGTTTCTCATGACGAGTATCCTGTATACGCTTATCTTCCTTTTCCTTCACCGGAAAAATGCCTTTTCTCAACCCCTTTCGCATAGTCGTCTATCAGCGTCGACACGATCGGGTACGAATAACACGAGCTCTCACACGAATCCATCGGGACATCATCCCACCTTCCTTATCTACCCGATTATCTATATTTTATGTACGGCGCCGTTAGCTTTGGGCCGTGTGTTCACCATGTCTGGAAGGAATGTGAGCATAGCTTATTTCTGTCTGGCAGGCGCCATGATAGCCTCCAACGGATGGTTGGATGTCTTGCTGTTTTCAACTACACGACATTCCATTATCTTCGACGCACCTCTGGACTCAGAGGACACTGGCTTAAAGACGTTCACTTTCATGAGGACACCGCATTGGAGGCGATACGGAAACATGATATGGGTGCAAGGTGGAGCTCACTCCGGCAATGACGGAGGTGGCCGGCAACGTAAGGGACGTAGGAAAGCAGTGTGGGGATTAAGCCGAATCGGGGAGCTGGTAGGATGGGATGGAAGAGATGGCCGTCCTAATGGCAACAACCGCTGGGTTGGTGGCATAGGTAGCGGAAGCCAGGAATCACTTCGGGGTATTACAAGAGCGACGGAGACGGGAATTCAGATGGATACCGTAACGACGGTAGTTGTAGAAGTCGAACAAGGCGACTCGAAAACGAGATCACGGGAACCTTCTGCTCACTCAATAGATAGTTCAGAGAAAGGGCCCGCACACCGGACGAACAGCCTACGTCTCTAATATTGGAGTATGCTTTCAATTTCAAGGTCTTAAGAGATACATAAAATAGGCCAAAAAAAAAAAACCTTCGTTAACTCCGTGACCTGAGTTTAGAACGTTCTCGTGTAGCGACATGAAGATCTCATTAAGGTATGATAAAAGATTTGACAGCTGAGAGCGTTTTTGGTCTGATAAAAAGGGTACCTACATGAAGTACTCAAGTAAGGTTACAACGTTACGAGTGTACATTCACATAATCAGTGCGGTGAGATCACCATCAAATGTATCAGCTTTCCGCCAATTGAATTACATGTTTCCCCCTCCAAAATCCCCGCTCGCCCCTGATTAGAATAGCCAGGGAGACGCGTACACGTACGGTACATTAGACGATTTAATATAGGTACATGAATGTACATGTACGTATTTATATGCATACCGGGCAGGTAACGGTAACGTCATGTACCGCATAATGTCAATGCAATTAATTGTACATGTACCTAGGTACCTTAGCGAGTCACCGTCATTTTACCCAATCAGCCATTTTATCCGTACCTAATTCTAGTCCCGTAGCGTTCCGGTTTCTCCAACGAAGTCGATCCTGTCGAATCTTCTAAACTTGAAAGGAGAGCGAAAAAGAGAAAGGGCTGGCCTCCCTGCCTCCCTGCCTCCCTGCCTCCCTTGTCAGCCTGTTTCATGAGGCACCGCTGCGAAATGACACCTGCAACGTACGAACTTAAGGGAGTCTAACCGCTTATGCCCAGGGCTCGTCTCGTCTCACCACATGTGCATCACGAAAAGAAAAATACCTAAAAATCCTTCGGACTTGTAGATCTCTCAACTTGAACCAACATGATGATATATTTCCAATAATACCTTAAATTATCAAATCCAATAAGATTCCCTGCTTTTGTTAATTTGGCTGCATCTTCCTCTGTGTCTCTTTTTTTTTTCTACTTCCCATTTGCGTCTCTTATTTTTCCACGCCACTCATCATCAACTCCCAGCGGGGTTGAAGAATAAAGAAGAAGACGAGATATCGTTATTACTAGCATCAACGCTATTATCAAACTATTTCGATACACTAGTAGTGACTACCTCTAGTAGCCAGTGGAACTATAATTGTAAGTCATCTGGAAGCCGTTGTTAATTGAACTGGGACGGACTTGACTTTGGTTTCCGACCGCTCCGTTAAATTAAAATTCGCGTCTTTCGAATCCATCTAATTGACCTCCGCTTTTAGTCGGTTACTGCGGCTTGAGCTTCTACAAACCTTCGAGATCGTGTCGTTCACGGTTGTGTCCGTTGATTCTTGGTAGTGAACACCATCCATCTAACTCGCGATCCGACGTCGAACCTTCACGGGTCCGCCGTCTCACTACTTATCTCTGCTCTCGTTTGGACGGCAGCTAGTCGACTCATATCCGTCCTTAATGTAATCCAACATCCCATTCGGACCCATTCTTAAACTTCTTTCCGGCCACCGCTACCTACATTCCACATTGACGTCTTCAACATGTTGCGACGGCCTCCTGGTGAGGGACGGCTCGTCGTTCAACAGCACAAGGTTCTTCTTGCCTTGGCCGTCTTCCTTCTACCATGGCTCCAACTTGTCGATGCTCAGCAGCAGCAATCCCGACAGCAATCCCCCCCGGAGCCAGCCTCCGTCGCCAACCTCCTCAGCGATTATAGCAAAGATAACAGCATAGTTGTGGACAAGCATGATGTTCACGCCCGAGACGTCCCTATTCCCCGGCACGACTCCTTCGATGCTGAGCGCGTCGTAGGTGATCTCGCTACTGCTACGCCTTCTAAGGCACGCGACCATCACGAGACCCCAGCCGTTAGCCGCAGGAACAGCGTGACTACCAAGAAGCAACGACTCCAAAACGTACCTTTTCCTAACGATGCGAGCGCCCTCGCAACTTTGGCTCCGGCTCCGTCCGTTCGAGCACCAAATTCTCCAAGATATCTGCCCAGCCTGCTTGCCGGTGCTGGGCTTTCCTCGCCGCAGACTGCGCGGAGTCTGGAGAAGTGGGAAGTGGAAGACTACATTCTTCTGGCGACCGTCGATGGGCATCTTTATGCTGTCAACCGTGAGTCCGGCGACGAGCGCTGGCACCTCCAAGTTGAGCAGCCTATTGTCGAGACCATTCACCGCCGCCCAAATAGCTCCATAGCTGATGGGCGAGATGGCCATGATCATCATCCCCTGGATGACTATATTTGGGCTGTTGAGCCTACTCGTAACGGTCCACTCTACGTATGGACACCGGCGGGATATGGTAACGGCCTTATGAGCACGGGTCTAACCATGAAACAGCTAGTTGAAGAGTTTGGCTCATATGCTGTTCAGAACCCACCTGTTGTCTACACGGGTCATAAGAAAACGACCATGATCACTTTGGATGCGGCGACCGGTCGCGTTCTTAAATGGTTTGGTCAAGGAGGTTCACAAGTGGACCAAAGTGCCACTTGCTTCCCCCCGAACGGGCGTTTCGTCGATTCGGATAGTAGGGAATGTAGTGACAGTGGTACTATCACTCTCAGTAGGACAGAGTACATTGTTAACATACACCGGTCTGATGACGGTAGAGAGCTCGCCACACTTAAGTATGCTGAATGGGGTCCAAACAATTTCGACAATGATCTCCATCAGCAGTATCGTGTTACGCAGGACAACCGCTACTTTACTAGCCAGCACGATGGTAAAGTGTATGCGCTAGCCTACCCTACCGGAATTACTTCCTTCGCACTCCAGTTCTCCGTCCCTGTCGCACGTGTCTTCGACATCGCTCGGCCTGAGGATGCCCCTCCTGGTAGCAACCCCGAGCTTGTCCTGCTCCCCCAGCCCGTTCCGCCACCTCGGGACGAAGACTCCGCCCGTGCCCGAAGTCATAGCGTATTTCTCAACCAGACGGCATCTGGTAGCTGGTACGCCATGTCTGGCTGGTCATATCCCTTAATTGTCGATGCCCCCGCAGCGCAGCTCAGCCGTAGAAACCGCCGGGACGCCGAAAACCCTTGGGATAGCCTTGATACTAGTTGGGCGAACAAGGTATTAGTCGGTACTCACATTCTGGGGAATGCAAGGACAGTAGCACAATGGCCGTCGTCCATACCTCCAAGCTTACCTTCCTCTCCTTTCACACCAGAATCCGACAATGACGATAATGAATCCGTTGTGCCAACCCCATTCCCTGATATTGCGACCGATCCCCCAGGCATTGTCGATAGCATCGTCGCTCTTCCTCAATATGCCGCTGATAAGACAGTCGACTTCTTCATGAATCCAATTCTATTTCCTGTACTTATCTATCTTCTATTCCGTTATTACAAGGACCTGGTCAGATGGTCTAAGCGCCGCATCAGGCCAAAGCAGTATCTTGATACTATGACATATGTGCGTTCGACAGATGCTGTCGTCAATCCGCCGCAGGAACCAGCCGATGAAGTCGTCCAAGCGCCAGTTGTAGAGGCAGACGAGAAGCAGCAGGAACCATTAGTATCCGAACCCGCAGATGTCGAAAAGGCCGCACCTGTTACCGTGTCTGCGGTTGAGCTTGAGCCGCCACCCGTAGATGAAAGCCGCGAACAGCAGCAAACTGAGGGCGAGTCTCCCGAGAAGAAGAAAAAGGCCCACCGTGGCCGGAGAGGAGGTGTTAAACATCGCAAGGGAGCAAAGAAGCAACGTGACGCCACTGAAAGTGCAGGAGAAAATGGCATATCTGATGTGGGAGAGGGGATCCCTGGCCTTCAGAACGTTGGGATGCCATCTAAGCTCGAACCGAATATCACAACCATGAATAATGACCCAGAGGATGTGAGCGGTCCTATTGTTAAGATCGGTGGTATTGAGGTCAATCAAGATGAGCAGCTCGGCATGGGTAGTAACGGTACCATAGTCTTCGCGGGAAAATTCCATGGACGGGACGTCGCCGTCAAGCGTATGCTTACCCAATTCTGGGATATTGCAACGCAGGAGACACAGCTTTTGCTTGAAAGCGATCATCATCCCAATGGTATGAGTTGTCACTACCATTACTGTCTTATATTCGCTCTGCGTCTGTTCGTACATGCTAACTCGCTCATTTAGTGATTCGATACTTTGCGATGTCGAAGAATGACAGTTTTCTCTATATTGCGTTAGAGTTGTGCCAAGCTTCGCTTTCGGATATTATCGAGAAGCCTGCCATGTTCCAGGATTTAGCTCGTGCCGGTGAGATGGATTTGCCCCGAGTCCTATTGCAGATCGCGCACGGCCTAGGATTCCTCCATGACCTTCGTATTGTTCACCGCGACCTGAAGCCCCAGAATATTTTAGTCACCATGGGACGTGATGGCAAACCGCGACTCCTCGTATCAGACTTCGGCTTGTGCAAAAAGCTCGAGGGGGGCCAGTCATCCTTTGGCGCGACTACAGCCCATGCCGCTGGCACTTCTGGTTGGCGAGCCCCTGAGCTACTCCTCGACGACGACGCGCGCGAGTCTTCTACAATGTCTATGACCAGCACGCACAGCGACTCAAGCCAACTAATCAGCGCTGATGTCATGCCTAATAGGCGTGCTACTCGCGCGATTGACATCTTTAGTCTCGGCCTTGTTTTCTTCTATGTGCTCACGAAGGGACTACATCCTTTCGATTGCGGCGACCGGTACATGCGAGAAGTTAACATTCGGAAAGGCCAATTTAGCCTCAAACCTTTGGATGTACTAGGCGATGTCGCGCACGAGGCCAAAGCTCTAATTGAGACGATGCTTCGATCCGACCCTAGGGCCCGGCCTTCGGCTAAGGATGTTATGTCCCATCCGTTCTTCTGGTCGGCGAAAGAACGGCTTGCGTTTCTTTGCGATGTCTCGGACCACTTTGAGCTCGAGCCTCGAGATCCACCGTCAAATGCCTTAATGGAACTAGAAGCTTGTGCCCCTCAAGTATGCCGAGGCGATTTCCTCAAGGTACTACCTAAGGAGTTTGTGGAGAGCTTAGGCAGACAGCGCAAATATACAGGGTCGAAGCTCCTAGATCTGCTACGGGCGCTAAGGAACAAGAGGTTCCATTACGGAGATATGAGCGAACCCTTAAAGAAGATGGTAGGGCCGTTACCAGATGGATATTTGAGTTTCTGGACTCGGAGGTTTCCAAATCTATTGATTATATGCTGTACGGTTATTTACAAGCTGAATCTGGAAGAGCTAGATACTTTTAAAGAGTACTTCAAACCGAGAACACCTCTATAACCATAGACACCTAGGTAGATACATAAATATACATAAATACACTCATTATTACTTAACGCGTCTTATGTCCTCTTTCGACATACATAAATGACCAAGGAGCAACGGTTTAATTTGCAAAGTTAGAGCATTTTGAAGATTTGATGATGCCAAAGTATTAATCCTTGAGGTTGCTTTATTTGATATACTCCCGCACTTACTAGACTCAAGGATACTTAATGTATCAGTTAGGTACTTTAATACTTGCGTGCTTACACCTTAAGACCTACCGTATCTCTAGTTATATTAAGTGATGTTATTGCGACCCAGCTCGGCGGATCATATTTAAGAAAAGAAAGGAAAGTAGAGATACATGCTTAATGTATACCCCACGTTATAGGTACCTACCACATAACGTACCTAAGTGCGCCGCTAAGATATCTAAGATATTGCTTTTTCAGAAACTGGGTGTACGAAGTTATGTAAATGTGAAATGTTCACTTCTATGTACTTACCTAGGTAAATATACTTTGGCGCGTTTTGACTTTTCAAATGCGCGTTGTCCTTTTCTGTGGAGCAAAAATATCAAATACGTTCATAACTACATTGCATCTACTATATAAATCACGATAATATTAGAAGTATCATAAGTCTTAATAATTTGGTACTTGGAAACTTGATGTAACTTGTGATTCTTCAAAAGCCACTTGTAATACTTGAAACCCCTGCTTTTGAGTAAGTCTTTTTATCTCCCACACTGTGCAATTATTACCTTGTTTGGTAGTTTTTCACATCATTTAAGCACTATATTTACCTGGCAGCTGCCTGGGTACGAGATTGTCAGTTCAGCTGGTTTGTAATTTTAATACTTCTTTCTGTGATTCTAGTCTCTTTCCTTAACAGTTGACCGCAACTCAATACATACTTCATGTGCAAGAGCACGTTAGCCACATTAATATCTGTATGATGTGCATCTTACAGAGAATGCACCTAGCTTCCATGTATCTGATGTGCTAGAACTTTTACTCCCACCTTCACGGTATTCATGCTATATGTGCAGATTACAGACCAAATGGCTCTGTAGCAACAACATCATACCATTAGAATGAAGGCAGAGGCGAATCTTGCTTGAGGTAAAACTTGCTTGCTCTGCTTATAATTACTCTAAGCTCAAGCCTGTCAACATCCATCACAACTTCCACTCTTTCTTCTATCACTCCCACTCTTGGGGCGTTCCCGTATTGACCCAAATAACGCGAATAGGCTTTCCCCTGCTCACCGTCACGTACCTATGTTTTGAGAGATGTAAGGTACATCGCACACTTGACTTCAAGATCGTCAACATTAGCACCATATGCTCATTGTGGTTGCCTGTTCCCCTCGTCCTTGAACTACATTTTTGACATCTCTTCACATACGTCTTTCCAAAATCTTGCAAGATATCATATCGTCTTCTCTTACTCCCTCTCATATTTGCCTTCTCGCATCGTTCTTCATTCTCAGTCACTCGTTCCTCGTTGCAAGCCTTCTTTCAGCTAATATCACCCTTCAGCTCACTTCATGCGATATCATCTCGCCATCATGTCTTCAAATTCTAAAACAAGGTCATCCAACACCTCTGACTTAAAGCGAAGCACCTCAACTTTACCTGCCTTGGCTAAATCAAGTCCACCTACAAGCGAACAAAAGGGGAAGCAGCCATACATGCCTGATCCTAAACTTGGACCAGCTATCAAAGACTTAAGCAAGTTAAAATATAGATCACGCCCAGCTGCCAAGAACTTATCCCGGTCTTCAAAGCCTATCGTTTCTCAAGAAACGAAGGACCACAAGTTTACGGCAACGACAAGCACACCCAGTTCGCCTAGCACGAAGGTCCACGCATCGAAGAATTCTGACGCTTCCAAACTGCCTAGTAATGAAGTTAAGATTAAAACCACGGGACTGGGGAACGCAGTAACCAACCCCAAGCAATCCCCTCGCGAAGGCCGACGGGATCCTTATGAGTTAATCTCTGATAGCGAAGCGAGTGATAACCCGAGAGATGAGTTCAGGCCTACTTCAGCATATAAAAGCATTCCGCCTTCGGTGGATGGAAGGATGAATAAGATAGCCGCTGCGGAAAATATCAAGCGCTCACAACCATCAACGCCGACACATCCTAGTATCAAACCGTCACCAGATGTGAGCTCTTCCCGAGAGACACATATTCCAAAAAGCCCCCGGCGCTCGCGTCAATACACTCCTACACCTGCCCCCCTCGGTAAGCAAGTCATCCTGCTTGACTCATCAAGCGATGAGGAGACTAGCGCGCCTATCACGCCGAAGGCTCGTTCCTCATCCACACACAGGCCAAGCGTCAGCTCATCAAGCCCAGCACGCAATTTCTCGAACTTGGCAGAGGTTCCAGTCGATCGTTCCTCCCAGGGCAAGGTAGTCCCCGCTCGTGCAAACTCGTCACAGCGTCGCCAGCTTTCCTCCCAACGTACGCAAGCTAGGATTCCTGCCGGTGTTGAGATCATATCAATACCCGACTCCTCGTCCGAATCAGATGGACAACAATCGGGCAGCAAGTCACCAACATGCACGCGCTTGCCTTCTCAATCTATCGAGCAGATTTCCCCCAATTTGGCTACGAGTTCTATGAACACCGTCGACAAGAAAGATGAAGGTGTGGTCTCTTTATCAACCGATTCGTCAACGCGTAGCAATAAGAGAAAGCGAGATAGCATTGTGTATGAAGGAGACAATCCCCCAGCTAGTACACGCCCGCAGCGATTGATTTCCACTGAGGTCAAGGAACACGATGACCTCTCAACCAGGTTGAATAGGACTGCGCCATCCCTGCTTGACCGTGTCGCTATGCGCGTTAATAAAGCTCATATAAAAGGACCAAAGGAGAGCAAGCAGAGGAAAGATTCTAGAGATAGGAATACTGACAACAGACCTGATGGTGTATCAAGAAGTGACGAATCGGTCGACGCAGCGGCTCAGCGAAAATCTCCCATATTGGCAAAACGAGCTTCGCAAAGTAAATCCAGGTCCCCTGGCCAGCCTTGCCCCAGCAACGTTGCAATTAGCGAGTCTGATGATTCCGAGCAAGATGAAATCCAAACGAAGTCAGCGGGGTTAAAGAGAATAAGAACCCCGCGTTCGATTCCAAAGAATTCTGGGACATCCAAGGCTGCTATCAAAGGCAAAAACAAGGTCGTGAATGCCAGCTTGCATAAAAAAGGTTCACTCCTATCTCCACGAATAACCAGCAGAAATTTACTAACAAAACTACAGAAAAAGACAACACCATACCAAAGCCCCTTTCCCAACTATTCAGCGACTCCGATGACGAGTATCAACCGACCTTAAGTGACGAAGAAAGCTCGTGCGAAAGCTCGGATAACAAGTATACTCTATTTGAACGAAGCCCGGGTAGAGATTCATCCGGCGTCGTCAATGCTGTGTCATCACCGTCAAGTCCCACGCGAAGACTTCGCAGCCGTTCCTATCCCAAGCCGACAACATCGTTTACCCCAATCAACAAACCAAAACCTAGGCCTCAAAGAGAAGAATCGCCGAGCCCATTGCCTATGAGATCTCGGGGTGGCAAAGGACATTCGAAAAGCGCGCGCATCGTGTCTGGTGTAGATAGATCCCAGAAGAGGGTAGATAAGGGATTGGTTCGACAGCACGAGGGCGGTAAAGAGGAAAACGCCATAACGCAACCGATGGAGTTCGAGAGGAAGCCGTGGTGGAACCCACAGGCGTGGATAGAAAGATACGAAACTGGGTTTATGATTGATTTCGCCGTGCCCGGCAGGCTCTGGCTCGGAATAGGTCCATTCAAGGGATGGATATCTGACGGGCCCGGAAAGGGTACTTATATGCCTGGCTACGAACCACCCGACGATGCGACGATTGCCGAGGCAGAGAAAACCGCTGAGCTCAGATATCACCTGCGTACCTACGACTCAGATTCAGAGGACCATGAGCAATGGGTAAAAGATTATTTCCCAAATACTCGGAAGCCATCCGAGAACGAATGCAGTCCTCCACAGCTTACCTCAAGTGTCCACCAAGACACAGTGTCGACAGACAGCCCAGAACATCCAGCCATTGGCCCGCAAGTTGAGAACTCTTACTGCACATCCCCGTCGGCAGATTCTGAACAAGAAACACCATCGGAACATAGAATATCGAGCGAGCCCAAGGTAATAGAACGCGCAGAACGTGTGGAGAGAAAAGAGCAGTACGTGCATACCGGAAGTCCTAGTGGAGGTATCAACTCCCAGATAACTGATTCTCATGGCCCAATAAGCAGTAGAACTCGAGCGAAGATTCGTACCTATAGCTCACCGACGAAGAACCACATCGAAGATACGTCACCGCTATCCACAGCGTCCGAAGCAACTTCTACCCTCATTGCGCAACAGCTAATGGTCGACTGTTCATCACTGCCGGCCCAAGTGTTGGCCGATCCGGCAAATTCAAACCGGGGAAATCGAGAAACCAATCCTGCATCCTCGGCGCAACTTATTAGTGAGCAATATGATGCCGACAATGATCACCCAAGCACAAGCAGCAGTAGCGAACCGAATGCTGGCATTCCGGCTCAACTACACCGCGAAACATCGTTACCGCGAACACCAGAGAGAGCTCAGAGCATGTCTATTAAGTCAGAGCACTCCAGTGGCAAGCAAGTCGACGCGGAAGATAAACCCGAATGGATGATCCCGCCTAATGCCTTAACGAAGAGCAACATAGAAGTTGTGCTGTCATGGATGTCGGCAGACCAGCGCGCGGAGTATAGATCGATCTCTCCGATTTACTACTGTGATAGCTGTTCTGCGCAGCCTCCCACACCACAGCATCCCACATCCTTCAGCGAAATCAACGAGGCCACTCCGAGCAGCGTGAGCGTGGAATCGGACGGGTCGGGGGAAGAGACTGTGAAGTACGTGCTGAATCAATCGCCAAAGTGGCTCAACAACGTCACGGAGATAAGCGAGCCTAGACATACGACGCCCGACAGAAATATGACGAAAATATCATCATCTACGCTGCCAATAGCCTCCTCACCTCCGAAATCGCCGTCTCTAAACTTGCGACCCCGCCAGGAGAAGCGAAAAGCCGTGACAAGGGATATGGGCAGTTCTTCGTCCTGTATCGAGGAAACCGAAAAAGGAACGGCTTGTCATTCTACGACTAGCGCCCCGGCTAGCGAGTCGCCTGCGAGCAAGAAGCAGAAGACGACGGAAAACGGTCCAGGTACTCGGAAAAGGAATACCCTCAGCCAAAAGCGTCGCCGCCAACGATGGGAGCGCCGGATGAAAGAGGCGCGAGAGAACAACGACCAAGCATAGATCTATACTCATTAACTCGGGTGCTGCTAGTACGCGGAAGTTGAGGTAGGAAGCAGGTATTTAATCAAAGTTGGTCGATTCATATTACACACTCGATAACGGGTCAGCCTATACAGTAAAAAAAATCATCGAGACGAGGAACCCGAGACACTTTTCTGTGTACTTGATTGGAATAGAAGACTCCCAATAGTCAGCTAGCTTCGTCACTTTCTTGTCGAACGGATTATTCCAGTATTGATACCCAAACAATGGGGGTTACACGTTGGCATAACAAATTACCTAGGTACCTAGCTAGATAATGTTCTTGTTCTTGTTCGGTTTGTCGGTTAGTATACTGTCTACATTAGCTCAGACGACGCGGTAATATATTGCATTCATTCGTTTTACCAATTCTATGATTTCCTTAGGAACTTTGCACAGGTACCTCGTCGAAGACAATGCTATTATTAGACGATTGCATATGACACGACTGTTGTGGGGTGTACGAGTACCACCACCTTGTTTGGTATATACCTAATAAGTATCGAGTCTGGACAGGAAGTATGATGTAGGTAAAGCCGGCAGTTACAATGTCCAGAATGCGGGGAGGGTTTCCGTCGTCCATGATTCGCCAAATCTTTTGGGGGTTAGGTCGTATTGTTACGCCCGGCTGACATCAATATCTTATCGGATCGCGGATCGTCCGGAGTGAACTCACCTGCATGTCAAAGCGGTCCCAGAAAACCCTATTTACCTCTACCTATTACCACCACCCCGCTCATTTCTATCTACAACTTATCCAGCCTACGTATAGTGTTCCGAAAAGGATGGGCGTTTTACTACTCAAAATCTCGTCGAAACGATCGCAGTTTGTTCTTGCTCAAAGAAATCTATTCATCATGGCTAGTTTTCTAGTCTATGTCTATTTCATTTCATAGTCGTGATTTTGATAGCCTAGGTTACCCTGTCCAGGTACCGCACCTTTTTGTTTTCTGTTCCATTTCTCGATCGCAGCAAAACACTGCGGAGCTCGCTTTACAGCATGTCTGCCGGCTGTAGCGAATGCCGTCCATCGATAAATGCCTCCCCGAAGCCGAGCATGCCGTCGTTCGTCACTTGGTGTGTAACCTGCTGCTCGACAGTACTCAACCCTTTCCACGGAACTGTCTGATACTCGCGGGCGGGCAGAGCTTTGAGCTAGCCGTGCCAATTCTTATTATGTTCAAACTGAGTTCCCTTACTCGTCTGCACCTATCCTGATCCCCTTCTAAGGAGGGCTCATCTTTGCCGGCTTTGTTCCTAAGCCGTTTGTGTTCCTAAAGAATAGGACGCCCTTCCCTTCGCCCTCAGCACCTTCGCTTGGCTCGACCCACTGACACATCCTAGCGCTACGCCACATAGCCTTGATGAATCCCAACGAACCACCTCTGGTATCCGACCGGTAGTGACGACCCATCACCTTCTGGATAGCTTCGCTCGCCTCGTCGGCATTGTAAAAGGGTATGGTGGAAACATAGTGATGAAGGACGTGTGTTTCGATGATACCGTGCATCAGTTGACGACCGATGAACCCAAACTCGCGATCAATTGTCGCAGCGGCTCCACGAACGTAGTTCCACGATTCGGGTTTGTAGTGGGGTAGGGACGGGTCAGTATGCTGGAGGAAAGTGATAGCAACTGTCTTATTGTTAGCAATCTGGCGAACTGGAGCACTCGTATATGCAGGACGCGGACTTACCTAGCCAGTGGTTGACCCAGAGATACGGCAAGAAATACCACACAAACATATTTCCCCAGCCGAACTTATTGCCAAGTAAGACCAGGACAGAGACGGTGATGGCCAAGCCAATATCACTCAGGACGATCAGCTTCGCATCCTTGGCCTCGTACAGGGGGCTAGATGGGTTGAAGTGATTGACACCATTGAAGAAGCCGTTCTTCTTGCCTTTTCCACGTCCCTCACGCTGGCGCTCGTGGAAGTTGTGTCCCGTCACATTGGTCATGAGATAGTTGGGCCAGCCAATAAGCTGTTGTCCAATAAGGCTGATAAGAGTCACGATGGGGGTCTCTTCGCCGAGCTCAGCCAGTTCGTGAACGAGCTTACCCATACGGCTAGCTTTCTCCTCGCGAGTCTTGGGAACGAAGACCATGTCGCGCTCCATGTGGCCCGTTGCCTTGTGGTGCTTGCCGTGCGAGATCTTCCAGCTGAAGTACGGAACCAACAGAGAAGAATGTAGGACCCAGCCGACAGTGTCATTCAAAACTTTGGAGGTGCTGAAGGACTGGTGACCGCACTCGTGTGCCAACACCCAGATACCAGTGCCAGAAAGACCTTGGATGAAGGTGTACAATCCCCACAGAGCAAAACGAGTTGGGGTGGATGGGACATACTCCGGCGTCACATAGGTGTGGAAGAGGTAGAAGGTGACGGCCAATTGGACGATATCTCGGAAAACATAGTAAAAGCCCTTGACGGCAGATCGCTGGAAGCAGTGCTTGGGAATAGCGTCGTGGATATCTTTGATGGTATAGTCGGGGATCTCGAATTCGTTGCCATACGTGTCGATGAGCTTGCCGTGATTATTATTAGTCTCGAGAGAGGACATGGAGGAGAGCGAAGTAGAGGATGCGGAAGGTCGAGGAGAGTCAACCGGGGACCCAATGGCGGTGGACGGCGACGAGACATCGGTGTCCGTGGTAGTAGATGTCATAGTTCGCCGAAGGGCGGGATTCTGGCGCGGAACGCCAGTGGCCGTTGCAGAAGCCATAGTGAATTGGAGTTGGTATTTGCTTTCGAGTATCGAATAATACCAATGTCTCTTTCAGGATATTGTATGAAGCTGTTGTACAGTTTCACAACCCAGTCTTACCGTACAACTCTTCTATTTGAGTGTAAGGTTAAACTTAAGTTAGCCCTGTGCTTGGGATTAATAATCAACAACGACTGAGAACCGAGAACCCACGGCAGCACAGCACCGGGATAATCTCTTAGGTAGGGAAGGTCGATCAAGGGAATGAATTAACAATTGCGGAAGACGAAGTGATAGTTTTTGGTTTATATTCAAGCAGGGAGAAGTATTAGGTTGGTCGGGATTCGCCTCCTGTCTTCTAGACGGAGACTAGGCACTGTACCCTGCGTATGGAACGAGGGGATTACCTATCGTACCTATGGAAGGTTGGCAACAAAAGACGAGAAGTAGGAGAAAAAAAAAAAAAAAACTATCGCTTAATCTGAATGTTCCCACAATACCTAATCATGTGTACGTACACTATGCATATGTACGTACACGTACCTACCTCTTGCCTCTTGTACCTAATCCGTACAGAAACGGAAGTCCCGAGCTAATTCAAATTATTCAAATTTCCATTATACTATGTATTACATGCGGATCATTGGTTTACTGACAAGTCCCCTCAAAGTAACTTACCCACTACGTTACGGGAATCGTGTACTTAGTAGAATTATTTTCTTCGTGGCGTGTATACTTAAAGCTAACTAGCAACTTGGCTTCGAATCGTACATAGTGTACCTTAGGTCCATGTATATTTTAAGCGCTTAACCACATGCATCTCAGGTACACCTTACACAAAGTTCGCCATCTTTCGCGCTATTTAATGCCCAAAAATTCAATGCTCAGCCGATTTTCAGGATCTGGCGCTACCTAACAGACATGTACCTATTTACCTTAGGTAACTATCAGGTACCTATAAACGTTCCAATGCTACGCCGCCACATGAGGAATGAACGCATTAGATATGTAGAAAATAATGTGGGATATTAACACGCATGGATGGAAAAGTGAAATGTCACTTTCCAGTTCGTGATACTAATAAATTGCATTTACGGATTTGTTAGTAAACGGTAATGTTTCTCTTATTTCTCACCGCTTTTCATACTTGCTTGTCCGACTTGTTCATCCGATTCATTTCAAGCAAATTCCCTGCTCGTTGCCATTTCATACTAAAGCTAGTAACAGGGCTAGACCCAGTACCATACGAAACTGGACGAAGATCATACACCTGGAGGGGTTTTCCTTTTTGGAGGGGTTGGAGGGGGTTCTTCTTTCTTTCCATCCGCGTTGTGGATAGGAGCAATTGCCAGTTGGATCCTAATACATACTACATACATAGGTAGGTAGTATCAACTTTGGAACCATACACGACATCCTTTCCCGTGTGAGCCATTGGATATACCTTGCCTTTAATACATGATACATACATGCTGGGCGGCCTGGCTGGGTGTGTTAGGTTAGGTACGTAGCTAACTTAAGTAGACATTAAATCGTACTTCTTCAGCTAAAACCAGACCAATCAGCTAATTGGATTTGATACGTTTTTTCTACAAGTTAACAAGCATATCCAAATCCAGTAAACCATGCATCCTCGCCGTTACTTATCATTATCGTTGCTACATAGTACGATTGTACGTCATTAGACAATAACGATACATGACCCAAGCCTCGTTCGACTAACCTTATTATTATCCGTCCTGTAAGACAATACAGGCAAAGAGGCACTAAGTAGCTGCAACATATTGTTGAGTTCGAAGTCGTGGGACAAGTAACAAATAGGCTCGTGACAGGTGGCGAAAGGCTTGTCAAGCCTTGCTGTCTTTCTTCAAAGACAGGAAAAAAAGTTGTATTCAAAGCCTGTCGTGAACCTAGATAAGAGCAATTCAGTAATAAAGAATATCCGCTTCTACCCTGAGTGCAGTGTAAGTGGTAATAAAGGTATCTCTTCAAGGGCAGGGCTAAAAGAGGTATTATGAGAGGTTCGGTTTAACATCTTTACTATTGCATAAATCTGTTTATCTGATCATTCACATGCTCCCCTCTACTCCCCTGATTTTTCCCATGTTCCTGAATCATGGGATGCAAGGTTTATTCAGGGGTGTGGATACAAGGCTTTGGCTCCAGAAATGCAGAATGGGGGATTTCTCCGCTTTCTCAAAGACCTTGTCATTTTTTTTTTTTTCTGTTGGGGATCGCCTAAGATCTTATCCTACCAAATTGATCAATTGTTGAGAAATGCAGATCCTTGCAACCCCTCGTATCCCTGTTCGCAACCTCTGGATATCTTGCCAATCGGCTCTTCCACGTGCGGCGGCAATCCGTTGTCGCTAATCTCGACTTTGCACGGAATACAGTGAGAACCAAATACACTAGGAGGTACCTAAGTATAGGTACGGTACTATGGTTAGGTAGACACCGAATTAACATCACTTTACATAAATTACATAGAGTAACGTAAGGCAAAGTGCATAAAGACTTGAAAAAGAAAATAAGGTCGTTGCATTTCTCGGGATATAAATATATACCTTGAAGCTATTTTAACTTTAAGGTAAGAATCTAAAATTAACCGATCTCGAATAACCTAGTTTTCCCTTGTGTGTTATAAAGGTATTTGGTCCACCTTCACTTGTAATAATTAATGACCGTTGATTCGCGAGTGAACTCACTTCATGTTACGTTGCTGTTCAAACTATTTGATTACCTAGCTCCTTACTTAGGTGCCTAACCTAAGGTAGGTATTTTCGGTTGATGCCCCGACCAGAAAAAAAAAATAGTATCCGCCTGGCTCTTCCAAGGTTATTACCTACTCCTTTTTGTCTCCCATGTAAGACAAACCCAGTTGTGTTCCCTTGTTTGATCTTTGATAGCCCGATCTCTACGCTGGAATCGTTCCATTTCCGCGGCCTTGTGGGAATAGAAACTATCCTGATGCAAGTAACTACCGAGGTACATACCTCCTAGGTAATATGTCTTCACAACCTCCACGTGGTTGACAGCTAGACAAGATATGTTTCTTTCACTTACACCCGACTGAGCTGACATTTTAAGCTGTACAATACTATATGGTGTAAACCCGAAATGCCTAACATGTAATTACCTATATATCTCTATATTATACCCAGATCCAGGTTGTAAATCGCCTTCCAACGTACATACTTTTGAACAGTGATTATTAAGTCGCTAGCTGATCTAGCCCCTGAGTCATGTTAGCCAACCACCGGCGGATCGGCCATCTTGTTGACAATCTCCTCTATCCGTGAAAACTTGCGCCACAGAGTATCCAACTTAGTGTCGTCGCTAAATCTGCTAAATTCTACCGTGTCCGTCGTCTTTTCTCTTACCGTCCGCTTAGTATCCTGTCCGGATCGGTCGTAGTGGTCGAACACCTGAGGCATCTGCCTATCACTCGTATGTTTCCCCTGAAGATGCTGTGAAAGCTGCTCCGATTTTTGCCTGCGCTTCTTCTGTCTTTCCTTTCTGCTGGGATTCTTCCTTTTCTTGCGTTGACTATTTACCTCTGAAGACACGGAGGGAGCCGTGGCGGCAGGCGGCTTCTGTGTATCACCATCCCCATCGAGCTGCTTAGGATTTATTGACCTGAGGCTATTATGTGGTGAGGGAGGTTCGTTCGCCACGCCGTTGCCCCTTTCAACAGACCCGTTATTCGGAGATTCAATCTCCGTACCACGTGCAACGCTATCTCGAGTAGAAGTCGCGTTGGAGTGCAGGTCGAGACCTGGTTTCCTTTGGCCTTTTCCATCTTGTGGTGTGGATAGGCATCCGGGGATTGCCATGCTCCCCGATCGTTTCCGTCTCTTTGCTGTATGAGCATCACTAGTAAAGCTACCCTCTTGGCCTGCCGACGAGGCAAGGTCTTCGGGAGGCTTGATAGTTGTGACGTCGGGACATTTTGAAATGGATTTGGACCTGGCTCTAGACTTGGATTTGGATTTGGATCGACGTTCGCGTCTCTCACGCTTCTTTGATCGCGAGTTGGGTAGCGCATCAGTATGAGCATGAGTCTCTGTGTCCTGAACGTCCGTATCCAAGCCTAGTTGCGGACTAGTACGGTCCTTCGGGTTACTTAGCCATGCCTCTATTTGTACTTGAGGTTGGCTAGGCCCTGCAGGATCCGAGCACACTCGCGAAATATCATCTTCATGTATAGCTCTGGTGTCAACTGGGGTCTGGAGGATGTCATTTTGTTGAGGAGTAGGCGATTGCTGAGGAAGATCAGATTTTCTTGCAATCCTCCTAAATAGCTCCTCTATGTCAGGAAGACTCTCGTCGTCGGAACTATCGTGCCTATCTTGGCGCGCAGGTGTCCGAGAGCTAAAATCGGACGACCCAGTGCTACACGACATGACGCGATTGTTATGACGAGACCCGCGAGTCTGATAATCTCTAAGCGGATCCTGCAGCTGTTCGGAATGCCTGATTGAGCCTTGAGAAAGATCTGGCCACTGATATCCGCGCTCCTGAAGCTTGGTACCGTAAAATCTCCTTGGGGTAATTCTCTTATGATTGGAAAGTTTCTTCGGCCGGGGGCTAAGCTTTCGCAGTGATAAACTGGAGTGTAGAATCGCCGCTGGAGCCAAAGACTTCCGCCTCTTCTTAGTCTCGCCGGCGGATGACTTCTTTGATGCTTTCACCGAGCTCGCCCTTTTCGAAGTTGACCCCTGAGACTTGGGTCTTGGCCCACCTGATTGGCCTGTTATGTTCCCCTGAGGGTGTCTTGTAGAAGATTTGTGTCCATTAACCTCGATTGGTGTAGGATCTTGCCCGTCTGCTCTGTTAGGAGTATGCGTAGACGTTGCGGGCCCCTTTTCTGCTTCGTGCTTGGTGACCGGAACGTCTATTTCACGGCCCTGTGGGCCTGAGACTGCCGCCCTGTTTTGTTCTCCTACTTCTGTACTGAGTTTTTCTCTGTCCTGTTCAGTGTTGAGAACTGCGTTCATGCTGTCCAGTATCTTGTCTGCCGAGCCTCCTGAACTTTCAGGCCTCGGCCAAGTACCGGTAGCATCAGTACTCCTCGTTGCAGGGTCCGGTATCTGGCCGTTAGCAGCGGGTTGGTGAGCGCCAAAAAGGCTCCTGCGAGCTACCTCTTGCTGTATTTCTTCGTAAGACATGCCATTAAATTCGGGGCGGTATATGATATCTTTACGAGAGACCGAGACTGTTTTCCCGAGGCGAAAACTTTGTGGAATTGTCTGCTCTCGCATGTTCTGACTACGTAAACTGAAGTTGATTATGCCCGTAGCGCTTATTGTAGCAAATACAGTTTGTCGGAAGTCTAGATTAGGTGTGACATTCATACCTGCTAAAGGTATTTGTTGAGCATACCAACCAACAAAAACGCCCTCGCCTGTGCGATAAGCTCCCAGCTGTAGGTGTTGCGATTGAGAAGAACTTTGGCTGATACTATTGCAGGTATTATCGTTTCCATTCCGTCTTTGGACAGGTCTGGGTGTCTTGATAGCAAGCATAGCAGTTGTATAAGGTTGTTCCTTGTCTTAGACCTCGTTAGAATATGACTTTACTTGCGTAACTGGAGGCCACTATACTAACCTGTCGAGCGTGGTTTCGAAGAGTTGTCGGCAAGGTTCCCTTGTGGGCGCAGGGGTGTTCGTGGTGAAGATGCCTGCTGCTGGCTGGAACTTTGCTCAGTTAATGGAAGGACCGATATCTTCTCACCTGTCGTTGTTTTCTTCGCTTTAATTATGTTAATAAACTCTCTCTAGTTCCTCAAGCCTAGCCTGTATTCGGGGGGAAAGACCTGGAGACTTCACTTCTGCTGGGACGCTTTGACTAGGTCGCATTGATGGTAGATTTTCCGGTGCTGGAGGAGGTGGAGGTGTAACGGGTTGGTCATCCGTCTCAATCGATTGTAACGGTGGCCCTTCGGTACCTGGGTCGACTTCCGCATCATTGTCTTGTTCATCATCGTCAAAAAAATCCGAATCGTCTTCGTCTTCGCTAACAAATAAAGAATAGTGGCGGCTTCTCAAAGATCGTTCTGCCGTGCGAATCTGCTTCTGGATGGCTTTCCAAAGGGGATCCGAGAATGTCAGTATGCCAAGCTCCTGAGGCAGTTCGGTTCCGTCTATTCTATGGCCAAATATCTTTTTGAGCTTCTTCTCTCCTATCGTTTCGCGTATGACTTGATGAGTGTTGGCGATTTTAATTATCAAGTCACGACACTTCCAGATCCGTACCCATCTGTCGATCCACATGTCAAGACCGGCCATTCGAGAGCGTCTCTTCGGTGGTACAGCGCCTTTTGTCTGCTTGCGGCGATTTTTACACATTGCGTTGTTGGCTTTCTTCACTTCAGTGTATTTCCTAAACACGCCCTCTCGGACAGTAGTGGAAAACTCTTCCATTATTGATGTCCAGACTTCTTTTTCAGGGTGCTTGCCCGAAGTTCTGCAATGTAGAAGTCTCGGTCCATGTCCGCAGCTGATCTTGAGGAGTTTTATCTTCTCTGTCAAAGAGAGGTGTTTGGAATTATTCGATGACTCCTGCTCAGCCATTTTATGGTACGTCTTGGGGGTTTAAGGGAAATTGTAAGGCACTATCTTTGAACTCGAAGACGATCATGTGGTCTCAAAGAACTCTTCTATGCATCACATTAGCATGTCAGCAAGTTATATCTAACATCATAAGTTTGCAAAGGGAGACCCTACTGATGGTGTAAGTGACCTTCAAGACTGAACCGGCAAGGCTTTGGTACTCGATTTATCTATTTCCAACGCTCGAATACTTGTCAGAGAAGAACAAATGTAAGGCTTTTCGTGTTAGCTGTACAGTATCCTTAAAATGACTGCGACAACAGGAGGATCTATCCGGGGCGAAGGTTAAGTACTACGAGGGTGGGATTTCCACGGGACAAAACTCTTTTCTGCTCTAGCATTAGTCCTACCAACTTGAGGTCATTGCGTATTATCCACCAAATGCTGAAGTAGCGGAATACTTAGTCCTGATTTTCCGAATGTAAATCGCTTACGGTCGAGGAAACAAGAGGCGATACGAGAGTAAAACAGACCAATAGTTAAGGATACAATACTAAGGTGCACATAAGTTAAAAAGCAAGTTGAGATTCTCGTCCAGTCAGCTTTATTTACAAGGTAGGAGCTTAAGCACACTCATTTCCTCCGTGCAGGGTTTATGCAGCTGGATGACGGAGTGCTTGCTATAAGAAGTGACCAAAGTGCTTAAGACGTAATGAGCTGAAACTAGGAATATGCTATTAAAGCCGCTCGGACTAGGTAATATGTATCATGCGCGAAAATGTATACCTACTTACGTTGCGAGTGCAAATTAGGTACCTTATGTAGGTACTTACCTAGGTAGGTAGGTATTAACCCAAGTTCTAAGACGCCGTAACAAAATTTTACCCCTTAACCGGGGCTCCCGGGTAGCTGCGCTAGGCCATGTTATCACTTGTTATTGACGAGGACTTGAAGCAGTACAGAGTCGCGTCCCGGGCTCTCCGACTCGTGTCTTCGGCCAGCCAAATAAATCTCTTGCCAGGGCATGGTTGCCTGTATGCACTGTGTCTACGACCTGCATGCCGTATCTATCCAAAATGACACATCAGATTCAATATACTTAATACTGTCAAGGCTGTTCTAAGTACCTACATACAACACTCTTCCAAAAGGCCATGGAATGTCACACCATATACTTGTAAAAAGATCAAGAAAAAGCAATGGGCATAATACATTGTTTCTCGATACTCGTACAGTACGCCTGTAAGATGGGTGGCGAAAAAAGAATGGAAACCGACGCTTGATACGTTTGCTTAGAGTATCTATTCACTTCTACCCGCTTAGGGAAGTTAGGTACCTGTTATCAAAAGACTGCGTGGGCAACGACGCCTAACTGAAGATGAGGCGAGATACGGTGGTAGCCATTACTCATGAAGCCCTATAAGCACTTGCAACCAGAGCCCACGTCATCTAGGACTTCATAGTTCTCATACACAATAAAGCAATAGTTAGAATTGTAGGGGGTTAACATGGAGCACCACAGCTGTATCTCATTACGATGTGTATTTGCATAGTCTACAGCATAGTCTATGATACTTTTACATCCTTATATGCGTGGGCTATCCTCCATTCAATGCCTTTCTCTCCTCCGTGGCGCCGCACGGATTATATCGTCCACTCTGAGAAGTAGCTAGGATGTGTGTGTTAGTAATTGGACAACATTGAGTATGAGTATGGAGAAGTGACTTACCTCTGCGGCTTCACTTGCCGACGACACAACCGCTTTCTTTAACTTGTAACTCTCGATCACCCCGAGATCTCGCATGTCCGCTATTCCGCCACCGGGGGTCATTAGATCTAGACCGTATGTCGACATGCCGTCGTATATGGCTTTTCGTAATCTTGCGACGAGGTCGCTTGAGTCTAATCCTGCGTTGTCGGCGAGAATCGTGGGGAGTTGCCGTAAAGCCGTGGCGAATGAAGACACTGCCATCTGCTTCTTACCCTCAACCCGGGTCGCTGCACCTTCCACCGCTTTAGCCATGAGCATCTCGGCGCATCCACCACCCAGTGTGGTTCTCGGCTCCCTGACAGTCTGGGACAGAACGGCCAGAGCATCATGTAGTGAACGCTCTGCCTCATCTAGCAACTGTTCTGTAGCACCTCGAAGTACGATGGTGCATGCTTGGCCTGCAGCAACACCAGAGAACTTTATAAGGGTGTCTTCTCCAATAATGATCTCCTCGATTAAATCGCAGTGGCCTAGTTTGATCTGTTCCGGGTGGTCGAATGTTGATGCGATCTCACCACCGGTGACTAAAGCTAAGCGTTCGATGCCGTCGAAGTCGGCGTGCTCGATAGACATGATGCCAGCATCGGTAAAGAGCTGCTCCGGCCAATTGTAGATCAACTGTCTGTTGATGAAGCAGTTGATACCATGCGCCTTGATCCTATCCACCTTGGCCTTCATTTTGTCCTTTTCGGCCTTCTCGAGCTCGGCTAGCTTGCCGGTTGAGCTGACCTTCATCCGCGCGCCGAATATCTTAACCTTGTCTGTATCCATAGATGTATTGGCAACCAGTATCTTGGCATTCTCTAGTCTCTTGGGTTGGTTCACTCCGATCTTCTTGTCAAGAATGAACCCTTCGTCTAGGTACGAGTCGCTCAGTTTTCCTCCGGCCTTCTTTATGATCTGTATGTGGCTAAGATCCGAAGAGCCCTTCAGCCGCAATACAGCGTCAACAGCTAGCTTGGAGAAAAGATCCCGATCCTGTGCAAGCACCTTGGAACTGAGGGTTGTTCGTGCAATAGCTAGTAGGTCTTTCTTGAACGCCTCGGGATCTTTGCTATGGTCCACTGCCGAGCCCTCTAACGCTTGTAGAGCCGCCTGACTTGCTATCCGGTATCCTTCGATGATCGTCTGGGGGTGGATCTTCTTGTCAACGAGCTTCTCAGCTTCGCGTAGAAGCTCAGCCGCCAATACGGCTACCGAGGTTGTACCATCACCAACTTCGTCGTCTTGAACTTTTGATATATTGACGAGAACCTTTGCTGCCGCGTTATCGAGTGCTATGGATTTTAGGATCGTGGCGCCGTCGTTGGTGACCATGATTTCGGCCGTGGATCTTGGCAAAGTCAGTCGCGGAAAAGAAGTCGAAGAGGAGGGGTAAGTAAAGGGGGAAGTTGTTTAACCTAGACGTACGCTGATTGTAATATCTTGTCCATTCCCTTTGGACCTAGGGTGCTCTTGACTAGATCACCGACGGCGATGGCGCCGACGAAGGCGGCCAAACGAGCATTTTCTCCCTTCTCTTCAGTTGTACCCTCCTCGAAGATCTGGGTGGGACTAAAAGACGACTAGGGAAGAGATGATGGGTTAGCGAGAAGCAACGAGAAGTATACGATTAACAATATATACATACCATCTTCACCGCTGCAGATAGAGTAACTTTGGGTGTTTTAGTGTTTTTATCGGGGGTTACTGCTGTATTGCGGTATGGTGGTATGGTTTTCCGCAGAGCTTGAGATGTCTTGTAACTCTGCTACCTTATGGCGGGTCTAGCGAGAGCTTCAGATGTAAATGCGGGCTAGGTACCTCGACTTTTTTTCGCAGGACAGGTCGGAAAAGGAGAAATTGTACCACCGAAATCACAAGTGGCCCGGCTGCACCTGAGGTGCACCTGGATTAGGTACCTTAGGTAGTTACGCTATAAAGGTGGGGTTATACATGTAAGTATTGCATAAGAATTTACCTCTAGGTACAACTAGACACTTCGCCAACAGACTTCAAACTTTCAAAGTTCCTGTTGCGATAAGGGATTGCGATTGAGATAGGATACTTGCCATAGCTGGAAATCTCAAAAGATAAATTGTAACAGCAAAGCAACTTATAACATGTATTGCATACCAGGTAGGTACAGGTATGAAGGTAGGTAGAGCCTGATTACCGGATGGTCCAAGCGCAGGTGGCTACGAACCAAAAGATAAGCGATAAGCCGATACCTTTTACCTAGCACAGAAACCTTACATTGATGGATGATAGAAGTTTGGTGTGGGCGTGGGTGGGGACACACACAATTGGGGCTTTTTTTTACTTTGGGAAGTTTCAAAAAAAATCAACCCGCAAAAAAAATATTGACGGCGAAAATCCAAGAAAAATAACCTGGACCTATTTCTCACCTTTCCCTTTTCCCCTTCCAATAAAACACCCAGGTCAATACTGTGCTGGTCCCTACCGCGACACCTCCTCTCGCGTGTTTTTTTCAAGGGCCCAAAGGATTAATACCACGATTCCTGGGTTCCTATATCGAAATCCAGCTGCGTTGCGAAATTTCGCATTTTTTTTTCTCCTGTCATCTTCTTGACTTTGAAGGCGGGGCAGCTTTTCTCGTCCTACAACCCCACACGGACGGATCAACACTTTTACGAAGACATACACATATACGTTAACCAACTACGCCATACACGATACCGATATGGCACCGTCATTTGATCATCTGCGCGATGCAGACGTCGACGAGGATGACTACGACGAGGATGAGATCGATATTTCCGACCTGCGCGAGAAGTATGAGGTTCAACTGGAGCAAGGCTATGATACCTTCATTGTTATCGATGGCCTACCCGAGGTCACCGAAGAGCAAAAGCCCAAGCTGGTAAAGTTCTTGTTGAAGAAGCTGAATCAGGTTGGAAGGACAAAAGAGGACCAGGTCTATATGCCGATGGAGAACGGCAAGTCTCTCAGGTATGCGACCATATTATCAATCACACATCACATACCTTCGTAAAACACTTCGCAATATACGACGAGAATTTGCAGCCGTTGCTGGAGATGGGAGCTCGAATGTTGACATGCTTGCAGATTTGCCTTCGTCGAATATGCTTCCGCCGCCGAAGCTGCCGCCGCTGTGAGGCAGCTTGACGAGGTTCCCCTTGACAAGAAGCACACCTTGAGAGTTAATAAGATGACTGACATCGATCGGTATGGTCGAGAGGGTCGAGTGGACGAGAATTATGTGCCACCCAAGATCGAAGAATTCACCGAGAAGGAACACTTGCGATCGTTCTTAGCCGATCCAAGCGGTCGCGGCCGCGATCAGTTCGCCATGTACCGAGGAGATCTTGTTGGCGTCTTCTGGAATAACGAAAAAGAACCTCCTGAGAATATTGTTGACCGCAACCATTGGACGGAGAGCTTCGTACAGTGGTCGCCCTTAGGAACGTTCCTAGTATCTGTTCACCAGCAAGGTGTACAGCTGTGGGGTGGCGCTTCGTGGTCCCGGCAAAAGCGTTTTGCCCATCCCTTCGTCAACATGCTCGACTTCTCTCCAAATGAGAAGTATATCGTCACATGGTCTAATAGACCTATTTCTATACCTGATGAGGGTCACCCTCAACTGTCGCTGGATGAAGATGGCAAGAACTATGTTATCTGGGATGTCGAAACTGCTAAGCCCCTCCGTTCGTTTGCCAATCTTGATTTACCTACGACCAACGACGCTCATGCCGCGCCGGCAAAGCCACAACCTAAGTTTCCCTGGCCGGCTTTCAAATGGTCTGCCGACGATAGATACGTGGCACGAATGACACAGGGCTCCTCGATCTCGGTGTACGAGCTACCTCGCATGAATCTGTTGGACAAGACAACGATCAAGATTGAAGGTGTTATGGACTTTGAATGGGCTCCTGCGACGCCTCAGAGAGAGGGTGTGAAGCAGTACGAACAGCTATTTTGCTTTTGGACACCCGAAATCGGCAGCAACCCCGCCAAGGTCGGATTAATGAGCATACCTTCAAAGCAGATCGTCCGATCACTAAACCTCTTTAGCGTTACGGACGCTAAACTCCACTGGCAATCGGATGCTACCTATCTCTCAGTAAAGGTTGATCGACATTCGAAATCCAAGAAGTCGCAAGCCACCACTTTGGAGATTTTCCGTGTTAAGGAGAAGGGTGTGCCGGTCGAAGTTGTCGACACAATCAAGGATACGGTCATTAACTTCGCCTGGGAGCCTAAGGGAGACCGCTTCGTTATTATCACGACACCCGAGCCGGTCGGACCAACAGCTGTTGCTCCTAAGACTTCCGTGGCATTCTTCTGTCCCGAGAAAGCCAAGGGATCGGCCATAGGCAACTTCAAGCATCTGCGGACTCTTGAGAAAAAGAATAGCAATGCAATCTATTGGTCTCCTAAGGGCCGATTTGTAGTTATCGCCACAGTTGCTAACCAGCAGAGCTCCGATCTCGAATTCTTCGACTTAGACTTTGAAGGCGAGAAGCCGGAAAGTGACAAGGATCTTACTGCCAATCTGCAGCTGATGAACACGGCGGACCACTACGGCGTCACTGACATCCAGTGGGACCCCTCAGGACGATTTGTTGCCTCGTGGGCATCAGTCTGGAAGCATACGGTACGTTCTATATCTAACTAACCTTTCAAAGATAACCTTTTTAATGGTCAATGTACTAACGATTGGGAACAGATGGAAAACGGATATCATGTTTACGATTTCAAGGGCGAGCTACTACGAGAGGAGCACATTGAAAAGTTCCGCCAATGGTTATGGCGTCCTAGGCCGCCGACTCTGCTCAGCAAGGACGAACAGAAGCAGATCCGCAAGAATCTTCGAGAATACTCTAAGGTCTTCGAGCAGGAAGACGCGGAACGTGGAGCATCTGCCGACTTGGCGGTGGTGGAGGCCAGAAGACGTCTGCTTGACGAATGGCTCGGATGGCGTGCGTCGGTTGACGCTGAGATTGAAGAGGAGAGGCTCGCGCTAGGATTACCGAAACAGCCTGTCGAGGCTGAAGCCAAGGTACCGGAGGGCGGAGAGGAACTGGTGATTGAGGAGATTGTAGAAGAAGTGCTTGAAGAGAACGAGGAGATTGTCCCATAAATGGACTGGTGCAGCGGCAGCGGTGGGCGATAAAAAGGGACTGGCAACCAGCGGCGTTCCGTGTACAGGCATATAATGAGACTTGCAGCTAGCATAAAAATAGCATCTGCGATGACTGATGCATCCATCGCGATGTGTTCGTTCTATTATGTACCTAACCTAAAGATTCAAGAATTACATCGTTACAGTGCTTATAACATGTATAACATGTATAACATGGGTCGTGACCAGCTGGGGACGACGAGTTTTTGACTGAACCAATTTCTACGTTAGGTTAGGTGGCCACCTACCTATTTTGCCGGTTTCTCGCGCTTTCAGAATCCTACATTAGGGCTGGGGAGACACGGGGTGCATGAGGGTGAAACTCATCCATCGAATCTGTATCGAATTTATTTATTTCTGCTAGCCTTATCAGTGGACTTATGTAGCATAGAATAAAGCATTATTACGACAAATCTTCAATTCTTAATTGCTAGTTGCTCATTTCTGTCGTTGTGGTGCAGGTGAACTGACAGATTAGGTAATAGAGTTGCGGGAGCGAGATCCAACCCAAGATCAAGGCACGCACAAAACGCTAAGGCCAGCATAGCGGCATTACCTGTACTTACAAGTTAGGTACCTATGTAGGTACCCATGTAATTAATTACTTAGGGCAATACCTAGGTACAATAAAGGGGCGGTGTATGCAAAAAAATCAACAGGGGAGTACACAGATAGGTATTTGCAAGTTTCAGAAACTTCCATGCTTCATTAGGCCAATGAGACGTTAGCTTCATCAGGCAGCCCATGTAAGGTTTATGCATGGCAAGGGTTTATTGGTCGATTTCCTGATTTCTGCTTATAAACGGACTCCTTATTTTCTTCCTTGTACTCTCCCCCCGGCGAAACTTTGTCCTTCGCGCCCCGGGGGTTGTTAAAGGGGCACTTTTAGTGGTGAAGAGGGGCGTCAAGCAGCAAATTGGAAACCTTCCTTAGTTGATGGAAAGCGCTAAAAGTTCATTACCTAGGTACTTGGGAAGGTACCTGACCGATCTTGCCTATCTCGCCAAAAGACAGCATCACCAACACTTACAACTTTCCTTTTCTCTCTTCTTCCAAGTTCCAACTTTATTACTTCTTTCCTACCACATTAGGAGGATCCGCTCATTACCTATTTCCGGGGAAGCCGCATTGCGTTGATTCTTAGGATATCGGAAGAAATTCCTTGATATTCGTCCATTCTTTTCCAAACGTCTGATCATTGCAATCATCGACATTCGCTCGTTACTTTATATATTCAATTTCATCATTCGTTAGCACCGTACCGTTCCGTACCGCATCGCATCACCCGAGAGCATCCCTAGTCCAACAACATCTGGTGTCGAAGCTGGAAATAGTAGCAATACGATACAGCCTCCAAGCCTTGCTAACTCCCTTATAGACGATACGAAAGCATTTAATGGTCGTGTGTCGTCTGCCGTACATATTGTACATATTAATTACGCATACCTTTGAGAAGGCCTTTTTTCGTACATATAGACTACTCCTTTGCTGAACTGTAGTTAATGTTTCTCGAACATATTTAACTTGATCAGCACTGGAACGTCGAAAGCACTATTGCACAGAATATTTCGAACCAAATCATCTTAACCCCTCCCCCCTTTCGTTTTGGTGATAATATTTCGACCGCGATCGCCAACTAACGACAGCAGCAACGACACCAAAGTCTTGCTAACACGCTCGTTTTCTTCGAATCGAAAGGTTAGAGTATTGTATTCATTTATAAATACTCTGCTCTTCGAACAGGAGCAACATAATATAACCTGTCATTCTTTATAATCATCTGATATCCGACGCTCCGTGCCGCCATCTAGGGGTTCCATCCTTGCTAGGATCGTGAGACAATTGACAAGCTGCATCTCGCATCTCCCACAATCCCACAACAAGGTTGCTGCAGATCAGGGGCCTTCCCTTTCTGGCGACTTTATTTTTCGAATTTGCGATCCTTCGAACCGCGGGTATACTGCCGTGCTTTGTCCCTGCAGCACGCCTTCCAAGACCAGAGCAACTCAAGACTCTGTCGTCTCTACTGTTGCTATTCCTGTCTACCCTACTGGTCTCTAATTCTTTTGCCCGGAGTCCCCATCAATAGTCGGTCGGAACCTCAAGCAGCAAACAACATACCTATCGACAGAATACTGTATCATTCGCTTCTAGTACCAAGAACAAACCGCTGTAGCTTGGTCTCTTTATCCAAGCATTGGTGACCCATACACAATCGCTTTGTGCGCATATATTTGAGAGCACGGTCACAACTAACGAGTTAATTAACTATTTCTTTCCTATTGCTTGATTCCGAGCCGGCTACTCGATGCTGGATCATGCGATCATGACCTACGGTGGAGTACACTTAGACGGGGTTGACCTCGCACTTCCCAGTCCTGGATCACCTCCCGGTATGACTTCGTCCGCTATTACTTCCAGGGCCTCGTCTGTGCGATCATTCAATTCCGACGACGGCGAAGACGGCATCACTGCAGATATTGCCCATTTTGAGGAGATTGGTCTTGATGATGATGTGACTTCACTTGAGCATTCCCATTTCCGAGACACCCACGCCAAGCTAGCTCCGAATCCTTACAGTATCTCATTTGCTTCTGACCTCCGTGGCTCTGTTAAGCATGTCGGCCCTAAGATTCATCCTCAGACGCGTGATCTCGCCCACCCGCGACCACAGTTGCGTTCCAACCCGTCGTTTTCTGGCTCCCGAACCGGAGCTTCAACATTGACACCGCAGTTTCGCGACACCAACACCCGTAATATTAGCACAGGCATTGGCCCCGAGCCTCAAGCAGGCCCACTACCGACGCGAGGCCTCTCGGTACGATCCAGTTCCTCAGCAGCTGCGTCCCGCCATCGAAGCCCTAGCCCCAACGTTTCAGCTCGATCACTTAGCCCTCGAGATAATAATCTGGCAGTACCCAAGCTACGGCGAAGTAGCTCGCAGACGGGCAGGGCACTGAAGTCGACAATTGAATTAGAGAAAGAATGTGACGATGATGACGATAACATCCCCGATGATCTCATACTCGATAACGTTCCTCTCTCACCTCGTCCCCCTATGGAGCGGTCTGCCAGTCGTCCAGGCTCTACCACGACTTCCCCCGAAAGGAAACCAAAGGAACGCATTCGTAGCGTGGGCAATGGTACGCCGCCGATCGCGGTCCACCAAGGTTGTCTAAAATCTCCAACATGGAGGACGGACTCTTCGCCTTCCACGGAATCACAACGATCGTCGGCTTCCTCTTCGACCAAGAGCCGAGCTAAGAGCTGGACTGCTGCTATTTCAGAACTTAGCCCTGAAGCGAAGGCACTTACGGAGAAGTTAGAAGAGCATGCTGATGAACTGGATAAGCATGGCGTTTATCACGCCACATATGTACGACCGGCGCCCAAGCCTCGTGTGAAATCAGCACTTGCTGAACTCCCCCCTCTGAGACGGAGCAATATTATGATCGACCCTCTACCGATTTCCAAGGAGAAGGAGGCAGTTCTCTCTCGAACAAGGCCATCGTGGCTACCACCGAAGGACCCTGCAGAAGAGAAGAAGCACCTTAAAGAGTATCAGAGGATGATAGCAAACAGTATCGAGGCGGATAAAAAGCGAGAGGCCGCAAAGAAGGAGAAGGAACGTAATAAGGATGTTGCTGCCAAGGCACTCACACAGGTGTGGGAAAACGACGTGCTGAAACGATGGGACGTTGCCATTCGTGAGCGGCGGACTCGGGAATTATGGTGGAAAGGCATAGCCCCCCGAAGTCGAGGTGTCGCGTGGTCTCGAGCCATAGGAAACCAGTTAGGATTAACTGAGACGTCGTTCGAGGCAGCTTTAGCAAGAGCTCATGAAGTCGAGAAGCGATCTAGGGACAGGAAACCCGACAGCGATGACGACCGCAAGATGGGCTGGTTTGCGCAAATTAAAGCGGATGTAGAGGAACAGACTTGGGTTGACCTAAAAATCTTTCAAACCGGCGGTCCCTTACACAGGAGTCTGGTCGACGTCCTTCGCGCGTATGCAATGTACCGGAGTGATATCGGCTACGTATCTGGTTGCAGTGTAAGTCCCATGATTTTTCAATCCTCATTGCTATTTTGGTATACTCGTGTACTGATTATTGAATAGACCATTGCGGCGATACTCTTGCTCAACCTTCCCACACCCGCTGCAACTTTCATCGCCCTAGCCAATGTCCTGAATCGCCCCCTTCTTTTCTCCTTCTACGCTTCAGACGTAGGGGCTAAGACATCCGCATTCAACTTGCTTCTTCAAACCCTAGCCAAGAAGTCACCGAAGCTACATGAACATCTGACCAACCAGGAGCTTGGCATCGAACCGGATGGCTATCTTGGTGATATATTTACGTCCTGCTTTACGCGAAATTTCAGTCTCGACGAATGTACTCGGATATGGGATGTTTATGTTTTCGAAGGGGATGCTGTTCTTGTCCGCGCTGCCGTTGCCTTACTGTTGGATAGAGAAGCCTCTCTGCTCAGTGCCAAAACCACTGCTGAAGTTCGGGACATTATTGACGGTAGAAGCAAGTCGGACGAGCAGGAGAAGGTTGATGCCTGGATGGCCAAAGTACGAGATGCGGGAAAGTCATGATCGCATTTTGCGGTCAATAAATGGCGTTAATTATTGTCCATTTGTCCCTACTCGTTATGGCCTCATAATCGGATTGTTGCCCACGCACCACTGTGCGACTTGTCACTATTGAGCAAGTCTACTATGTATATTTCGGATGCGACAAGAGAAATCAGGATAGCCTTATGGGCGACCTGTTTCCCATGCCTTTTTGAGCTTTTCTGGAGAGGAAAGGGCAAATATGGAGCGCATAGGAGATGTACAAAGGGGAAAAAAAAGTGAATTATAAACAGGCGGCTCGATCTAGTGCAGATGGGCCTCGTGAAAGAAAAGAAAAGAAATCAAAGTCTTGGAACGAATTAATTCATGAAATGGGAAAGGCAACTATAGAATTTTTGAAGGCGATAAATAGGGTAGGCTTTGGGGAAAAGAAGGGAGTTAATTTCTAGTCTCTTTTTCCATCACACCGACCACCACATATATTTTCTCTTCTTCCCTCTCGGCCCTTTTGTCCTTATAATTCTCAGATACAAACAAGTAGATAGCTCCTTGTTCTTCCCACCTGACGGAATAATAAGGTACTGGACCAACTAGTTAATTTGATGAACAATTTATTTAGGTAACTACTTCCTGGGAAGACCCAACTTGACGTGATATTTCCGAGATCGTTGAAATTTCGTTGTGGGATTTGTTGTTTTGACCCAAAAAAGGAGGTACCTAAATAAAAACACTTGCAGAGCTTGTTCAAAGTTGACTTCTATTCATCGTGTCATATCATGTCTACCTCATATATACCCCTCTGATTTAACATATACATTACCATTTCCAGCGGCCCATTCGTCTTTCTCGTGGTATCAAAGCGTAAAAAGAAAAGAAAAATCCATTCAAGCCACTAGTAGCAATGGCTAGCAGCAGCAGAAGCAGCAACAACAACAACAAAAGGTATAAGAAAACCTGCATGTACCCAGTCCGCCCGTATATGTTATATGTATACAAATGCCCCATCCCGTGGTATCTAATGCATGGGTAGCTAGATACCGCCTATAACTAAGCCAAAACTTTTCGTACCCATTCCCCTCTTTAACTTATAAAGTAAATCCCAGATCCTCCCTCCGATCATCTACCAGTCGTCCCCACTCTAGAAGCAACCGAAACATATAAACCTGCATATCTTCCTTGCGGAGAGACCGGAGCGCCCAGTCGCGACCCGCCTGCGCGATTTCGTCCGCGTCGGCTAGGCCCGGTCCGCCCAGGTAACTCACGGCGCCCCAGAGGTCGCCGAGCCGGACGTCCAGCGGCACGAAGTGTCTCCAGGCATGGACGCGTTCCTCCCACCAGGTGCGGAAGAGGGCGGCGCGGTACGGCAAGGAGCTGGACTTGAGGAACGGCAAGAAGCGGCCGCTGAATGCTGCGCCGTCGAGGTCGATGAGATGGCGGTGACGCCAGTGCTCCTGAAAGTCGAGGGAGGGCGGGGGCTCGGCTGTGGATGAGCCGTAGAAGGTAATATGCTCGGCTTTGCAGTCGCGCTCGTCGCAGCGATTGAAGTCACCAACGAACGAGACATTGACAACAAGATGATTATCGGGGATAGGCGGATCTTGCGAGGGAGGTGGAGTCGCCGAGGCCATCGAACGTAGGGTGGAAAGGGTATCTTTTGTGTTATGAATCAAGTTGAAGAGAGACTTGGCTCGGATGGATATCTTTGCTTTGGTAGCCATCATTACGAACCTAGCCCGCAAAAACGTCTGCCAGGCACCATGTACAGCATACCCATCAGACGAGGCACCGCGCCAGTATACGCTGTTAAGCTTTTGAGCCCAGGGGATACTTTTATTGTTCTCAATTTCGACCTTCTCGCCAAAGTTCCAAGGGCTCGGGTAAAGTATATCAGCAAAGTTATATAACCGGCTCTGGCTGAAGACTGGGAATAGCGTATGCGAAGGCGCCATGGCAGACGGTGATAGCAGTATACCATGCAGATACGCAAGGTCGGGCTGATGGCATAGGTCACCAGACAATGTCCAGTTAGATATAAAGTCGTGCTTCATATGCGGAGCGGAACAACTTAGACATTCCGCTTTCCTATTCCACCAACGATACCTGTTTACCGGCGAGTCTGCAGGACACGTTGGGGGAATCCACTCGTAGAAGATCTGTCTCTTGGATCTGTTAGAGAACCATGGCGATTTCTTCTCCCAAATACTCTCGTCCGCCTGCAGGTAATCTTTCGCCCAGGGCGGTTCCTGGACCTTACTAAACGGCAAGAACTTCTGCTTTGTGCTAAGCCTTGCTCGAGCTTTGGTTCCTTCTTCTATGTATGCCTTCATGCGATCAAGTGGTACGGATATGCGGCACTCGTCATCGAGATTGAAGGCAAGTTGCATATCTGGGAGCCACTGCGCAAAAGGACCAAGCATATCCTTAGTAACGTCCATCATCCAACGATGGGTACCATGGATGTGCGGTGATATTTCAATCTTGCCTCCATCAATAATGATACCGCCTATGGAGAGTGACGGATGCTCGAGCAAATGAGCCGTCCTCTGACGGATGACAGAAGGCGCAGTACCCCAGAAAGGGAGGAGGTCTGCGTGAATCTGGTCAAACGTATCGATTACTGGGGATTTGACTGAAGTGGCAAATATGTACCACTTGTCGAAGTTGGGGGGAGGAGGCATCCCATAGCACTCTCTATACTCCTTGACAGCCTCCTTTAGGGACTTGCTCTTCGAAGCTCCAGCTATCCAAGTGTCTGACTCGCTTTTAGCATTGGCAATTATGGGACCAGGGGTAGGTCGGAAACCGCCTGGGCTCATGAAGATGGTCTGGCAGAATATAAGAGAAAAAGCCAAGAGGGCATAAAGGCCATATCGGTTCCTGGATATAACGCCTTCGCCGGTCGATTGAACCTGAAAAGTGCTAGCTTTGCTAGAACGAAACAATATACCAGCTCCGAGGAACAGCCAAACGCCCGTTACAAGACCCCACCAATTAGACCAGAGCTTGACCATGGTTCCATCCAATATCCTCCATTGTAGATACACGAAGATACCTGTAGTTGTAAGTAGAAGGCTCACTAAAATACTATGAAAATAGCCAAGAAGGTAAATGGTCGAGACTATAGCTGCCGTCACGGCCATGCTGTCAAGAAGCAGGTCTCCCACGGCGAGCCAAGTAAGGAAGACGTTCCATTGAAAGCTGGCATAGTCAAAACATGACCAAACAGCCAAGAATGCCAGGACAGCTGCTGAACTTAGAAATAACGTGCCAAGAAAATGCCATGTTTTTGGTTGCGCCTCGCTGTTTTGTCGCAGTCTCCCAACCTGTGATATCACCACGGTGTCCAAGGCTAATGTGACTAATTGAGCAAGAGGTATAAAGCGCTCGATGTGTGTTCCGCCGGGACATATCGCACCGGTCGTGCGCTCGGAAAGGAGGAGAGTATCGGTAGCCGCCAAGCCCCAGAACAGTGCGACAAGGGCGTATTTTATGAAGGCAGAAGAGCCTGAGGCTTCGGCTTGTGTATCGTATCCATATCTCGGAAGATGTAGAGGTCGCAGCTCGAGGAAGTCGTGTATGATAAGGAGAAAGGGGAGGAAGGACTGTTTATGGGGCTTATATTAGTTCTACATGTCTCCTTATAGGTGTGGAAACAAACAGGCACATACCTGAAGTCCATCCCACGAACAGTGGATAGTACGAATAGTCCGCCAATACAAGATAGTGCGGGCGACAAGGCAGAATAGCAACAGCGCGAAGGACGTGGAGAGGAAGCGAAGCCGAAAAGGAGATTTCAGAAGGCCGGCGAAGGTTTTGGGTAAGGTATTCCCATCGGCTGAGGGTGCGTGGCTCGACTCCAAGCGCAGTATATATCTAGCATAGGCGGAGAGGACGAGGCCGGAGAATAGGAAGGTCAATATGGAAAAGTGGAAGGGTCGTTCTAATTTGCATACGAGTTAGCATTGTGCGCGTGCGCGTGCGCGCGTGTGTGTATAAACACCTGCGATTCCGCAAGTTTAAGGTATCCCTTCAAGCCAAGGAAGGGCGGGCGGGTCATACCGAAAGCTGCGCTTTTGTAATAGCGAGACCAGACGAAGATGGTGCTCAGACTAAGAATACTAGTTGGTGTCAATTATCTGATTTTGGTTTAATTTGAATTATACAAGGAACGAAGAAACGGGGCAAGAAACATAGCGCCACACCTACCATACAGCTAAGACAACGACTTTCCTAGGCGGCAGCGCCATCCTGAACAGGGCCTGCGCAAATGGCCCGAAGTAGGTGCTTCGTTAACGGGGTACGCGCTCGCTCGCTCAACTGCTCGAACAAGAGGCGCACGACATTAATTCATAATGTCAAGCAAAGAGAAGGTGTCCAACCTAGCTAGCTAGCTCTGAGCTCTGGAAATAAGCAGCCATAAGATTGAAATTGAGATTGCGAGGGTAGCAGTGCCGCCAAGGGATATTGGCTCTACGAACAAAAGAAGCCCATTCCGTTTCTGGTGTCAGGGTCAGGTTATCGACGAGAGAAGAGACAAGACGGACTGGACTGGACTGGACTGTCTCGGTTGTCGTATGGGATTATACGAAAACAGTAGCTGTATTGGTCTTGTTGGTCTGTGTAGTATGGCATATGCTTCAGGTTTGGAGCGTCTTGGCAACGTCTGGATCGTGAGAAGGCGGCAATCCGGCACAAATGAACCAAGCCGGCCAAGGCATAAGCGATAAGCGTAAGGCTGGGGAAAATACATCCTACTATGTAGTACGAAGAAGATCCCAAGTGGTTGCCAATTGATTGGGTACGGGGGGGGGGGGGGGGGGGGGGGCGGGCCAAGAAATGTTGTGGCGGGCCGGCGCTTGTTGCCCGCGCGCAGGCAAAAATGAAAGGTTAAGGTATTTGAGATCAGATGTAGTGTAGTACAGGTAGGTATGTACATGACGCAATATAAAACTTTGAATAATATGGTCACGCTCAGTAAGGCTCCGTCTTACGTGGATAAACCCCCACATGTAGGTATATAACGTAGTGCATGTACCTATGACCTATGCAGGTAGTATACCTACCTAGGTACCTTATTCAGGTTTATTTCTGGCCTTTTTATCTTTCTACACCTCCTAAACTACGCAATTCCTTCAAAGTACGAATAGGCAAAAATAGGAAGAAGCCAAGAATTGCCTTGCTTCTTTCTATACGATGCCCTCGAAGAATATAACTTGAAATCTCCCGTTCTCCGAATTAATCACAGGGTCGATGCCATCTTCCAGATAAACGTTCCACGGATCTAAAAACTGCTTCTCCCATTCCCTCGTCGCGTTGTTCGCGCCCGGTCCGATTATCTTGTCAAGACACCATGATCCAGACGCCTTTTGCGCCATCACGTTCGCCGGTGCATTCGATATAAGGTCCATCGTGAATCCCCTTTCCCTGGACAGCCCGTCGAGAGATTGGATCATCGCAGCTCCATCGTTGCCCTGGAGTAGTGAGATGTCGCCCCATGCATTTCTAGATCCGTTAGCATGCCAATTGACCTCGACCCACGTTCCTAAGAGATGCTTTTGCCCGTCGAAGTTCGTCATGTCTCCCCGCACGATGCGCCCGCGGAAAGTTGGACATATGGTAACGAACGCGGACGACCAAGGTGGGATCTGGTAGGAAGTATACAATCCTTATCAGCGCATGTCCGCCCCCGAAAAGGAAGTTTTGTTGGAATATAGAGAAGCATGGCAATTTCAAGGACGCTTACGGTCGTGTACTTGTAAGGGACGAAGTCGTGGTTGCTCTCATAGAAGAAGAACATGGTCCCGTTGGCAGCGCCGTGGTTTGTTGGATCGAAGTTCCATATCAGCACGCCGGGACCTCCAACGTCTTCGTCGGCCTCTGAATCATGCGCGGGCTTTGTTAGCAGTAAGGAAGATCAAGGTCATTGACAGGTAAGTTTCGAACGGTGAAAATATTTACCGGTATATATAGGAGATTGAGATTCGTTATGACAGAATATCTGGGGGTCATTGGGTACTTGAGTCCCATTATACCAGTGATGACGAGTAGGAATTCGGGAAGGGACACGATGATATATCGCGTTGATGGCTTCGGAGTTCGACGAGCCAACCGGAAACGTATAAGCCAATTGGATCATGATAGTCACCAAGGTAGGAATATGAAGTGTCGTATTCAAGAGACGCATTTTCACTTAGGTCGTGATATAGGTTGTTAGTTATAGGATGAGTGGTATTGTGTTTTAGGTAGAAAGCTCGTGTTGATGCGTAAAAGGAATCAAGAAGTTGCGAGAAATGAAAGCATGAAAGCTGAGCCAATGCAACTTTGATTAGGGGACCTACATCATCGGCCAGCAAAGGCTATATAGGTATGTACTTTTACATTCGTTACTTCCATCGAAGGGCTCTTAACTAGCAGCTTCTCTGAAGAGCGCATTATCCTTAGTAGGTACGTGGAGCTCAAAGCAGCCCCTATTCTGTAAACATGCCTATCATAGGTACCCAGTATTCGATTTCATAACCACGAAGAATTCCAGGTAGACAAGACTCCAGTAACCATATGATTATATTATTACATTAGTTAATACCATCGCAACTATTAGATGGGCACCTCAATAAAGTCGGCGGCTCCTCTTATTCTCTGTCACACGTCTTTTCGATCTACAAGTATAATTCCCAGTCTTTTTCGTCATCGCCTCGATAGCCGCGTAATAAGCTGGGTGCTTCGTGAAGTCGTCAAACCAAAGTAGCGCAGCGCCTTCGCCCGGGAACACGGCCGGAACCCAGCTGAAAGGGTCGTAAAAGTCCCAGATCGTTACACCAACGCATGCTGAAACTTGCACGCAAGCGCTAACAGACTAAACAACAACACCGCACCGTTAGCCAACACGGAGCATCTGTAAGGAAACGAAGATACGAACGTTCTTATACACTTCAGCTTGCCACGCCATGCTGGTCTCGTTCGTTGGCATCTCAACCCTGACGTCGAGTTCAGTGAGAGCTATCTCGACTCCGAGCGCACCGTACGATTCCATAACGGCGATCTGCTGGTCGAGCGTCGGCGCCCCACTCGCCGTGAGATGAGCTTGCATCCCGACACCGTCGATTCTAATTTCCGCCTCCTTCAGTAACTTGACGATTCGTATAGCTCCCTCACTCTTCGCTCCCGGCGACTCCAAGTTGTAGTCGTTGTAATAAAGTTTCGCGCTGGGATCGATCTCCGCCGCCGTGCTGAACGCCAACTTAACGAAGTCCTCGCCAAGGACGTTGTAGAAGACGGATTCGCGGTACGTCCCGTCCTCGTTCAGCGCTTCGTTAACGACGTCCCACGCATAGCACTGGCCTTTATAATGGCCCATGACTTGCGTGATATGCTCGACGATTATTGCGCGCAGCTCTTCGGGGGTCCAGTATCCCTCCTCAACCCAAGGCGCGAGCTGGCTATGCCAGACTAAGGTATGGCATCGGAGCAACTGGCCATTTTCTGCAGCACGGGAGGCCACGATGTCGCCCTCGGTAAAGTTGAAGACGCCTCGCTCAGGTTCAGTGAACAGCCACTGGAATGTGTCAGTAACGAAGCAGGCCGGATCACCAACGAAGTCTAATTTTTTCAAGAGATGGCATACCTTCTGGCCATTGGTAGGCGTGGTTTGACCAAACTCACTTGTGCCTCTTATAATTGCATCATACTGGGGGTATGCTGCCTCAAGACCAGCGCGCTCCCTTTGTCCAGGTGAGTCGGTCGCTGCGCCAAAGTACTTCAGACCAGCCTTTTTCGCATACGAGTTGAGTTGTGCGGTCGCGAGAGGTGCCGATATCGCGACCAACACCGATACCACAGGATGAAAACGCATATTGAACTGGCCACTGGGCTAACTTTAGATTATTTCAAAGTTCATTCGACGAAGGGCCTTTGGTAAGTAAGTTAAAAACTACCTAAGCCATTGGCTGCTAGAACTTGTCCAAAAGGGCCAAATTGGGTCATTATATACTGAGGCTTTATAACCGAGGATCTCAGCCCTGCTATACTCTGAGCGCGGTTGACCAGATGGCCAAGAACTCCATGGTGGAAATGCATGCTCGGCCCAAGAGCCTAGATAGAGAAAACATCGGAACTTTCCACCAATGTCTTATGTTGCCCTGAGGCCATATACTTGCCATAATGTCGGAGCATCCGCGCGTGGACCCATGATCCTGGTATTAGGACAAGCTAGAGCAGTTTACATGGCCTGCTCTGCATGGTCACGACGTTCTCGAGCTCTCATCAACAAGGCGGTTAATTTCATAGATCGCCGATAGCGTATCGAGCAGCGTCCCTTGTGAAGAAAATGGTATGTTTTCCTGAATAACCCCAAATTTAACCGGCTGGGGTATACGGTTAGCCTTAGTTAGCACCGTTTAACTAACCCTAAAAGATTCATTAATCACAAGAGACACTCGTTTTCTGATGCAGCATAATGGTATCATACTTCTTTTTCAGCTGAACTTATGTATAGGCGGGCAAGTGATGAGTTGTCCTATATATATTACAACTTACAAGAGATCCAAAGTAGTTCAATATTCAAGAGACAGGCGAGGTATTGAAAATATCTGGAAGGGACTCTTTCTGTCGAGATAATCCCAATGGATATAGGTACCTAAGTACCTAAGGTAGGCTGCTTAATCCTTCTTGTAAGCTGGTACGTGATGGGTGAGCAAAGCAACGAAGATAGTGGCAATGAGTTGTTGAGCTATTAGTTTCTGATTTATATCAAGCATTCGCCCTTTTCCATATAGGTACCTAAGGTACTACCTATGTATTACCGACCCGGCAACGAACCCCGTGGGGTTCTCCACATGTTTACCGGGCCCATAATATTGTAAAAAGGGGACCGGGTTTCTTGGCCTGTACCTAGACTTTGGGGTATGCACGGCTTGTCCGTTCGGCGACTTTGGCGTGTGGTACTCATTACGCTGCGGGGTACTTATAGGTATTGTATTGTACCTACCTCCTTGTAATTGCCTGGGTATTACTGAGTTTTGGTGGGAGGAGCCCACTAATTAGACAACGTTCCTAATACAACATCAAATTACCCACACTTCAGTACCTACCTCCTAGGTAGATTATTTAGTCTCGATAAAGCAGTGCCCTACGGTCATAGCTAGCCAGAAGCAATCTCAGAACTCTAATAACCTAAAGAAGCCCCCGGGGCTTGAGCTTGAGCCTACTGTATTAGCCAACTCAAAGCAGGGAGGAGTTAAGCATTTTCTTTTGGATAATGTAGCCGCAAAGATTTGGGGAGTGCCCCAAATAGTATTTTCAAGAGTAAGTCGAATCGCGATAGCTTCAAACCAGTTGCCGACTTTCAACACAGCGAACACCACCAAGTCTATACCCGGAATACGCCGAACTCACAGATTCGGGGTACGTTTATCGACAGTTAGATCTCTGTACGTCTGGCTTCTTCCTTGGGTGTTTATATCTGCTTCTTGAGCGACAGCGGAAACATGCGAACGAGATTCACCTCGTGAGCCTATCACTCATAGGATATGGATATGAGTTAGATGAACTCCGATTGCAGTAAGTATTGATTCCGTACTTGGAGATAAATGAGATATTTACCCAAGGAGGTTCGCATGTGCTTGCCGGACACGCACTGTTTTCGGAGACGCAAAAATGAAGGGGACGTATGAGCTTGGGTTCATGATTGCGCCTTGGGCTCGGACGGCCTGGGAGCTCGATAATAATAAGAAGGGTTTCGATGCTATTATCATGGCCGCAGGAAGTTTGATGGCTCGATACAGCCAAAAAGTAGGATGTATCACGAATCCGGATAAAGATTTCTTGGTTGCTGTGGTAAGTGGCAGCACTTCCCCGACCTTGATCATACAGACTGGAACCGTAGGCTCATTAGATCTTTATTGTAGGATGACTTGATGAGTCTTGACACGCTCTTTTGGGCTGCCGCAAAGTCTAAGGATACCCGTATGCACGAGGCTGCGCTCTGCCATGCTAAAACGAGTCAACGCTACCACGTCCGAGCCGATCATTCAACCGCGACAGTAGTTGTTTTCGATCCCGAGAACGGGGATATCAATCGAGGATATGCGGACGGCTCTTGTTGGTCTCGCGGCCAGGCCTGGGCAATTACTGGGTTCGCGCAGACATACCAATGGACTAAAGACAGTTCTTTTCTCGAGACGTCCAAGGCTTGTGCAGATTATTTTGTAGAGCACCTCCCTGCCACTGCCATTCCGTCGTGGGATTTTCAAGCGCCTGGAAACGGGACACAACCTACAGATACTATCGCGGCTATAATAGCCAGCTATGGAATGCTGCTGATTCACGAAATAGAAACTGCTGCTGGAAGGCCGAGTGTATATCTGGAGCATGCGCTGAAAATCATAGAGGCTGTTTGCGCTTTCCATGTCAACGACCCGGTTCAGTTTGTTTCGGCTAGGGATTCCATTGAGACAGCTAGTCTAGGAAGCTCGAGTTACCAGGAAATGATCGCAGCGGACATGGAGAATGGCGCCAAGACGATATTCAACGGCGCAACAATGAACAACCACAAATTTGCTCCGTGCAGATGGGCAAACCAGGGATTGGTGTATGCGGACTACTTTTCCTTGCTCGTGGGAAATAAATTGTTTGATATGGGTATTTCTGTGAGACCTCTTTTGAGTTTATCCGGCCATTCAATTTCCGCATGAACTTCTATAAGTGCTGGGATGCTTCTGCTGCGACAGCTCTAGTCTGGAGAGCGGGAGTCTATCTCAAGCAATGATGATGAGCAGGTTGAGCACACCCATGCTTCCGACGATTTGATGGATAAAGAGAATTCTGATTTAAGATGGTAACTGTTATATTTACGTCTGTATTTACAATATTTGAGTTGATCTACGAATGAATGAAACTGCCATGTTCCTGGCTAATGAAACATTTACTCATAGAAGGAAACAAAACAAATCAAAACAACAAAAACATGAACTACCTCTTATAGAGGATTGCAAACATTTACATTATTCTCAATAACAAGGGACCAATGTTCTTTGCTGCGTACCTACAGATGGTAGGTACCTGTAATTATACTCCAAGAACTTTCTCCTCGTCTGAATCCCCCCCTTTTCTTTTTTCGTCAGCATAGATCAGTAGAGTTAGATTACGACACTACATGTTCGGCACCGCTCTTGCTTTCCTCATGCACCGATTCCGAGTTCTCAGTTTGTGTCTGCGACGTGGATTCGGCTTGAGCAATGGGGCTTTCTGCGCGGTCGACATAGGATTGCTGTGGGTACTGCCCGTGCTGCTGCTGTTGTTGGTACTGCGGTTGCTCGTAGCGTTGCTGTTCGTACAGCTGTTGCTGGAACTTCTGGTCTTCTTGCTGTATTTGCCGCTGTTGCATATCTTGGAGGTGAGCTAGCCATGTATGGTGAAGTGTAGTCTCTGAGTATAGGAGGTTGAACTGACGGGCTAGATGGGCGTGAAAGTCAACCCACCTGACGGACCGCGGATCAACGGAAAAAATCGTGAACCCAATCTCATCCTGTAGGGACTGGACACGAGTGGCTAGATTACGTGTCCAGTCGCTAACCATGAGAAGTTGGGCCGAAGGGTCTACTTGCTCCTGTGCTGGGAGGTAAGGGGCAGCGTAAGGTGACTGCTGTTGAAATTGGCCGGGTGGTTGGAAATGCATCATAACCACTTGGCTGTTCTTGGGCTGACTGATAAATACGAGTTAAACGGAGATCACGAAAGTCTGTTTCGCTTAAGCACTTTATCAGAATATGTCTTGAAAGATTCCAGGAGGTTATGGTTGAGAGGTTAGGACCATGTGAGAGCTGGATTAAAGATGCTTGCTTATAAGGAGGTTTAAAGGTCTTGAGAACAATATTTTCGTAACCAAACAAGCTTATTCTTCATCGACTCTTTTGCATGAGAAGTAACAGGATTTCGCCAATGTGCTTAGCTTACTGACGCATGTCCTTTTATCTTTATGAAACAATGCGCTTGTATAACAAAGGTACCTATATATTTCAGTATGTGCCCAGATAATATGGATGTAAAAATCAAGGGATAGTATCCTGTTTACAATAGCATTGGGAATGTTGAGGACTTGGGTTAGGTAGTTTTTTTCTTGGATTCGGGATTTACTGAAGCTTTGGTAGCCATGACATGAAGCTCAAGACTTTTCCATTTTCGCGACTGTGCTTCAGTTTTAAATCAAATAGGTCCAAAGTAAATATGACAGATAATATTATGTAGGTATGTACATATACACATCACATAGTTTATCAAGTGATAGTACTAACATGAATGTCCCTCTACCTTAGGTACCTACCTAACTCATGCATCGCCGCCGTCTTGCACTGGTGGCTTATGATCTAGGTACTTAAAATGCGTACATCAAAATAACCCCCCTTAACCAGAAACCGGGTATGCGCCCCCCTCCCTTAACGCCGTATTTAATGCCTTTGCCATACAAGCTCAATCACCCAATCGAGCTCATCTCCTTCATCCTTGGAAGAATCCCCACGCCGTACGTATAGTTGTCTTAGATCCCCATCCTCCGTAAGCTCGGCTTCTCTCAGCCTGTAACTCTTCTTCTGATCCGCAGAATATGGTTTTCTGAGCGGACCAAGGCTAAAGTCGAAATCTTTGCTGTCGCCCTTATTCCACGTGCCTTCCATCAATTGTAGGTCAACCGAGTTCACCCCATCTGCATATTCCGCAATGGAGAACCCGTTATAAAATACCGTATCATTGCCGAACCGCCAGCGCTGCAAAAAGCAGTCCCCGCAAAATTTGGCAACTTTGGCCATCTTCTCGACAGGCGCCTTGTACCAACTTTTCCAATGGTGAAGATTCAAAGGTTTCAATCCTCCTTCGAAGAATCCGCTGACGTCGTCCCTTAGATCCTGTTGGTACAGACCTGGAAGCATGGTGAGTTTGGCTTTGGAGTTAGAGTATACACAGTCCCGAAGGATAGTATCGCCTTCTTGAGCAGTCGCGTCGTGGATACATTGGAGGGCTTGGTCGCCAAGCTTTCTTGCGAGCGGGGCCGACAGGTACGCACCAGCGCCGCCATATGCCATGAAGCCGAATATTCGGACGGAGGAGAAGTCTTCCGAAAGAGCGCCAACATAAGCATCCATAGTGTGGTCCAAAGTAGCGAGGCTGTCTGAAAGGGGTTTCAAATCCGGGAAGAAAGTATCGTCGTCTATGAGACCATACCACTGGGCTTCGGGACTGTCGTGATGGAGCATATTAGTAAGGACGGCGAAGTGGTTTTGCGAAGTCGAGAAGTCGCTGCTGATGGGTTTCACCAGAGTGATGTCGATATCAGCCATCTCAAAAGCGTGCTGTAGTTTCTCCATATCTTCAGTCGACTTCTCTTTCGCGTCCGTAACTAGGGCGACAAGCTTGGCACCTGTGCCGGCAATCCAGTGGGAAAAGGGGGCGATCGAGTCATTGAGACGCATATAATCCGTCGCTATACCAAACATAAGATGCACAAACGTGGCTTTCGGATAAGGCCTCGGGACAACCAGCTCGATGGGCTCAGACTGAGGAATCGCAACATCCCCGCATTGGTATAGGTCGATTTTCGTCTCGCCTTTAACGAGAGGCTCTGTAATGTTGGCAATGTTGTCTCTGTTAACAGTATCGGAGAATATAGGTTTGATATAGCGCCGAATGTAGTGCACACGTTTGGTTAAATCCAAATCGATGCTAGAGCGCACTAGAAACTCCAAGTCTTTCGAGCAGAGTTTCGGATCAGGAAGAGGTCGCTGATGCTCTTCATGCCCTTCATGCTGTTCCTCATGCTGTTCTTCCCCAGACTTATCCCCTGCCACAGGATCATCCCCAAAGTTAGTGGGCTGAGATGATGATGAAGACGCACCGGTAGTGCTTGGCTTCCAGGCTGGCCCTTCATCTTCTTCATCTTTACTAGTAGGAGTAGGAGCCAAAGCAGGATTAATCAAGGTTGGAGTTAAGACACGAGTAGTAGTAAACACTGCTGCATCGACATGATCGGTATCTAAATCCGCATCTAAATCCTCCGCTGCGGCTATGGCATCTTTAATCGGAAGGATTTGCGGAGCCGCCGCCGAATATGAGGACGGGGCACCATGATATAGATGGAGGCTCGTGTATGTGACCAGGAACAGGAGCGTGACGCTGGCGACGACAAAGACGCGGGGGGCCTTGGATGGAAACATGGGACAGCCCTTTTCTTCTCTTTATTACCGGAAGGACAGCATAGCTGGAAAAGATGGGAAGAGGAGGAGGAGGAGTATTACAAGTTCCTGGGAAAACTAATTAACTAGGAGAGGTAAGAATAGGAAAGAAGGGTTGAATACTTTAGGTACCTACTATGTAGGAGGTAAGTATAGGTAACAGGTAGATAGGTTAAGGAGGTATTCTATTTGGGGACAGGAAGATTATAGGTACATGTAAAGAACCGAAGCTTAGGGCGGGATATAGCACAACAGCTAAAGGAAGAAAGGACAGAGGCGGAAGGGTAATACAAATACGTACTATGTATGTGGTACGAATCCAAAGAGGCAAGAATCTACTTTTAGGTGCGAATTGTGGAATCTTTGAGGGATGGAGAAATGTGAATCGAGGATAAACACGCCAAGAACCACGCTGACGATCTTTGACAAATACATTCCTTCCTCTAGCCGCAACGCAACGCAAGGCTTTTCTTTCCTTAAATACCAAGGTACCTACTTACCTACCTAGGTAAATATACGAACCTACTTGCAGCCTAGGGGGGCATCTACTAAAGGCTTATAACGTATGTGAAAGAGAAGACCGAGGTCCACTATGTCAAGCTAACTCAACTCAATAGTTTATCTCATAAAAAATTGATCCTTGACGTATAGTATAGAAGAGACGTTTACTTTAAAGGCAGTTCCTTTTTTTCCCTTATTTGTCTGAGGCGTATCTTTAACGGCTTCAAAAAAGAATAAGAAAAAAAAGAGGATGACGCACTTTGTGCTATGAAATCGATCTGAAAACAGTAGGCTCAAGATTGTGTTGTTTTCCTTTGGCTCAATTACCTACCTCTATGTAGTACCTACCTCTCAGAATACCCAGAACCTAGGTAGGTACCTAACCTAACCTAATGCTCACGGGTCCGGCCCGCATCTCAAGCCGCCTAGCGTCTCATTTATCCAATAGGCGGCCGGAAAAGACGCCAACGCGGATCGGCGCTGGGGCATGGCGCAGAGATTTAAGCCGTTCCACCCGATATCTCCACTAATTTCTTCTGAGCTATCGCTTACATACCTGTAATGAATTTTACGACTGCGGCGTCATCCCTGTCAAAAATGGTCTTATCTAAAAACCAGGCGGGGCGCATTACTACGAAACGAGGGAAGATCCGCTGCTTCGGGAGCGCCGACCAGGTAATTTTTCTTTTTCTCTTATCACCTCCTCCAAGTCCCATATCGTGAACACACACACATACCAGGTACCTAAGGTATACACACACATTGTCAGATACATGCTATACTAAAATGCGTGTTGCTAGTAACGATATACTTGTCAATGTCAATACACAAATGAGCTTATAAAAATATCCTAGAGGTTTCAAATTACATAGCGAACTGAACGAGTACCTAACCTACGTATGTAAAGGGTGCGAAATACGAATGTGGGACGCGTCATCTAAGCTTACGACTTCATCACAACGTAGGTAGCTTAGCTGGGTCTAAGTGGGAATCTTCTACTAATAGAGAGCATTACGTAGTAACATTTAACATTAGATTGCGGTCCATCTAAATCCACGTGCTTTATGTTCGGAATAGCGCCTCAAGTAAATGATGATGTATGAAATGGGAATACGAAGCACGACATGTTCCACTTCAACACGCTATTATCTGAAGTTAGGTCGTACCTTTTTGTGCCTGTGCGTAACGCTTGGCTTGGCAACTTGACTGTCGAGGTTAGGACACATGCCGTAGACGGCAGAACGGTTGAATTCGAAGATCGACAAACCCCAAATTGATTCTTGGGGGCGGAAAGTAGAACGCATGAACGAACGAGACCGCCAAATAGTTTGAAAATGGACAAACGGTAGTCGATCTCGAATATCTATTTGGTAACGTTTATTTTCATATAGATGAGGATTGCCGCCTGCCTTTTGGCTATATCCAGTCGGTAGTAGCTACGAGAAACGACATACCCCTTTTAGCCCAAACTGCGATATATCGACTGTCGTCCTTCAACTTCAACTCTTAATCACCTTTATTCGTGTAGCGTGGTCATGGAATTTTCGTAGACAACATTCATCTATTATGCTGTATCAGCAGCACCAGCAGCAGAAGGATCCGTAACCAAATCCTTTTCAAATTCGACAAAACAGAAGTCGTCCGGCAAAATTCGGTCCTTGAACCACTCGCGCGGGACCGGCGTCAACTCTCCCGTTTTTCGATATCCGCAGCGCAAGTACCACTCGAGAAGCGGCAGGCGGGTCGACAGCGCGTTGAGACTCATTTTGCCAACGCCCCATCTCTGCCGGGAGTACTCCTCGGCGAAAGCCAGGACCTTGCGTCCGATGCCTCCCCGGTGCCGGTGCGGGTCGACCGCGAGCATGTAGATGCGGCCCACGTCAGCCCCGCGCTTGGAGACCCCGACGGAGCCCGTCAAGACGCCCCTCTCGTCGGTCGCCATGAGATACGCGCTGTCGGGCGCGGTGATGTTGCGCATGATCTCCTCGACTGCGATGTTGAACTCGGACGCGAGGCCCATGTCCCCCGTCCAGTTTTCTCTGCTGTCTTCCGCGCGGAACGCGGAATTCAGCAGCTGTTGGATCTGCGCCGCGTCGTCTGGGGTCGCGATGCGGAACTGGAGATCTCCGCTTGCCATCTTAAGTTGTAACTTGTCGCGGGTGGGGGCTCAATCTATGAAGTTGGGACAGTAGAAATACCTAGTATGCCCGTCGATGTCAGGGTCTGATGAAATGAGTGTGCTATTTTATTTCTCTTGGAGACTAAAGAAACTAGGTCCGTTTTAAATAAATATATACACGCCAGGAAAGAGTTGATATGTCTATAATTCGCGATTGCGGAGTTTTCAAAGGTGCGTAGGATGATGGTAGTGGATTAGCGAGGGCTCACTTACCTTAGTTATTGAGGCTTAACATAAAGGGCGTATAACAGGAAAGCGTAAATGATTACGAGGGGTTCTAGATCTAATGGATTTAGGACTCAAACCTGTTCAGCTCCAATATCAATATCGCGCATCCGAACTTCTTCTACAGGAAGGGCGCAGCGAGGGGTATGCCAAGCAGAGCATTGATGATAGGATGAGAAGGATTCTTTTTATTACTAGCTGATACTTGATCCTATGCGGTTAAGGCCTAGATGCCTCAGCATGTACATGCTAGGTATATCTTACAAAGTTTCATCAATCTACATCTAGGTATGAAATTGTTCAAGGAACCGTGCCAATAGGCAAGACAATGTCTCGTCCTCCGCGTGTGAAGATAACAGAGGGAGCTTCTAAGCGCGCCCATAAAAGTCTCTTCTCCTTGCAGCATTAGATAGATTTTAATTGCATTCCTTAACAATTCCTGTAGCCCGACCCTCGCCTTCCCCAGTCCGAGCCGACTGAGCAAATCCGCAAGGTCTCGCAACAACAACTTTCCAATTTTAAACTCTGCGTCAATGAGTATGATTATTCTCGTCCCTTCAGTGCCAAGATGCGGCATAGTGGCATGGGATCTGACTCCATTGGCGGTTACTGAAGAAAGAATGTATCAAGCAAGCCTATACACCGAATCGGGCTAAGGTGGCAGCTTGATTCCTCCTAATCCCGTGCACGCGCCTGTAGTGATCGATGATAGATCTTCTCGTGCACAGTAGTGTGTTACAGCCGTCTTCTAAGCATTGGAGACGTTCGGGGAACCGAGCTTGCATGACCAGTATGCGTGAAGAGGGATTGTGAAATTTGGATGTATGTGACATGAGACCGTTCTTGTTCTTGTAGTTGCGGTTGCATTGGGGGCAAACGAACCTTTTCTCGCCACCGACAACAATTATACGTACCTCTGTACCTGATCTCGTGATAGTCTTTTTATTACCCGAGCTGGGGGAAGTCCTAGGATTATTAATGGGGGTGAAAGAATTGTAGTTAGTCACATCACCAGGAGGTGTAGAACTAGGATCAGTTACTGAGGTTGAGCATGTAGTTGAACTTGTAGAATCGGGGTGAGAGCTAGAGCTGGGACGAGCTGTTGATGCTATATATGCAGTTAGAGTCTTAAAATCAATAGCGCCGCCAGAGTTGGTAGTTGTATAACAGGAGTTAATAGAACTAGGATCAGATTCTCGTAGTTTGCCGGAGCTAGAGACTGCTTTCTGAGAGATGTGTGTTTTAAAGCTTTCATAATATATTAGTTTCATGTACTGAGTATATGCTATCAGAAAAGGAAAGAAAAACGGTGTATAAGCGGGTGGTGATAAAAGGGGCACGGGTCTCCATGTTGAGGAACAGGAGGTCAGACTTGTGTTAAGAAGTGTCTATTGGAACACAAGAGATACAGGCCGAAAATATTTATTACGACTTTCGAGAAGAAGGTATACATCTGGATGGAGAACGGAATAGACTTACCGACGCAAAGCAATTTTTTTCAATTTTTTCAGTTCTTTTACGAATATCAATAGCTGCCTCTGGCAGAGGTTCCCGGTGCTTTTTCGGGCGGAATGGAAGCGAAATCGGACGCTGAGAAGACTCTGCGCTATCGTCCCTACCCATCTTTAGTTGTTATCCGAAAAGTTGTTTAACTTACGTAGGTAAAGCAATTGGTTAAACTGTCAGGTGAAAGCCCGAAAATGTTTATTCGGAACGGAGGTAAGTGCGGTATCGAAATCTGACGCGTTGTCGAAGCGAGTTTAATATTGTAAGGCTGTTTGAGGAAGTCATTGGCTTCTGATGAGGTACCACTAGGCGACACGAACCACGACGAGGGTATATACAAACTTATACGATATTAGCAATATGAAGGAGCTGCTAGATAACGGATATTGGCCATGAAAGACAAAAAAGATGTTTGTATATACGGCTCTAACTCCTAGAGTTACCTTAGTTATAGTTCCTTGAGGAACAACGAAGTCGTTTTCCAACTTTTGGCTAGGTCGCTGGAAGAAAACATTGGGTTTCGATGAGGCATCGCTAAGTGGCGTTGACTAGGACGAGACTATGAGCAGAACGACACGATACCGATACAATGGAATTCGGGTCTTAGAAGTACCTAGCTGATTTTTTTTGCTAAGTAACGTCTTGGGAATTAAAAACTAGGTAACTCGGGAATTCGATTGGTATGATGTACCCGGGTCTGAGTCTTTAGACCGAGCGCAAACCGGACAACCTACCTTGGACGAAATCATGACGTCAGCGGTTTTTGCAGAGTCCAGTTAATCCGGAATAGGTCATATAGGATATTAATTATCAGGTTTATAATAATAATAAAATAATAATCAATCAAGTCTGAAGAAGAAACTCTAAAGTGCATATGTTTCCTAGTCGATTTACAGCAAAATTTCGTTTAATTAGATAGAGCCTTGAAGAGCATCACTTAACTCACTTTTTGTTCCATTCCCTTAAGCTTGTCTTGTCGCTGAGTAATCGACAACCCAACGAAGAGGGTATAAGACTTGTCAAACTACTACAGTAGCTATCACTAGGATTTCTCATTTTATCAATATTGTGTTTCAAAAAAATGAGTTCTTCAAGTATAACTCCCACCTTCAGCGCGGGAGATTATGTCAAGTTCTTCGGGGCCGGTGCCCTTGCAGCAACCCTCACCCATGGAGTAAGTAGTACTGATCTCACTCAAGCATTGTACCGTATGCTATGATATAATCTGACGAGAACGAAGGCTGCAACCCCTATCGACGTAGTGAAAACGAGGATTCAGGTAGATGATTCGATGAAAGGGCTCAACATGGTCAGGGCGGCCCGGCAAATCGTAGCAAAGGAGGGCGCTTCGGCTCTGCTAACCGGTTTTGGGCCTACTGCTGTTGGTTATCTGGTCCAAGGCGGTGGCAAGTTTGCGGGATACGAATTCTTCAAGAAGAAGTTCATAGATATGGCGGGTTCCCAGGAGAAAGCAACACAGCGCCGGACGGCCATATACCTAGGTGCGAGCGCCACAGCCGAGTTCTTCGCCGATATTGCGCTATGTCCGCTCGAGGCTACGCGTATCCGTCTGGTTTCCCAGCGCGGTTTCGCTTCGGGGCTTACGTCGGGGTTCATGCGTCTAGCTAGGGAAGAAGGGATTCGGGGATTTTACTCTGGTTTTATACCATTGCTCTTTAAGCAGGTGCCGTACGCGGTGGGCCAGTTTTCTGTACACGAAGTGGCAGTCGAGGTTATATATCGCACCATGGGACCCGAACGGAAAGCCAAGTTGACCCAATTGCAGTTGACAGGGGTTGAACTGACCTCGGGTATTGTAGCTGGTGTCGCCGCTGCAGTTCTTTCCCATCCGGCTGATACGCTGTTGTCGGCTATTAACAAGGGCGCAGGCGACCCGAAACAAGGGGTTACGAGTAGAATGTTCTCACTGGCGCGAGAGTTTGGCCCTAGGAGATTGTTGCTGGCAGGCTTAGGTCCGCGTATATTGATGACGTGCGGTCTAGTTGCCGGCCAATTCGTCATTTACGCGCAATGCAAGGCTCTGGTCGGCGCACCGCCAAGCATAGAGATTCACAAGGAGAAGTCACCGAGGTAAAGTGGTAGCTAGCGGGCTCGGATTCGCCTTAATATAATAATATAATCCAAGCATGGATCGAGGATAATCCGCGTTTTATCTGATACGCCCTTGGATCGGCCAGATTCGCATTGTTTTCCAAAATCCCCTACCATCTAGTGCTCTCCCTACCGACGACGTATCTCTCGGGAGCGCCTTTACTCCTTCCTCTACCATCAGCTCGCCAACCCAATTGAGCAACTCTCTCTGCCTCTCGATCTTGGCAATAGGGATGTCACCTTGATCGATGTCGCTTTCAGCACGCTGTAAAGTCTGAATTGCCCAATCCTGTGCCAAATCCCACCAGTCATAGACATGCATGTCGGTCAGGAGCCAGCGTTTCTTAGGGGTAAAATTTCGGTGTAGCGCGACAACGGCTCTTGCGACGTCTTCGCCGTGGATGACATGTAGTGCACCCTTCCCTTTTAGATCGGATTTCGACTTCACCACGCGGTCTATCCAATCCCGAGGCTGCCGGGCGTTTCCGTACAATCCGGCAAGGTTCAGCACAGCTCCCTCCGAACACGCCATTAGTTCGTCCTCGGCAATTGCACGGGAGTGGTTGCGCTCATAGGGCGAAGACTCGTCCTGCCATTTTGGAGCCGTCCAAATACTTGTAGCTCCTAGTTGTATAAAGTGTGGCTTGGAATTATCGGGCTTTTGATGTGTGGATTCATACATGCTCACTAGATGCTTGGCTTGGCCTTCTCCTTGAAGTGGGAATGTTATTAACACCGTCTCAGCGAGAGGTAATATCTCAAACGGGCCAGTGTCACTCGACCTTGGATCGAATTCGAATGGAATTGTGCCATCTCGGCCATTCCTAGTTGTGGCTGCATATTTAATTTGCTCGCGCTTCAAGAGCGGAATAAGAAACGTTGAAGTCCAACCGGCTCCAAGTATGAGCAGGTTGACATTCTCATCGACGGACTTCAATATCTGCATGTTGTGTTCGAGACTGGATGTGGTAGTTTAGGTACTTTGTTTTAGCTTTGGGGGGGTGAATAGTGGATAAAATGGTTTGCAGATGCGTTTACAGCACTCTCCTTAAGCTTAAGATTCCCGATGATCCGGTCCTATCGATAGGAGGTAGGTACCAGGTAGGTAGTTTAAACTTTACCTATGTTAAACTTCCACTAGGTAATTTTGGCCCTTCTGTCATATCCAGAGCTTGCAACATATCATCAATATTCATGTACTCGTTCATCCAACCCTTCAAAATGACACCCCCGGCCCAAAGCGCGTGTACGTCGCTAGGGAATGTACGTTTCTCGAATAAGTTATCAACCATCTGCATATATGCCAAGAACTCATCCACCGAGTCGAAAAATCCCTTTGTAGATCGATACGGCCAGTGCCCAGTAAGAATGGTATAAAGTACAGACGCAACACTAAATATATCCGTGGTCTCCGTTGACACGCACTCGGAATTGGGATCGGAAAACCCAGAATCTGGTAAGCTTCCACCATCTAGCCCGAGTTTTTCACACGTCGAGCCGCCGAAATCGCACAGGTAAAGATCGAGAGATGCAGCGGTAGCGTGGACAAGTAAATTGTCAGGGCGTAGATCGGAATGGATTACTCCCTGCTGATGGATATATGAGATCGATTCGATAACTTGCCGACACCATTTCTTTTGGATGGAAAGAGGAACTGTGTCGTGGTTTTCGAGATATTTCTGAAGACTTCCATGGCTAGCCTCAGCAAGGAGCAGTCCCGGCGGAAGTCCCGGTTTATCTTGATATCCGAGATATTCGATGATTCTAGGGTGTTTTCCCAAGTGCTCGTAGATTTGACGTTCGACTACGAAACAATTGGGGGTACGAGCAGGTATTAACTGGCCCCCAGCGCTTTGCTCAGCGGTTTGCTCATCTTTCCTGAATGCGTCATATTTCAAGACTATGCCGGGTTGGATTCGGATAAATCTTGACGTTGAGCCGCACATTGATAGTAGAGACATTTGATTTAGGTACCTAATGTACCTGGTTCAAAGTAAACGCGCTAGCTTAGGAATTTCGAGATTGACTTTTGCATGAGCTTGAAAGTTTCCGTAGGCGACATGCAACATTTCCATGTCTTTGGTTGGGTACCGAATTTGCGAATTTGATGAGGTAAATCAGGTGACTTGAGCGAATCTTTCGGCATTGTACAATACATTCTCCCTTATTTAGGTACGCGTTCCCTGCGAGCTTTTTACTTGTGTTACCTTCCTTTTCTTCTCGTTATTGCTGTGTTACACTTTTATTCCATGTAGCTTGTTTTAGAGGATCTACGTTCTAAAACGTGCCTGTGCGATCACCCCCGCATCGTCACTAGAACCTTATTACTAGTGGATAACTTTCGGGTATTAGAGGTACCTAATACAATACAATAATACCCTACGAGGATTCCTTCTCATCCCCTCCATAAAGCTTCATCACGATTTCGTTTCTCGCGTAGAAAGTTGACATGCGATACTTGGTTTCTCCGCGATACTGTTCAAGCTCTTCAAGTGCCCGCTTACCCTCACGCTCTATCGTTTGCCGAATCTCTTCACTGCGTGGAACAATGCTGCACTCGAACGGCTGCGGTCGCATATTGAGACCGTTCCTATAATGCATGTTGTTAGTTTCTTTTCTCTAGAACCTCTCTCTTCTATGCTACTCCCTTATTGCCTTACGTCGAAATTGATAAAAGGGAAACAAATCTAAGGATTGCGACCCACTTACGTGTAATTAAAGATGTCTACATCAACTGTCGTGCCATCTGAGCGCTTCTTTTTCTGGATATTGAAACCCCATAATATCCTCGCGACGGTGATCCAAGTACCCTGCTCAGCTAGTGCTTGCCCCGAGCAAACCCTGCGACCCCATCCAAATGTCATGTATCCCCTTTCTCCTGGGAATGGTCGACTATCTGGATGTCCAGGAAGGAAACGGTTTGGATTGAAACGATCCGGCTCAGGAAATTCGCGCTCATTGTGGTGGATCGCCCAGACGTTGCCCTGAATCCAAGTGCCCTTAGGAATCAGCCAACCTTTATAGTAGTCGTCTTGCGTAGGCGCATGAGGTTGTCCTCCAATAATGGCAACCGAGCGCCATCGGAATACTTCCTTGACGAACGCCTTGATGTAAGGGAGCTTGTCTTCATCTTCCCAGGCCGGGCTTCTATGACGGCCGACTACGCGATCAAGTTCTTCCCACGCTGGGCCCAAGGTCTCGGGGAATGCACAACAAGCGAGTATAAACGTGATTAGAGTGCTGCTGCTAGTATCGGATCCGGCACCAAATAGATTTCCAGTTAGGGAAGAGATCTCAGCTTCTCTGAGGTTATATTTCGGGCCTTCAGAGAACAGGTAGTGGACGAAAGAGTCCTCGTGTCCCTTCTTCTTAACTGCTTCGTCTGCTAACGCGTGGAAAAAGTGAGTTCCACGTCTCTTGCCTAACCCATACTTCCATGGCGCAATCTCGCTGGGAACTTTTGCAAGGAAAGGAAACGTCTCCATGAGCATAGGGAACTTTTTGCCGGGGACGTTTAAGTCAGCAGCTAGATGCATAACGGCGATGACTTCGGTGATGATGGGGTCATTCCAGCTTTCGACACGTCTTCCAAAGGCGACAATGGAGACAACGCTTGTGGCGTACCGTTCAAAGTGCTTTACATAATCATTGGGAGCTTTGAGTAAGTCATAAGCGACGACACGGCTCTCATTATTCTGGAATTGGCGATATCTGCGGACGGATTGTATACCAACGCCTTGATGTATGAGCTTACGGTGGACACGCCAACGATCACGCTGTTCAGGACGAGTCGTATACATATTGACTAGATTATCTTGGCCGGCACCTAGCTCAGCAAAAACCAACATCCGTGGCCGCGATGAGTAGATGCCTGCACGCTTCTCGAAGAGCTCCGACGCCGTCCATGCATCATTAATCCAGATTGTTGGATTTCTGTTCCAAACGTTAGTCGCATGTCGATAGTAGCGAAAGGGTTCATTCACCGTCCGATCCATATTGTGACGAGTGGCGCATCGTAATTCTTAGATAGTTCCTCGAACCATATCCAAGGCTTGTTATCCGGGAGCATGAAAGTATTACCTACAACTGGCCAAGGGAAGGGACCAGGAGGCTAATCGTCACTCGGATTAGTTACTAGGTACAGGATAGATGGATAGGGGCTAAGTAACTTGCCAACTTTGATCGCATCCAAAGCATATAACCATAATCAATTATCAGGGTAACGATACCAATCACTAAAGTTGATGTAACTAGATGCCACGCCGAAATTTGACCAAACAATGTCCTTCCGCCTCCGGTCCCTAGCCCAGCTAGGAAGTGGTCGAACAACATCGTGATAGGAAGCAATACGTCTTTACTTCGGAGAGGACAAGATAACCTGGCAAAGGTCTATGAATGGCACAAATCTATATAGCAGTTTAGGTTAAAGAGCATGTAAATAACCATACCTGCTTAAAGCTCAAGGTTTAAAATTCGTCGGGGAAGGCTCGCCTTTATTATGCTAGCACCAATATATTCAAGCAAACAGATAGGTGGCTATGGCACGCCTTGGGGTCTCGATTCGGCATTTATCCCTAGCTTATATCATTGGTTGATGGTAATCTGCCGAGGAGGAGCGTGGAGTAGGCGACTTACGATACTCCTCATTCAGCCATTGCTTATACTCTTTTTGGATTCTACTCATCCACTTCTACTCCACCCCCGGATTTTCTGATCGCAGACTAGTTTAGAGAAATTAATACGTGCCGTTGTGACATTCTTCCCTTATGATGGCCCCAACATAGATCAAGATTACACAACTTCTTAGGATCGTGCCACTATCGCTTTTTGGCTTTGCCAGGTTGGGGGCGGAGATTTCAAAATGATGTTAGAACTAACAACTTCCTAAATACATTAGGTATTCATCTATCTCTTAATGCGCCACCTCGTTACCTTCACTGTCATGGGGATATTCAAGATACCTAGCGTCGGGCTTTGACCCGATAAATATTCATGTTTATTGGATGATTACCTACCTAACTTAATGTACTTTAGAGATTCCTGCCAACACCACGCGAAATAAGATTTCTATAGGTAGCGTAACTTTCCAGCCGCGAAGGTGTTACACGATTAGGCAGTATATTGCAACCGGTAAGTTGTCGTTCGAAACACACATTGTGATGACTTAAAAACAATAGGAAACGCCTTTGAAAAAATAATTGCACTTATGGCGCCGCGTTAGCTCTATCATAAGCTAGCTAGTACCTAAGGTAAGCTGTTCCTTGTATGCATGTAATCAATTAGCGTCCCCTGCAACGTGTTCTGAGATGGCGAGAGGGTCACATACTATTTAATCAAGAGTTGTGTTTACTCAAGTCCCCATTAAAAATATCATCAAGTCTTTGTTCTCTTGCGTTTGACTTAACTGGGGATGCTGACATTCTGCCGATTCGCAACTAATCGCTATCATAACTAAGTGCCACATTAAGGATATAAGATAACCGAAGGAACACCTAGTTGGCAAAGGATTGACTGGTTGACAGGAGAAGAGTAAATAGAAAACCTATTGCAGTCAACTATACCCAAATGCTTACCCAGCTTCAACTCCCTACCGTCCCAGAAGAGGTCACTGCCTCCTGGCTTACGGAGGTACTGAAAATTAAGGTCAAATCGGCAGAGCTGAAGAAGGTCTTACCTGGCACAGCTACGAAGCTGTATATTAGCATCCAATACGAGGATGATAAGGCAGTCCTGCAATCGGCTGACATCTGTGTCAAGGGCGGGTTTAACCCAGCCTTCATCGAGCAGGTGCCCTGGGTCGTCATGATATTCCAGCGGGAGGTTGAATTTTTCAACCGCGTCGCCCCGTCCCTCGGCCATATTGGGCTCCCCAAAGTTTGGTGGGCGGGGTATAATTCCAGGCAAGGCATCGTGATGATGGACGACCTTTCCCAAAAGTGCGAATTCGGAAGGCCGACGGAAGCGTGGACCGTTGCGCGGGCGCTTTCCGGTGTCGAACAGCTTGCGGCATTGCACGCGTCGACGTGGGGTGTCAAGCCGGAGGATTACCCCTGGCTCACGTCAGATTACGACCAGGCCATCCTCGTTTTGATGCAGACATTTGACGAAGTCGTTAATGGCCCTGATCGGCCAGTAGTGCACGGCTACTTGAAAGATCAGAAGCGCGTCACCGAGGCTCTGAAGAAACACTATGCCTTGAGAAACCCCAAGTTCCGATGCCTGTTACATGGCGACCCTCATACTGGCAATACGTATCTCGAGAATGGCGCGCCTCGATTCCTGGACTGGCAGATGATCCATATCGGGTCAGCCTTCCACGACGTAGCCTACTTCATCGGTGGCGCGTTAAGCATCGAGGACAGGAGGACTCACGAATACGAAATCTTAGACCACTATCTAGCCACGCTTGAGAAGTTAGGTGGTCCGAAATTCTCGAGGAAGGAGGAGGACGTTCTGCAAGAGTATCGCAAGTCATTCCTAGCTGGAATCGGCTGGATCATGTGCCCCTACGAGATGCAACTTAAAGACTGTGTTGATGCTATGGCTCGGAGGTATTCCGCAGCACTTGACGATCACAAGACCCTAGAGCTCGTGGAGTCTCTGCCTGATGTTTAACGTGAGCTACGGCAAGACGCAAGAGTTGCTGCAATAGCTAAGAAAGAGAGCATCCATGCGCTAAAGAAACGGAATTAGGACGCAAAGTGATTGGATTAAACGCGTACTCGTGTAAATAGACGGAAACGCAGGATGGCCTTACTGACTTATAATTATTAGGCTTCGTTTTTAGTAGGATCACTTCGATGCGTTGAGCATTATGTCATCGGTCTCCTTTGAGTGCATCGACGTACTTCCACGCAGCGAAGATCTGGCGATGGCCATCGTTTCCACCCACGACATACCCATGGCGCTGGTAACCTCAAACATTGGACAAATCGTGCCCCGTCTTCGCCTACACCAAGTGGAAGTTCAGTTTTTCAGCTGATAGAAATCATTAGGTAGGTACCCATAGGTGGGGCCTGCATCCTGATTCGCTAGACTGCACTGCCCCTTTCCGCAATAGGTACCCCTAGAGGCCCCCGCCGTTTACAAAGTACCTTAGCTGCTTAGGTTAGGTACTTAGCAGCAAATCCTGATCGCGCACATCTGTCACAACCAACCCAATAACTCAATGGCTGTTTCACCTATATCGAGTTCAGCAGCCGCGCTAGGCGAGAAGTCGCATTCCTATCTCTCGTTGAGCACCTAGAACTATTATTTTAGTCATGCCCGTACAACTCCCGGTCCTTACTATTGCCGATGCGGCGGCGTGGTCAAGCTGGCTATTTCGCAATGGAGGCACTTCAAAGGGTGTGTGGTTGACCCTGGCTAAGAAAGGTGCCACGACACCGACCTCACTCACGTACGCCCAAGCACTTGATGAGGCACTCTGCCACGGCTGGATTGACGGACAAACCCGCAAGGGCGACGGAGAAAGCGCAGTTCCGTCTTACGCGCAGCGGTTTACGCCGCGTGCCCCACGGAGCTGCTGGTCCAAGCGGAACGTCGAGCATGTAGCGCGTCTTGAACGTGAAGGACGAATGACGGAGGCGGGACGACGCGCCGTCGAAGCTGCTAAGGCAGACGGCCGCTGGGAAGCCGCATACGCTGGGCAAGCGACCGCAGAGCTGCCGGAAGAGTTTCTCGTCGCGGTCGCAGCCGTACCCGCAGCACAAGCCACTTTCGACACGCTATCGCGGCAGAATCGCTTCCTTATGTACTACCGCCTGAAGTCATTAAAGACTCAAGCTGGACGCGAAAAAAGGATTGCCGCATTTGTTGATATGCTAGCTCACGGGGAGGTGCCGTATACCCAAAGAGCTTCTGTGCAGTCTCCGGGCCCAGAAAAATCGAGTATTACTTCAACTAGAAAAGAGAAGAAACCATCAATGTCTAACGTTCGCCAAGAAATCCGAAGATCTGCACGCGTGTCTCAACGCGCAAAAAGGTCTTCCGAAGAGTGAGCGTATGCCATGAACGATAATGTACCTAAAGATTGGAAATTAAAGGAAGCTTTATCGGAAGGTTCATGTGTTGTTCTGATGCTATTGCTTTCGAGAAAGGAGACGAAAGGGAGGGAAATACCAATATCGCAATTCCTTAGTTGCTTACCTCCTTAGGTTTTTAACTCAATCAGCGACCGGCAAAGAAATTACACTAAACAGTACCCAGATCTCTCGACACTCTCGGCGCTGAGCCTCTTTCGATTACCTAGGTAGGTATATAATAAGATGGCAACGTGGATAGCATACGTACTGCATATTACTGCAAGTATTAGTTATAAACACATACTTCCATTGAAGGTACGTATTAACTCCGTGGATTAGGTACCTCCGTTCAAGATTTCGGATCTGATAAGATGAAGACGGATCTGATAACCATCAAAAATGGAGACACTCCCGGTTCTTTTTGTCTCGACTCTGACAATCTTTACGTAATTAGGTCCCTGCTAGGTCCTCCCCTCATTCAACTAAAGTGCAACTCCAAGGATACAGGCCATTGGACCTTATGCTAGTTTGTTACTAGTAAACGTATACCCTCTTCGTCTAACGATTATAAACAACGTCAAGAACATGCTCTCACAGAACCAATATATCCTATTAATGATTAATTCTACGATACTAAATATTAGTAATTACTGTGTTACATAGTTTTGATTTAATTAGGTGGTGAAGTTATGAAAATAATGGTTCTAATTGGTCCGAAATAACCTTTGCTTAGGTAAGTATTCTTCGCATCTAGGCATCAGCATGATTAAACTTATTAACTTCCTTCTATTCCATAACTCTTTCAACTACAATTCACATTGCAGTGATGAGCGATGAGCGATGGCTGTTCATATCAAAGCACCCCATGAAGCGGCAGTGCCGTTTTCTCCGTCGAGCAGGCCTCCTTCTGTTGAAATTCGCCATCCGGATTACGACGCTGGACATGCGTTGTTGTTTCGCTTTCCCGCTTTTGACGATGGGATAGAATATAACATCGTCTGGACGGCTTGCTGTATTGTACTTGGCAATGCTTGGACTCGAGCAGAAGCAGATCGGCCTTATTTGTCCCTCACCCAAACTAGAGGGTCGCCAGCACTAGTCGTTCCCGCCGATGGGATACTTTCTGTCGGAGCGTATTACCTCCACGACCCTATCTTTGCTACCGACGAAGAATCGCCCTATCCTATCACGCCTAACTTCCATCATTGGGAATTCCCGCATAACAATGTTCCTTCCCTTTGGTTGGAGAGTCACGGCATTCAGCCGAATCCCACCCGTTTGTACGCGACATCCCCCGGCAACTTTCGCGATAAGGTCCTCGTTCGAGATGAATCCTGTCGCATGACACTCTCTCGCGGTGGTGTTGAGCAAGCCTATTGGGTTCCTATCTCTGCGGACGATTGGTTCAACGACAACATGATGGAGAGATATCATTCGGAAGACACCTCAATCGGCGTTCGGGATCTGTCAAATACCATTCTGCTTCGCGCAGACGTCCACAAGATTTGGGATTCAAAAGACGTTCGTTCCGAAGCGCCGAGCTAATGGTGAATATAAGCTGGTCATGCATATGCTCAGCGCCCACGATAAACAAGAGAAGCTGGAGCTCTGGCACAACAGGCAGCCTCACACGCTATACGGTATTCGACCCGAGTTCGTGTTTGCCCGTTTCGCTTGGACGATATTCAACAACGAGCTGTTCCGTATCTTCAATTCCAGGCGGCCACAGGGTTGGAAGATACGTGTTCGGGAGGATGATCCAAAGGCCGAGACACGTAAACACGTTATCCAACACGCATTTAAGCGAGCCGATATCCCGCTGGCTCCATTTCAGCAAGAGAAGAAGCACAAACGCACCCCAGAAACTATTGGAGATCTCATGTCCCCTACCGACTATGACGATTATGTGGAAAATCCTAATTATTGGTTTTATTCTGTTAGTCGTGGGGAGATGGTGCGTTGGAGTGATGAGGAAGGAGAGTCAGATGGTGATTATGACAGTGATTCCCCAAGAGGGTTGCAAGAAGGCTCGTTTGAATGATGGGTCTTGACAAGTATGTGTGTATTGTCTATGTAAAGAAAAGATTGTTATTATTATTATTATTGCTGGCAGCCAGGTGGCCCACATATCTGTAGACTACTAGAGTAGAGCCGTAAGGCTTCAGGTTCTTTCTTAATAATACAACGCATTTTAGGTATATGCGTGTCCGATTCCATAATTATTTTACAAACAATCACTCATCACTCAAGAAGAGCATACAAGCCATGTCCGTGGCTCATGAGTGGCATACTCACAGGTCATCAACCCCTTCGTTGGCTCGCTCTAGTATTCACAGTGATAGTAGTAGGATGAGAAAGAGCCTGCTAATAGTAAAACCAAAAAGCTGTCAAAGACACCGCTAAGCCAAAAGTGTGTTTCTTAATAGCACAATTGCTATTACAGTCTATCTGACCTTATTACCACTCACACCCCCTCAGGTTGGTCAGAATCGACACACCCTCTTAAGTGAAGACGATTTGGGCAAAGTTGGATATCTCGAGCCTCTGGATTCTTGGAACTCTGGACTTCTTGATCTCTGTAAGCTCCTAGAATCGAACCCTGAGGTTTAGGATGCTCTTGTGCGTGCTCGTTTGCAACTTTTTAGCCCAGGGTGTCCTGATTCGGTTCTTAAACGGGTTCAAGCATATGAGACTCTTGATTGTCAAAGACACGTCTGAGCCAAAAGTGTATTTCTTAATAGCACAATCGCTATTACAGTCTATCTGACCTATGAGTGGTATTACCACTCACAAAAGCTTTCCCGTGGTGTTGGAAAGGTGAAGCTTCAGAATGATCCAGATTTTTTATATATACCTACCTAGGTAGGTACCTATATGCAGTGAGAATTTGCGGCGTTGTCAATTGCGTTTATGATACCATGGGTTAGGAATAACATTAGGGCATTTGGCTTAGGAATCTCGCGGGGATTGGGTTCACTATTATAAGACATTCATTGACTACCACAGCTCTTTCGCGAGATACGGATTTTCTTTCACCTATAACAAACCACACAACTTAGGATTGATTAACAATTGAACGATTAATAACTACGTGACCCTAGGATCAAGAATTGAATCACGCCCTCCCAAACAAAAAAAGGCCAATTTTCTTTTTAGAAGGTCAATTAGAGCTGCCTTTTTCACATGGCTATAGCGACTTATAACTACCTAAACTAGATGAACATCTAGTTAAATGTAAATGAAGCCCACCACATTAACCATTGAATAGGCAATCATTACTTCAAAGCTCGGATTCTACCTCAGCATTCTTTCCCTAATCTCTCACGGCCTTCGATCAAGTTGCAAGGTCTGATAAAAATCACTTCTTGCTGTCCTCCTGCTTCTTTGACTCTTCGTCCTCCTTCTTCTTCTTCAACGGGTTGCTAGGCTTGCGTCGCTGAGGGACGAGGAACGGGCCCTTGTCAGAACCGACATAATGCGGGCCACTGGCATAATTGACGGAGTTTCTGCGTCGATTGGGTTCTTCCTTATGAATGATAAATGGCTTGGCACACTCAAAGGGGATGATTTCGTTGTCCACTCCGAATCCAGGTTTATAGCCTCGGTATGTCTGGCGTCTCTGGTTGACGCGGTTGTGGAACATATCCATGAACTGCTGGACGAGGCGTGCGATCTCACTATCCTTAGTAGTGGGGCGGACGCTTGCCTCTCGTCGTTGCTTGAGGCAAACCTCTCTGGCATCCTTGAAGTTGAAGATGAGGCGGCCGAGTTCTCGGTCAGACAGTTTGCGAACCCAGTGAACCTTGTCTTTGACAGCGCTGAGAAACGCGTGTTGGAACATGAGGTCGTCAATGTTGGATTCCCAACGGTAGTTTAGTTGCATGTAGGCATCCATCATTCCTTGATAGACTTCCTTCACGTGCTCTTGGGCAACTTCACTTGTGACTCCCTCCGATCTCCAGGCTGCGGTAAGTGTGGCCTTAAGTCCATTGTCAAGTCGAATATGGGTCCAAGACAGCCCCTGACTCTCCAGGATCTTTTCGAAGGATCCCGTGGGAATGTGAGTGTCCACGTCCATGGTGTCTACAATGGTGCGGTAGACGTTGGAGTCTCTTCAAGAACTATTGGGTGTGACTTGTAGTTCTTAAGTTACAAGGTTTTGAAGGTGTAACTTAAGGGTTGTGAGAATGAAGATGGGTTCAGCATTGGAGGCCCATGTATTTATATGAAAGATTCCTGGCTGCAAAATGCAAGAGCAAGGCAAGATTGAGTTTAAGGAAGGCAAGTGCTGGATGATTTAAGGTAGTCAGTTGCCAGGAAACCAGTTCACATAGGATGTTTGCTCAATTCATCAGCTGTGCAGGTGGTCGAGGCATATATCATACAGCTGCACCTACCAAGACAAAGGTTTTATCACATATTACATTGAATCAAGGACCTACGTATGGCACTGATCCATCCTGAAATGGTCTAGGCTGTAGATGATATGGTTACAGGTATGTCCTTCTTCATTACTCATGCACATCAAGCACTTTAGGTACCCAATGCTTGAGAACAAATTTTCTTCTGCAAATGGCGCTGTCTTCCTTGAAAGTATTCCATTTACCTTACTTCTTTTGACCTGTCCCTTCGACTAGCAAGTATGCTAGAGAATTCCATTATGTAGTTCCCATATCTAGGATGATTTGCAGATTGAATTCGAACAAATCTACTCTCCAGTTGGAAAAATGGGAGTATTTCCGGTTTGTTACTTTAGGTACTTGAAGATTAATTATCCATCCACCTTGCTGTTACTCAAGATGCTTTGGAAAGAAACGGGTGTCAATATTGAACGCTTTTAGTCCGTCCGTGAGAGTGTATAAAAATACAATACCTAAGGTACCTACGAGGTAGGCATCCTTTATTAGCTTCAGTATATAATGTTGGACTCAATCGTCTACACGTTCACGAAATCAACCTTAAGGGAACAGGAGTAGGTACGACAGGAAGATGGTGGTTTTATCCTATTTTAAGAGCCCTTTGATTGAATATATCTGCGGTAATATCCTCCATAACCGTAGGAACCTATTTCGTGAAAGACAGAGATACCTGGGTAGGTAACATACGGGTGGCAAGTAATATTTTTCTTAAAGAAAGAAACTAACTATATATTAGTGAGACTAATGTGTGTGATTAACGAAGTGCTTGAATCTTAGTCATATAATTAGACTTGGTGCTTGTCACATCCTAGTAAGGTGCTAGGTATGTAAATAGTAAGACGGATATAGATAATACCAATGTGTTGGTTAAGAGTGTAGGCTCACTTGCAGAGGTAGAGACATCCCTCAACGGACGCTCAGATAATTGTTTAATAAATATACGTCGCACTAGCAAGACGAGACCTGCAACAAATGACTACCTAACCTACTAAGTAATGACAATCCTTTAAAACTACCTTGTGTCAATGAGTATTTTAAAGATTACTAGATACAGCTCTCCTACCAGGAACCTCAGTATCATTCCACTGTCCGACAATGCCATCCCTTGAATCAGCTAGAAAGGGGTCTTTCTCTGGTCGAGGAACAGTCCACGAGGTCTCAAAACTTCCCACATCCTCTCCTCCAGTAGAGAAGTCCCAGTGGCCGCAATTCTTAGGGTAAGCACCCATCATCATGTACCCGGAAAGTTTTACATTTACCAAGGCTTTTCTGACGTCTGGTCCGGGTATTCCGTGTCCATCACCTGGGGTTAATAAACTGAATTCAGCGCTTGGGCTAGTATCGTATGTCTTGTGAGCCACGCCGGCTGGGATTATAAAAACATCTCCAACATTAGCCGCTACCTCTATCCCACCTTTTTCTTTCGCATCGCCCCAGGTATTATTATCAAGGTCGGGATCTGTATCCGCGACACCAAACCTAATAGTTGCCTTTCCAGAGAGTACCACCATAGCCTCGTGGATTCGTGAGTGGTAGTGCGATGGTTGGCTCGGGCCGTAACGGAATATCCATTGTGTAGTCCAGTGATTTCTTTCTAGCCTATCATTGATAGCTCCAGGTTGGCGTTCCGAGGTTTGTGCTAGGAGTCCCTTGTAATGGAGTAGAGGTTGTGGGGAATTGGGGATAAGCTGAGTAGGCGGGAGATAGTATTTCTCAACGTTAGCCATGTTTATATGGGGACAGCTTGAATCATAAGAAAATTAACGGGCACGATAGGACGTACTTCTTGTAGTTGATAACAAGTGGTCACTCACAAGTTTCATTCGCAGGTGTTAATGCCCCGCACTTTGATTGACAGCAACGACATCTTTCATGACGCCAGTATGAGATTAAGATAGCCTACTTTCATTAACAACTACTGGTGCTTATAATCATGGATAATATCAATAGCTAACGGATTTGGCAGGTAAAAAGGTACCTATACCTCTACTTTAGCTGCAGTTTGACGGATTGAACCTTTTTCCCTTTTGGTCCCAGAAACTTAGAGAGAATAATTGTAAGCAAGCTTCCTCGAGATATCTTTCAAGATAAGGTGAATTGATATGAGTTGCTGAGAGCCGTCCGGCATCGGCCAACTCAAGCAAGTTATAGTAACATCAATCAAACTATCAAAGCCCTGTATCCCAGTTGCGGGGTTCCCATGAATATTAGTATAAGAGTATATCTTCATGATACGATAGGAGAAGACTATCCTCATCGTGTTTAAAAAAAAGATTCAACACCATTCTACACGGCATGGCGACTTCCCTTGTTTTAATAGCTTTGTTAACTTCATCCATCATTTTCCTGTGGATATGGAATCGTTATACGAAAAAGGTAAGCCTTATTAAGACATTTACTGTGAAAACGTGATCGAGTATAGACACTGACTCTGCTATACTTAGGAGTTCAGCAAGCTGCCTCCAGAAAAGGAAGTCGGATTTTACCAACCCAGTGTCCAACCTCTTAACGAGTTTGACTGGCAGACAGTAGAGCCGCAGAAGTTTCGACCATTCAAACCAATCTACCATATCACGATGGGTATGTGAATGGTTACCTACCTAAGTTAACCTACCTATATGGCCATTTCTTGACAAGCTTACCATAATTATGTCCTATATAGCGCTTAGATCAACATCTCCGTCAGATCTCATAGTTATCGATCGTAATTATTTATCGCGAATACAAGATCGACGAGTTACGATGGCTAAGCATCAAAACCACACTATAGGCTGTCTTCCTTCTGGTATTGAGGGCGTGAAGGAGGCATATTCGTACCTTCTAGAGTATCTATCCGTTAGATATCCAACACTGTTCGAACGAGATGAGAAATGCTTTCGCAATCGAGTTACTGGGGTTTCCCTCCCGCTTTTACCCTCAGAAGACCCTATAATTGCGCTACGGAGCCTTGGCGAGACAGTTGAAGACGATATGTTCTTTTTAAACGAGACACCAGATGGACATCAATGTGTTGGTTTTGTGTGTTGCTGTCCAAGTGGTTTCGATCCGGCAAGCAAGATCGGGAAGTTGCTAAAAGATATACACGACCCAGTTCCGTCCTATGAAAAGATTGGGCTGAGTATGGAAAGATTTTTCAGTCGTCTTGAAGTTGGCAAAAGCGTTTGCCGGGTCAATGTGAGTTATCTTGGAGTTGGAAGGTTGTAAATATGAAATATGCCTAGCGCAGATTTACTAACAGGAAGATATAGTGGTCAATTACAACGAATTCCGAGTTATTCAATGTCTCTAGTAATCACGTCAAAGAAGGGGACCAAGTTGAAGAAGATATCGATGTAGATATCGAAGAGGTGAGCATCTTGCGGCAATATCATTAATACAAGAATCTATTGAACATGCATTGACAGTCGGCAGGCTCGGGTAAGAATGGAGTTACAAACGCTGACACGGATGCCCAAGACGCGAGCGATCATGTTCTCCTTTAAGACATATTTATATCCTCTTAAAGAAATCAAGGCAGAAGGGCTCGGACCAGATCTTGCTGATGCAATTGACGGCCTGAAGACGGGCAATGCACCTGGAATGTGGACTTATAAAGGAGGAGTACGGTGGGGGAAAAGTGTGTCTGAATATTTAAGGTCGTGATTTTTTTTTTTTTAACTAGAAAAACTATTTAGGTAGAAGTAGGCATATAAAAGATTTTTTCGTTTTTTCTCTTTTATTAATGTTTTGTTCTAAGAATCTGTCCGTGAGCCGGAAAAGAAGAATAAGGGGGAATAGGTACCTAGTTCTTATTATTCCCGCCAATGAGCAGTTGAAGGAATACATTGTTACATGTACCTACCTAAACATTAGCGGGATTCACAGGCGTTACCTTTCCCTATAGGTATTAGGTTTGCTGCTGCTTCACTAGAATGTACCTAATGTGCCTAACTGATAGGCACTATCGATAAAGTTATTTAAGGGGCGGCTAAGTTCCCTAAGGCCGCAAGAGGTCCCCCCGTAGTTTCCTTGCCCTGCTTGCGGATCCCTGCATGAGACCACCGCGGAATAGTAATGTCAGCTGTCGAAGCTCAGGTAATGGCGATCCTTGCCTGTCCCTGCCTCGTCGTTCAGAAAGAGGATTAGAAACTTCTCTTATTTCTTTAGTTGTAATTAATTTGCAGCAGTCGGAAACAAATTGTTTTTGCGTAACATTTATTAATATTGATCACAACGGCGGAAACACTGTCATTTCTGCGCATTTCATCGGGTTGACGCATCTTCCTAATTTATCGACCGTCTCCTGCGACCCGAACGAAGTTACCTAGGTATTCCATAGCAACGTCTTTTTTCGAAGCTTTGGTAAACCGAGACATTCCCACGACGCGAGACATGATAATACCAAGATCGAGTGACGAGGTCCCTGCATAATCGTCCAAAGCTCGCGCGTCTTTGCGACCGCTTAACGCTCCCGCATTTGCCCTATCCAGATTAATCCATATCGAAACTACCTAAAATCGAAATAGCTGCCGCTGTATTGTCCCTTGTATATAATCAGCCATTTTATTCATGCTCCATTGCGTTCAGTCAGGCGCCGATCGCCATTTCCGAGGCGTAATTTGTTGTCTCCGTCTCCGTCAAGTCCCCGTCGAGTCCACGAACGTATCACCTTGTCGAAGATACTTATTGAAGTGTCAATAATACACCAGTATAGTCCGGAGGGAATGGGCGGCGCTGAAGGCAGGTTGTAGAGAGGGTCATGCAGACAAATAAAGCTAAGGCCGAGGCGCTGGGGCGGAAAGCAAAGGTTTGTTTAAACTTATGTATACGTCTTGTCCTTGAAGGCGCCCTTCGCATGCTTGGTTGCTAACGATATTTTGCCGTATCTAGCTTGCCAATTCTTATCAGGAGTTACTCGAGTAAGTCTGAGTCTGAGTCTGGGTCTTGTCCCGTCCAAACCCTATGCAGCTACCTAGGTACTAATATCTCTTGTCTCCAACAGCGAATTCTCAAATAAGGACTTAAAGCATGTTGGAAATTATACCTTAGGAAGGTTAATCGGGAAGGGTTCCTTTGGAAAAGTCTACCTTGCAAACCACAAGCTCACAAATGGCTCCAAGGTTCGTCACAGCCAGAAGAAGCTCTTTAGCTTCTACCAGACCCTCCCCTAGCATCGGTCCTAATGGTAATAGGTCGTTCTCAAGTCCGCCAACAAAGATGATTCCAACCTCGCTCGAGAAATCCATCACCACCGGCAATTTGTTCACCCTCATATCGCGCGCCTCTACGAAATTATAGTAACGGAGACTTTGGTGTGGCTTGTTTTGGAGTACTGTCCAGGTATGTCCAAACTCTCACCATTGCGAGATTACAGAATCATTGACCGTATCCAGGTGATGAGTTATATAATTATCTCCTCAACAATGGCCCCCTCCCTGTTGAAAAGGTTCAGAAAATATTCACACAGCTTGTCGGTGCTGTCAGCTATGTGCATCAACAGTCCTGTGTCCATCGTGACCTAAAGCTTGAAAATATCCTACTTGATAAACACGAGAATGTCAAATTAGTCGACTTCGGATTTACTCGGGAATACGAGGGCAAGTCAAATTACCTTCAGACATTTTGCGGTACGATATGTTACTCAGCACCGGAAATGTTGAAAGGAGAAAAATATGCCGGTGAGAAAATAGACGTCTGGAGTTTAGGCGTAATTCTTTATGCGCTACTGTGTGGGGAGCTACCGTTTGATGATGATGACGACAATATCACCAGGAACAAGATCCTGACTGAGGAACCCAAGTATCCAGCGCATTTACCTCCCGATGCTGTTTCGCTTATCAAGATCCTCCTCTCTAAACGGCCTCTACTAAGGCCTACTCTACCTGAGATCCTTTCCCATGCGTTTCTTGCGGAATTCGCCCCCCAGCAACAGGCGATTCTTAAGTTGCATCAGCCTCCACCATTTACTACGCATTTAGAAAAGGACTGCCTCCAGCGAATGCGGAGTGCTGGCGTGGATATTGATGCCGTTATCGAAAGTGTGCTAGCACAGAAATGCGACGTGCTCGCTGGCTGGTGGACGCTCTTATTAGAAAAGGAAGAAAGAAAGGCTCGTCGGCGTGAGAGGAAGAGGAAAGAAAGGGAAGCCGAAAATCGAAATTCGCGCCGATTTTCAGCGGCATCCAGCAAGCTCGAGCGCATGGCGCCAATTCTAGATGAAGATCCCAATGGCTCCGGCATATTAGGTGAGCCACCTATGCCTAGGATGCGAGGTCGTCCAGAGAGGAGAAGTACTGCATATAGTGACTTCCAAGTCCCTGAATTACCAAACTTGCCCGAGTCTCATATGAAGACTCATTTGAGTACTGATGGTACCACACCGCCGCCGCCAGTGGACAAGGATTCTATTCGGTCGGTTAGTTCCTCTCAACAACGGCGACCGATACCACCACCGAAAGAAGGCATTCTCCGAAGTGCGAGATCTAGAGGTTCTACTCTTCACCTTGTAACCACATCAGATGCATTGGGGGGACACGAAGAACAAGAACAAGAACTTCATCCACCACAGAAAGTACGGAGGAAGCCATCGCAAGCGATTTTTGCTACATGGAAGAACTGGACGCACTGGATCGTAGCCAGTACGAGACGGCATAGACCCAACAAGCGGGGGAGCATGTCTACCCCTAACCTGGCTGCTAAAGACGGCCAGTCGGGCTCCAACAAGAATCCCAAGGATCCTAGCCCTCGACCTCACACTAGCAAGTATCCCAACTCTCCACAGGGTGCCCCCGATTTGAGCGGCGGGAATTCCCCGAATCTACCTAATGGGAACTTCAAAAGCATTGGACGGAGTGATGGTAACCCGTCTAAGAAACCTATGCCAGCTCCGCTTTCAACGTATTCCCAACAAGCGCCGCCTCCTATACCGTCATCATATAAGCGCCAATCGCTATCACCGAGCCCCCTAACGCCGCGCTCAAATGTTCGTCGCTCATCCATTGGTCTTCGCGGCCGAAAGTCAACCTCGTCTTCGCTTTCCTCCATTCGAACTATGCCTCATCACCACCACTCGCACTCGAAGGCTAGTTCTACCAGTTCTACTGGGTCCGTGTCGACAACGAGAACCCCCGGGCGGTCGCCACACCATTCTGTTAAAGTTCTCCCGGCTACGCCAACTAACACCTCATTTCCCTCTAATATCCGTCTCGTCCGCGGGCCGGCGCTGGCGTTGGATTTCAACGAGGGTATGCCTTCATCGAAACCGGCCCAGAACCCCCCCGGCTCTCCCAATCCCTTTACGTCAAACAGTCCTTCCGTGCTATTCGCGAAGCGCAAGCGCAATATATTCAAAGGACCCATGCTCTCCATTGGCAACTCATCCCGCGCGGGTCCCAGCTCCAGCGGTCATAACCGCAGCGCGAGTACGAGCGGACTGGGGAGAAGAAGCGGTGAAATCACTATCCAGGAAGAGGATGAGGAAGGCGAAGAAGCAATATGTGATGCCGAGCCCGAGGAGGAAGTCGAGGAGGTAGACGATTTCAGCCCTATCATGCAGGTGCCCGGAGAAAAGGTAGAAGAAATATATGAAGGTGAGGCTGACTCGAAAGATGATGCTCTAGACCTTGGTTCCAGTGTTGGAACCTTGAAAGCTGGCGAGCGTGATAGGGATTGACGACTTGATGATACCCTGTGATAGCATGAACGCATTGTAGCGGAGCGAGTTCTTGTTGTTATTTTTTTGACGGAATTCCCAGCCGTACTGTTATATACCTCCCAAAGACTTTTGCTTGTGTTTTTAATTTTCTAGGCTGTCAGCTGAGCAGCAAACAGCACATATTTGCGGCTCAGGTCTGTACAGCCTTGTTGTATTTTTGCTACCTATTACGTACAATGTACGCGTTTTCCAAAGGGGAAAAGAGATAACCCATGTATCGATCAGGTGGTGGTGGATGGACGTCTTGGAATGACTGCTGCTGCAATTCTCGTTGTCTTGTACTAGAAGAACTTGGCCCCCGATTCTCTTTGTTACCTAACTCACTTTGCCATAGGTTTTTCGTTGAAAACCGACCTTATTAATGGCTTTGAAGGTATTAATACTCCCCCAGTCAGGGGCTGCTTATAGCAATTTCTTATCTATAATGATTGTTTGTCGTTCGACAGAGAGGAGTGTTGAGTTCATCGGGGCCCCTTTTTTTGCTATGGCTACCTACCTACCTGCCGCATGCCTTTTTTGCCGTGTTGATACCCTACATAGGACTAGCATTACATTAGGCACTTAATCTAATATCTTTTACTATAGCGAGATCTGACCCTCCCTCATGGGATATCCGTCTGGCGCGTCTTTTGAGCGGCGAGGGGAAGTTGTTTCAATTCCTCGAACCTCACGACAAGAAAGCGTGCTGGACGGTTTTACCTCAAGTAAAATTATTAACTTGAATATTCACTCTCATAATCTAACTGCGTAGTTTTTCTATGACTTTGCTCATGAGAAATGACGTTTGATTTCGGTGAGTGGTACGTGAGACCATTCAGCCAAATATTTGGTGGTACCGGTTTAAGGGGTATATCGTGCGTTTTCGCAGCTTCAATGACGGCGGGCAATGATTCGTGTCATGGCGCGGGTTGTGGGCTGCGCACATTGAAGACCGTCGTAGAACTGGACTGCTGTACGCTACGTTTCAGTGTAATAGTGAGGTCTACGAGTATGTCGGCGAGTAGATCTACTAGTATGAAGTCAATATTATCAAACCGCGAGCCTAGGCTGCCTGGCATCTCTCCTAGATACGGCGAGCTGGGAATTACGCTAGGCACCCATTCCTTGGGATTCCGTAGACCTGGGCTATAGGTACTAAAGGAATGTTCTTAATTGGCCTAGGATAATAGCTAAGGCGGAGAGAGTCTAAGCAATGGTTATTCCCGTCTTGCCAAAAGGTGAGGGCTGACGAGACAGAACGGGTAAGTAAACCACCGGGACCATACGAATTGCACGTATCGCCTTCGAAGATGGGGGTACAGGCGGCTAACCCATATGGATAGGTAGGTTAGGATCTAGCGTAAAGTGGACTAAGACAGTGGAATATGTATATATTAAGGGTATAAGATATGAAGTATTACAACCTTGCTCATCTTCCGTTATAGGTACTCTCTTAATCCGACAGACCTGGAAATCCGGCTCTAATGAAGCCAGTAAATTCGCCATCTACGAGACCCCGGGAGGTGTCCGTCAAAAGGCGAACCCGGTACGAGCGGGACTCTTCATTGAGTAGGTACGCCCAAGTCGTGAAGTTGTTCCACCCCAGGAACGTGCCGTCCTGTCGCGTGCCGTTCGGGTAGTAATGCCAATGAGGCTCGATAGGAGCTCCCCTCGCCACAGTCTGCACGAAGATCAACCCATCGTACTGGTGGTAGATGTACTCCGATATGCTGAGGGGCTCGTAATGGCCGTCTACGTTCACGGCTAACATCTCCGCGCTGCCAAACGCTTGGCACTGGATTTGAGGAACTGCCGCATCCTTGATGTTGCTTATGCCCAACTGTTTCATAAGGTTAAGAGTTAAGTCTAAACCAGAAAGGGGATCTGTAACAAAAGGGTTTCTTACCCAAGCTGAAGCGAGTGTCTTATCCGAGTTGGTAGTATATGTGGCTTTATAACCGTCAATATCTTTGCCGGTCGAGTCGGCGAAGAGAACCCAAGGTCCGGCAACGCTGGACATCTGGCGAAAGAAAGGCCAGTTGCTGCATTTGTTCTCTTTAGGAACGACAGTAATGTTGGGGATGGCACTGACGGCGGTGGCCACAGAGAGCGTTAAGAGTAAAGACTTCATTTTGAACGAGTGTGAGCTTGGTCCTGGTCAGTGAAAGAGGCAAGTGGGATGTCGTCGTGATCCAGAATAAATACCATCGTGAACACGCCGGATAACACCCTCTCTTTATAGATCAATCTATTCAGCCTTGATGAAATCCTGAACGTCGCCCCCGGCATAACGCGAACCGCGAGATTCCACTCCAGCTCACCGACTAGACCGCAACAGATGCCATAATCGGTGAAGCCTGGGACTACTATACCATTAAGAACGTTCCTGCAACGCTGATTCCATGCTAAGGCATTTACACGAGTAAACGTGCATTTGTTGAAGGGTCATAAAAGCTATACCGATCCACACCGTAAGCGACAGGAAATTACCCCGTGCGGCGCAGCTTATGGAGGTATGTAGCTCAGCCCTGTTCAGCCTAGCAGCCTGGGCGTTGCTACGTTCCGGGTTATGTCCAGACTCTAAAGATCTGGATTTCGTGACGGCACGAGCGGGATCAGGCCGCGTGACTCTCATTTCTTAGCTGCGCCTCCCAAGATCTCAATGGGACCGTCTGTTTTTGTATCAACATCTATGCAGCCATAGTAGAGATATTCACTCTATCGTACGGTTCATGTCTACTCTACAATACCCGTATTATGGCCAATTACTCCTCTACTACCTAGCCGTGTTAGCGCCGAAAAGCTTATAGGAAATGGCCCTCTTCTGAAGCGCTCTCAGGTATAATTGGCACTTAACTAGCTGAAGATACCATTCGATTTAGAACCGACTTCTTAGGCATTCGTTGAAACTCCTTCAGATGCAGAGTATATATTCTTCCCAATCTAGATATATTTTTAGGCTAATTTCGGTGGCAATGTCACTGTAACCTCACGATAGGTAGGCCGACTAATTCAACAAAAGTTCGTATTGAGTGAGAACTTAGGACTCCTACCAGAAGTTAATCACCTGTTAGTCTTAAATTAACTGACATAAGTAACAGCTTGGTAGAGTTATTAAGCGACGCCTTCGAAAGCCGCGGTTGGCTTTACGCGCAGACCTCATAGACCGAAGAAAACAGCAAGAAACCCTAGGCTTTTGTACGATCTTATCCACGTCAACAAGGATCAGATCGTAGAAACAGGTCTGCTATGTACTTTTGCACTGGCAGAACCGGTCATGGAGACAAATTTATAGGACCCATGTTCAGCGGTCAATAGGATAGGTACCACTATCTGCGATCCTTCGTCTAGATCCTCTGGGTAAGTTAATATAACAGGTATCTAGTTCATGCCACATGGTACTTGGAATGATAGCTTGGATATCAACCAAGACTCGATATCAACGAACTTAACGATTGAATGCGCTCGGAACCTGAACTAGATGATTATACAATAGGTTGTCGCTCTCAACATGGAAGAATAGGTAGTTGAAAGTGCGGAATTAACGGACATTGTTGCAATCTTGAAAATAATAATGCGGTGACTTGACAAGGGGGAGGTGTGGCATTTACTGTGGCTGTTTCCGCCATCAAGGTTTTGGAACAAGCTCAAGATTTAAATGGGGGGCTTTGTTGAAGCTATGTCCTTTTAGGTACCTGCGGACCTAGGTAGGTACCTATTATTATGGATGCTATTACCTAAACAGAATTGGAACCTCTCAACTTCAACATTTCTTGTATGAACTTACGTCGTAGGTTTCCTTCAAAATAGTTTATATTGGCATATTCCCCTACTTCACAATTAGTAAGTAGACACTAGGTGGAGTTTAGGTTCGGAAATGAAGGTTTCCGTTCCAATCTTGCTCCTCGGTAGCTCCCGCGTCTTGGGACTCGAGCTTCAACAAGTTCTAGGTGAAGCTTACTCTCTAACTTCGGTTGCTTCGTCCGACTTCAAATCCAATGCGCCAACCTACCGCGACGATTTGGTCTCCTTGCACAAATCTCTCGTGGAAATCTCTTCTATTAGCGGCGACGAGAACGAGGTCGGGAATTTCCTAGTTAATTACCTCGAAGCGCGTGACTTCGTGGTCCAGCTTGAATTCCTCCCGCCAAGTAGCACTTCGAATCCTGGAAAGCCCCGCTTCAACGTCCTCGCCTGGCCGGGACCGACTCGACACCCGTCCCCAAAGGTTCTCGTCTCCAGCCATATAGATACCGTCCCGCCTTTCATTCCCTACTCGCGATCCGATGCGGATCCTACTGCCGACACCGTGATCGCAGGTCGCGGTAGCGTAGACGCGAAAGGCAGCGTGGCCGCGCAGATTACCGCTCTTCTATCCCTTCTCGAATCTGGTAGCATCGCAGGCAAGGAGGACTCCGTTATGCTTCTATATGTGGTTGGAGAAGAGACATCGGGTGATGGAATGAAATTCTTCTCGGAAACGCGTGGTCAGCTGGACCCTCCTCCTGATTTTAAGGCGGCCATCTTTGGCGAACCAACCGATGGCCATCTTGTCTGTGGGCATAAGGGAATTTTTCATTGCAATATTACAGTAAAAGGTCACGCGGGCCACAGCGGATATCCATGGCTTGGCAAGAGTGCGACGGAGCTGCTGGCGCGCGGTTTGGTACGTGTCTTGGATACCGACTTGGGTAGCAGTGAAGAGTTTGGTAACACAACTGTAAACTTCGGGTTGATCGAAGGTGGTGTCGCTGCGAATGTGATCCCGGAAAGGGCAACGGCCCGGCTTGCTGCTCGTGTGGCTGTTGGCCCTGAGATTGGAGGAGAAAAGATCGTGGTTCAGCGACTGCAGGACGTTATGCGCAGCGTGGACGAGGAGGCGTTTGAATTTGATTGTAGTAGCGGTTATGGCGTTGTTAAGTGCAATTGTGACGTCGAGGGTAAGTTCTGGCGGCTATCCACTGTTATTGCATGAGTTGACTGACTTTGAATATAGGATTCGAGACTACCACAGTTAACTATGGAACAGATGTGCATCACTTAGCGGGCAACCATACGCGTTATTTGTACGGACCTGGAACTATCTTTGTGGCCCATGGACCTGACGAGGCGATCAAGCTCGGGGACTTAGAAACAGCGGTGGAAGATTTCAAGAAGCTCATCCTGCATGCTCTCGAGAGCTAAGCGGTTTGTGTCTGGGGTTGAAGGAATTTGAGCACGGCTCTTCTAATTCGTTCACATTCGCTAATTCGTACAATATCATAGGATGTCCAGCAAAGGAGATGCCTACCTAGGTACCTACCTTGCGTTGAATTCCTAAGTCCTTAATTCTTCGCCACGGGAAAGCCAGTCTAATTATCTCTTCACGGGTTTCAGTACTAATTCTTGTTCTTAAATTGCTTTAGCTGATCTTTCGGGTATAATGCCTTTGAAGTCAAAGCTTCCATCTGCGCCCTTCACCACAACGCCACGCTCAGTGACCACGGCATCAATTAGCTCTGCTGGCGTGACATCGAAAGCCGGATTCCATACACCGATATCTTGATGAGCGGTCGCTACGCGTTCCGTACGAGTGACGTCTACCTTTCCATCTTTCCCTACCACCGCGCCGCTGATTTGCGTCAGCTCCTCCGGCTTCCGCTCCTCAATCTTAATCCCCGCACCCGTATCGGTTTGCAAGTCGATACTCGTCGTCGGCGCCGCCACGATAAATTTCAGACCATGATATTTGGCAAGCACAGCGAGGGTATAGGTCCCCACCTTGTTGGCAGTGTCTCCGTTACGTACCACTCGGTCTGCACCCACGATGACAGCAGCGATATTGTTCTCAGCCTTCTTGGTGGCAAATAGGGCGCCGGCCATCGAGTCTGTGATTAATGTGGAGGGAATACCCTCGTATACGAGTTCGAAAGCAGTTAACCTGCTTCCTTGGTTGTATGGCCGAGTCTCAGTGCAGAAAGCATGCTGTAGATGGCCGCCCGAGTGTAACGAACGGATTATACCGAGAGCTGTTCCATGACCTGACGTGGCGAGCGATCCGGTATTGCAGTGCGTGAGAACGGACACCTTGCCATCGGAAGACTTGATCGGTGCATTTTCGAGCAACCATTTGCTACCATACTCGCCAATAGAAAGGTTGGTTTCGGTGTCCTTACGGAATATTTCTTCTGCGGCGGCTATGTACGCTTCGATAATCGCGTCGCGGCCCGCCGTATCATTCTCCTTGCCGGCTACATCGACGGATCGAATCGTGTTTTTGAGGTGGGTAATTGCATTACTGAGGTCTACGGCTGTTGGGCGTGATTGCTTTAGGTAATCGAGGCGCGAGTCGATGTAGGATATCGTCTCATGTGTAGTTGAAGCCTCTATGAAGCGTTTAGTTACTGATCGTCGCCGACTGCTGAAGAATTAACAGGGCGACAAGAGATACTTACTGCAACTCCCGTTATTTAACTCGACTCCGTGTGCTAGTGCTGCTACAATTGCGATAGCGGGTGCGCCTCTAACTCTCATAGATTTTATGCTATCGAAGGCCTCCTCACTGGTCGAAACATCATCATAGTGGTGCTCGTGGGGTAATTTAAGTTGGTCGAGCACTTCCAGTTTACCCCGCGAGTATCGAATCGCTTGAAGGCCTGACATTCTTTTCTTTAATATAAGATCGAATTATTCTTTGAGATTGAGTTGTAAATATTTTAAAATACACAAATGGCGAAACAACGCAACTTCTATTTATGAAAATTTGTTTATATGATCGTTTTCGAAAAATAGCAGAATAGAAACCGAGGGGCGAACTATTACCGCTCTCAGTCTGTTTTAATCCCTGAACCTTGTTATGTATTAGTGCCATGCCTAAAACTTAACCTAGATGATACGTACCTAAGGTACCTAACCTAAGTCGCGTTATCGATAGGGCGACCTGATCTCGCGACAGCTTCAACATTACCTAAAGGCTAACACAAGGTTTATACATAGACAAGTACATAGACCACCGTTCCGTTTATAGCTCACGCCGCTTGACTTTCCACTATTTTCCTACCACATATAGACACCAGATATACCATCGATGCTTCAGTCATGAAATAAAAAACAATCCTCCGAGCTGTTCGTCATGGAACAGCCATTCTCTACCTCCAAAGTCACAGGTGTTTTTGTACATGACCCCTAAAGCTATGCGCCCACCTTACTGATTTCTTATAGTCGAATATTTCGACCCTCACGATGTATACAAGCTCCTAGCGCCCGGATTGGTGCCAAGACTTCCTCTGCGCAACCTCCATTGGCAATCCCACGCCGGCCCCCTTCGTTCTATTGATACCTTACATATCGACCTCGTTCCGGCTGGTGAGAAGAAATCCGTTACTTCGCCTCCTTCGTCCCAACCTCCTTCTCAACATCCGGATAGCACTGCTACTCGTGATGATGGCTTCCAAACTCAGATTGGAGCGACAGCTTCCTCCGATGCTGTGGACCAGACTACGAATCGGAATAGCACACCAGCACGACGTCATCAGATACCTGGTTTAAGGAATACACCCTACCTAAAGGTGTTTTTAGTGCGATGTGACGATAATGATTCTTATAAGGGGCATGTGAGACAAGAGATACGAGATTGGATCAAAACGAATACTCCTTCCTCCACCTCTAAGAAAAACACGGCCGAGAATCATGACGCTTTCGAATGGCTGATCGTCCACGTCGTGATACCAAATACAGTTGCTGCGACCCAACCGCGTGACTCGGGCTCTGCGTCCGAGAAAGCTTCCGCGGCATCTAGATGGAGACCTGCGTCAAGCCCGATCCTTGAGAAGATGAAGTCCGACTTTAACACTTCTAGTAAAGGGACAGCGGACCGGATCGCCCAAATTCGCATTGGTGTCAACGATGTCCCGTACGACCTGCTCCCACGCGTGGTACCTGCTGTACCGACCGGTTATACCGAAACGGAACAGGAGGCGGAGAATGCCTGGACGGATCTTGTGTCCAAGTTCCGCAGTCTCATCCTGTCTAGTTTCGACGTACGAGTTAGCCAGTATGAAGAGGATATCAGGGAGAAAGACGCGCAGAGGACTTTACCCGGATGGAACTTTTGCACATTCTTTATCCTTAAAGAGGGATTAGCTCGGGGCTTCGAAAGTGTTGGCCTGGTAGAGGATGCGTTAGTCGGATATGACGAGTTAAGCGTGGGACTTGACATGATTGTCAAGGATCAAACGTCGGCTGGATCCAGCTCTGCTACAAATGAGCTTTTAGGCTACACGGAGGCGTTGAAGCAGATCGCTCTCAAGGCTAGGGTAGCGATCACAGGAGCCGATTATGAGGATGAAGACGAGTTAGTTGATCTACAGTCATCCCAGGCTGAAGCTACTCAACCGAAGGGCGCATACGACGAAATTCCCATCAGCTCTAGTAAGAAGCCATATCGTGATATGATCGTCGCAAACAACGTGTCTGTTTTCGACTTCAGGTGTTACATCTTCGCGAGGCAGATTGCTCTCTTACTCCGGCTCGGGAATGCCTGGTCGACTAGAGAAGAGCTGCTAGCAAAACTCAAGGAACAACAGGAGTCAGTCCTACATGGTGTTGCGCCTCGAGCGCTACCTTCTAAGCAAAAGGAAAATGAGCACGAAGATTTAACCATGCTTGCTGAGATTTGTCGACGCACATTGGAATTCATACCGATGCTTTCACAGGTCATGAGAAATGATGTCTTTGCTGCGTTGTCCGATATGGCTAAAGAGGACGGAGCCGAAGCAGCAGCAACGGCTCAGCCAGACCCCTTAGCTTCTGAAGTGGTCGACAATCTGGTGGCTTCCTTTGCATTTTCCATCGCGCAACAAATCCTGGCTCAGACATCTACCAAGGCTCTCCCAATACCTACGTCTCCCCTGGCTTCTCCAGATTCTCACGAGCCAAAGTCAGCTATACCTGAACCGAAGACAATGATGCATCCAGCGAGAAATTCCTCACTGGCTATACGGACAAGTGGTACAGCCAACGTAGGTCGTCCGCCTCCAAGTCCGAACATTTTCGCACCTCAACCTGGCGCTATGAGCGAGCAGGCCCAGTCGACATTCCTTAAAGCTGGACTAGAAGAGCTCGCCGCCAGGAGAGCAGAGCTCTATATCTTATCCAGAAATATTCTCGCCGAATGTGGAAAGAAACGGGGTTGGAATGACGGCTGGGCTGACGTACCAGTCATAGGACAAACGAGCATGATTGAAATGGTGGACATCGATCTAGGGGATGACAGTAACGACAACGAGAAGCCGCCAACAGAGGACAATGATACTCCGGCCGATAAAGATTTTGTTGTGTCACTTTCAGGTATTGACAATAAGCTTCTCAAAACAGCTCTCGACAATAGTAACGATTTCTATCGTCTTTATGAGACACTCACCGATAAAGCTCTCCGACATTACACTGTTGCCGATCATCAATACTCGGTGCAGACGAGCATGGCAGATATAGCAGTATTAAAATACTATCTTGGCGACTACGGCTCAGCCTCTTCTTATTTTTGGAGAACCACACCCTTTTTTGGAGAGAGTGGCTGGAGTCTTCTCGAGCTATCTATGCTAGTCATGTACTCAAGGAGCCTAAAGCAACTCCAGCGAAAAGACGAATATGTTAAGGTCATGCTGAAGCTTTTGACGAAAGCCGCAGCCGCCGAGAGAGATCGCCAAGCCGAAAAATCGGGATTTCGACTGACAAAGATAGAACACGTTGATTACCCTGATAGCGAGGTTATTAAAGGGATGTTAGGCGACCTACTTGTAGCGACTAAGACCCTACCGAACGAATTACAAATATCACTATCAAGTTTCTTTTCGGTTGTAGAAGTTGATGGTCCGCCGGAACACCACCAGGGTCATGACAGCATTTCCCTTAACTTGAAAGTGGTCAGCTTACTGGTGGATAACTTTGAAATCGACTCTGCCAAAGTGCGGGTCATAAGTCCAGCTGGGAAATCGTCAAAGGAAATGCGGTTTGAGCTCACGCAGCCGATAGTGATAAAGCCCGGCAAGAATATAGTCAAACTAAAGAGTAATGTGAGTTTACTCCCGTTGGAATCTCAATCTGGTGATCACTTGCTAATAACAACAGTCGACGATCCCGGGGACGTATGAAATCGACAGGATAGATCTCGTAGCTAGTAACCTATGTCTTCATTACGAACGAGAACCTGGCCAACCGGTAAATAAGGACAGCGATATTGTCCAATCCCCTCATGTTGTCATTTATCACCAGGCCGACACGTTAGATGTGCGGTTACACGCGTCGCACCATGTCCAACTGGATCGAAACAATACAGTAGACATCGAGCTAGACCCCGGCTGGAATAACTTGGTGAATGCTGAGGTTCGAGTTAAGGCGGCTACGGGAGGGCTAAGACTCCTTACCAGCGAAGCGAGGTGCATCAGCTCTTCTGTCAGCTTCTCCAAGCCGCCAGAGGGGGGGTTATTCTGTTTCGACTCTATATCGCAGAACGATATCGTCCGAATTCGATTCCCCTTCACAGTCGAGCAAGAGACGCTTAACATATCCATCCGCATCGATGTGTCTTATACTACTGAAAATGGCAAATTCTTCTTTACGAAAACGCCTACCATCGAAACCGCTCTGGCTCTCGGTGTCAACGTCCAAGACGTCTTCAAGCACAAGGCTCTTTACTCTCGTTTCACCGTGTCTACCGCGAGTCACAGCCCCCTACGCCTATTCAGAAGCGAACTCATTAGCTCAGATGTCTTCAAGGCGGAATTTGGTGTACCACCCAGCGCCCCTGTGGTTATCTTCTCGAAGCAACCAGCCAGCTTATTATACAGGATCATCCGCAACACCGACGTGCAGCTCACGCCTAATACTAAGAAGACCATGTACCTCAGACTTCATTACAGCGTCCTGCAAGAAGAGATCGAATCCGTGTTTAAAGATTCCATCACCAAATCCCTGGAAGACAAATCGATACGTCCGTTCTCTCGGCTCTTGTGCTCGGTCATAATTCCTCATGTCCGACATCATCTGACGGGACAGGAGCTCGAGCGTGCGGCTCTGACCGGGTTCGTTCCCACCGCGTTCTTGACATCCGTCAGCTGGGCCAAATATTTCACCGGCTTGGGCAAGACGCCCGACGGTGCCGACTGCGTTCAAGCCTTAACCTCTTTTGTCCGAACGTGGCAAGCGGAAAACCCAAAACTGGCTCTTGAAACCTCGGTCCCAGCCGAGTCCAGGTCGATCCTCATCCCGGTGGACATACCATCCCTGACCATCGTCCACACGGCCGACATCCGTCTCCAACAATCCCCACAACCATCTCCCGCACTCCCATCTACCCCATCAACCCCGACCATCTCTACTAATCAGCTCGTACCCGCGGTCTTGCACCTCAAGTGGACCCGGGTCTGGGACACGACCACCCCGCCCGCCGAGCAGACCGACCTCGAGTTCAGCTACGAGATCATCGCGACCCAGGATACGTGGCTGCTAGGCGGTCGGCGCAAGGGGCATTTCGTCATCCCAGCTCCGTCCTCCTCCTCTTCTTCTTCCTCTTCTTCTTACGAAAGCACCCCCGACACCGAAGCCTCGATCCCGATCCTCCTGATCCCGCTGCGCGAGGGCTGGCTTCCGTATCCGACCGTCGATATCCGGGAGGTGCGGACGTACGAGAACGCGGCTGGAGCCGGAGCTGGAGGCGAAGCGGGAGGAGGCGTAGGAACAGGGGGGGGAGTAGGAGGATCGCAGTTCGAGACCGATCTGAAGAACCTCGGGGAGACGGTCAGGATCCTTGCCGACAGGGCCCGCGTCACGCTTAGCCTGGACGCGAGCGGCCCTGGTGGCGGCCCGTTGGTGTTGGATGTGCAGCGGTTGCCGGGTGTGAGCGGCGGTGGTGATGGGGACGGGTGTGTCGAGGGTAAAGCCGTTGCGTGATTCGCGGAGTGAGTTATAAAAGGTCCTTACCCGAACGTATATAGACTTGTTGGTTTATCTAGAGGAGTTGTAAGACACACGCACTCTAGGTACCTTACATAAGGATGCTTTGAAGCTGAAGCTGAATAGCTGTATGTAAGGCGTAGGTCCAGATAGCACTTACGCTTGTCGCGGCTAATTCAGATAATATACACACAACCCTACATTAACTCCTTTTCGTCAAATCGTGCCGGCCCTTTTAAATTAGTGCTTATTTGATTGCTTATTTCCATGGAAATGCATTTCGTTTAAGTACCTAACCTAGGAGGTAGGTATTAGTATCACTCCGACCTACCGCTTTATATCACATAGGTTACGAAGTACAGGCTTAAAAATATTTCAGGGGTATCAAGTACCGGGTAGTTAGTTTATGGAGACTGAAACTCATCGTCGGTTTTCTATCTTGTTCCCCTAACCGAACGGACATGATTTAGCGAGCTAGTTGGAGTTGGAGTAATTGGCTTTTCATCCACTCCGCCAAATTCCCCGATCTATCTTCGCTAAGCCGTATTCTAGGTTCCTTTTCTATTGATTTCATTCCTTCCTCCTCAACTTTTTGATAATGCAACGCCTTATAAAGAGGGAACTAGCAGAAAAAGCAAAGAAACGGATATGCCACAATCGCAGTAACCCAGTTCCCGTTATATCGCTTAAGCGTTCAGCTCATCCAGATTCGGTGGGTGGAAAGGGTTCCACTTATCCATCTCATGAATAGGTACTTTGCCCTCTGCCCTCCACTTCGCCTCGAGCCGTGTCATAGTCTCTCTAGTCTTATCCCAGTCGAGTTCCTTCTTAATCCTCTCAGTCTCCTGCTCCCAATCGTCATCGCTGTCTTCATCTTCTTGAGAGGGGGCCAGTAGTGCTTCCCTAGCCTTAGTGATTCTTTGAGAAGCCTCAATTCCTATACACAGACGCGGATCGAATCGGCCCAATCCTTCTTCTTTCTTCCCGTCGCCCTCGGCATTTGCCAACGTTGCCAGGGCCGCAAGTCCTAGGTACCCGTGGTAGACGTCAGGAGGAGCACCGGGGTGCTTCCCAAACCCGCCAATCATGTGTTGTGTCTTCTCGAGTATGAACTTCCTAGCAGGGCCGCGATCAAGCACCTGACTCTCGCCAAGCATAAACAGCGTGCCGCTGACCCACCACGTATAGCATGTATCAGCGACCTTATTCAGACGGCCATTAAATCCAGCGATCTGAGGTGCATCTGAAACAGCCAAGGCAGAGATATCAGGTAATGGGTGGTTGCTGGATTCTTCATTTTCGTCGTCAGCGTCGGGTTCCAGATAGTCGAACTGACGGCAGGCAAGGAAGTGAACTAAAGACGGAATGGAAGGAATGCCTGCTTTCAGGTACCGGTCCGGTTCTGTGGCAGCGTTTGGGTTGCTGAGGTTAAGAATAGATAGCGCGGCTACGGCGCAGTAGACGTATCCAGCATGGCTTTCGTGTGTGGAACTTTCGCCTAGGCCACCATCGAAGGTTTGTCCTCGCCGTATGTGTGCTACCAGGGCATCGACGTTGAAGTCTTCGTCAGTCTCGGATCCGGCAAGAGCCCATCTAATAGTAGCAGCCAGGTAGCAATAACGCATATCCCTGCCTCCCCCGACATACCCGTCCTCGTCAATGATCTCGCCAAAGCTGCCGTCATCCCTCTGCAGCGTCTTGAGCCAGCGTAGAGTTTTTATACGGTTTACTCCCTCAAATGCTTTAGAGCCGTCGTCATCGGCCAGAATGCCTAACAAAAGTAGGGCAAAGTAGGTAGCAGCTATATTAGCATTGGCCGGGTCCAGCGCGGATTCAGCATTGTTAATAGCGTCCCATTTTGTGGTATACTGCTCTGGTAGGACATGGTGAGGTGAGCCACAAAAACCACCCTGTGGATGCTGTAGTGAGAGGACCCAGGCCCTTAGCCGAGTACGGTCTTCTCGACTTATAAGGGAGGTTTTTAGGGGATCCTTTGGGGGTTCGGAGTATGATGAAGATGAGGATAGGAGATCGAGAGCGGCGACAATGAAGAAGCCGAGCGTGAGACGAATACTATCGTTACTCACGTAGTGATGAGGGAGCACAGAGCGGAAGCATCGCTGCCAGTAACGAATATGCCGAGCCGTATCTAGGGGGGGTTGCTGTTCGGAAGAGGCCATTATGAGCACGGATGTGTCATGTATGTGTCATGTATTAGACGGAGACTCGGGCATTAGAAGCTGAAGAAGGAAAAGAGGAATGAAGGAAGGAAAAGTGAAGCTATTTGAGAAGGTGATTTTATATAGAGAAGCGATTAGCTAGGTAAGTACCTGATACCCTGATAACTTTAAGTACCTGACCTAGACCTAAAGTATATTTTAAGTCTTACTTTCCTCCAACTATCGTATTATGTATAGAGTACGGCAGGTACTAACATGAATCATTTTGCAAGGAAGGTTTCTTCAACCTGCCCCTCCCCTTCTAATTACCTGCATCAGCCCTATGGTCCCGCCTACCCCTCCATCCATGTGGCTGCAAAGGATGCCACGACCGTCTAATGCTACCCAGATGTACCGTACCGGCGTACCCATCGTCATAGTTAGGTAGAAATTGAAAGTACTGAAGTACTATGTAGCTGTCTGATGTAACCGGTCAAACTCACGCGATAGGCGATAAGGATAAGGATAAGCATGGGAACTTACTATGTACCCAAAAACAAATAATCCTGGTCCCTGAAAATGGGAATGAATTGGCGTTCTGGAGGTACCTCATACCACCATCTTTTTTTGTCTGCTACATGCACCAAATTTCCCTTTCTCGTCTCCAAACCTGACACAAGGTCGACCCCTCCAAGACCCAAAACGACCCCAAAGATTCTTTCTCACATGCGTGTCGCAGGACGGGACACCATTCCGCTAAGTCCGTCGCACAACACGACAACCCGCTAGATTCTTGTCGACGTGTATGGAACTCCTGCCGTGCCTGCTGCTCTCGTTCTCATGTTTCGTGTTTCGTTTTTCGTTTTTCGTTTCTCCAACTATCTCTCCACTTTCGAAGGGAAACAAGACATTAATATCGTCATCGTCGACGCTGAGTTTCGAATAAAGAATAGCTATTGTGGACCATAGAACACTACCACCATCACCCTCATATAAACGATCCACCATCGAAAACGAGAAAACCAACCCAATCATGGCGCTCATATCGGTCAAAACCATCTTGACCTCCCTCTGCCTCTTCCACATCACCCTGGCCTACTTCTTCTACACGAATCCCAACGCCATTTCTGAGCAGGCCCTCGTCTTCGTGCTAGGCGAAGCCATGGGCATGGTAAGCTTCATCTTCCCCCCTCCCCCATTTACCTATATACACTATACCCTCCTCTTCCAAGTACCGACAAAAAAAAAAAAAAAAAAAACCACTGACTCCCTCCCGTAGCCCCAAACGACCGCCTTCGCGAACCCGAACCCCGTCTCCTCCCTCCTCGGCGTCTCCCTCCTCATCACCGGCCTCTCCGACCTCGTCACCCTCTCCCTGCCCGAAGAGATATGGATGGTGCACTACTGGGGCACGCAGGCGCCCCTGCGCATCACCATCTTCGCCTCGCTCTCCCTATTCGCGTACTTCTCCACCCCGTCCGCCGGCCGCTCCGGTCCCAACCGCCTGTCCCACCCCTTAGCCCCTCCCGCCCCCTTCTCTTCCTCCTCCTCCCCCGCCTCCTCCCCGTCGTCCATATTCTCCCCCGCGGGCCCCACGGGCAGCGACGGCCTGCGCAACCGCGTCTTCTTCACGTTCGCCTTCATCGAGTTCCTCAGCTGGTTCTGGGTCTGGGTCACGCTGAAGGAGGAGGCCGCGAGCTTTTTCGCGCGCAAGAAGAGGAGGGGGAGCCACAGTGGTGGTGGTGATGCTGTGCGGTAGATGTTTGGACTGGAGAGGATGGAGGTAGAGGGATTGAGACTGACTTGTGGCACGTTCGACGGGCATGACCCCCCAATATCGAACCTATAATAGGCTATGACTTTCTTTTCTCCCCTTTTAAGCCGTATCATGTCGTGCAGCGGGTTCTTTAGAAGAAGCATATTCTGGCGTGGACGTGGGCATTCGATATAGGCATAGGCATGTGTTATTGGCATTTCTACGGCATTGGGCCAAGGCTTACGAATCTGGATCGGGAGACGTTGCTAGACAAATACGAAGAAATACGAAGACGTGGAAGAGATACCCCTCTTAGTCCCTAGGGGATTAATTAGTCGCAGTATGCAGGGTAGTCATCTTATCTCAGATGGCGGTTTCATGCACGATTGTTTACGAATTGCCTATGAATAATCGCAACTATCTACATAAGCTAATTAGCAACTTTTCGGCACGGAATCGTGACGATTAACAGCATTATTCCTATTAATCCGTTGGCTGGGATCAGAGAAAAGCTGCCTTCTTCCTTCCCTATCTTCACCCTCATCATGCCTATCCCCTTAGATATTCTTCGGTCACAAAATGTCTGCCTTTTTTTTTGGCGCGAATATCAAGATGCAGATCCAGGAGTTCGTATAACTAGGACTTAGTACATGATTTCCAAGCTCTCGAAGAGTGATGTCCAGATATCGAGGAAGTAGAACGAAGAGATATGCACAAATGCTTGGGACCACGACTACGAGGTAGTTGACCAGGTAGAGAATAAAGTACGTATCTTACTAGGTAGGTACAGTAGAGATCAAATCGGGACGGGACGGGACGGGACGAACGGAACAAGCAGATGTTTAGTCGAATCTAACGGCAGCCCAACCATTCATGAGCTCGCGCCAAGATTCGCCAACCTTATCAGCCCATAGCTCTCCATTCGCCTTGGGGATGACGGCTTTGATCTTGCTGGCCACCTCCTGCTTGAACTCCGCATCCTCGTCGTACGCCGTGGTATAGTCGCCAAATACCCAATCGCACAGGCGATCTCTCCAGCCGTCGACGTTGCTTAGGTAGTCCCTGAGCAGCTTAATGCGAGCCTTGATCTTGTTCTCCGACTCGGCGGCGGCGGCCGTCATCTTTTTGAGCTCGGCCGCGAGCCACGCGAGTTCAGTGTTCGCGCGAGCTTTATCCGTGTTCTTGAGCTTCTCGGATATGCTCGTGAGGTAGTTTGTCGTATACTTGACGGCTAGGATCGATTCGCGTAGCATGCCCATAGCATGAAGAGCCGCGAAGCCGTGGAAGGCGTAGATCTTCGAGTGGATGTTTTCGGGTACTTCTAGGAAATCTTGGGTTTGGTCCTCGAGGCTTTTTATGATACCTCTGATGAGGAAGCGATCGAACTCGCGGGTTTCGTTGGTTGAAGTCGAGAGGAATCCGTGTGCCAGAATGCTCTTCACCGCGTTGGCAAGCCTCCATATAATTCCATAGTACCAGTATTCCGGTGTCGTGTAAGAACCCCTTACGGAATCTCGTAGTTTTCCTACGTCGACTTTCTCTCCTTCTTGGAGCCCCTTATCGCCTAAAGCTAATATGGTCCTCATTTCCTTTTCTAGATGGGAGCTTGTAGCGGACGCATATTTCCAGTCGAGCTGAGCAACTTGGCTTGCCTTGGATGGTTTATACTCCTTTGGCTGTACGTAGCAGACCAAATCAAGGAAGCGTTCGGCTATCAAGCCTGCGTGAGCGCGGCCACCCTAATATCACGATTAGACTCTAGTCTACAGGCACGTTATCAAGGGTTACAAACCGTCGGGAGAGGTCCGTAGTGGACTAGAGAAGAAAGAGGCTGAGCCGATTCACTATCTGGAACTGAAAAGATTCCATAGTCGGTAATGTCGCGAATAGTATGGTCGGTTGTTATTTTCCCTACCTACCTGTCAGTAGGTTTTCTCAAACTTCATCAGTACCAAACGGGTAAAACATACGGACGAGGGGTTGGTCTTCTATGGGGACCTCGATCTTGCCTGTTTTTATTCGCAAGCCGCGGCGTTCTTCCACAACAGCCATAACTAGAGTGCAGCTTGAGGTCTGTTTTTCGGCATATCTAATCATCTCTTGAATGCTAGAATAAGTCCCCATTTCTAGAGCCTCCATAATTTTCTTCGGGGTAGTACTCATAAGCCCCCTAGTAAAATGTACCATGAAAGGCTGGACAGGATTGTCACGACTAGATCCCGCGATAAATAATCCGGGGGCGATGGATGATATCCGGTCAATAAAGAGAAGCCCTAGAGAATCTAGGAGCGCATTCTTAACAGCAAAACGGTCCCAGTAAGCCTTAGCTCGAGACACGCATCCCATCAGAAGATACAGCTTAACGAGCAAAACGCGGTGCGTATTGCTAACAGAGGGCAACATGACTAGGCATGAATCCAGCCAAATAAGAGCTTGCAGAAACAGTTGGATATTCGCATGGTACAGAGAATTAGTACCCATTGGATGCGACTCGGTAGCAAGTCCTGCAAGCCTTAAGAGACATACAGCCCCTATTACTGCCATATCCGAGAAGGGATTCTGACTCTGGCCGGATAGTATTTTTTGCCGGTAGTCATCATTTTCCATGCCTGCCTTATACGCATCAAGGGTATTGATTGCAATGGATTTGAGGCAAGGTACGCAACCGCTCCGTTCCATTCTTGCATTACAAATGGTACAGGTAAATATACTACCCATCGCCACTGCATATCGGATCCTCAAGCTTAGGGATGTCAGTATAAAGCGTTTATAAGTGTCGTCACACTGGATTGTCAGGGTTAGCGGTGCTATACGATATGAATACTAGGGGCTCCTTTTGGTAGTTACCTTGATAGTAGCGGCACGAAGAGCTGCGATAAACGAGGTAACCTCTTGCTTGGTCAACTCGGGTATCAATGTTAAAGCTTCAGCGGCGCAGTTAGGATCGTCATAATGTCGAACAACATGGTTCATAAAGTTAGCAACTCTTGTGGTATAGCCATGCGAATCAAGATTCGCGGGGGACTCTCGGGCGACAAGAATGGATAGGGAAAGGATGTCGTATGTTTTTTGGAAGATAGGTCTCATGCTTTCCGCTCGGGTCAAAGCCTTGATCAGCTTGTCGACTAACTGACGAACCTGTTTAAGGGCTCTGAGGTGAGGTCAGCACGGAGTTCTTGCAAGGTATATTCAATAGAAATACTTGCCGCTTCCTATCAGGCTGGGCCTTAGCAGCTGTGAAGGTAGCTATGAAGAGCCCATATTCACAGCTCGCAGATATATAGGATTGGTCTTTTAAAGTTCTCGGAGGTCGAGCCTTTTCTATAGCGCGAGCTAAGTCTTTCTTAACTGATGAGCCCTGCTTATCATCAGTCTCTGCCAGCTTCCGCAGACTAGTAATTTTTTCATCGTTTTCAATAGCCGTGGCTTCCTTTTGAGCTATACGAGTGGCTTCTTCGAAGATCTCCTTCCCAATTTGAAAAACGTCATCCCAAGCACGGTAAGTCTGTAGATAATTTAGAGCTATCCAGTAGGGTTCCTGGTGACCAGCTTTGAGAAATGCAAGGGGGCTGTATTCAGGCTTCCTAAAAAGCTCCAGGTTTTCCTTCGGTGTACAACTGCTGATTCGAATATTTAGCCATAACCAGGCTTCGGATTCACTACCGACGGCACGATCAGCATGCTGATCATTATCAGGAGCCTAATAATTGCAGTCAGCGCTTTCCCTCTTTGGAATGTTTCATTTTTCTACTTCAATTCCTTACCACAGCTCGGAGGTCAAATGCTTTATCGGCCTGTGCTTTTGCAAGTGCTGTAAATATCTTTCTGCTGCCCTCAGGACATTCATCGGAAAGCTGTTCAGGTCAGAGGAGCTCCCAGTGTCAGAATAGGCAGGGCCAGGAGCCAGGGCTTACAGAATATTGATGAGTGGCCAAGATGTATTGAAACAAGGACTTCCGGTCGCTAGCAAAATTCTTATTCAACGATGCTGCAATCTACATGTGCCTGTCAGTAAGTTTGCTTTCTGAACAGGGGGAGAAGTATTACCTGTTGAGCATTCTTCCAGTCTGAATTCCAGACACAAGCATCGAAGCATCTAGAACAAGACTTCTGATCTTTTGGGAGTGCCTTCACCAGCCTTGCCCGGAGCACGCCGATGGTTTCGGAGTAATTTATATCAGTACGAGCGCAGGCGAACTCGTATAAATCCAGGGTATCCACGTCGGTTATCGTGATGTTGTCCTTGATCATGCTTTCCACAGCAACCTTTCCCGCACTACGGTCAGCGACATTGTCGCTCTGAGATTTAGCAGCAATCTCGACAGCCTAGAAGATATTAGTAGAAGTAAACTAGGATATGAGTGAGTAATAAAGAAGCACAGATGACCTACCAAATAGTATGGATCCTTTGTGGTTCTGTAACGCTGCCTTGCTAAGTTTGCCGAGTTGGTCCATTGCTCTTCGGCAAAGGCAGTTAACAGGCTGACAGGTCCTGTGGGCTTGAGATTAATATGCCGTGGGGTTGGAGGAATCAAAGGGGGCTTCATCGTAAATGTGGTAGTATGCGGCAGTTTTGTTTCTGTTATTTTGTTTTTGGTGTTTGTCTTTTGCGGTGCAGGACGTTACTACCTAAAATAGATAGCAAAGAGATATCCAGTAGGTCCCAGATGTAAGAATTTCTAGTTTGACAAAAGGTGAATAAAAGCTTGAGTGGAAGTATGAGGGTTTCAGAGTTTGAAGGACTCGAGATGGAAGAAATGATAGTGGGGTATCATTGCTTGGAGTTGATGTTGAAAAAGTTAAGAATCTTTTATTTGTTTGGGGAATAACTTTGAGCAGCTTTAGATAACAAGTCCGTCACGGTATAATCATCTCGTAGGAGACTTGTAGGTGCGTAAGAAACCACCTAACCTATACCTAGTGATTTCACGTTGTTGATTTTGAACGTTGCTAGGCTATAATGAATAACTCTCGTCGTCTCTAGGTAGGTAGGCAATGTCTTAGGTACAAAAACATCCCACCTTAGATCCTTGTAACCCATTAGTCTTCTTGCTGGATTCTGCCGCCGAAGTGGATTAGGGTTCCTTTCCACTATTATATATTCGGTAGGCGGTGTGAATTAGCGCACCCGTCGTGACAACCCGTTTCACCTGTAGCAGATGTAAGTATAGGCCTATAGCCAGGGCGTCTTGCGCTATAATATATGTACCTATCTAGGTAACCTGATAGAGGATCATCCCAATCCATTGAACCTCGGATTTTTAGGAACAGGAGATTAGGTACCTAGTAATTGACATATATCTATCTGAATAGCAGATGCATTTTTATACAATAGGTAGTTGCACCTCTTTTCCACCTATAATAAAAGGTAGATAAGGTAACCCCTTTATTTTACAATTGTTATTACAGCTCTTCCCTACCTACCTAGGTACCTTACCTAGGTGAGAGGTACCTCAAGTAAGTAAATCATCCGAAAAAACCGTGTAGGTAAAGCCCCGCTGCTTCGACTCAACCTCCTCCCATAAGAGGTCTCTCTAGTGGTCCCAACATCAACTCCAGAATATGCTGCCACCTTCCCTCTTCCGCTTTTCAGTCTTGCAGAAAGTCTTGTTAGAACTATTTGATAAGTAAGCTCGTAGCGGAGATGTAAGTTATTCTTACCCATTCCTTTTTGCAAGCACGGTATGCCCTATTTGACGTCTCCCGTTAGTATATTTCTTCTACCGTCATCCCATGATCCATCTCATTGCAATTTTCACTCTCATTCTCAAAAGCTCATGAGGGACTCACTCGAAGTAGTCGGTACACATTTTTCTATCTCCTCCATTCCGATTCAGACATCGGATACTCTTCGCTGCGGCCTCTTGACAAGGGTCGAAGAATTCGCTATTGGGTTTACTGGTACCACCGTAATTAGCAAATGCCAACCAAACTCTAGATTTACCATCGACTTGCTTCTGGAACTTCTGTTTCGTATCTTTATTCCATGGGTCTTTCTCCGACTGATCTTGTGAAGACATATTGGGCTATGAAACTTGCGAAAGCAGCGTATGATTTGTAGGTAGGTAGGTTAAAAGTTTCGATTTTGAGGAGTGATGATGCATGGAATCTTTGGTGTCGGCGCTGAATCCCAAAATTACAAGGATTAGGGTGGGTACCTAACGGCTTCAGCTACAGGTACAGAACACCTACCTCATCTTAGTGTGGTAAGCTCCGAGCTTACATAATGATCACTGTTTGCATAGGTACATCCAAGATATTCAATACCTACCTCGTGGGTGCTTTCCTAGTACTTCCAAGATTTGACGTTCGGTAGCAAAACATTTGGCAGCTACACTATGAAACAGCTCAACGGTACACTTACAGTGGTATTTTAAAACGACGCCGGGTCGGATGCGAATTAGTGACGATGTAGAACCGATTTGGAAAGGCGAAGGTAGAGCTCCATTGGGTTCAATGTCTTAGCTTTCGCTATGAAATACGTTTTAGCATCACCTATACCGTCGATCAATGTGTTTGAGACTTGAAGATATGCAATGCCTCGAGGCATAATTGGAAGATTTCGCGATAACTCCTTGACTACAGCGCAGGAGTAGCAACACTGTCGCTAATATATCGGATTAGCTACCTCCTACGCCATGTAATTTAACAGGGACTTGAAATAAAATGTGGCTGAATTAATGGTAGCGCATTGGAGTTTCTCCAGCTGTATGGTTTTTGGCTTCCGACCCAGTAAGCGTCTGGACATATGGCGAGATTCCGGGAGGCTATCTCATGCTACCAAGCCATCAGGTCGTACCTAATATTAAAAACCCACCAGGTGTCTAGGGTACCATCCGTTTCTGATATTCGGTGGCACGGTATCTAGCTGAAAGGACAAGCAGTGAGGTGGGAGTGGAATCAAGTTGTCAGGTACCTGTACTATGTAGGGTCTTCCACACGCCCAGGTAACACAAAGCCCCTTTTCTATCCGAGTAGAAACTTATTCATCTAAAACATGCATAGGATAGTCGCAAAATAGGTAAGTATAACGGCAGTTGTCTTACAGTTTATCTTAGGTAGTATCCGTGGTTGACGCAGGCCTACAGCTTCAATACAACCCTAGGTACGGACCTGATTATATGAAGTGGCTTATATTAGACACGGAGCCAGAGAACTGTCTGGGGGAAGCACACCGAAAGGATCTCACTCAATAATCACGTTTTTTTTTTTACCAGCTTCTGAAACAAGCTGAAGGACTTTTTTTTTTTCTTTTCGCATGGAACCCTCCAAGTGATATGTGACCAAAGTAGTAGGATCCTTGTGACCTACGCCTACTCTATGTAGGTACAGAGGAGATCGGCGCCGAAAAAGCTTAGCCCACCTAGGAACCTGAGGTTCGTGGGCTTTGGTGTCTAAGTTTGGAGTTGGGGGCTAGGTGTCAGCAGGGGTTACTACAAGTATCGAATTCTCGATTTAGGGAGACTCAACTCCAATTCGGATATTAAAATAGTAAACGCATCCATATAGTTGTGTAACATAAATAATAAGATGAGTACTCCACAGTTAGCTTGCTCCTATATGTTTCCGTCTGCGCTCTCCTAAAATGTTAACTAACAATCTTGATGAACTTCCACTAGTGCGTTGAACCTAGAGTCGTCCATGTTATATCATGATCCATAGTGTATAATGTCGACTAACGATATTTCCATACCAGCCGGTCTAGAAGTTGCCCCATCTGATTTACCACATGTCGTCAATGGACCGACCATCATAGGGAACTCTTACGAGCGCCCGGAGAAGTATGCGTTCGAGCAGCCAAATCCCAGTCTACAGGGTGTAGCTCAACAGAATGCTTACTCAAACGGGGCGTATATGTCCCAAGGGTATCCTCTACCAGTTCAGGGTCAGCCTCACTGGGGAGGTTCTCAAGATGGGACATACCTGTCAGACAAGCCTTTCCCTCCACTTCCGAGCCGCGAAGGAGCTCTATGTGGGCTAAGACCGAAGACCTTCTGGTTGATAATTGGCCCGCTCATTGCCATACTCGTCATTGGTCTGGCAGTCGGCTTGGGCGTGGGATTGGCTAGTTCGCACAACTCGAGCTCCAATTCCGAGTAAGTGAACTAACAATGCTTCTACAATAATATGAATTTTTCTATTGATATTTTCACCAGCGGAACTCCTACGTCCTCCAATCCCTCAAGCGCAACTACGTCAACGCCAATCACCTGTCCACAATCAAACGGGACGATATACGAGGGAGCCGGAAATGAGCCATTCTTGGTTGTCTGCAATGTGGACTACAATAGTAACTATGCAGGTAGCGGAACCACAGACATTGGCAATGAAGAGACAAGCTCCGTGGAGGACTGTATCGATACGTGCGCGGGAAACTCGACTTGCGTCGGGGCTGGCTGGGGCAACTATGAGGGACGTTACATCTGCTGGATGAAGGGGAAGCTGGGCTCGTCGCAGGGCGCCCCAAATTGGCTCTTCGCAATAAGGCAATAGATTAATGCATTTTGGGATTTTTTACTGGGGATAGATCTAGTAATGGGTCAAAAGGATTTATGGGATAGGTGAAAATGGTAGGTAGGTAGTTCTATATGTTTTCCTAGGTATTTCGGTTTCCATATTCTATAGAACCCCCCCTATAATACCCTCGACGGGGCTGAGTTCTAAGCCAAGCCTCTAATATATAAAATCCAACTAGCTACAGTCATCGACACCTGCGTTTTGAGATCTCTAACTACCTAGAGGCAATTTTGAGTAACGTTTAGGCCTTTAGCTTACCCGTTTAGGCTCGCCCAGAGCATTTCGTTGCACGAGTCTAAGTAAAAACATATAAATCCATGAGCAGAGACCTAAGGGAACTGGGTATAAACGCGGTGGTATGAGTTACCCAGTCATTCACTGCGGATGCTCTTCCTCTAAGTCGCTACATACATCTTCATACGTCTTCATAACAGCTATATACAGCATACAACCAACCCGTTCCATATAGCACGCTCACTAAATCTAAAATCAACCAACTGAGACCACTACAAACAAACACCTCTACTCAAGTCATATACCAAAAGTCCTCAACACATCCACGATACCCGAAAAGGGGTTCATATACGCCAATGAACCCGCGCCATTCTCTACCTGGCTAGAGTTGTCGCCACCGCTGCCGCCACCGGAACTAGATAGATAATAATATCAGCACAATCTGCAGTAATTATACGACTCTCACAAGGGAACTCAAACGAAAAAGGGAATTCAAAAGGAACGGATGAAAAAAAAAGAAAAAAAAATTACTAACCCGCAACTCCAACTCCCGGCCTCATCCATATTCCCCTTCCCATCCCACGTCGCCGTATCCGGATACGCGCACACGGGCCGCTGCCTCAGCACCCCCGACGACGCGTCCTTCTGCTCCTTCCACGCCGTCGCGACGACCTGGTCGACCGGCGTCCCCTTCTCCACCCAGTCCATGAGCGCGAGCAGCGCGTCGTGCCCTGCGTCCGCGAACCCGGGCACCGAATGCGTGTCGTTTCCCAGGAAGGCGGCTTGCCCCGCGCCGCCGATCGCCCACGGCGCCCCGACGGCGGTTAGCCCGCAGTGCTGCATCCCCGGGACCTCGAGCCGGCGGAAGAAGGCCCGGGCGGCGCCCACGTCCCCGCCGCTCGTGGCCTGCACCGCGCGCTCGTAGTACAGGCTGCCGGCGGTGGTGGGCACCAGGCCGTCGGCGGCGCCGTGGTACAGCAGCATCTTGCCGCCGCGGTCGCGGAACGTCGTCAGGTTGTAGCCGTCGGCCGTGGCGTTGCCCGGGTCGAGCGCCTCGGCGAGCCGCAGCAGGGAGTCGTTGTACTGCGCCGCCGCGAACATCGGGTCGTTGAGCACGAAGTACCGCACGTACCCCAGCCCGTACGGGCTCGCGTCCGAGTAGTTGAGCAGCGTGTACATCTGGTTCTCGGACCCCGGGAGGAGCCCCGGCATCACGCTCTCGCCCGTCGCGTCGATGGTGAATCCCGCGTACATCTTTTTCAACGTGTCGATCTGCGCGTCGTTCAGGCAGTTGCTAGACGTGGCGAAGTCGGATATGGCGTCGCTGTTGCCGTTGCTGCATCGCAACGCGTCGAAGTTGATGTTGCACTTCTCTGGAGAGCTGATGATACCGTCGCTCACGCCGTCGAGGTCGTCGCACTGACGTACGACCTCGGAGCCGATAGGCGGTAGCGTCTGCCAGTTGATATGCTTGGGTGCGCTGGTGGGCCAGTTATACGTGGCAACCTTGCAAACCCAAGTATTGAGATGGCTCGTATACCAAGACGGGGCACCAACTAGCACTCCGTCAAAGCTATCGGGCGAGATTTGCACCTCTTTAAGGCCTTGCCGACCGCCTGTCGAGCACCCGTTATAGTACGAATGACTGATGGGTTTTGAGTAGTACGTTGTAACGAGGTCTTTGCCTTGCTCGACAGTTCCGTGCAGAGCACGCCAGCCCCAGTCCGTCTTCATCTCACCGTTGTTAAGGGCCCAACGCAGATCAGCAGTAGTTGAGTTATGGCCCGTGTCAGTTGATACGACGGCAAACCCGTACCTAACACCGGCGCCCATGTCCATCCAGTTGATACCGCCTCCGAACCCTCCATTGCCAACAGCGAGGAAGCGGCCGTTCCAGTCCGCGGGAAGGAATATGCCATATCTATATGAAGAAATGGGGGATGAAACCACGGAGATGATAACAGCGCACAGTTCTGGTAAGTTCGTCGGCGGGGTCGGGTACATAAGATCCGTATCAGGCTCGCCGAATGAGCTACCGGCGCTGATGTGCTCGACCCTTTCTACTTTGGCCGTGGTCGGAAGCACGCTGGCAAAGGTGTCTTCATGGCAATTCGAGTCGCCGGTCTGCCTACGAATATTGTCATGATTGATGTTGTTGGTGTTGTCGTTATCGTAATTACTCCCAGCTGACGTAGAAGAAGCTGCAGTAGCAGCCAAGGCCGCCACTGTAAGGGTTCTGACGGAAGATTGGAGAAGGCCTGAGCACATCATCGCGAATGCAGCACCCTTCCCACACCGATTGGCATTAGAAACTTCTCTTTTGGGGGAGAGGGGGGGCGAGCGCTTCGATGCGTGACTTCAGGCAGAAGTCAGAATAATATATATAAGGAATATGTATATATGCCACCAGAAACCTACATCTAGGTAGCTAATATGTATTTCGTCTACGCATGTATGTATATATTCGTGTTCACGGACCTACCGGCCATACATGACCGAGCTCGTGGGTTACCTTGGCATGCTATGCTACATGTGTGCGAGGGAGGTTGGTCATATACAAGACCTTGGATTAGCGTGGGACTGTATCCCTGTGTGACCGTGCTGCTGGTACCCTAAGTCGTAACCTCAGAAGATATCATCTGGGGTAAAAGCATGGGGGATCTATATCCACCAGAACGGTATTTACTATCGGACAATAGAGTACCTAGGTTCGTGGAACGGTCTAGTTTAGCTGGCCCAGTCTAGCTAGGCCAGGCAGCCTAAGGTTGCTTCTTCTCCAACTGATTACGACCCCTTACTTCTTTGTATTCATTATCAAGTGCGGGGTTTTCTTACCCGCGGGATCAATGAGAATCTCGTTCCAGCCGGGGTTGGAATTCCAGTATCTACCTAGGGTATCTGGTTAGCCCCCGAGGTACTGATCGGTTGATTCCGAATGCAGGTCCCGGCCAAATCCAACGTCTGTCGTAAGTGTCTAGGACAATTTGGCAGTGAGCTTGCGTGGGATTTCCCAAGAATTTCAACGATTGGCTAGAAAAGCATGTCAAAAGCAAGGGAGCTTACGTAGCTAAGTCGATGTGCCGGGAATATTGTCACTAGTCTGCAGTGTGGCTTGGCATAGAGGACATATTTCGCGAGAAGTATGCTGTAAGGAATTTACTAGTCTAGTGTTAGATATCATCAGAGGGAATTGATTCATGTAGAAAGACGGTTATATTCTCTTATATTGAGACCTATTTATGATAATGTCATAGAAGACATGTGTCCTTCTCTCTTAAGTACCAGCTGATAGAGATATGTGATCCCATAAGCACAAGTTACAGCTTGTATAATCTAGGAATTATGCCTTCAGAAGCTGCAGCCAGTAGGGTCCGATTACGTCTTCCATAGTAATACCTCAGCCCGAGGGCGCCAAAAGCCACAACGAAAAGCATGGCACAGTTCACACCGTGGCCAGTTGGATAGCCTTTCTTAGCTTCTTCGGCCTTGTAAATCCATACTCCAGGGATCTGTCCGAGACCTGCGCCGATACTGACGTTGAGCGCCACGGCCAATCCAATGGATGCTGTGCTCCACATGTTCGAGGTTAGCCAGCCAAGCATTGGGGGGACGCATCCAAATGCCCCAGCGGTTCCAACAATCAAGCAGCCATAGCGATGGGTGTAAGCATCAGGCGGTAGTACGGCAGAGGCCAAGAAACCTGCTGCGCCAATTAACGCGGCAATGACACAGTGATAGCCTCGAGCGTTGAAATGATCCGCCGACCATGAAATTAGAATTTGGAATACTACTTGATTAGCATCAAACATATTTGCGCGTTTTATCTTAGGGACTCACCATAAGCAGCGGCCCAGGGAGGCACCGTCATCAGTTGGGCCTCTAGGTCGTGGAAACCCAAGCCGGCGACGATTGAAGGTGAGAATAAAGAAAGAGAGCTAAAAGGCAAGGAGACCGCGAAGTAAATAGCGTAATGTCCGTATAACCGCCAGTCTGTTAGTGTAGCCTTGACATCATCCCAAGTCAACGAAGAAGCTGAGCCTTTGGAACCCTCTAGATATAGTCGCTGCGCAGCTAAATCCTTTTCCGTCTCCGAGAGCCAGGAAGCTCTCTCGGGGTAGTCTGGTAGGAAGAACCATACAAGAATTCCTGATAGACATGAGGGAATACCTTCCAGCATGAAAAGCCATCTCCAAGCAGAGAGGCCGCGTGTCTGGTTCATATGGCCAACTCCATAAGCGATTGCTCCACCGAAAGCGCCAGCAAGAGTGGCGCTTGCGAGAATGAAAGCTACTCGGACACTACGCTCGTCGCTTTTGTACTATAAGGGGCCCCGTAGTTAGTAATTGCCCTAGAAAATTGATTGCTTCGAGGGCTCTTGATTTGAACTCACCCAGAATGTCAAGTAATACACTAGCCCAGGGAAAAGACCAGCTTCAAAGGCGCCCAGCAGGAAGCGGACGCCAGTCATCTGACCGTAGTTATGGACACCGCCCATGCCAATGGTGATAACACCCCAGGAGAACATGAGGAAGGCAAGCCATCTAGACGGGCGAAGCTTCTTGAGGAGAATATTTGACGGCACTTCGAATAAGAAGTAGCCGATCAGGAATATCATGAGCGCAATATTGAACTGGTAGTTCGAGGTCCCGGTCTCGGTTTGCATATCATTATGAACTGCCGAATTGAGCACTTTGGCGTTACCGATGTTGGAACGATCCAGGTAGCAAAGGAAGTAGATGCCCGCGGCTAAGGGCACGATGCGCTTGTCTTGCCTCCATAGCAACTTTCGCTCAGGGGCAGAGGAAGCATTGACAGTATCGACCGCTTCCTAATATAGCTGTGAGAAACAGCGAAAGATTGTTAGGTCACACGTATTTGTTACTTACATCTTTCAAGTTTCCATCTTCGAGCTCCTTGGCCTCAGGACCGTTATTCTTCTCCAAGTCGCTGAAAGTGTTTTCGGTCGCCATTGAGAATAGCTAAGCTCCTTAGAACGAAAGGGCTACTTGGAGAAAAGTTCTAAGCGGGGATGCAGATGTAGAAGAAGGGTTGAGATGCTCTTCTACTATGTACGCGCTTGGGGGGGCAGTAGATGGGGTATTGAGATGAAGGGTACCCTTGTAAGCACTAGCCTGGCTCTGGCGAACAAAGGGTGGCGGTAAGCTCGATACAGGACGTCCAGGACCAAACAGGCCGGGTAAGTATTGCCCAACGCGGGGAAAGCCCTCGCCATCGTGACCAGAAAAAAACAAAGACAACCCGTCATGTCGGGTCACTCCCTCCATGTAACGACTACCTAGACCTACCCACCGCAGCTGAAGTCCCGATAGGACCGATAATCCAGACCCTTGCAACGTTGGCGCTTTGTATTGCGCGTTGCGCGTTCTAGATATCGGTACTAGGTATCTAATATCTCCGAACGGGAGACACTAAGTTGATGGCTTCCCCAATGTGGAGAGACCCGGAGCCGGTGGATACCGCGCCACATTCTCGCATACGTTGCGGGGGGAAGTCCAAAGATTTAGCGAAGAATATTCGTTGCCCCCTATTGGGCCTATTCGAGGTGGAGCAAACAATCATCTTAAGCTCGGTACCTACTTATAAGAGGCTTATTAATCGAACTTGAAGTTGCTTGTTATCCCACAGTTCCCTTGCGACATCTCGAGTAGTTAGCGTGAAGCTAAGGAGTCGTCTACACAATGACCATTCTTTCTCAACACCGGGATGGCGGCTCCAACCGGATAGGATGGTGGCTTCACATTCTTGGGGATGAATTCTCCTTCCGGCCATGATAGAACGCTAATTTTTGGTCATTCGTCAAGAACCTAAAGATCAGGATGTAAGGAGACCGAACAGACATTAGTCTCGTACAGGCATTTTAGCGGACGCCACATCTCGCCAACGATGCTGGAGACAGATTTAACCCCGATCGTCTCATTTCGCCTCTTCGATTATACGTCGGGTGCATCTTTAAGAGTGAGCCAACTAAAGACATGAATCCTAGAGACTATTGAAAAATTCGGGATTGGCTATGGCATTCGAACAAAGAAATAGGAATGAGAAAAGGGGTAAATGTTGGGGAAGGAGTGTAAGGTCTCAGAAAAAAACATTTAAGAGGAAATCTCTATAAAATATCCCAATGTAGTACCTAACCGGCAATTACCATCCTATGCGGAGCCGAAAACTACCCAAGCCAACTTTAGATCCGATTGACGAGAATTTACTATGTAAAAGGGAAAAGAGGCAAACTCAATAATTCCCCCTGATCGCGAAACTCGTGATTCCATAATCGCTATAAAGGGTGATTGGTCTAAACATAACCACCTAAATCAATAGTGCGATTAGTAAACGAGCATGGGTTAGCAACACGAGATGGTTTTATTTTTAGCACGCAGCAGCTGCTAAAGGGGGAAAGTTTAATGGACGTGTTTAGGGCGTCTCATTGGTACAATAGCAGGAGGGCTGAGCAGGAAGCTGCCGGAATCCAGGATCCACGTGCTACAGCCCTACGGGAACTAGTGTAATGAACGCTAAAATTGCCCCAGACTTTAGCAGATGTCTTAGCTAACTTAGGTACCTAAAGAGGTACCTAACATAGTCGTGTATGCAGTGGTTCCTCTTCGACCTTACGTAAATTATTTCTCCTTGAAGCAATAAGAAGCAATAAACTTGATGATGCCATTGCTGTTGCCATCACACGGCCGTTTAGTTGGTTTAATTTACGGGACACCGCTCACCTCGTAACTGCATTGTTTGCTCCATACCAAGTAACGTATCTTAGTAAAAGGTTAAGCGAAGGGAGCGAAAAGGGCACGGCACTTTCTTGTCTAGACGATGCAATGTCGTTGTCGTCGAATACCTGTTTTGCTACTCGGGCCGCTCAGCACCAAAGCGAAACTCGCAACAGTACAATACATCCCGGTGCCTCAAAATTCGGTACGGCCGTGGGAATCGGAATTGCGGGTTCATGGTATGTGGCATGACTTCATTCCACCGTCTCGTCACGACGCCAAGCCAAAGGACTCAGCATCGTAAGCCAGCGAATACGGGAATCGTAAACGGGTTGTAAGAAATAACAGCACTGCCACGAGAGATACGAGGGTGAGGGCGAGCTGAACGTGTATATAATCATACCTAAGCTTTATGTCTGCTCTCGTCAGAGAAAAGATTTCTATCAGTCAGTCAGACCAACAACAGCAACATCATCAAAGATATATAACATCATCATCACTCACTCACTCTTACTTCACTCACTTATACCAGTGTGATACATCACCAAACCAAACCAAACAACAAATCAAACCGACTAGTAAAAATGAAGTCCTTCGCCGTCCTCTCTTCCATCCTCCTCGGAGCCGCCTCCGTCTTTGGAGCCCCTGTGATCGAGCGAGCCGAAGCTCCCACTGAATTCGACGTCACCAACTTCAGCGCAAACACCCTTCCTCACGGCACCGGAGCCTTGTAAGCCGCCCTCCTTTCCTCCCCCTTCCTTTTCCCTCCCCCCAATCCCCCATCCCCCATCTCCCACCACAACCAATACTAACAATCCCCCTCCCTCAGCATCTCCTTCGACGTCGCCATCCCCAACACCTCCGTCCGCACGACCTGCGCGTACTCGGACCAGACCTCAACCTCGACGCTCCCCTCCGTCCCGCTGTCCGAGTGCGCCGACCCGGCCTTCCGCTGGCAGTTCCGCCAGGACCCCTCCCTGCCGGGCACCCAGGGCCGCTACCGCGTCGTCCTCACCTACGCCTACGACGGCCCCAAGACCGCCGCCGGCTTCCACGAGTGGCCCGCCGCCGACTTCCCCCTCGAGAACCTCGGCTCCGCCTACGCCACCACCTACCGCGGCGAGCCCGACTTCGCCATCTCCAACCTCTCTTAACTTTAAGTCTCGGAAGCGGTAAGGTGAAAGCAAAAAGAAAGCCAGATTTCTAAGACGAGGTGAGATAAGTTGAAATGAGATGAGGAGGGGGGAAGGGGGAGGGGGAGTTGTTGAGAACTTGCAAAATATTCTTCTTAACCTTGTTCATTACCGTCACTGTTCTTGATAGAGTGTGTATATAACCACAATGGCTCAGGCTGCTACTACTCATAGATAGATATTCCACTGCTTAGAGCTACCAAAGGGGGGACGTTGCTTTGAAAGGGTACTATTTATACCCACACAGATAGTACTTAATCGTAAATACATCTATCCACCTGTCTCAACCTCAACGTTCCTATTACGAATCTCCTTGGTCGATGAGTGCATCAAACCTTTCCCATCATTACATATTATATCACGCAATGGTTACGTTTAGCTACTTCTGCGTAAGCCCTTGTTTAGGTTCCCTTCAACTGCCTGCTGGTCCTTCTTGCCATCACAATACCTAGATGTCTGTGAAACAACATGTGCCTCGTAATATCAGCACTTATAAACTCCATGTCAACGACACCAACTTAGTCGAGAACCACTAGCAGCAGACTTCTCGGTCTAAGTTATTTATATAAAACAACACCCTCAACCATCATCCGCACACATCGCCTGGTAAAGTGGTAACGTGAACTGTAGCATCCATGTACAGCTTATTCACAGCAGTACACTCCACCCCTGGTCTGATTCTAACCATGCCGTTGGGACCTATCGAAAACTCCTGGCCATGGATAGAAATCTGCAGCTTGCCCGACGCTACCGAACATATTCGGATCTTGTTGGCGCTGGCACTCCAGTAATGAACCGTACCGGGCTTTATGGTGATGACCTGGAAGGAGACACCGTGACCGATTCGCACAGCTTGGTTTTGAGCCATGTAGGAGTTCGAAAATGCGAAGTCTGTGGACGAGTTAGCAAGCGATATAACAGCAATACGACCCTAGGTGTTGATTGCTCCAACGTGGATATTTTCATTTACTTACTATCGACAGAATCGCTTTGCTCATCACTAATACGACCGGGGGCGATTTCCCAAGCCTCTAGTCCAAGCATCTGTGCTAGGTTTGCAGTAGATGTAGATGTCATATTGATGCCGTTTGGGGGGTTCGAAATCAGATTTTGTTCGTGAGACGAGCCAGATAGCGAGGGGCCTCGTGGCTGAATGGCCTTTTTCTTCTTATGACTACTTCCCTCTGGTAGTTTCTCTGACTGCTTCTCACTGTTAGTAACGGAGCTTGGCCCGGTTCCCTTTTATTAGATATCTTTCAGAGAAGACTCACTTCAAGCTCCAAGTTTGCCTTTCGTGAACTAATGCTTAGGCTACATTGTGAATGTTTGTTCTTGTAATGACAGTTGGCACAACCCGTTATTAATTGTCGCAAGCTCCATGGTGCGTTGGGAGGCAGAACGAAGCATCCTTGGAATGGCCCCTTTCCTTCCATGCACTTATCGCAAGGCGCCTGAGCCTTCTGTCCAGCTACTTGCAGTATTATGGCAGAGATATACTTGGCATCGGCTTCTCGAAACTTGGTCTGGATTTTGGTATTCCATACAACATCTCGAATATGGACCATGTACTTCAAAAGCATTCGTACATCTACAAGCGCAACGATTAGACTCACGAGCAGGTTTATACGGTAAAGAAAGTTTTAGCTAGGTAGCTAAAGAATCTTGTACTTGCCGTTAGATTGCGGTATAGGGGATAACGGTGTATTGATTAGATGACCTTGAACATATTTCCAAAGTGCCATGCCAACTTTGCCAATATCATCCTCGGATATAAGTGTGTTTGCACCTAATATAGCAGAGGTAGATGGGGTTTGGTAAGAAGCTACCATGGCTGGTTTACTGAAGGAAGGTTCCTTCAAAGGAGATTCGCCGGGATCCAATGGTTTTCGGGACACTACTTTAGCAGGCATAATAATACCATCGGCCTCTACCTTCTTGACGATAGATAGAGTGCCGTCGTCGTTGTCGTTGAGAAGTGAAGCTCTGTGTACAGTCTATCATTGGGGTAAGTTTTAATATGACAGATAATTCCAAAACCTAGGGTACTCACATTGAAATGAGCTCCAAGGCCTTCAAGTCTCGTGAATAGAATACGGCAGGAACGTATTGGACATATCCACTGGGCAGCAGGGTTATCATGAAGGGTATAGCCTTTGAGCAACAATGCACCAGAAGTAGGCTGGGTTTCCCCGGATGGAACTGACTATGTTAGTTGACGTGTCTAAAAAACCACATGCTAACAGAGGTAACTTACAAGTCCAAACCCTATAATTCCAACCGGATTTAGATACTTTCCCAGGTCTGGTCATTCTATAGAGAAGAATGTCATCATCCGACTCATCGGCATCTTCGCTCGTCTGTGGCTCCGTGCTCGTCAAATGATCATGGCCAGGATTAGAGGGGATACTGGAAGATCCCCTAGTATCTAAGACCTGGTTCCCCTTCGATACGCTGCGTTCGCAATTGCCAACCAGTAATTCTGTCTTAAAATGGGTATTAGTTGAAGTAGCATCGTGAGTTTTGGAAGAGTTTGGAGGAAATATTTACTGAATCAAGCCTGCGACTCTTCTGAGGATGCGAATTCGAGGAAACTCCTACATAGTAATGGTAAGCTAGAGTAATTAATTAAGTCGATTAGGGAGGTAGGTATAAAGATCTGACCTGTTGTTGGAGTGTTATCATCTTGTTTTCTCTTCAGCCCTTTACCCTGATCGTTAGAAATACGAGGGTCTATATTTCTATGTTAGCTGCTTCCAGCATGGTCGTTATGTCTGGTACACTTACCGAGCAGGGGGCTAAGTTTCGGTTGTTGGGGGGCTCTTTCAGGAATCGACGCCGCCGCTGCTGCTGCTGGAGGTCGGCTAAGTTGAGACGTAGGCTTAAGTGACTTCATAGAACCTTCAACTTGCTTTGAAATATTATGCAACGAGATATTCCTTGAAGGGACCTGTGGAACATTACTCACAACGTTGGCTGGTTGGGACTGAGTAGGAGTGGTTGAAACCACTGGCTGATTACCGACCGAATCTATTGGCTTCTGAGTCGGACCTGAACTGTAAAGGACTGATCTCTGCGGAAAGGTTCGCTTAGCTGTGAATACCGGCTTGGGTGTTGTTTTGTCTGCTGATGTGTCTGCTGATGTGACTGGTGCTTCATTAAGAAGTCGAGAACGAAGTCGCGACGACATCTGCCCATTTTTGATAAAGCGATGAACTTCATCCTGTGTTGTCAACTCCAATAGAGCTCGGCGTAATTTACGAGAATCGAGCAGCCTTTCCTCAAAGTGGGGAGGTATGACTCTGTCTATGAATACCTTCCGTAGCTCGTTCAAGTCGACTGGCTCCGCCGGGTGCTCCATGTTTATGATTACCTTAGGTTAGGTAGGTATAGTCTGTATCAATGATTCACGACCGTCAATAACAACAAGTCACAGAGAAAGTTGAGATATTTGAAGAAGAGGGCGCTGAATATTCTCTCTGTTATCGTGGTATTCTTTGCTGGGTGTAATATCATTTGTCCCGATCACTTGTTCCAAACACTCCTCGAAAGGTTGTTTGTCAACCTGTGCAAAACCTGTGCAAATAATGATTTCAACTTTGTGTTTGCTAGACTCATGAATCAAATGTAGCGACCTCGACTGAACATTATGTTTTTGATCAAAAGGGGCAGTCTCGCGAAGTTTCCTGTCGTCCTTCCAGACAAAAAATGGTCATGTCAATAGAAAAAGTGTGGTTGGGGAAAAGGGTAAACATAAAAGAAATAGAGACCGATGCCAGAAGGTGCCTGATATGATTGATTCTCCAGATATGTCAAGTGCTACATGCTTGGTACCTAGTTGTAATGTGTAGGCACTACCCCTAGCACGCTAGGCGGTATCAGTATAAGGCGTACCGCACCAGAATGGCGTCAAAAAAGATGCCCCATCCTAAACCCAAATACAATTATACTACTACAACTTCAATTAAATGTAAAAAAGTCAATTCTAGGTCAATTTAATATCAAAAAATTATTATAAGATAGCTTTAGTATTATTCTGCAGGTTTACAATATATTAAATTAATATGTTATGTTGCTAAAGCGTTATTAGCAATGAAAATAAGAGTATGTTTTGGAATATTAAGTACTGGCTAGGGGGGGCATCTTTTTTGACGCGATTCTGCGCGCTAAAGCTCTTAGTGGCAGGTGCGTTAGAATTCAGATGGCAGGGACGATGTACAATACAATGCAGCTAATGGGCAGCCTTACAGTGCCCATTACATGCACTAAATCCCTCCAGATTCAACCCCACTAATCTGGAAGTTAAGAACTTCATCATGTCAGCCAACATGAAACTCTGCAAAATTCCATATATCGCAGCAAATTCTATGTTCATGCCAGACCAAGAGAGAGAACCGATTGGAAGTTATAGACATATCGAGAAAAAAGAAAAAAAAAGGATATTCTAGCTCCTTTTAGGTTGGGAAGCTTTCCTTGCTTGATCGAGGGTAGGTTAACATTATTATTATATATTTATTTTTATTATTTCAAGAGGTACTGATTGTATTTCAGCCAAGAATCCCTTGACCTATATTATCAGATTTGTATATTATTCTTGACGCTTCACCTTTCCCGCAAAGTCCAATTAAAATCTATTAGGAACTTGGCGAGATGGGAATCCCTTCCATCATGGCTTTCAGTAGAACAATGGCCGTGATCTCATTGCAAAACGCCTATTTATCGGTGGTATGCACCTCCGGCGATGATGCTTGCTCCTCGGAGATACTCCTTCTATATCGTTTGCTTTTCCCTTGGGCCGCCGCGTTTGCGAGTGTCAAATATAATGATCCCGGAGAGGTTTTCTCTCGAAAAATTGAGGACCGCTTGTTCTCAGTGCCTCCGCTCTGCCTGGCTTCTTCCTTTTCTTTCTGAGGAATCGGGCTTATAGTATCTTCGACGACGACATGTTCCCGGCCAGATTCTAGAGAACGAAGAGTCTCCTCGATGAATTTCTCACGAGACTCGTTTTCATCAACACCCTCCCCTTTTCGATCTACTTCTTGCGGGTTGAGCTTAGCGTTTTCTGATAGGTGGGACAGAGGCAAGCTGAACGGCCTTAGACCTTTCGAATTGTTGTCAGGTCGCTCAAATGATCTCTGTCTTTCTCTCCAAGGGGGGTCTTTCGCCGGGCTTACCAGCGGAGGTGTATCCTGGTCGTCATTTGACAAGCGTTGGACGACTAAAGGTCTGTCGAAATACATCCTCCCTCTCTCACTCTCTGAGAGCCACCTCTCAATCCCTACACGCTTGGCTTCATATGCATCGTCATCTTCGCTGCTTTCCTTGCTAACGGCTTCCCATTTTACGAGGCCTTGTCCCCATGTCTCTCCTATCGCTGCCAAATTATCGCCCTCTTCTGATCCTATGTGAATGGCCGACTCCCAGTTCATATCATTCAACAATTCTGAGAAATTTCTCCCTTTCAATAGCTTTCTGCTAAGTGCTGCTCTGGTCGGACTATAGGCATTATGAGGACGTGTTTGGACGGGTGACTGCAGATGTGATTCGGGCATGAGGTTCAAGTCGGTAGTAGCATCTTCCCTTTCCTTCTCCTTGGATAATTCCGGATCGAAGGTCCGTTTATTTCGCGGCGGCTTTTGCCATTTTCGGCAGCGGGCTACCAGGGCGGCTATGTGCTTCTTCGATGCATTCCTCTCGACCGCGTTCCATAGCATCCACCAATCCCTCGCGCTAGCATAGCTCTTCATGTGCTTGCTCAGCATCGCTTTCCATTGCTCATCTTCCTTGCAGTAGCAAAAGTGTACCGCCACGTGCTCAGCCCACACCGGGAGGCACGCGGCATTGTCGAGCCCCAGGATAGCGGAGACTCGGCCATTGTGAATTAGAATATTAGTGGTGGACAAGTCTCCATGTGTGAAAACACAGGGTGCTGATTCTGGCATATAGTCCTTCAAGATCTGTATCAGGTCCTCGCTGACGTTTCTTCTTTTCAATCGTCTATAGATGGCAGCCCAAACCTGCTTATCAGATCTGAAAGGACCGAACCCTTCTTCCGACAGCCCGAACAGATGAGGGTGGCGCCGCACAGGGCCACCGCCGAGGGCTGAGATTCTGTCTGCTGTCATTCGCCTCCATTGGTCTATGTGTCGCGCGACCTCTCTCGCAATCCTTTCTCTCTGGTCTTCTCGCAGGTCCCACCAGATATCATAAAGCCGCTGGCCTGGCGCCCTCTCGGTGATAGTCATTACCTTCCCGTTCTCCTTCCACCCGGCTATTATATTAGGCACGGGTACTCTCGTCGCTTTCTTGACAAGCTCTGTGGCTAGGGTTAATGTGACATCTGCGTCTTCGGATAATTCGTCGTCTACCGCCTCGGTCATAACATACTTATCTCCTATGAGCCAGGTATGCATCTCCGGGTCGTTATATCCAAGCTTCAGACTACTCTTAAATGGCAGGGAGTCGAGAGCCTGACAATATGGTGTCGTGCAAGCAGGACAAATATCACTGACATCTCCAATGTCAAAAAAGTCCTCTTTTATTAACTTTTCGCTGAGATGCACTTTGCCCTCCTCTCCTAAGCTACTCTTACACATATCGCCAGCCTCAGCTAACCGTTGAGTCAGTGGTTGATCCTCTTGTATTAATACGTTTCGGCCCATAACCCAATCCATGATCCGATGCACTTGAGGAAGACTTTCTAGCCTCGATTGGCTAGGTCTCTTCCATTGAAGTTTGAGCGGGAGAAGAATGTCTTCGGGTTCGGTAGCAACTGACAGATTGACGACCGGAGGAGTTTCAATCTCTTCGAAAGGAAAGTAGTCAAAAAGAGACTCGCCACCCATAGATGGTGTCTTGGGCTCTTCATCGTCGCTAACGGAACCCTCCAGGGGCTCGATGGCTTTTGGACGCACTTCTCCAATTCTAGCCATTGGGAGGGAGGTAAGTATGTAGGTAAGTCAATATAATAATAGCTACCAGTTACAGGTGAGGCTCAATGGGTGAGTCGATACCTATTAACTAGGTAGGTAGCTACCTGCTATTATAAGTACCGGAGGGGGCTCGATAACTTGCAGAATGATGAATATGAGAGGTACGGAAGTATTACAAGAGCAAGAAGCAATATTTCAACCAAGCTTAGGAAAGCTACGAAGATTGCTTGCGAACTAAAAAAAAATTATTTTCCAGAGCTTCCAGGAGCTATGTCATCCATCTAAGCGTTCCTCTTTTTCTGGGCCCCCTCCTCATCATCTCCGCTTTTGCCCTTTCTTGGGGGACACGCTCCGGTTTGTGAGCCGTAGACGCGGGTCCATCTACGCCTTGGAATGCCCGCCACCAACTCCACAACAAAGGACGTCTCGGCCGCCGCAAACGGGCGTTGGGCGCGGCATCCCACGACGTACGTAACTCAATTTTGCACGGCTGCACGGATGGGGAAAAAGATGAGTTTGGTGGGTTATTAGGTACCTACCTCTTGGTATATTGGGGAGGGGGGTTGGGTATCAACGACGGAAAACGGGCAGACGGGTAATAGACCCGTTTATGATTTTCAGGTCATTTGAACAATATGTGGATTTTTCAGGTCCGGTTTTCGTTTTGGTTTTTTTTGCCACTCGGGCAATTGTCTTTTTTTTTTCGGGTCAGGAGGACGGTAGAGAATACACTAAACAATTAAAATTGGCGTAAATTTTCAATGATGGAGAAAAAGAAGAAAAAAAAAAGCTCATGAACTCCCCCTTGTTCGTCATACAGTCAAATGCGTTTTTCTCGCAGCAAACAATTAGATATCGAAACACCGCAGATCGTGATTTTCGTGCGGCGAACATGTATATATGTAGGTACCTAGTGGCCCCTGATTATCACTCAAACATTAGGTTATGATATGCAGACACGATTCGGAAAATTCCATCAGGGAGTGCAGTGCAATTCCCAACATTATGATAATGACGAACGGAATAAAAAGAGCTTGAGGAAATATTTGTTGGATTTACTACTGCCACTGCCGCCCTATGTACTCATGTCATGTTAAAAGCGAAGCGAACTCCATGACGTCTCTCTCTTTCTCTCTCTCCACCTCTCTATCGGTTTGCTTGGAAAAATGAAGTTGAACTCCGGCTGCAGTTGATTGGTATCTGGGAGTCCAAAAAATACAAGAGAAGCGAAACCAACTCCCTTCCTCTTTCCCCTTTTCCTCTCAATTGGCCTGGCCGTCCTTAACTCGTAAAATCTTAGTTTAGGACAATTAAGGAAAACCCGTCCTTTTTGGTGTGGTGGTTGGTTGCGGCGTGCGTAATTAGATATAAGGCAAAAAAGGCGGCGACGTGAAGCAGAACAGGACTCTCTCCCCCCCTTTCCTCTTCCAAAAAAGAAAAAAAAGAAGCAACGCAATATGCAGAATGCTAGTAAGGTTAAAAAATGCCGATTAATGCTTTATCGAGATCTAAAAGGGTTGCTTTAGGGACAGAAACTCGAATCGAAGAGTTGGCGATGACGATGATAATAAAAGGATATTTGTTGATTCTTTTGACTGAAACAGTGTGTGGAGGAAGTGGAGGTGGAGATGAGAAAGTCCCCTATTAATAACATCATCACCATCATCACCATCATCGTCTTGCCCGCCCCACCTAAAGAAAAAGGGTGGGGGGTGCGGATGGCATGACGTTGGTGAGGTTGGAGAGAGAAAAGAGCCCCCCATACCAAGAAAATGGGGCCGGGATCCTCCCGACTTGCCTAGAAACTGCGCCTCACTCCCGCGTGATAAAATTAAGAACTTCCTCTGCTTTCTCGCTGTTACTCTCATCAACCCTGTTGGTCTTTTGATCTTCTCAACAAAAGGAGAGATTTCGTCATACTGACGGTTTTTCCGCGATGATACGATATGTCGTAGTGATCAAACGCATGTTATCCATCTTCACGAAGGCCTGTCCGTCAAGACATAACCTGTCGATGAGGATCTTGAAGTGAGGCGGCAGGGCGTGCACGCGGACGAGGCCGTGAATGACGCGCCTGACGGAGCGGAAGTATATGTCGACCCTGTCGATGAGCGGAGCCTGCAGGCCGTCTATGCTGGGGTTGTCCGATCTCGTGACGGTGAATCCGGCGTCTGTGAGGGCCTTCTCGAAACTCGCCGGCGTCGGCGTGCCCACAGCGCCGATCAGGGGCTTGACGCGACGCATGAGGCCCGCGTGCACAGGATCTTCCGGGTTGTACGGCGGCAGGCTGACCCAATCCAGCAGCGAAAACTTGGCGCCGGGTTTCAGCACGCGGTAGATCTCTTTGAAAGTGGCCGAGGGGTCTTTGCATAAGCTGAGCGCCTGGATCTCATAGAAAGCATCGAATGATTCGTCCGCAAAAGGTAAGGGTAAGTTATTCTGGTCGTGAACAACAAACTCGTTCTCAAAACCGCACCGATCGTTCCACTCCCTTGCCTGCGCGATCTGATTCGCATCGATGTTCAGGCCAGTCACCTGGGCTCCGCTGAAGCTTGTCATGTGCGCAGCTACACGTCCGCGGCCGCATCCAAGATCCAAGACCTTCATCCCTGGCTTCAGCCCGATATCCCTTGCGACAGACTCCTCGTAGAGCAGCTGGTTATCTAATACCGACGCCTTCTTGTCCATCAGAGGTGGAATGTACATCTTCTCCACATCGCCCAGACTACACAGATGGTTGAGCACCGAATAGTAGGCGCAAAGACAGTCTCCGACACGCTGTTGGTAGTTGGGACCGAAGGCCTTGATCATCTCCTCTTCGTTGGCCCAATCCAGATTGTAGATCTCATACGAGGCCATGAAATCATCTACTTCCTTCGGAGTCAAGTTGTGGATGTGCTTAAAGGCCTTGATAAATGTCTTCCACCTCTTGGGCGAGACAGAGCGGTCTACCTGAGTATGGCCTCCATGGCTACTACGCTGCTTTGGTAGCGACGACTTGTGAAGCGAAGAGGCGAGCTTGACCTTCTCTGTACTCGTCTGGCTGGAACGAGAACTATCACTGCTGTCATTCCGACCAGGTATCGCAGGAGTGATAGCGGGTTGAGGGGCAGATATAGTGGCCATTGATTTCTAGTTCCCCAACGCGATGTATTTGATATACTATGTATGTACAACAAAGCAGAAAGGCGGGGAATAAATAGACGTTTGATGGGTGTTGTACAAGAGGGTATGGATGGAAAGGGAGGGTTTGTACCCGTACTTGCGTCTGCTAATGCTGTTTGATGATGCGCAGTGGAGTGTAAAGTTAAGGTACGTGGTTAGATATAAGTGAAGGGGGAAGAAAGGAAACAAAGAGCAAGTGCGTTTGTGTGTGTTTCCACGTATTGTATGTGTGTAGGTCTGCGTTTGTTCGCGCGGTCTAGGAGGACTTTGTGAATAAAAAGTATGTGTAAGTGTTGATTTTTACATAAACATAGACGCGCTGAGAGAAGATCTTTTGAAATGATGATGAGTCAAGTCAATCTTGTTATTTTTTTTTTTTTTTTGGCGGGACCCAAGTTAGCAGATTACCATTCGCATGTTAAAGGTCTTCCCGTCGTATGATTGGGAGATGGTTCGTCCGAGCGACCCGAAGGAATGCTCTTATAGGTAATGTAATAGGGTGTACGTAGGTTGAGAAACTATCGAACTGTAGATCGAGCTAGAGAAACTAGGGGAAAGGAGGTAATAATAACTGTAATAATAGAATGAAAAAGAGGATTATCAAGTCCAACAGGGCTTAAAGTGGATGTAAGGACAATGCATCCGGGTTTACCTTAGGTAATTCGCATGTAGGTAGCATGTAAGTTGGTACCTAACCTATGTAAGTCGGTATGTAAATCAGGATGTAAGTCTGTATCATATAATGCTTAATGATGTAGGTACCTAGGCAGGTAGGTTAGGTAATTCCAGTTAGGTTATAATTCGGAGTTGGAGAAAGGCAAGGTAATTCAGGTTAATATAATATATAAGGTAAAGGCGACGGGTAAGACTTCGGTTACTTTGGACGACTTTAAGTAACCTAAGTAACTTGATGCTGTGCCTTGTGACTCGTGTTATGCGACTAGCAGATAGTTAGATGCGGTACATACCTCGTACCTTAATCATGTAATTCCACCTGTTGTAACTTGTAATACCTAACAAAAGTATAAAATGTAAGATGTACATGCTGAGCAGGTAGGAGCAGCTCTTCTAGGTAGCATAAAAGGGTCCAAGTACATGCAATGTATTGTACTGAGTTACTTACATAGTACATCCAGACATCTCGGTCCTATATCACAATTTTCGTTCAACGTTGCATTACATTATTATGATTTTTTCCCTCCTAAAACAGGTACTTAACCTGACCAATACTTGCGTATTGTGGCTAGCATACATTCAATTGCTGAAATGGTGAAATACATGTATATAGTATGTTCTTTTCCCTTCGTACGTTTGTCCCAATTAGGTCCTATAAGCACGAAGTAGCAGTACATGCATATGACCTATCCCCCAGGTGGATCCAAGCAGGTACTACAAGGTTCTAACTGTCCGTTCTTGCTGCATCTTAAATGAGTCGATAGCACTAAACCCTACCCTTCCGGCCGGTCCCTTAACTCGCCCCACTTGCCATCTCGGAGGGGTCGGAGCTCCTCGCTTTGCTTTTACTTTGCGTCCCAAGGTAGCTATTTCCGCTTCGATACAGAACTTGTCTGTATTACTTGGGCTATCTACCTCATGCCGTTTATGAATGTAATGCAGTATATTTTATGTGGTACCGTACCTACATGTATAAAGAAATACTTGTAACAATAAGCAATAACAAGCAACGATGGACAGGTATTAGAAAGTCATATGGCCAAAGACCGAACCGAACCGGTCATCTTTTGATCCTAATTCGGACTTAACAATTCCACTTTTTTTTTTCTCTTCTCTATTCCCATGCCAATCCGCAAATGTATAGTTCCTATTAAGGCATCACACATCTCGACTACGAGGTACATACAAATCAACCAACAATGAACAGCTAAAAAAAAGTTTTTCCCCGATGCGCCATTTCTTAGTTCAATAAGATTCTTACGCCGAACTGAGTCAACTGACCGGCTCTTCCGTTTGTTTTCCCTGTTTCTTGTTGCTCTTCTTTATCCTCGTACCTAAACTTTTCCCGCACCCTTTCTTCTATTGTTCCTGGATTCTTCTCCTAATTCCGCTTCCACCTATTCGCGCCTATCACATATCACCCGAATCTCGGACATGCGACATGATATGGCTTATAAATCACGCTTTTTTTTTTAGCTTTTTTTTCTCCTCCTCGCCCTCGTGGTTCGGTAGAAGAGAATCCATGAGGGTATAGTGCGTGCGCATCTAACAGTGTTGGTCTTCGTTTAATGCAGACACGCTGACACGCTACTTATCATTACTCGTTCGGCATCCCATGCGGAGTCGAGGCACTTCGTATCACGTACAACTGACAGCTTGAGCAATTCCAATGTCGATCGCAGTAGATCATAGGACCTCTCTTCACTCTCCCTGGTCTCGTCACTCTGACCGCAGGACAACCCATTGCTTCCGGGTTAAACGTTGCAAACCGAAGTTGAACCGCAGATGCAGTCCGAAATTACCGACTCTCTGTCACACTTTCATCTTGACTTTTTTTCATTGCTATTTTGACATCTTCATGTGAAAGATGTAATTAAACAAGATTACGAATGACCCCTAACTATGTGATATTTATCCAATATTTCTTTTCCCTTTTCTATATCAGACTCCTTAGAATTTTAGTCAGCTAATTCGAAGTCTGACGAATACGATATATCTTCAGGTACGCTTAGTTGAAAGTTTAACCTCTTAAACAAGCGATTAAGAACTCGTCCAAATCTCTTTCAAAGTATGCGGCTCTTTCGCAATGCTATCCAGTACGTTGAATTAAGCTTTTGGTTGCATCGCCACAGTTCCTAGTGGTCCATCCTCCAAATCTTGGCTAAGTATTACTGTATCAAACCCCAGATCGGCACTCCTAGCTGCGAGATATGCCGCCGTCGCTGCAAGATTTGTGCGGAAATAGGCCGCGTGGCAAGTCAAGGGAACTACCGAAAGGCTTAGCTACTTGCAAGGAAGAAAGCGTCTCGAGCCAGCTTCCTAGAATACGCGGTAGGGCAGGGCCACGATGGATTTCCATTGGAGAATGGAATCGAATTTTTCGATGCCAATGCCGCGCGTCATGCGGTCCCAGAGATCTAACCCCCCCCCCCCCATTGGCAACTTCCAGCACCCAAATCATTAGTAAAAGTGACAAGTGCCGGATTGTATGATTCTAGTCAGTGTCAAGTATACAAGTACCTGATGTAGAGTAGATTCGTACTGATACATCACACCGTAACTAGTGGTCCCTGAAGAGTGATATCTGAACGTAACTACTTAAGGCTATTTCTTTCGGGCCGTAGAACCTTGTAACCCAAGCTACATGATCTGAGATGCGATTCCTATCTTCCTTGTGGAGGACGTGTGCTACGAAGTTAGTCATATTCGACATCGTATGATTATGTTGGTGTAGGATACCGATTTGGAGCTTTATAGAAGCTGCCCCTTCTGGGAACCCTCATGCTCAAGGAAAATGTAAGTCACAAGGACATAATATGCTTTTCAAGAGGGATAGCTAACGCGCCCTATGATAGGTAATTATTAATTTATAATATTCTTCCTCTTCTCCCTCCCCACTGTAGATCACTACTATTTCTATTGTGGTGTACCTTTTCTCAGCAGAAGAAATGGTGTTTGGAGGTTGCCCTATACTCGAGTATTAACACTACCCATCCACCATAACTGCATAACCCCTTATATTATATCCTACTTTACCCCTCTACCTACCTAACATTATAACCCTTAGAGTTCCGCCAAAGTATGAATCTCACGCAACAATATCAAACCTATTGCCCCTATTCTCCGGACGACCAATATCACAACCGCGCGAATACTTACCAATTATGATTGCGAGGTACAGCGGCCGTATAGGCTTTAGTAACACTTAATTTACATCCGGCGGAAGTGCTCGTGAAGCGATTCGGAGTCGTACAGTACGCTGTGGATTACCTATGTCTCACTTCCTTTTGTGAGCGTCACTTTCATTACTTACAAGAGGTACCTACCTAAACTACGAAATATATCATATATAGCGGCATAATACCATGCAGCAGTCTATGCGTTTCGAATGTGGTACAAGGTAAAACATATCGCAACTAAACTTTACTTATATACCTACCTAAGCAAGATATTACTCAATGTCAGGGATGTGTGGATACAGCAAGGATATACTGCTACTACGCAGCTCGACAGTTTATATAAAATGGTAGCCAGTTCCCTCGCAAGAGGATAGAAAGCCAGGCGTTACTAGATAGCTGTGATATACTGCATGTACAAGCCTGATACTCACTCTATATACCCACGACCTCCATCAAGACCATTATACCTGACACTCAAGTCCTAGCGTTAGTTACTTGAAAGACGTATACTAGACAATTTTTTCCAACACTATGTTAAAAGATAATGTCATTTATCTACCAGAAAAACATGTGTATAATCGGTAAATATATGATAATGTGAACTCTTTACTACTGACAACCCTCTCTTCGCGGATTCGATATATACCCACGATAATAATCACTCCATCTGTGCAATCACTGAAAAAGCGGCATCAATATTCAATCACGAACGGACATTGACCAGAGCCATATCTTTTCAATACTTGCTTAAATCAGGTCTAACATTCACCTTCAACATCAACCCAACTCCATCATCATTCGCAGCAAGAGACACTTGCGATATGCGCCACATAGGACCCGCTTTAGGCATACGGATAGCCTCGAGAATCGACTTCTTGACCGACGTGTTGCCGATAGCATGTTGTCGTACCACCGCGGTTCGTGCGGAGCGCGTACAAGCATCACGCCACTACCTAACAGCTGGGGAATGTTCAGAGTACCAAATTGTAACTACCTAGGTAAGCTAAGTCGTGTCATATCATGTTTAATTGATAATGAAATAAGCGAGCATACATGGTATTAGAACAAATCACAATGTGTCAGTATTACTCAAAAGGTAACAGACTGGTTGACTTGGTAATAAAAAGAAATAATTAATTAATTACATTAATTTGAAGTCAACATTAAGCGTTGTACAAGAGGGGGCTCCAATCTTCTCGAGGTAGTTCATATTACCCTCGAAGCGGGTAACAACTCTTGCACTTGCACACACACACAGAGAATAAGAGTTTACAAGTTATACTCGTATTCTGCGTAAATTATAATCCTGCCATTCCATTCCTTTACCGCGGTCCGCTCGGCAGCGAGAACCATCGTTTTATTACGGATGTTGTTTAGGCCCCTATCTAGAAGAGGGCGAAGAAGACAGCGGCAAAGGCGATCAGAGCACCAGTAGCGCTTGATCCCGTGATGGCCGCACCGGCGGTAGGGATGGAGGTGGGAGCCGGGTAAGTCGAAGAGGCCTCTTCGGTCGGGTATCCAGCACTCTGGCTAGTGAAAGTCGTGTTGCCATAGATGGTGGATAGAGTTGCAGGGCTAGTAGAGAGAGGGGGGTAGGTAGCAGCAGGCTGGGAAGGTGTCTCAGCCGGATAAGTGGCAGCAGGCTGAGTGTTTCCCTGGGTAGGGTAATCGGGGATCCCGGCAGGAGAAGAAGGGGTCTCCACAGGGTAGGAAGGAGTTTCTGCGGGATAAGAGGAAGCCGGCTGGGTGCTGCCCTGGGTAGGGTAAGAAGGGGTCTCAACTGGGTAAGAGGGAGTCTCAGCCGGGTAGGAAGGAGTCTCAACCGGGTAAGAAGAAGTCTCAACGGGATAAGACGGGCTGCTAGCTGGATAAGAGGGAGATCCAGCAGGGTAAGTAGGATAGGCTGCGGGGGAAGAGGGGGGAACGGCGGGGTACGAGGGAGCCTTTGCGGGATAGGTTGTCGAAGTATAAGGAACCACGATGGTGGTAGAGGATCCAACGGGGCAGTTGGTAACGCTAGGAGCGCACGAGGTGATGGTGGAGATCACGGTCGTGTACTTAGTCAAGGTCGAGTCACCAGGATAAGAGTTGATGCTGGTGGTGGAGACATTCTCGGATCCAGTAGGATAAACAGGAACAGGGACGCTCTCAGATCCAGTTGGATAACCGGAACTAGAAGCACTCTTAGATGAGGTAGGGTAAACAGGGTAAGAGTTATTCTCGGACTGGCTGCTAGTCGGGTATGAGGGAGCAGGGGTGCTTATAGTCGGATAGCCAATGGAAGAGGAAGAGGTGCTGGTCGGATAAGGAGCCGAGGTAGCAGGATAGGACTCGGTCTCGGTCTCCGGAGGGCAATCATCTTCCTCGGAGCTGGTCGACGAGGAAACCGGGTACTCAGCTGAGCTGGAAGGAGTGATGACGGGATACCCACCGGCGGAGGAAGAAGAGCCGGTCGGGTAAGGAGCCGAGGTAACGCTGTAGGACTCGGTCTCTGTTTTAGTGGGGTAATCGTCCTCCTCGGGGTATGAGGTCGTGTCATAGTTGGCGTTCACAGAAGCGACCAGCAGGGCGCCGGCGCTAGCATACTTCAACAGACGAACCATCTTAACTGACTTATTTTCTTCACGTACAAGCGAATGACTGAAGTTGGACCGATCAAGCGATTGAGATGTCCACGAGACGAGACAATAGAGCAACAATCCAGTGTGATAGAAGAGAAGAGAAAACAAGAGAGGGAACATGTTTGCCAGCACGCACTTTTTAAACAAAAGTGCCACCAGTCTCTCGGGGTCAGCTATCATGTTCTTTCATGCTGTTCCGATAACCTGGTTCGTTTGCCAAGGCTCCTCTTTGAATATACCTTTTCCGGACGATTGCAGTTTATTTAGAACGTACAGGGATGGACAATGCGGACATACACTATGGTCATTGGCCAATGACCATTTCAGTTAGGACTGGACCGCAAGAGACAAACCTCCACGAGGCGCTATATGCAGGCACCGTTCAAGGGAGACGGCACAATACGATGATGAAAGAAACCCGATGTATTACATGTGACCTAGTCGGGTAAGTCAAGCTAGGAACCTGGTCTCGCCAGATCCTTCGATCTAGAAGAAAGAAAAGGACGACCGTACATAGTATTTGTGGGAATAGTGTGCTCAAATGGTCTTGTCTTATTGGCGGAATCGTAGTTGAACTGATTTGGAACATCCACGCCGCTCAAAACTCGCCGCACGCTATTGGCATTATTGTTCTTGGCCCAGCAGGCTTCCCCTCCAGACTCGGAGAGCTACTGCTCAACTGATTTGCTACACCTGCGGGTGGCTTTGGTTGTACGGGAGCAGCAAAACAGTTTAGAGAAAGATTAGCCATTCACGCCCTATTCTATAGAGATATATCGATGTACATATAAGAAACACATATAAGTCTAGGTGGATATAGTAGGAAATATCGAAGATATATACTGATCAGATTTATATTGGAAATCCAAATTCCTGTAAGACTGGTAGCCTCCATGAGATGTCGTGATCTTGAGCCGAAAAGCTCATTTATTACCCCTGGCCTAATGCAAGCCTCTTCTCAGCCAACGTGTTGTTATATCTCGCCATAGCTTATCCGGAATGTCCAGTATGAGCAGCTGTCACTGGACAGGTCTAGCATAGTGCTAGATGTGGGAAAGGTGCACCGATGCCCGAAAGTTGAATTTTAACAATTAGCAAAAATAATAGCGCTCCGAGTGTGGAAGGTCGATATCAATTAGTGTTATCATTCGTGTTATCTTTTAACTGAACTGTTGGAGTTTAGAAGTTGCAGAAACAAACATGATAGACCTAAAGAGGCGCGTTATCTCAGTTAGCAGTTTACGTAAATGCGGAGCTACGGGGTACCTAAGAGGCTAAGACTGGCCTCAGCTAGGTTGGAATAGGACGGAGCATACATGTACACGCTAGTAGGTAGATACCTAGGTACACTGCTATACACAGTAAACCAACACCAACAGTATTACATACGGAAACGGAAAGCCATATAGGTCATAGACACAACAGAACAAAAAAAAAAAAAAAGAAGAGATACTGAAAACATGCTGTTTCACAAGTTACCTTGGGTTAGGTACCTACCTGGCTGAGCACCACGCAACCACGTTGAATGTATTGATCGCGATTCTAGTTCCTATTATGGATAGTGGCGATCAGGTATCATATCGGTTCGTCGAAAAGAAAAAAAGAAAACAACGTTGGCACAAGAGCCTGCATCTGTCTTGATGGTCTCACCTATACTCCACACAGGGACGTTTTCGTTCGTACACTACGAATAATATACTATTTAATATATGTCAAGGGAGGATAGCCGTTGCCACAAAATTGTATTGAGTTTCCCTATCGGCTTTGTTCCTTTTTCCTTGAGTGGAAAATAGGCGATCCCGATGTTTATAGTACCTATTCGTTAAGGACCTTGATTTAACTTAAACACAATGTACGCGGCGAAACCTGGCCCAAATGGCGGGCGAGGGTCTTCGATAGTGAGTGGCCTCACTGATATTAATCATGTATCACGAATAATGGAACGAAGCCTCCTGATGTTACTGTGGTTTGCCTTGCAACAACCGCCAACCACGATGGATTTCCAGCACTGCTGACTTCGAGCGTGAATGACCACGTCAGCAACTTGGTGTTCCCATGAGGACTGGATGTGTGTTTAGCCCACCCTGCCTAAGTTTGCATGGTCATAATTATCATAGCACTTACAGTAAGGAGTGGCTGACTACTTGGTGCACGCCAAGTCTTGGTTGTGGTGTCGTACACTTCACCGTTGGTTCCGTCAGGATAAAGAATTAGGCTGGGTCGGGTCTTGATTTTACCAGCACTTGCCAACTTGGAAACGGCATTTTCGTACAGCCGAACTAGCTCAGCGACTTTCGCTATCTTTGTGCAGTTGATGCCAATTCCCCATGGGGCAATACCCGAATAGTCAGGGTTCAAGAGAGCATCGACCACTTGATCAACGGAACTGCCGTCGGGGAGAGTATAGCCTTCGCCGGGAAAGACACAAGATATCCAAAACGAGACATCCCCGCAAAAAAGGGAGGATTCATTTACATCAGACGGCGCGCTCTTGAAGAGCCTTCTGATGGCCTTAATCTCGTCCAGTCTAGGAACAGTTTCGAATGCAATAAATCCAATGCGGGATGTAAGATGATCGATCCGGTCGAATAAATACAAGCGGTCCCGATGCCAATCGAGAAGCTTGTCTATCGAATCGTGTTCTGCATCATATTCACCACTGTATTCTTGACTTGGGACCATGGTTGCTCCGTACGGCCCAATGCTTAGAGAAAGTTGGGCGTTGGGCGCTTTAACTTCCTCCGCAATGGAAACGGCAAGATTTAGAAAAGGAACAATTTTATCACGGGGGATGCCTTGTGGATAGCTAGCAGTCTTGGTTCGTGAGAAGGCCTCGATGGATACTTGATATGTTGCCGTGAGCAATATATCGACAGGAATACTGCCGAAATCTGCTTGGCACGCACGGAGAGTCTCGGGATCGTCAATGAGAAGGTGAGACGACCATAACGGGGTGTTTTCATCAAACTTGACACCGTACTTGTCCTCAAGTGATGTGCCTAACCCTCCGTCGAGGAACAAAACAGGTGCAAGTTCGTCGAGAGCCTGGGTCATTGCGTCGACTTCTGCACAGAACTCTTACCATAAGCAAAGGGTATATGGGGAGTAGATATAGTAGATATACATATACCCATAACAAGTTCCGAGTAGGGTAAGCTGAGAAGAGAAAGAGCAAGAAAAGATCAGGCGGTAAATAGAGCAGCTAATTGGCAACAGATTCTCTACTTGAGTATAGAAGTAAAGCTGATAATATCCATAACATAAGGTTAGCAACGCGTGATTAAACGCATATAGGTAATGTACCGAGGTAGGATTGTCCTCAGGATAATGGTACCTAGATGATGCCAAAGCTCAAGCCGGAACTTAACAATTTGATGAGAGATCGGAAAGTCGGCACTGTGGGGGGAAGAAGGTGGCTGGTCACCTTTAGGCATCTGCAGCCCTGGAAGCGGATCCAGAACAGCCACATGGTCGCAGCTGAATTCAACAAGCTTTGGGAGAAGGATTGATGGGGCATCCGGAACTAAGCATGCATCCCTGGATCGATCATTACCCAATGAATTGACTTGATTCGTCCAATGCTTCCGCTAAGCTTTGGTTATCCCGCTAACATACCTTGAACGTTCCATTTTATTTTTCATCTTCACAGCCACTTAATGGAACCATACATATACCTACCTATTGCACCATATACACCTCCGCCAGGATCTTACTTGTCTAGCGTCTCCATTGCCCCATCTGCCCATACATATTCAGCAAGTAATTACTAAGGGGTTTTATATGGGAAATTCCCTGGATTATACTTGCTAATCTAGAATCTTCAGTCTTGTGGCTTGTGCGAAGAAAGACATCTTGAATTTACAACGTATTTTTACATAGAAATTACCTTATAAGTTACTTGAAAGACCAAAGTATGGAACGGTGGAGACGCTAGACAAATAAGATCCTGGCGGAGGTGTATTGTCCACTATAATTCCGATACCCGGGTACATGTCAAATGCTGATGGCTGATGGGTAGAACCCAACCGGCAAAGCGGCATTGCTGCAATAACCCAGAAAGGAAAAAAAGACATTTGAATATGCTGTCGCGCAAACCGATTCATTTTTCTAATTCCATTTCTTTTTTCCGATTGTCAATTTGTACCTAATCATCTACAATTCAATCTTATAACTCTAATTTTTATTCGTTTTGTTTTTGAGCGCCATCTTCATTCGCGATAATTGTCTATTATTTGCCGCGCCTGCTAGCAAGCTGAGAGGCAAACCAAAAAGAAAAAAAACAAAGCTGCCTTTTCCTTTTTTCTTCTTCTTATTTATCAGTTTCTACCCATCTGTCGTTCGAGTCTTACCTGTCGCTCCCTCGTGTGGAGAAACACAAGCCCACCACCGATCATTTAGGTATACCAAGCAATTCTCCAAACTTGCGGCCCGCCTTGGCATCCATCATCGTTCGTACCTTTCGGAATCCCGAACCGAAACAAGCACCTAAAGAGTAGGACAGTTTTTTGTCCGCGCTCAGCCCGTCGCTCCTATTTCCGGAGCTAGCAGACGGGCCGGCAGAAATTAACACGCTTGACATCATTCGGCATTCAGTGTTTAGCGATTCAATTGCCCGACATGTCTGCTCCAGTCGAAGTCGAAAAGGGGGCTAATCCTGCGCCGCGGAGCCAAGACCCGGTGTCGCGAGCGGGAACCACTAATGGGGTCAACAATGAGAAGAATGTCCAACAGGTCTCCGACGACCATCCAACACCTGAAGACGAAGCTCATCCACACCCAGACGCCACCAATGAGAAGTTAGACGGTCCTCTCCCTCGTACCAATACGCTTAAACACAAGTTTAAAGAGCAGAAGGAGAAAATCAAGACTAAAACTACGCCTCCCGGCGGCTTTGACCCTACACCAATCCCCGATGCTCCTCAGGGATATACTGTGAAATTTACATTTCATCGCGCTGAGAACCTACCCGCTGCCGATCTTAGTACGGGGTCGTCGGATCCCTTTTTAACCGCTACCTTAACAACTTCGCTGCCGAAAAGACATAAGGAAGACCCGGATCTCGTTTATCGGACGCGCACGATAAGGAAGACTCTTGAACCACAATGGGAACAGGATTGGATTGTGGCCAATGTCCCATCGTCTGGTTTCAAGCTAAAATGCCGTTTATACGATGAAGACTGGCCGGATCACAACGATAGGCTCGGTAATGTGACCATTCTAGTCAATCGCGTTAGTGAGAATTGGGAAGGCATTGGACCTGAAGGCCAGGAATTCGAGGTCAAGAAGCGCAGTGGTAGCAAGCGCGCATATATTCTCAAGGCTTGTGCGAGTGCTTTCACCAAAGATGTCTCTTTGACCCCGAGGCTATACATAAGTGCCGTAGTTTCAGGCAAGTCGGATCCGCCTTACGGCCAAATGTATACCGTTGGTCCCACTTACTACTTCAAGCACTTCTCGCCTATGATCGGCCGGATGACAGGTATCAAGGTGAACAAGGACGAGGCTGATGACTCACATGAACACGATGCAGATGCAGCGACATCTGCGTCTCATCGTAATGGCAAGCAGGCTGACAGAAGAACTCAAAAATACGATTTCCAGGCCAACGAGATCCAGCTAGCCGGTCCGGTCCCAGAGAGATTGTACCATAGATACGTCGAATTCCGGCCTATCATCGGACTTTTATTCAGGAGTCGTGGACTACGTGGTAAGATTTTGAACAAGGCTCTCCACCACCAACACCACCGCATATACAACTTCGATAGCGGTACGCTTTGGGGTGCTTTTGAACCGTGCTCGGAGGAAGCCAGTCTCCAATTCCTGAAGATGGCACATTTCGACGAAGGGGGTCGGATATTTACATATGTGATCACTCTAGACGGGATCATGAGGTTTACAGAAACCGGAAAGGAATTTGGTATCGACCTTCTCAGTAAACACACTATGCACAGCGACGCCGCGATATATATCGCTTGCTCAGGAGAGTTCTTCATCCGCAAGCTGAAAAAACCAAGAGGAAGCGCTGATCCCGAACCCCGCGAGCCTACTCACCCTGAAGAACATATCCAGGGAGGACCACCCAAAGAAAGTCCACCTACTAGGCCCGAGTATTACCAGTTGATTATTGATAATGACAGCGGTACATACCGTCCCGATAAATCGGTGCTACCAGACCTGAAAAAGCTGCTAGAGCGTAACTTTCCAGGTCTCGATATCGTGACACTACCGTGCGACGATCCAGAACACCAGAAATTAAAAGCGGCCCAGGTCAAGGTGAAGAAGAGGGAAGGTCGCACGATTAATATGGTGCTGAACCGTAGCCCTAGCGCGAGCTCGTTTAGCTCGGACGATATAAGTGATCTTGAGGATATGGAACGAGCTGGAGAAGTCGGACGTAAGAGTAAAAAGGAGAGGGCGCTGGATCTGCTTGAGGAGCCTCGGCGGTTCAAGGAGTTGAGAGGGAAAAAACCTGCGGATGCAGTATTAAGCGGGCCAAGCGGCAGCGGTGTGGCCACCTAACGAACCGACCGCTTGTTATCAGATCTTTTCTCGAGTTTTGTTGCTCTTTGATTTTCCAATGTGGGAATTGGTATCCGGGCACTTGATTTTTTTTTTTGAATACAACAACAACGAACGACTGATCTGGCTACAATGACCATACTAAAGGAATTTAGCTGGTCATTTTTTTATGACGATTTCTTACACAAATTTTTGATTCCCCAACTACTTTCTATCATCAAATGATGGAACGCGTCTCGCGAGGCGGTATATTAGCACTTATGATGCTTTGTAATACCTGTTTATATCCATTCTTATTCATATTCTCATCCTCGCACTATATTAGGCGAATAACGATCCAATAAATTTTTTTCCTCTGTTCATATTTCTCTTCGTTCTTACTTTTCTTCGTCCCTGCAATGGAAGTCTAGGCTCGGTGTATCTTCAATACTACTATCTTCAGCTCCCCACCTCGTCAGGAACGTTCGATAGGTATGTAGGCTCCCCTAAGCTACATAGCTTTATAGCTTAGATTTAGGAGGCTTAAACGCTGGTGTAACAAGCGGATCGTATACCTTGTGGCCGAGATAGTCTCGAGGCACACCCGTAACGTGGCTGCTCAAGTTTCGCGTATCGACGAGCGACGAGTTGAACTGGTCGACGCTAGTGCACCCGATCAGGCGCATCGCCATCTCCATCTCGTCGCGGAGGAGCTGCATAGCTCGGTCAACGCCGTCCAGGCCGTATGCCGACATGGCGTATAAGAACGGACGACCGATACCCACGCCCTTGGCGCCCAAGCACAGCGCCTTGATAATGTCCGTGGCGCGCCGCACGCCTCCGTCTACGAAAATTTCAATGCGGCCCTCGAGTCCTAATTCCCGTAGGACCGGTACCGTCTCCGACAACACTTCAATGCCGGACCGGGAGAAATCCAGCTGCCGGCCGCCGTGGTTCGACAATACGACACCTTGGACCCCGTATTCGATAGCCTTGAGGACGTCCTCGACGCGCTGCACGCCCTTGAGCACGATGGGCATCTTGGTGATGGACTGGAACCACGGGATGTCCTTCCACGAGAGGCTGGGGTCGATGAACGACGAGATGGCGCGGGCGGCGCCCTGCGAGTTATCCGTCTGATGGCCAGTCTGGACGTTGGACCCCTGGTCCGTAAACTTAGTTCGCATATCCTTTTCCCTCCTGCCCAGCTGCGGCGCGTCGACCGTGATGAACAGCCCCTTGCACCCGCGCTCCTCGGCGTGCCGGACGATGCGCTCGGTGATCGCCCGGTCCGAGTTGACGTATAACTGCAGCCACTGTACCTGGGCTCCCTCCGCGGCATCTACGATCTCGTCGAACGAGCAGGACGCCAGCGTGGGAATCATCTGCACGACGTTGTGCTTCTTAGCGGCTTTGGTTAACAAGACCTCGCCCTCCGGGTGTCCCAGCTTGCCTAACGCTGTTGCCGTAACGTAGAAAGGAATGTCGACTTTGGTGCCAAGCATAGTAGTGGAGAAATCTACTTTCTTGACGTCGACTAGGACCCTAGGTTTGAACCATATCCTGTGGAAGGCTTCGTGGTTTTCTCGGAGCGTCTTTGTAGATTTATTAGCATATATTGCATTACGTATTAACGGTCGAGAGACAAGAACATACTATTTCGTCATCTGCACCACTGGAATAGTATCCCCAAGCACCTCTCTTCATAACGTCCTTGGCCACCGCTTCGAAGTCCATTAGGTTGTAGCATTGTGACAATGGCGGTTTATTCTGAATTCGCTTTTGCCGTTCTGCTTCCTCGGGATCGTCTTCTTTCTTGATCTTTTCAACGGTATTTGGGTCAACAGGTCCTAAATGCTTCGATTTATCTAGATATTTGTCCAGGGTATCCGGAGGGTGTATGGGGTCGAATTCTTCTGTCGCATCTTTGCCGGCGTACTTCAGGATAATGCCCATTCCACCAGGATGTTCTATATATAAATGACGTCAGCCCCGCGGTGTCGGTATACGGGATGCTGTGAGAATACTAACCTGGCAAGAATTCCGTGACATCATAGGCGTGGCCCTGAGAAATGAAGTCGGTGAGACATTGATCTTCCACGCGAACCACTGTGCGCTTCTAAACGACTTACATGAATAACCACCCAGCAAGATTCCTTGCTGTTGTGCTTAGCAACCTCAGCTCCAGAAAGCATGGCGAACACGTCTGCTCCAAAAAAACAACAAATTCTACAATGACGTATTTCGGCTATGCCTCGTGTCAAAGCAATTCAATAGGAGGTAGGGGATGATAATTCGGCAACACTGTCTGTAACTGCTATATGATACAAAAAGGATTACGAAGACGTAGCAGGTTCGAAACCGGTCGATGCAAAACGCCGAATGTTTTTAATATGGAAGATAATAATAGGAAAAAAATTAAAAAGAATAAAGAATAGCCATTGAGGCTTCTCATAAGATTAATAAATACCTTACTGCCGGCATTCGGTTCGCCAGCGGATAACAGCGACTCAGGTCTAGGGGTAGCGTCGTAACGGGGGGCCGAAGCTGGGTTGGAGACTTGGGAAGTTGGAGACCCCGACCCTCGGGCGTCGGGAGAAAATATAGCGGGGGTTTTAGACGCCTCCAGGTTGTTGCTCTTGGAAATATGCTGTCCGTTATTGGTTAGTGGATCTAGTTAGCTGGGGCTTCTTTACCATTTCTGTTCGTTATGTCTTCTACTATTCCCATTAGGTAATGGTCTATCTTGATAATTTTGGAGCTTGTGGTTTTGTTAATGCTACCTTAGGTAGGTGTATGAGGACATACGTAGCTTATAAGTAATCACGCCACGTGACTCAAGCTGGACGTTAGGTAAGGTAGGTGAGGTAGGTTAGGTACAAATTGAGGGGCTATGAGGTCAAGAGGTCCCTAACCGATCTGATTTGCATTAGGTATTTGCGATACTTGATTTATTTTAACCTTTTCACACAATACAACTTTTCCAAAGACAAGACCTCCAAGGTCGTAAAAGAACAACAAGAAAAAAGAAAAAAGAAAAACATAAGATATCTATTCATAGTTTCCAATCATTCTAAATTCATATCATCCTACGCTACCTACCTACCTAACGTTACTTAAAAGCTACCATGTCAGCAGCTTTATCCAACATGTTGCTATTCCCCGGTGAGATTGGCGAAATTGGCACCTGACAGGAGCCTATCCCCAGTTCGTCCCAGCTTTTACCCCCAACCCGTCGGGAATTCATTCGTCACACCTTAAAAATGGGGGTTGTGACCATGACTATGTGACGAGTCAGTTACCCGTCTTATTTTGACCGAGTCCAAAATCAGATGCAGTCAGAACAGTGAGACCAGAACAGAACAGAACAGTCAGAACGACGAGAAAAAAGCATTTGTATTAAAAGGATAATGCTGAACGAGCCTCAAAAGATCCTTGTTGCACACCTTCTTTCATCGGCGCCTAGTAACAGGTAATATTAATAAGACGAGACATTGTTCCACGCCGCCACAAAGCTGCTCGATAACTTGCAAACTTCCAAACAATACCTACTTACAATTCTCACTCGACAGCACCGAGTTGCTACTTACTTTACCTTATCTACCTAAGGTACCTAGCAGCTACCAACGGCTGCTTTGAATTATCTATCTGGAGGTATCTGTCAAACTTAATATCGCATCCGAAATTACCTATTCGTTCCGCCTCCCGCCTCCCGCCTCCGATTGTGATAAAAAAAAGTCCCGATACCTTAGGTACCTCTTATCAGATGCAGCACAGCACAACACCGCGTACATAGGTACCTACAGTGCAATACGATAAAAAGGTTGTTGTCTCAGTGCGACATCATTGATAACGGACGCTTCGACCTTACTTCGGGTCAATCCATCCGCTGACTTATTTCAACATACATTACATTATATTTCCCGACTGAAACCCTATACTTCAGCCTGGCGACTCCATTATCGTAGCATCGTGACATCGTGGCATCGTAGCTCGACTACACAATATGTCCTCCCTCGAGGCCAAGATCGTCGTCCTCGGCTCCCAAGGCGTGGGCAAGACTTCGCTAGTAACGCGGTATTGCAAGGGCGCCTTCAATCCCGCCCAAAATACTTCGACCGTCGGCGCTAGTTTTATGACCAAGAGGGTCGTAGACGGTGACACTGATACTGTCGTCCGCTTACAGATATGGGATACAGGTACTACTTTAATTCTCCTAATTCTCCCCTTATGCTTCATATCTTCTATCTCATCTCGAGGTCATATCTCATATCTCATTCCTCCACCTAGTTTTAATAACAAGTCATGTTTTTGAAAGCTAACATTTACGTAACAATAAAGCCGGACAGGAACGATTCCGCTCGATATCGCGACTCTATTATCGTGGAGCTAACGCCTGCATCCTCTGCTATAGCATCACCGACGCACAGTCCTTCGCCGAAATGGGTGTGTGGCTAACAGAATTACGCCGTAACTTACCACCTGATATCGTCCTCCACGTCGTGGGAACTAAAGCCGACATCGTCGCCCGCGACCCCACCCGTCGCGAAGTACCGTTCGAACGGTGCATAGCCTACGTCGCCGAGAATCTTACACCGGGTCTCGGCTCGACACCTCCACCGACCGCGACGCAATCAGGCCTCACGACCTTACCACCAGGACCAGGCGTCAGCCAGTCGAGCGTGGTAGTCACCCCCGCCGCATCGACCGCGCAGGAACCCCGTAGCCCGAGTAGCAAGCGCAGCAGCGGGTTCTGGGGCCAGGAAGTCGGCTGGGACGCGTGCCACGAGATCAGCGCCGAGAGCGGCGAGGGCGTAGAGGAGGTATTCCGGGTCGTCACGCGCAAGCTCGTCGAGCAGAACCGCAAGATGCAGCAGGCCATCCTAGCGGCCACCGCAACACCCGGTACCCCCGGATACGAGAGCGGTACGGATGCGGGATACTTCGAGGGCGCGAATCCTCGCGGCAGCTTCCGGGTCGGCAAAGATCGTCGGAGCTGGCTGTTCTCTTCCCCGGGCTTCTCGCCGGCTGTTACGGTGGAGAACCCGAATGCGGGAGGCGGAGAGCAGCAGCGACAAGGCGAGGAACAGGGACGGAGGGGGAGAAAGTGTTGCTAACGAACTAAGACGAGCTGGACCGGATTTTTTTTTTTCTAAAAAAAAATCAAGTTCCAAAGCTAATAAGCTCCAAAGCTCTACGACTCACCCTTATTCAACGAATATCGTATCAAAGCACCAACCCACACCCCTCTTGGCCGGTTTGGACTCTGGAGGACCTTAGTTTTCCCCTGTATCACACCCCTCTCCTAGCAAGGGCAGAAAACGAAAGTTCTCTTGGTATAGGTACCTATCATATTAACCGGAAGAAGCATGGCGAAATACCCAACCCCCCTTTTCTTTTCTTAATAATCGACATCGAGTACGGCGTTTGGAAAAGAAAAAAAAATATGCATATTTGGAATTCGGCATCGGGTTCAAAGGTCATCGTCATGTGTCATGTTATGTTATGTTGGGTTTGGTTTGGTTCCTTGGTCGTTTTTGGAGTTTTTTTTTATGAGGTAGTATTTTATTTATTTCATCATTCCCGTTGTTCTCTCTTCCTAGTCACATCACGTCCCGACGATCGATCGATTGGTTGGTTGTTTGGTTGTTTGGTTCGCACACGAGATACGAATGGCTTACGAATTACTATGATGAGTTTTTTTGGTCGTGTGTTATTCCCTGTCATAATTTTCCTCTTTTTTTCGTCCAGTCACGGATTTGCTGGTGTTATTTGTCGGTTTTTCCTTGTGGCGATTTGCATGTGGTCGTATTGTCTACCCCCTAGGAAGCGGTTATATATAAGGTGCCCCCTATCTTGTAGCTCGGGCAATAATCTTATCGGAGTGTGGAGTTGCGTATAGGCATTTTGAGCGAACAAGACATGGATCTGTGTACCTTAGGCAGGGAAAATACCTACACACGAACAACCAAGCCGCTGTCAGTGTTGAGTTACGAAGAGACTCCGTGTTTTTAGTAATAAGAGGTACGAATTGCCAACGTGAAAATAACCTACGAAGATGTCTATATGCGGGCTGAGTCCGAGTTACAACGACTAGAATATCAGGACTATAGCAGAGCTTACATATAACAATTCCCTTTGTGAATTACCCGGGATATTCTAGGCATGTATGTATTTACATTTTGCAATGACCAATAATTCAAGCCAATCTCTATATGCACAACGTATTTCATAATACCCCCATCATCCCTTTGCATATATTAGCTAGCTAACCCTTCTACACCGAGCTCCCCTGCCCTTGCTCCTGTCCCTGCCACCCTTTCTTCGACTTATCAACATCATCATCGACCTTCGGCAGGGCCGGGATCTCCACGCCCATAACTCTGTACTCGAGGCCTATATACGCGTCGCTCAGGACCAGGACATCGACTTTCCTCGCCTTGCCGTCCTTATCGGGGTCGGGGAGTCGGAGCGTGGTTTTAGCCGTCGGCTTCGAGCCGGGTTGTATAGTGTTGGGTTTAGCGTCGGCGTTGGATTGGGCGTGAGATTTGGATTTAGACTTGGAGTTGGAGTTGGAGTTTTGCCCCTGGCTCCAGGAGACGCGCTTCACGCCTAGGACCTCGTCCCGCGCGACGTCGCAGACGATGGCGAACCAGCTCTCCGTCTGGGGCTTCGGGTACCGCGGCGCGTAGATGCGGGCCTCACGTTCGACGACGGGGTTGAGACGCTTGAGGGAGACGCTGAGGGACTGCGCTGTGACGTCTTCAACCTTGACGTTAACGTTGGGCAAGATGGATGCCGCGCGGACGAAGCGGCTTTGCTGCGAACTCGGAATATGAAGTTTCTGAGCAAGATCCTCGACCTGTGCTCTGGGGAGGCTGCTTAGCTTCTGGAGGGTAGTCTTATTATTGCTCAAGTTATCGTCGCTGGTCCCTGGTAGAATAGACAAGGGTGGATCTTGTGGCCAACGAGCTGACTTGACACACTGGAGCAGCTTGATCATCTCGAGACAGCTGGACAGGTATCCTAGCTCTGTCAACACATCGATTGAGGCTTGTATGATACGAATGGCTTGGTCCAAGACGCTCGTCTGGTCACCGACGTAATCGGTGATGGGAAGATCAATACGTGCCATGTGTGCTTGTAGAAGGAGGAAGGCTTTGACGTGAGGATCCCACATCGGCAAGTCAAAACTGCTACCTTCGAAAGGGAGATTCTTCGAGAGCTCCGCATTAATAAGATCTTCGTTGTGTCGAACAGGGAGTTCATCGTATTCCGTCGCGCGGGACATCCAGGACAAGACGTCTAAAAAGCTTGCTTTTGGCTTTGTATTCTTGACGAGATGGCGGATAGTCTTGTGCGACAAATAGTAGTAACTCATGATCTTACCCAGTGGTGTTGGGTCTACATCTCCATTGGGATATAGCTCAACGCACTTCGAAGCCGCAAGTTCATCCAACGACTTGTTGACCATATCAATCATAAAATCGTTGGCAAGTTGCTGGGCGGCAATGGTGTTGTGCTCCTCGGAAGAAATCTCAAGTCCATAGTACGAAGGGTTCTTGTGAAGCCGGCGGAAGAAGAAGGTCCAAGTTAAATAATCGAGTGCGTCCTGCTTAGTTGTGATCGTTTCAGCCGATATTTCAGCACCCAAATGGTTGTCGAGGACCGTGTGTAATGATGATTCAACCGGGAATCCAGTATGTAAGAAGTGCTTATAGAAATCTTTCTTCGCGTCTTGGGTGAAAATGCGCGCCACGCCAGAATTGTCAAATTGCGGGCGACCAGCTCGACCTAACATTTGCAGAACATCTGTGAGATCCATATCTTTATAGCCTTCGATCTTTGCGTCGTAGAATTGGGTGCCTTTAACTACAACAAGATGGGCAGGAAGGTTAACACCCCAAGCCAATGTGCTTGTTGCAACTAGAATCTGGATTTTGTTGTTAAGAAAGAGTTCTTCCGCCAGTTGCCGATCAGATTCAACGAGACCTGCGTGGTGAAGCCCGATCCCAAAGTTTATGGCCTCTTTGAGTGCATCATCTTTAACCCTGCTCAGGTTAAGCTGAAGATCCTCCTCCGACATATTGACGAAACGCCTGGGATTGTCTTCCATGCCACAGTAGTTGATCAAATCCTTCGCAGTTAATCTGGTCTGCCGTCGTGATGGCACGAAGACAATTACAGGTTTATCAGGACTGTGAGTCTTGATGGCCAGGAAAGTTGGTCGGTTCATAGATTGCATCAAGGGGCAGAACCCTCTTACTTCCGGGAACCCGTCGATGTATAGTTCCAATGGTACCGGTCGTACAGAGTGACGGAAATTGAACAGACCTTCCTTTACTCCAAGCCAATTCGCCAAGTCTGTCGCGTTCGCGCAGGCGGTGGACATCCCGAGAAGCCTCACGGCATTCTTGGTAGATTGTGCGATATAATTCATACGAGACACGATAATCTCCAGAATTGGACCTCGGTCTCCGGCAAGCAGGTGGATTTCGTCAATGATTACAAGTGAAACTTGACGGACGTATCCTCTGGTTTGCCAGCTACGAGAGATACCATCCCACTTCTCAGGTGTAGTGATAATAACATCGGCGTCTTTAATCGTCCTCGTATCTGGCGTGTTATCACCCGTCAACTCAACCAACTTAAGACCCAGTGGTCCAGCTAGTCGAGCGCCCCAATCCTTTACTCGCTCGCGAACTAGAGCTTTCATCGGGGCGATATACACGACCTTGGAGCCTGGGCGCTCGCGGAATGCCCACCACATAGCCAACTCTGCTGCGACAGTCTTACCACTACCAGTGGGGGATCCTAATAAGACATTGGCTGGCGTGTGATACAATGTGTGGAATATCTGCGTTTGCATTGGGTTGAAGTATTGGAACCTCTTCGCGTAGATCTCCTCCAAAGCTGCATTTTTAAGAGCACTAATAGGCAGTGGTTGAAGGTTGAGTAGATCGGTGTACACGCTCTCCGTGTCTGGGCGAATAAGATGCTGGAAAGAGACCGGGTTTACCGTCTCTGCTCCAAGCCATTTATCCGACACTGCCCTAACGTATATCTGGTTCGGTAGAGGGTCTGATAGAGGAATTGTAAAGTTCAATTCGTGGTCATCATAGAGCTTCTTCCTGTTAAGTATGAAGAACTCGTGGTGGTAAATCTCAGACGTCTCGGAATTCTCAACCCAGATATAGAAAGATTCAGACGTTCCGTGTATTTGGTCGCTCCAGGTGAATTCCGGCGTGATGAAAAGCTTAACCCTTAGGACATCTCGGTTCAAGGGAGCAATCTCGGCTTCTACCGATACGATCGGAAAATGGTCAAGAATCTTCCCTATCTTCTTGCCGGCATTGTTATTATGAACTAGGTTACCAATTTCGGCGTTCTCCATATCACGTAGGACTTCGATAGAAACGTCCTTCTCATCGATTTGATTCAACACCGACTTAGGCAAGTCGAATTGATGTAATGGATGCTGAAACGGCCAAACACGTTTCTCGATGGACTTTGCCAGCGTTAGTAGAACTAGACATTGATGACCCCATCGTCGATTCAACGCAATCTGGAATAAGGCGCGACAAATTCGTCCGGATTGTTGAGCTACATAGTTTAGATCGTTCGATAATGCAAAGTCTTCCGGTTGTACTCGAGAGATGTACGACTGAAGCAAAATATTCGTCTTGGCTTGGGGCGTGTCAATTCCACGGCCAGGATCGCAGAATACCACGTTTTCGTCATGCCTCAACCTAGTCAATTCGTCGGCTTCGTTGTCTCTAGACTGTATGTTATCAAATTCTCCACTCTCGCTGATCATCTTTAAGTTGTCTGCCTCTGTTGCCTGAGGTTTCATTAACGAGTTGAAGATTTGTATACTTGATTGCTGGATGTAGTATTGGCTAGCAATGCGGCCGATATCTTTGCTTCTTAGCTCTTCGGTAACCTCATTGAAGATAATCATTTGGCTTTGCTGTAAAACTCTCGCAGCTTGGATAGCAAGCTGCCGTCGCCTTTGGACGAGATTTGGGTCATCTCTGATCTCAGCCCATTCGATCCCGTAGGTCATGGGGCTTCTTAGCATCCGAACGAAGAGATAAGAATAGCCGATCCACTGCACTGCTTCTGGGATGGAGGTAACAGTACCTAAAGCAATCTCAGCATTAAGGTTGTCGACTAATTTGGAAGAGAATTTTGACTCGATAGGTTGCTGGGCGGTGACTGAGCGCCGATAATGATCCAGCTTGTCTTGAGTCGTGCAAATCATGCCAATTCCAGTGTCTTCAAACTGAGGTCGTCCAGCACGGCCGAAGATCTGAAGAACGTCGAGGATACCCAGGTCGATGAACTTTCCATCCTGTGCGCTATAGACCTGGGTTCCCTTGATGACAACTGCCGCGGCCGGCAAGTTAACACCCCAAGCGAGTGTTGCCGTACAGCAGAGTACTTTCATGACGCCCTCGGCAAAGAGTCTCTCCATGAGATTCCTATCGGATCGGGTCAGACCAGCATGGTGCACACCTAGGCCCTTGGGTACAAGGTCTCTGAGCTCACGTGCCTTTGAAGATTTCATGTCCCTGACGGCTTGATCAAAGTACGGATGCCCGGCGGGATCGAAGAGGTCAGCACAGTTGTCCTCGGTAGCTTTTTTGTGAAGCATCTTGGCAGTAAGAAGAGTATCTCTTCTAGAATGGACAAACACCATAACTTGATGGCCTTCTATTAGCATGTCTTTAACCTTCTCAAAAGCTACAGTGTCAAGGTTATCCCTGGACTGCCTTGAGCCGGCCTTGCCTTTGACACCGATGAAATGCTGCTCGAGAGGAACTGGACGGAAAGAGCCGTCAAAGTAAAAAAGCCCAGCATATCTATTGACCTTGAGGAAGTCGGCAACGTCGACATAATTGGGAAGGGTTGCACTAAGTCCAACAATACGAATCAGGGATTGTGTGCTCTCGACCTGTCGTTCCGTCCGCGCTACCAAAGACTCTAAGACAGCACCTCGCTCGTCGTGAAGCATGTGGACTTCATCAATGATAAGCAACCTAACCTTTTGGACGAGCTCGGTATCCCCGGTACCCTTTCTTGTAACAACATCCCACTTCTCGGGCGTGGTGACGATGATTTGCGTTTGCACAATTTCGGATTTGGTAAGGTGCATATCTCCCGTATATTCGCGACAGCGTATACCAAGCCACGCGAGACGCTTACCCAGCTTCTCGGTAATCTCCGCAGCAAGGGCCTTCATGGGAGCAACATAAACGATTTTGAAATCCTGGGCATTAACAGCAAACTCCGTTGCTTCTGTGTTCTCGATAGGATTTGGCGTTACGTACTGGGTGATCGTTTGTAGTATCGTTAGCATGGCCGCATCTGTCTTACCTGCACCAGTAGGAGCGCAGATCAACATGTTCTCGCTGGTTTTGTAGGCTACCGGATAGACCAGGCTTTGCATCCTGTTCAGTGTCTTGTAGCCTTTGAATGTTCGCCGGCAAAGGCCATCCATGTCTGCTATCTTCACGAGCTTCTGCCCAGGAAGAAGCGTGCCGGGTTTCCCAGCAGGAACTATAAACTCCTCATACTTGTCGTGTAGCTTACGCTCGGTACCATCTGGCATACCATACTTGCTTCCAGTATGGCTTAAGGTGTTTCCCGCATTATATGATTTGTATATATGCGGGTATTGCGTCTCCTTATGCATGCTAGGGGCCAGAGTAGCATTCTTATGTTCGAAATCTCTTTGCTGAAGGGCCTTTTCTCTCTCGGCTTTGGTTAAGAGTCGCCCTGTTGACCTTTGTGCCTCCTGTGAAGTGAAGCTTGAAGTAATTTCATGCCTACGAGATAGCACTTCAATGATAAAGTCGAAGTCGTCAAATCCAACAAGATCAGTTAGTGAAGACTGCAAGTCATCCTCAGATCGCTGAGATGCTAGAATTTCCAGAATCTGTGATTGGAAGACGTCCGGCGATAATCCGTTCTTAGAAGCGATAGTCGAACACTGCTCTGCAAACCAAGCCAAACCTGAGCTTCCACCGTCGACCTGGGCATTGGATTCCTCAGCGAAATCGCTGCTGTACAAGTCTTCCTCGCTATCGTCTATGAAGTCCCAGACGTCATCACCGCTGTTGCCAGAGGTGAAACCTTCATCGTCAAGATCGAAGTCTAGGTCGAATTCTGGTTCGATGGGTTGCTTCTTTTCAGGTAGCTTTAAATTTTCGAGGGCGGTTTTCATGGCGGCAAACTGCTCGCGCCATCTGGCTTCCGCCTCGCTCATAGAAGGCATTTTTTTATATTTATATATTTTTATTTTTTTAGTGTAATGATCTGTCTGAAGTGAACCGAGTTATAGATCGGTCTATGTAGTGTGGGCTGTTGCACTTCTTTTTATGTCAACTTCAAAGTTGCGAAGTAGTTGATGAATTATTTAAGACCCGGTTTTCGAGATGTGACCCATCTCTTTTTACAGGTTACGGAGCCGTGATTACATACAAACGGGTTTTTCTTGATGACTGCTTCGCCGATGACTTGTCCAGGTTAGGTGATCTTCTATTGTGTCTTCTGTAGTGCTTACTAGGGGGCTGGATTCAAGCACCTAAACTGCTAAATACCACCCCTAGAGCTTTTATACTTCACTAACTTTGTCCTATGTAACAGTGTAACAGTGGCTCCCCAGGATTTGGACCCCGCCAACGGAGACAACGGCCCCACTCAAGTCACTCCTAAAGCGGTATGCATAATGCATTAGGTATAGAGGTACTTACTACATGTAGTTTACTAGGCTAGGTACATGTGACAATTTACAAAGGCTGTAACACCAACTTCACCTCCAGATCCATGTTCAATTCAACCTCTCCCATGTCGACTTCCATGTTAACTCCTTCTTGATATTTCCCAACTGATCTTGGATAACCTAAACTTCCATTCCTTTTTGGAAACTGCTCTCCTGAATTCATTGCTTTGTTAAAGAGGGAATAATAGTCTATTTTTTGATATAAACCAAAAAAAAATCAACTGCCATATCCACCACCACTATCGTATCCGTTCTCCCCCTCGAATCCACACCCACCGTCTCTTATCTATCTGTCATCATGAAGCTACATTACATTGGGGTATGTCTATATGCGACCAGCTTTTTCTTTTATTCTTTTGCCAACCCCAATATCCGACCACGAATATTGGGAGAACATATATCCAAATTTCTATAAAATACGCATACGTCATCAATGGACTAACGAGATATTCTTCGTCATTGTAGATCATCCAGAACGACACCAAGCCGGGCGTCGAGCTAGTCGCCGAGAAGGAGTTAAGCGCCTACTCGCGCTTTACCCGTCAAAAGTACGAAATCCCCCCGAAACAATCCGCCTGCCTGTCTTCCTTTTCCCGTTCCCTATTTACGATACAAATGTAAAAAGGGTGGTTTACTTACTGACACTCCATCTAGCTATGGCGAGTTTATGACCTTGTTTGCGAAGACGGTAGCGGAGCGGACGAGACCCGGACAACGACAAGACGTCGAAGAGCAAGGTGCGCTAGCCACACTCCCCGAGGGAAGGGGCAGGAAATACCCATAAACTACTAGGAGTAGATCGGCTAAACCAGCAGAGCAGACTACACGTTCCACGCGTACGGGCGGACCGAGGGCGTGTGCGGTATCATCATGTCGGACCACCAGTACCCGGCGCTCGTGGCGCACCAGCTCCTGTCCAAAATCGTCGACGAGTTCCTATCGGCGCACCCGCGGTCGTCGTGGTCCTCGGGCCAGCAGGTGTCCATGCCCGAGCTCAAGGATTACCTTGCCAAGTACCAGGACCCGCACCAGGCCGACAGCATCCTCAAGATCCAGCGCGAGCTCGACGAGACCAAGATCACCCTCCACAAGACCATCGAGAGCGTCCTTCAGCGCGGCGAGAAGATTGACGACCTCGTCGCCAAGAGCGATGGCCTGAGTAGCCAGAGCAAGATGTTTTATCGTACGTCACTTTATTTTTACTTTTTTTTCTCCTTCTTTCTACCCTCCCTTCGCCCCTCTTTTTTTGCTCCTCATCTTGCATAGGATAAGACAATTTAGAATGCTGACTGACCCCTGCAGAACAAGCGAAAAAGCAGAACTCGTGCTGCGTCCTCATGTAAACGCCTCCCTACCTCCCACCGCCATTTAGTTTGCTAGCTAGTACTAGCTAGTTAGTTAAAGCGACATGGTGCGTTGCTGTTCTAGCATAGCGGACGGAACTTTGTATGTTGCGGGGCTATGTATATGGGATAGTTATTTTCATTTTATTTTTTTCGTCTATCTATATCCGCGGGGCATTGGCCCCCCTTAAACACTTACGGGGTAGGGAGAGGGAGGGAAAAGGAGAGACTTATATGTGAGTGAGCAGTCATTCGTTGACAACATCAGGAGGAATGCCGTCAAGGTAGAGGAAGAGAAGCAGACTAAGCTGAGCTGAGCTGGACTGAAGATGAGATAAGATGGAACGGAGCGAGTTACGCGGACATGGCTAGATAGATATTCCCCCCCCCCTTCGACGACAAACGGGCTGGCATACCTAATACTATATGAATGGAAAGACGCGTTGATATCACATGGAACTTATCATTGAAGGGGGCATATTGTTATATAGGGGGCATAGGCGTGTTGTGTTATGTTGTGTTGTTCTAAGCCAACCAACCAACTAACCACCCAAGAACTAGATTTATATTTTTTTTCTCCTTCGTCTCCTAGCTATCGCGCAACTCAATCTCGCTTCAAATTTGCCCCCTTCTTTAATCTAAAACTCCCGATTCTAAGACAATCAGTCTTTCCATCGGGATTCATTCATCCAAATCTAAATCGAGACGAGGCGCCAAGCGATTGCCATCCAAGGCCCATCGTATCGTACGCCTCCCTCCCACAAAAGAATCCAAACTCTATCTCTTCTCGCCGCTGACATAGTAAAGTAGGTACCTAAGGTAGGTAGGTATAGGTATAGGTAAGTAGGTAGGTAGCTGCTGACAGCTGCGTAACAATGACGGAGTCGCAGACTCCTGTTTTCATAAGAATAGGAGGTAGGTATCTTTTTCTCCTCCAAGGGGTATATTCCGAGCCAAAAGAAGGGACCACATAAAAAAAAATAAAAAAAACGAAGGCAGCAATAATAATAGTAAGTAGGTAAGTAAGTCTCCGTGATAACCTCTTCATTCGCCCCGTCTATACGAGATCTGAATCCTGAATACTGGATACTGTATGATCCAAGGGGAGGCGCCGCGAACGCCGATTCGAAGCAACTTTAATGCGAAAGGAGCCAAAAAAAAAAGGGGGTGAATGTCGTCGGTAAATGGAACTCAACTCCCTGTGCTGGAACTACGGCAAGGGAAGGAGAGCGCTGTAAAGACTGAAGCGAATAGAAAAATGCAATCCGAGCCGAACCGTGCTGGCCGCGTTACGCTCTGTCCAGGACGACCCGCTCGCTTTTCCGATGATACGCCAGGGGGGATTCCGCCGCCTCTTCCTCGTCCGGGGTGACTATCGTCGGCGTCGAGGCCTTGGTCTCGGCGAGCCGCTCGTTCTGGGCCATCGCTATCTTAGGCATGGGCGGCCGCTGCCTCCGAACCGAGCCCGTGTGTAAGGGCTTCAGCATCTTGCGCTGCTGTCTGGATATCGAGATCTGCCTCGCTATCGACAGTTCGACAGGGTCCATCTTGGAGCTGTCTAATACGATGTCGTCATCGTCATCGTCGTCGTCATCGTCGTCGTAGTTTTGGGGCGTCCGGCTCAGATCCGAGTGCGTGGATGCGGTAGGGGAGAGAGGGTTTGTTTTCTTTTTGTCGCTCGTTGACGAAGATGGTACGGTTGGAGACGTGTGGTTTGGCGGTGTCATCATTTGCCACTTGGGTTCTTGCATGTACGAGGCCTTTGTTCGTACAGGTTCCGACCTGACGACTTCGATCTCGGGAGATGATAACTGAGTGGGAGAGTCTAGTATCAAACTAGAGGTTTCGGGGCTGAATTGGTGTTCCCTAGCCGCGGCTTGCTGTTGCTCTCTTTCTCTAGCTAGGGTCGCAATGGTAAGCTTGTCCTTTTGGTAACGGTGGACGGAGGGCCCCAGGTGAGGCCCCTGGTGAGGGTGAGAATTCACGTCGTCTTTGGACGACTTTCTTCGGTGAGATGTCATGTGATCAAAGCTGACTTTCGAAGGCGATCGAACTTCTGCTGGAGAGGTGTTAGATCTTAAACGCGACGATGCGCTGTGAGATGTCTGTGTCGACTTCTTGACGGTAGATGGAGGAAATAAAGCAAGTGAGGGTGACATGCCCGCAGGAGATGACACTCTCCTCGGGATATCATAATGTTTCTCCCCCTATTCAAAATGTCAGCATGCGGACGGCGCGAAAAAAGCTTATATGAACTTACCTTGTCATTTATTGTAGCATTGTCGGTGGTTTTCAGCTTCTGGACGTTACCTTGGCGCCGAGATAATAAGGAAGACTGTGACTGTAAGACACTTCCAAACATGACGCTATATCTCTCCATTGTAATCTCAGGAATCTCTACATCTAATAAGGGACCGCTTGAGGCCGGCTTGTTGTCCAACGCTATCGGTATCCTCCCATGCGTCTCTTTACTCCCACCTCTCAACGTTGACTTTGACTCCTGTGCCGAACTATCTCCATCGTAAGGCATCGTTTGAGACCTGGGTGCGATAGGCTTTTGCGTTGGTGTTCTCCGCGTACCGACAGTATTACTCCTCTCCACTTTCGAGGTATTCCGTGGTTTAGATGGTGCTTCCGTCGGCTGTCTAGGTAAGGGTATATCTTTCAGCTCCCTCGGGGGCGGGGGCGGGTGGTCCGGTTGCTTCCTCCCAAACATTCCAAATAATCTCCACCTCCCTGACTGCTTCCTGCGCAGAGATTTTTCTGGAGACCCAATAGTAGTGCTAACCCCAGGTGCGGGCGAAACCAGAGACGGAGTTGAACCTTGCCAATTCCTTACTGGAGCCTGCGGTGTTCGCAAGCTCCCACTCGCCGGATTCATTGTAGGACTCCCGAGTGCCATGCCGATTTCCGTGGGTTGAATCTCGTTAATAGATTCAGGAGTGGGCATCCTAATATTTGAAATAGATACCTTTGGTTGAGGCGACGTCTGTGGACTTGCTTCCGGAGTAGGTAATTGCCCTCGTGCAGAACCATACGGTTTAAATCCCGGCCCAGTACCTGTTCTATGATTTATAAAGGAATCGTCCCTAGAAATCCTCTTGTCATACTTAAAGCTGTTTGCTGAGCTCTTCGAACTCGGGCCTCCAGAGGAACTTGGTCTCAGTGACATGCTGACTTCAGGCGGTGACGTGACAAGCAAGAGGATGTTAACGTGAATTCGTGGTTGCAAAACGTCCGGGAAAGGCGTACTACTATGGATTATAAGAGAATTGTGGTAGGGCGGGATCTGATACATAACCCGGTCTGCTTAGGACGGGGTAGTCGGGGACATGCGTCACGAACGCATCCGGCCTGCATGACCCTCCATCGGTGGTAGTCTGGCAACGGCACTAGCCAGGTGCATACTATAATAGGGGAGAATTGCAATCCCTGAAGGAGGATTCGGGTCCCTTAAACTTTAAGGATATAGGCATTTTGTGCTGTGATTACTGAAGGCTAATAGATGATGTGCTGGCTTGTGACCACTGAGTAGACATACTTTCCGAAAACAGACTCAAATCACTCCTACAAGAGCGGATGTGTGAGTCGCCCGCTGTTTCAACGGAAGGTATAATGGAATAAAGGAACAAGGTGCGAGTTTATTAAGCCACTGACAGCTGATCCTCTCGGACTCTGTAGGGATTAATGGTGTTTCCTTACATGGTATCTAGTTATTCATATTATTGACAACATGCCATGTGCCGCAAAACTATCGGTTGTGACACCTATGGCGGTCCGGAGAATTCCATCTCTCCTAGATAATGTCAAGATAACGACGACATTGGCAGCTGTTTGAGATTGATGGATCATGGGAGGGCTATTTTGAAGAGGCTGATCAACGCCTAGGATCCAACTTCGAAATGCATTATGGATAGCGTCAAGGATGACCCTTGTCTCCCAGGGTATTTTTGAATTGACGCCAATGGATCCCAGGGGTGAAAAGGGTAGAGTTAGCGAAAGTGTTGTGTATCAAACGCCAGCACTAGCATTGATGAGATCTTGGGTCCCAGTAAGCCTACCTTAGGTAGGTATTCGTAGCCGGCTGCTCCGCTTAAAAGAGCTGACAGCCTGACACAGGTCTTTTCATAAAAGGCAGCTGTGCCAGAGTACCCGGAGTACTTAACTGCGTTACGTCCATATCAAAAAGAGTTTGAGAAGCTTTTCGATAAGGAGTTGTCGTATTGTCTGTACCGTCTGCGTTGCATACGTACCACCAGGGGATGCTTCTGAGGCAACGGTCCCTTGGCAAATTAGCCCCTGTTTTCGCCCAATGGCCCGATAGACGGGAGAAACCGAGTTAAGAGCTGGGAGCTCCGAGCTGGTTTTCACTATTGACTAAACTATGCGGTGTAATTTTCGTGCGTGAATGAGCAGATACGGTACTGACTTGGCCAAGACTAGGAAATGAGAAGGGGAGGCTCCTTATATTGTTCTTGAAGCGGTACCAACATTGGACCGAAGGCTGCATATTGTACACTTAAGGTATCTTAGGTTAGGTAGGTACAATATATTACTACGCCGTAGTTCTCCCGATCTGATAGGACGGGACGCATGTCTCAGCAGCAGGGGAATCTTGGGGAATCTTGGTCGAACTTTCAACCTGCCGGATCCCTTTTACTTGCATCTTCCGATGGAACTGTTCGTATGCAATGGAACGATCCCCAGATCTTTCTGCTCGTTCGAGGAAGGGGGAAGGGTTTCCTCTATTGCTCCTAACGTTAGAACATGTCGGTTATTGTAAAATGAGCGATGACGAGCAAACCCTTCCAGCAATTACCTGTTATTGTTTTTTTCTGAGCAAATTTCGGGTGAATCCATCTAGCGCTTAGTTAAATATCGTTAGCAAGGTAGTACGTACCTAAAAGGTTAGAAAAGGGGTTTAGTGAATGTATGAATGTACTAATGTACTTGTACTAGTGCTGTCCTTGCTACCTAGTTTTATAATACCTGAAAGAGGTGAACCCCGGCCTTTGAACAGGGACAGGGAAGAACTGCGCTAGAGTCCGGTTTAGTCTGTGCTGTTATGTATCCCATCCCGCCTTACAGAACCAACGGGGGCCCGGGGTTGTTCCTTCCCACCGGTGGCATACATAGAAGCACGGTAACTTTACCGGAGATTTTTATTTTATTTTATTTCTTGTTTTTTTTAATCTTCAACAACACCACAACTAAGCCCTGTATTTATTATCTCACGCACTCTAAAGCTACTACTATGTACGCTAGGGGTTAACTCGAAACAACAGAAAACTAGAAAACACGCGATTGTTTCTTCCGAGGGGCGAAGCTAAGTCTATTTCAAAGGTTACATCGAGCCCATCTTTGCTTCTATAAGTAACCTTTTGCGATCCTCTTTGTCAGTGCGTGAGAAACGTATATAAACCCTGGACGACCTAACTATGCGGTAGATCATTAGCGATCGACATTGTTGATCAACCGAGACGATCTGGGTAACATCGTTTTCTATTCGAATGCTTAAATGGTCGACGTGGCTTATAAGATTATACCAACCAATATCATCTTTCACGGACGAGAGGCTTCCCATCGGGCCGCTTGGATTCAAAGAGGAAGTATGATGAGCCCACCTATCCTGGTTTGACATAATACAGCTTATAAGTGCCATCAAGTCGGCAACGTCAACGCCGACGGAACTGATAGAGTTCAATAGGTACCTAAGGTAGTTATATATATCAAGAGTAAACGACGTTTTACACACCATATCACATCGCATTTCAACGCTCGAAGACATGAGGCCATCCTTCGGGTAGCACGACAGCCCGAATTTCAACTTATTCTAGCCTACGTGCGGCTCCTCGAGCCTCAATACATGCACTGAGCAGCTACCAGGCCTACAGCTCCTTGGCTACCATACCGAATACCCGCTGGATTATGGCTCTCCGTAGCTATTGCAGTGGCTACCTACAAAGGTGAGGTGCGCGATGGCGCAGTACGCGTTTTTCCATCGCATAGGGATGCGACTAATGAAACATTTCTTCATCGACGAACTTCCCAATTCCTATGAGCTGGTTTGATGGCTTAATACCAACTCTTACCTTTTACTCCTAAAGTCGGGCCTATCCCAAACAAGTTCGGGCACAAGATAACCTCCGTTATAAGCAGCAAATGCCTCTCCATACGGATACGGAGACATTGAATAGCCAGAACGATGGTTCTATGCGCTAATATATCTTAGTGCTATTTGTACAAGTTTCGACAAGTACTCTAAAAGGTGCTTCACTTGAATGAAGAAAACGGATTATTTCGATATCTCAAATTATCTCAACGAGCTTAAACTACAACTCGCGTTCGTCTCAGAGACACAAACACACGGACCAACGGTCCGTGTGGCGCGAAAGTGGCTTTTAGATGTTGCGAAATACCTACATGTAAGCCACGCACTTTGCCCATACACACCTCAATATATACTATTACCTATGTACCTAGTAGCTGTAAACTGCCGGACACCCCCAACAAAAAAGTGATATACCCGCCAATTTGGCCGTCCGAACGCCTGTAGATAAAACCATATTTCCCAACCTTAAATGCTCCGTACCTCCTACTTGAAACAAGCATAACTCATATCAGTTTCATTCTTCCATAAGTCCTAACATATCAAGCTCCGTCTTCACTAGCCGTTCGAATTCCTCGCGATCAATACCTGATGCACGGGATAATAAGAACAAGCTCTTGATGCTTCGAGATACGTGCTGCTTAACGCCGAAGTCGTTCTGTTCTTGTTTCGCTGCCGCCGCCTCGAGCTTCTCAACCGAAGCGTTCGACCCAGTGCTCGACGCAGGCCTCGGATAAGGATGAACTATGGTAGGATCGTCGCCGCTTCTCGAGTGTGTAGACGGTGACTTGGGTCTAGGAGCAAGTGTCCATGTCCCCTGAGTTTCGTTGATTTCTACTTCTTCCACCTCGCTGCCGTTGCTTGGTTTAGCACTCATGCCTAAGGGCGGTGCTATCTCATAGTTTGCCTCCTCGTCCGGGTCATGGTTATCCATAGCTGGCTGGACATCGTCATATTGGGCGTAGTAAGCGTCTTCCGCTGTTGTGCTGACACCATGGTTGGATTGTGGGGCAGGTGACCTTTTGATAGCAGGAGTCCTCGCCGGTGTCGCATCGTATCTTGCCCAGTAATCATCATCATCGTCATCATCTTCTATAACCGGAGCGCTTTGGTTGTTTGTAAGGCCGTTACTCTGAGCTGGTTTAGACTTAGCCTCATTAAACTGTCTTTCGGCTTCGCTAATATCCGAAACACCACCAAACGATGAGAACGGATATGGCTTCTCAACGACGTTGACTTCGCCGACTTTCCAACCATCTCCGCCTGCAGGGTCCCCGACGCAATAAACTAAGCGGAAAGATAATCCGAGGTCCTTGAGTATCACGAGCGCTTGAAGGGTTTCCTCGTCTACCCGCCTGTAGCGAATTTCCGTGTCATATTCCCAATCGACCTCCACCTCGCCAGAAACGGGGTGCGGTTCTAGCCGATCGCCCTGGGCGATCTCTGTTAACTTGGGCACATTGCCAGGCTCATAACATAATAGCCGAATCCATGGGTCTGAACTAGCGGTTGACAAAAGTTGGACTCGCTGCCTAAGAATGGGAGAAAGAAGCGGGAGGACATTTTCAGCTGGTTGGGCTGATAAAGCGGCAGCTGGTAGTGAGGGTAGCAAATTTCCTAGGACTTGTTGAACATCTGGTTGTTTGATTGTTGAGGCTGCCATGATTTCGCCAAAGATTTTTAGTCTCGTTTCGTGCGGTGCGTCGCGTTGAAAATTGGCGAGACAAAGGCAGGTGTTGCTAGAGCCTTTTATTTAAGGTTTTGTCGGACAAGCGAACAAGCGAGCAAGTGGACGGCGGAGTTTATCACATGCAACAAGGGCCTGTCAGATAGGTATTCCTTCAGAGGCTGATTTCCTATTTTAGATATACGAGCTTGGACGCTAGCCAACGTTGTCTTGTTTTTCCAGGGACCAGAGACAAGGGGCTAAAAAAAGGTAAAGCTGTATAGAGACGTCCAAGAAGAACTTGTAACACAAGAAGAGGGAATAGAAGAAGAAGAGATGACGGAACGGGAATCGAAGGGGAAGAAGGAAAGAGAGAGAGAGAAGCAATCGTAAGGAGCTGTTATGTACTATGTATGTTGTGTATGTACCTAATGTTGCAGAACACCAAAAGAGGACCAATGATGATAAGCAGGTTAGGTGGTTCCACTGAAAATCTGGGGAGAGGACGAATGGGAGGCACAGGCTCGGGCGGGCGGAAGCTTATCCAACAGGTAGTGGGGCTTGGCCCTGAATTATTAAAATTGAACAAGTGAATAGTGGACAGTAGCGGACAATAGCGGACAGCAGTGGACGGCAGTGGGCAGTCCAGACTCCAAACAACTGGAGTCGCATATAACACCGGCCATATCCAAACCCCGCGATAGGACGTAATTGTGCATTTGAACACACTTGCCATTATCAATGAGAAGTTTAATGGAGACTGGGTACGTTTCAATGCTTAAACTGCTAAAGCTCTGAGTTGATCACGGTTGATCACGGTTGATTCGCTTTTTTTGATATGGTTCTGCCCTGCCATGTGATCCTATCATTGTAAGTCTGATTGGAAGATATTGCAAAATAGACGAGGTGAGTTACAATAGATTAGCGCCGTAACACGTGATAAGTCATAGCTGGAAGAAATGCTAGATATTGTGCATGATAGGTATACCTTAAGGTCCTACACGACGTACGTCACGATGCTACCTACTTCAAAATTGTCGAGAACTTCCGATGGAAAGCGTTGTCCCACGGCCTGATGCAATAGAATAACCTAAGCTTTTCCCTCCTTTTTTTTCAAGACCGTAAATAATCGACGATGTCCGGGAATTACTTACTTCCATGCATATTTATACACTCGCTTATCTATTTGCTAACGGTCATATATCGGTTTATACGGCCATATATATCTAAAGTACATATAGTAATATTCACAAGATCGCCCGTAATTAATCGGCCGAAATACCTAGTCGAAGTTCTATAAGCTTAGGTACTTGCCTAGGAGTATTATAGCCTCTTAAATAGACCCTGTTCATTCAAATGGCACGTGCAGCGACATTTTCATGTGCTTATCTAGACTATCTAATCAGCCTACGCTAAACTCGAGTGCTACATCATCGCTAGTTAGACCTAATCATCGCATCAATATTGCAATTGTACATGCAACGAATTCCATATCCACAACTAAATCCCCTACCTTCATCCATACCCTAGCTGTATGGGGGGGTTTTCCCAAGCCGCACTGGGAATTTCTTTTTGCGACAGTTGGTCTCGCGGGCTGAAAAAGAAAACGTCCTAGCATCGCATTCCCCGAGTTTACACCCTAGTCCCGGGTTAGGGCCATTGCGGATGTATGTCGAAGTCTGACCGACACCTCAAGGATGAGGTACGTAGTTGTTTTTCTTTTCTTTTCTTCTGGTCCATGCCATGGAGGTGAAAATAATATGAAACGACAAACTTGAAAGAAGAAGAAGAGAAAAAAGAAAAGAAAACTAACACTACATCGTCTTTACTAAAGGGCTCCCGACTTCAAGTCGTCATAGCTGGAGGTACAGCCGGTCTGGTATCCCGATTCGTAGTCGCGCCTCTCGACGTCGTCAAGATCCGCCTGCAACTGCAATCGCATTCCCTCTCCGACCCTCGCACCCACCTCGACCTCCGCGGCTCTCCCATCTACAAGGGCACCGTCGGCACGTTCCGCCACATCATCACCAATGAGGGCTTCACCGCGCTGTGGAAGGGCAACGTCCCCGCCGAGCTGATGTACGTCGCCTACGCCTCCGTCCAGTTCACCACCTACCGGTCGACAACCCAGCTCCTCCACGCTCTTAGCGGAGGACAAGACTCCTCCCGCCCCAGCCTCCCGCAGTCCGTCGAGTCCTTCGTCGCGGGTGCCGCCGCCGGCGCCGCAGCCACCGCCGCTACGTACCCGCTGGACCTGCTGCGCACGCGGTTCGCGGCCCAGGGCAACGACCGCGTGTACGCGTCGCTGCGGTGCGCGGTCGCCGACATCGCGCGGGACGAGGGCCTGCCGGGCTTCTTCCGGGGGCTGACGCCCGCGCTGGCGCAGATCGTGCCCTTCATGGGCCTGTTCTTCGCCGTGTACGAGGGCGCGCGGCTGCCGCTCGGCCGCGTCGGCGCCCTGCCCTGGGGCACCGGGGACGCCACGGCCGGCGTCGTCGCCGGCGTCGTCGCCAAGACGGGCGTGTTCCCGCTCGACCTCGTCCGCAAGCGCATCCAGGTCCAGGGCCCCACGCGCAACCGCTACGTCCACAAGAACATCCCCGAGTACTCCGGTACGGTGAACACGGTCCGTCGCATCCTGCAGCAGGAAGGGATTAGGGGCTTGTATAGAGGGCTGCCGGTGAGCCTGCTCAAGGCGGCGCCCGCGAGTGCCGTCACCATGTGGACGTACGAGCGGACTTTGAATTTTTTGGTTAGGAGGGGGGAGCTCAGTGGTTCATGATGACGTGTAAAAAATAGGATAGACAAAAGTGGGTGTCCATGGGTAGCATATTGATTAGCACACCTTATGAGATGGCGTTGTATAACATCAGGATAGATGTTGCGGAGAGCGACTTATAAAATATACCATTATATTGATTTCTGAAGCCATATCTTATATGTACGTACCTAGGTACCTAAATTAGCACTTATATTGGCTTGATTTACTATCCGAATTTCTGCTCGAGTTGAAGCTCTTTGGTCCTTGGTGTAGAGGTAGTCAGTCAGCTAATAGGTAAGCTCTTCATAGATGGAACAATGGACATTGTATGATATATCAACCTATGTACTTTCAATTACACGTCCAATATCGGTTGATATCCGCCCAAGCCTCGAACAAAGCAAATTTTTGGTTGTCTATTCGTCTAAAGTTACAAGGCGGTGGTGGTAGTAGTAGTGTTTCTTTTTCCGAAAGGATCCTTCCCCCAATCTATCTATTTACCCTTCTGCACCCAGCTCTCGACGATATCCCGGGTTTCGCTGACCTTCTGGTCGACGTAGTTCTTCCCGACGTCGACGTGGACCCTGGCGAAGCGCAAGGCGTCCTGGATGCTCTGCCTCGTCTTGAGGTGGGCGTCGGCTACGGCGGGGAACCGCTGCTCGTAGCGCCAGAGCAGGTTCGACACGTTGGTCATGGTCACGGGGAGAACCAGCCATCCGGCGCCGACGCCGAAGGCTAGCGGGAGCGAGGCCCGCAGGATGACGTTGCGGTTCCGCGAGATGATGCTGCCGGCCATGGACGCTACGAGCACGTACACCAAGCCCGGCATCAGCTTCTCGCCGCTCTCCCGCGGCGGCGCCAGCGACGCAATGGTCTCGGTGAAGGACTGCTCTAGGTGGAACGCCGAGTCGATGGCGTTGTTCACGGCGTCCTCCGTAGCCACGGCATACCGGTATAGGAACATGCGGGCTTTCCCAATTTCCGCGGCTAACCGGTCGGTGGGCGTCGGGCTGTGGTGGTGTTTTTCCTCTCTGGGCTGCTCGACCAGCGTCGCGGACGACGACGAGAACGACGCTTCTGATATGGTATCCGAAGCCGGGGACGGGACCGGCGTGTTGACGGCTTTAGGGGAGAGGGAGGGTTCGTAGTCGTCGTAGATAGGTTTCTTAGAAGACTGTCGAGGGAAATGAATTAATTAATATATAAAGCCAAGTTGGTTTTCTATATCGGTACTTGAGGAGGGGGAAAGAGAGGAGGTAGTTAGCCGTACGTGGTGTTGGTCGTGTGAGGGCGCTTCAGCCAGCGCAACCGAGGGCAATAAAGCTCCTCCGGCGAGAGTCGCAGCCATGAAAGGCGCAGCGACACGCTATAAATTTATATCCAGTTAGTATTTCAGAAGCTTAATTGAACACTCTCGAGGTGAACTCACCCGTCGCAGCAGCACTCTCGCAGCCATGTTGCGCTCAATTGGGGTTGGTGGGTTGGCGGGTAACTTGGGAATTATTTAAAACTTGGAAGCTCAGGTATTTTTGTGAGAATATTTGGACTGCCAACGATGATGTAGGTACGTACAATCATAAATTCGGCCCATGTACTTCGTATCTTTTTTTCTACGCGGCTGGTTCCGGGTCGGGCCCTCGGCGAAATTTTGGTTTTGGTTTTTTTGACGTATTATAGGTACCAAGTACTACGTAATTGCGAACCGTCAATTTCCGTCCGGCAGCTTTCAACAAGTGAAACCAAATCGCACCCGAATAAAAAAAAAAGGTAAAAATAAAAATATATAATCTTGCAAGTTCCTAGGTACACCTTTCCAATGATGCTTCATGCGTCATGATAAAAACTATCCGTTCAGGTCTATGGACCTGCTCAAGATGTCTCCGACAAGCTTCTCGAGTTTCTCGAATTCGAGATCAACGTCGTTGGCTTTCTTCCGCGCCCGGCGCTGCTCAAGTCGACACATCGCATATACCGGTTGACCACTCTCCTACCGACCTAAAACAGGACGATGCGTTGTTGCGCCAGATCTTCGATTCACCACCTACTTTTAAAGATTTTGCTAGACCCTTTTTCCAGATTGGAAGGCGTGAGAATGTCGGCCTATTCAGAAACAAATACCTAACGTCGCCGCAAGGCTTCCTTACCTTTGCAGATGTCACGATTAAGAGGGCTCAGAAGCTTGTTGAAAAGGTTATTAGTGCATCCACGTTGGAGGAATATAAGGCCATCGTGCGAGATCTGGATAGACTAAGCGATTTGCTATGTCGGGTTCTGGATGTCTCGGATTTCGTACGGGTAACTCACCCCGACGAGAAGATTAAAGCAGCTGCGTCGCAAGCATGGTCGCTGGTCTACCAGTATATGAACCAGCTCAATACCGCCACAGGTCTAAGTGACCAGCTAGGGAAAGCTCTTGCTAACCCGGAGGTTCTGGCGAGTTGGAACGAGGAAGAGCAGACGGTTGCGAAGATCCTACAACAAGATTTCATGAAATCGGCAATACACCTCCCACAAGAGTCGCGGGATCGATTCGTAGATCTCTCGCAACAGATTAGCGAATTAGGCTCTTATTTCGTCCAAACAATGCGACCCGCGCAGCAATTCCTCGAATTGCCTAGCAGTCAAATGTACGGGATGAACCCGCAGATGGCTCTCAAGTATACGAGTGGAGGATTTATTCGTTTACCGACATTGTCCCCCGAAGCTTCGATGGCACTGAGAAGTGTACATGATGAGGGTACGAGGAGAACGATCTATTACGCGACTCGAACGGCCAATAGAAAGTCGATTAGACTCTTGGAAGCTATGCTACGATCGAGAGCCCAACTCGCAAAGCTATCAGGGTTTGAAAGTTATAGCCAGATGGCTTTGCACGATAAGATGATGGCTAAGACGCCTGAGTCTGTTCATCAGTTTCTTCTAGCTCTTTCCACCCGCAATGCGCCACTTGTCGAAAAAGAGATGATAGACCTCATTCAGGAGAAGAGCAAAACGCTGAATATGACACAGAACGTAACACCAATTGATATCAAACCATGGGATAAAGACTATTATATGGAAAAGATACGTTCATCTATGAGGTCGCGACGGCGCGACGATGATTCTCTGCCGTCTTATTTCTCTCTCGGAACTGTCATGCAGGGATTATCGAGACTATTTACCCGTTTGTACGGAATCAGGCTTGTTCCTCGAGACACCCTCCCAGGAGAGACTTGGCATCCGGACGTGAGGCGGTTAGATGTTATATCTGATACTGATGGGCATGTTGCGGTTCTATATTGCGATCTTTTCTTCCGGGAAGATAAGTCTCCGAACCCGGCACATTTTACTGTGCGCTGTTCTAGAGAGATATCGGAGGCCGAAATACAAGAAGTAGCAGAAGGAGACGCAACCGGCGTCAAAGGCGTTCCTAAATTCGACTCTCCTATCGAAGCCGCAAATGATGGGATGCATGTATCTCAGCAGTCCGGCTCTGTGAAGCAGCTACCAACAATTGCGTTAGTTTGCGACTTTGAAGAGAATAAGGGGCACGGACCGGCCCTTTTAGACTACTATCAGATGGAAACACTCTTCCACGAGATGGGACATGCCATTCACTCGGTTTTGGCCCGGACTTCTTTACAAAATGTAGCCGGGACCCGGTGCGCGACTGACCTGGCAGAACTTCCGTCTACTCTGATGGAGCATTTCTGCGCAGATCCTTCTGTTCTCGGGCTGTTCGCTCGACATCACATCACAGACAAGCCATTGCCATTTGATATGGTTGTAGATAAAATCAACATTTCCAGGAGATTTGAGGCGATTGACAGAGAGAACCAGATTATACTGGCTATGTTGGACCAGCAATACCATTCGTCCTTACCGAATAGTGATACATTCGACTCTACAAAGACCTACTTTTATCTTCAGCGCAAATTTGGCAAGCTCCCTCCGGATCCACCAGGGACTAGGTGGCAAGGCTTTTTCGGCCACCTGTTCGGCTACGGCAGCACTTATTATAGTTACCTCTTCGACCAAGTTCTCTCTAAGCGCGTGTGGCAGGTCGTCTTCTCGGCCGGCCGGAACGGAGCCGCCCTCGATCGAGCGAACGGCGAGAGGCTCAAGGAGAATTTACTCAAGTGGGGAGGAAGCCGGGATCCTTGGCGATGTCTCTCGGACGCTTTGCAAGACGAGCGTCTCGTAGATGGCGACGAGAAGGCTATGAGGCTAGTAGGAACATGGGTTGACAAGGACGATAGCCATAGTTAGCATGGAAGCATGCTATGTATAAGCTTACCGTGACTACCTCTTGCGCATGTATTGTATATTAAGCTGGTACCTCTCTTCCATCCCTATCTAACATTCAACATCAGGGCCCCGAGAAACAGGTCTTTACATTCTAAGGTCCGTGATGGGTCTAAGAGCGATAGACTGTACGGAGTTATCATGAAGGCTGTAGAGTTGGCCGTGTAGACTCGGATCTCATAGAGCCAAATCAAAATAGTTAAAAGACCAACCACGCATGCGAAAGTGGCTTTAGGTGAATCCACTGAGAGCTTTTCAGGGAGGCTAGGGGTATCAGTCATTGACTGATGACTTTTATAGACCCCATTTATACGACGGCATATTATCACTGAGCTTGTTAACTCTGGTAATAATTGTGCCTCCCCTCCTTGAGTAATAGTTTAGCTGTACCTTCTTTACTGCACATTATCTGTTTGACGATAAGTGGCAGAGGTAGGATTGGGTTTAGCTAATATAATGGTCTTTTCGAAAGCATAGGGAGGGACAAGAGAGAGTAAGGAAAGAGATATTCCAAACTGCGGACAGTACATGGAGCTACAGCAGGTATGATAGGGAAGTGATGCTTTGCGTTTACATTAGCTTTTATACCCAACATAACTCGTCACTTCTTTTAGAACTGCGATAATGGCCACCAGGGGAGGGTTTAGGTCTTCGCTGCCTCGTATTCATACTTCCCCAACGCCTCTTGCCATCTACATCAGTTGCTCTTACTCCTAGGCCGAGGAAGCAGGCACGAAAAGCCATGAAACTTTTGTTCTTTTCTCTGGAGCTGAAGCTCGTTGACATCTTCACAACAACATCAACAAAACATTAGTGTTGCATAGAACCATCGAGTTGCTATTATCATTGCTGCTAATACTACCATTTTTTTTGGCTTAAAAGCTTCATTTTACTTCAGACATTCATACGAGGATTCCATATCTATTTCTGCAAAGGTTATTATCCCCCAAAAGAGACCCTGGGTCAGTCCACAGAGCTAACCTACGGAGATAGATCGCCAACGCCAATCCTCTACCATTATTCTAGTGTCGATTCTTGTCTCTATGTAAGTAAGCTCATAAACGGAGGGTAGTATCTCTTATGATTAACTTACACTTCACAGAGATACACACATTACGCTATACACTATTACGGTAGAAGACTAGAACAATGGGTCGTTTCGCATGCCCAGGAGTTCTTAAACTCGCCATGGTGCTGGTAACAGTCCCCGTTGCAATGGCACGACAAGCCTATCCTACCCGCCTCCCTGTGCCCGTCACTCTAGGGCACGCCACCGTCATCACACCAACGCAGACTTACCCCAACACTACCAACAACAACATCAACGACACGTCCCTGCCCGTCCAAACCGACGAGCCCGACTCGACCTTGTGTGCCCCCCCAGGTCCGCTGCGGATCATCGACGAGGACCCGGTGTTCAAGTACGTGGGGTGCTGGTCGGAATTGACGCTCATCGATCCTGCCATGCACGCTCTGGACGGGCCTTCGCTCATGGCCCCCGGGCTCATGAACGTGCACCTGTGCGTCGACTTCTGCCGCCACACCCAGAACAGGAACGCCCCGAACCGCACCGGGTTCCAGTACGCCGCGCTCGAGTACTCCTTCCAGTGCTGGTGCGGCGACCACCTCTCCGAGCACAGTTCCCATTTGGTCGATACCGTGTGCGATCTTCCCGTACGTATTGCTATTAAGCTATTAATTAATATTTTCCTTTCTTTCTGACCTCCCTCCTCCTACCCCCCTTCTCTCTCTTCCCCACCCCCATTTTGCCCTGATATCGTTGGAGTCGGCAGTTTCTCTACCAAATTGCAAGCTGAATCAAACCCTCCTCCCCATCCCCATCCCCCTCTCCCTTATTTACCCTTTTAGCCCTTCTGCACAAACATTCCCGAACCCAGCAGACTTCCTCCCTAACCTTTTCCATCGACCAAACCCTCACTAATACTAACCTCTCCTCTCTACCCGCCACAGTGCGACGGCGCCAACACGACGGCCTGCGGCGGCCACCTCGCCATGACGCTGTACAACGCCACGCAGAAGAAGACGCCCGGCGGCGGCAACGACGGGTTCGGCAACGGAACCGGCAACGGCACCGGCGGCAGCGTCGATGCCGACCTACCCCGGGGCCCCGACGCCCAGGCCGCCCTCCAAACCGTCGGCCTTGGTCTCCTCGCGCTCGCTGTGACTTTCGCTCTGGGCTGGGAGTGCTTGTAAGGGAACCAACCGTGAGGAAAGAATGGTTTATTTTTCTTTTCTCTTTTTGTTGTCTTTTTCCAGTTGACGATTGCGGAGGGGGGAGATATACATAAGGTACATACCTACCTAAGTACCTAATGTATATGGATTGAAAAGGCATAGAAAGAAAGAATTCTGGAGCCTAGGTCGGGAGATCGAGGTTAACGGTCTGTATTTGATTTTCTTTTCTTCTTCTTTTCACGTTCTTTTTTTCTATTTTTTAAAAGATCAGAGTTAGCGTCTGTCATAGCATAGCGTCCATCTCGCAAGGAGGGCGGTGTTGAAAGGCAGTTGTTGTTTACTGATAATGAATCGTCAAGGGAGGGGAGGGAGGGAGAGAGAGAGGGAAGGAGAGCTGTTTTGATCAGCTGTGAAGTACATGAGAAACAAAATCGGAGTTGAAAACGAGCAGAATAGTAGATAGATACATAGGTGACATTCGTTGTTTGAAAAAGCGTTATAAAGTCTAAATACACCGCTTCGATTATAGAGCATTCGTGCTTTTTTCTTTCTTTCGGTTCGAAATACTATGTGTCCTAACTAAGTCTTCTATTGTTTCCCTCCTTCGTGGTCATATATACCGGTGCCTAATCTTATACCAGTGTCATTGATGTCGTAAATAGGTAGATTATATATCCAACGGTCCCAACCCTCTCTCGCGCACCGCATTCTGCACTTCCCTCTTTATCTGTCCCACGACCTCGCGCCACGCCTCCTTTCCGCGATACTCCATCTCCCCGCCTCCGTCTGCACCACTACCGCTGTCTTCCACGAGGTAATCCAGCCACCGGACCAGCTTGGCCGCCTTATCCATGTCCTTCTCCTCCAGCACGACGCGCACCAGATACTTCTCCAGCATCTCGGCGTCCCCCTTATGCGGCCCCTCGTCCCGCGTCTCCCGGTGCCAGACGTTGAGCATGTCGCGGATCTCGGGGAGGGTCGTGAGGCCGTTGGACGTGAACCCGATCTTGGGCGGGCGCGGGGCGAAGCGTAGGCGCGTCTGGCCGTTTGGTAGTGCCGCGGAATCGTCCCCTGCACCACCACCACCACCATTATCACCGTCTAGATTTCTTTTGCTATTTTGGTTGAGTTTAGATAAGTCCAAGCCGGTATGCTGCTGGGCACGTCGAAGGCGTTGCTGGTGATCCGCAATGACTTCGCGACGGACCTCCTCCGGTAATTCGGCGAGGAATTCCGGGTCTAGCTCTTCGAAAACGACCTCATTAGGGTTGGGGGGCGGCGGCTTGGCAATGGTGGTCTGGACGATTTTCGCGTTGGCATCAGCTTGGCGCTCGCGGGCGCGGGCAAACAAGTTGGTTACGCGACGTTTGGTCGGAGTCTTCTGCTTGGGAGGTGGGATGGTACGATCGCGGCGGGGTGATTGAGGGAGGGACGTCTGCCGTCTGCTTCGCGGTCGATATTGTTCCAGGACTTCGGCTTTCATGTCGTCCGGCAGGGCGTTGAAGACCTCCGGGTCGATCTCTGGGGGGATCTCATCTGAAAGCGCTGGGCTTTGAGTCCTCGATTTAGCTGCTGGTGTCTCGTCGCGAGATCCTGGGATACTTGGAGTGCCTTGCTCCATAAGCCGGCTTCGAATATCTGGAGGCAACTCGGCGATTACTGCTGGGTCTGGGTTGGACGGCATGATGAACTGGGTTCCGCTAATGTTTAAGGGGGTATTTGCTTTGGCATCCGCCTTGCTTGCTTGAGATAGCGCGAATGCCGGATGGCGCTCCGGCTTCGGTTTGCGCGGAGTCAAGGGGCTTTCCATGATCGGGTCTTGAGACACGGCGCGGCCAGGCTTCGAACTGGATTCTTCTGCGCCACCGCCATCTTGGATTGGCTCTAAAGCAGTTTTCTTGCCCGAGCTAAGTGTACGAAAAGCACCGAAAGTCAGCTTCTTTTGGCTTCCATCAGGCCCTGGCACCGAAGCCTTAATGGGCTCGAGTTTAGTTAGCTGTACACCCAAGCCGCGAAGGTCGCCTGGACTGAATTTGTAGAAGCGAAGGATCGAAACCGCTTCTTTCCCAAGCACTTGGTAGTCGTGGGTAGCAACGCCAAACATGACACTCTTGTTGAAGGTATCACATTTGCCGTGTCCCAGGTGTTTCGGTGGATCGAGAGGTGCGTCAAGTGAACGCCGCATGATCTTCATCGTGAGCTGTTTTCCTTTAACCTGCTCGTTGAGAAGTCGTTTCTCTAATTCTTTACACAAGTTGAAGACAAATTCCTCGGCCTCTTCTTGGCTTATGAACCGGATTCCCCAATTGACCTCAGCTGAGACTGACTTTCGAATGGGTTGTTCGCCAACCTCCGTTCGGTCGATGCCCCGAGCGTATTCCCATAGTTTTTCGCCCGTCTTTGGACCAAGAGTATTGATAAGTCGTTCCTTGGAGGTTTGCCGAACGTCGCTCACGAATTTCACACCGATCTCTTCCAGTTTCCCAGCGATGCTATACGCGACTCCAGGTAGATCATCGACTTTTAAGCCACCAAGGAAGTCCAACACCTCTTCTGGCTTAATTTGGTATTGGCCTGCGGGCTTGGCTTTTCGAAGAGCAACTTTGGCTAACAGAATATTTCCACCAATCCCGACCGAGACAGCACATCCGGTTTTTGCCTTGATCTGTTCTCGCAAGGCTAGGGCTATCTGGTTTGCTTTTTCTTGTTCTCTCCATATACTACCCTCGTCCACTCCAGAACCGTCTGAGCCGACTGCGGATAAAAGAACCGAGGTGATATCCACAAGAACTTCGTCGATACTGACGCTCTGTACAACGCCGCCGACTTCTAGAATACACTCGTAGAATGATTTGCTGGCTTCTTCGTACGCCGGAAAGTCATATGGTAACACCTTGAGCTCTGGACATAATTGTTTAGCCCGCTTCATCCACATTCCATTTTTCACGCCGTATTTCCTTGCTGGATAGTTACAGCTGGCGATTTCCGAGCCAGATCCCGTTCCATGTGCAACGACAGCGGGCTTGTCGATAAATTCCGGTGCGCTTTTAAGAGAGACTGCGCAGAAGAAACTGTCAAAATCAACGTGCATTATGTACCGCCTCGCACCAGCTTTTCTTTTCGTTGGCTTTTTCTGGGGACCTTTCTCGGCGGCGAGTCTCTGCATCCTGGACTTCAACTCTGCTTTCCACGTCGATAGGTGATGAAGCCTACTCTCAGAGTAATACTGCTTGATAAAATCCGGATTCGCTGTGGAAGATTTCCTCATCCGAGGATCTTGTAAAAGTAGCGCATTATGTTCCTCAGACGTCATCGCTTTCTGCTCTTCGACTGGCGGGCCAGGCTGGACATCGTCTTCGATGTCATCCTTACCTTGCTTACCAGGCTCGTTGGTTGGTTGCGGTGCTGTAGACTCCGGGTAGTGGACTAACATGACCGAGTCTTCATCGGAAATGTCCGGCGAGTATTGCGCCCCCTGTAATCCTCTTGAAGGCGTCGTGGGTTCGACAGACTCGCTCTTATAAATATACCCGAGGGCCGAACCAGGCCGGCTAGGCGAAAGATCTCCGAAGTGTTTTCCGTCGATAGACTGCGCAATACCTTTGAGCTGACTATTGTAGAAACTACTCTCAGTCTGCTCTCTGTATCCTGCCAAGGGCGATTGTGGAGTAGACTGCGTCGATATTCCAGTCCCACCTAACTTCAATGTCTTCTGCCTGGGGCTCTCATCTATCACTCGATAATCTGACCAAGGGAGAAGCTTCCCAGCTTTGATAGAATCTGTAACCCATGCAGGCTTTACCATCCTGTATTTACTAAAGTCAACCATCTTTTTTGGCGGCAAACTAGATGCGATGATGTGAGTTGCCATGGTCTTAGAATCCAAGTACTGGAGAAAGCCTGCGCCATGTTGAACTAGATCGCGGTGAAGGACTTGGAGTGGCGGCTGGGTGTAGCCTATAACGTGCGCGACAACTCCTTTGAAGATCTGAGGCTTATCTGTCGACGAAGCTCGCAATTCGGAATCCAGATTTTGTAGCTTTATTTTCTTGCGACGAAAGTAATCCCCAAAGTCACCAAAGGCGCTAGGCTCGTATTCCTCCCCTGCTTCATCTGAGAATGTATGGCTTTCTATGCGCTTTCGCACAGCATTTGAATTGGCATCTAAGCGACTCCCCATGTTGACGGGATTTTGGAATTGATCTCAAAAGATGAACTGCCGGGCTCTCATAAAAGAATCTACTCGATGGCCTGTGGCGATCTTTCGATGGGAGGTCATCTTGGCGTAAAACAAGATGAGCTGATTTAGTTCGGATCTCCGGCGACCTGGAAAAAAAACTCATGAGAGAGGATCAAAAGTTTAAGAATATCAACCTGTTTTGAGATCTCATATTTCACCGATAAAATGTTGAAGGTGTTTTTAAATGGATAAACGCGTGACCCAGAGTGACGCTGATTAATGAGACGCGGGTAGGTAACGTCACGTTATCCCGTGACTTGACGCAAGATGATGATGTTACTGATATATGGGTTATATGGATATTAGATAATTCGGTACATACATGGTATGCACCTACTAAGGCACGAGGTACCTCCTCCTCCTCCCCATGTAAGCGGAGACAATACCATGGAGGAGGGATTTAAGAAATCGTTGATTATTTGATATAGGACTAATTACCTGTTCCAAATAGATGTGTATTTATAACGAATATATATACCGTCCCCACGTCTATCTGAGGAGTAAATATGATCAATATTTCGTTCGGAAACCTCGACTGCCCATGTCTACCCTAAGAATGGATGCTCCCTACGAACTCATCTACTACACAGGCGTCCCCGGCAGGGGAGAACACATCAGACTGATACTCGAGGAAGCTGGTGTCTCGTATAAAGACACTTCATCTCTCCCTATCGATAAATGCCGCGAAGCTGTTACAGCTTACCTTGCTCCTGAATATAAAGGCGAACAGGGAAACCCACCTTACTACGCTCCTCCTCTCTTCAAGCATGGTGACCTGATCATATCTCAAACGAGCAATATTCTCATGTACCTTGGTCCTAAGCTAGGACTTTCGGGGCCGCAAGAGAATGATATCTATCGAGTAAACGCCTTCGCTCTTACCGCGCTCGACGGTTTGAGTAATGAAGTCCACGATACCCACCACCCGATTGCTGTTGAGCTGTACTATGAAGACCAGAAGGAGGAGAGCCGGCGACGCAGCAAGGAATGGATCAAAAACCGGCTACCTAAGCATATCGGATACTGGCAGAAGGTGCTAGAGAGCGAAGAATGTGGTCAGGGCCCGTGGCTGTTAGGGAACACTTTCACCTATGCCGATCTGGTATTATTCCAGGCAAGTTCCCCCTGCTTCTGATATGTCATAGTTCCGTACTGATCAAAAGCTTCCCCATGAACTCTTCACGTGTTCTTTCAATTGTCAGGTCTTTGGTTATCGGCTAACCAATAACATGGAACAGTGCCTCGATGGTGTCCAGTTCGCCTTCCCAAAAGCTATGAATCAGGCGAAAGAATCCGGAAAATACGACAAGGTCTTCCAGCTGTGGGAAGCCGTCAAGGCTCGACCAAACATAGCCGCGTACCTCGCTAGCGACAAAAGACAGAAGTACGACTGGGGCATTTACCGCTACTATCCTGATAACGACGTCCTTGCCGAGTAATCCTGATCATAGAGTAAGCCTAGGGTATGGAGCAAGAATGACAAATACCTAATGTGGAGTATTGAAATGAGTGAAAGAAAGGGGATAGGAATTTGTCATAAATAGTACCTAACATAATGTAGGTATTAACGGTGAAAATCAGAGGAGCTCTACTATAAGAAGTTAACAACTTAAATTCTAGTGCTAGGTATCTGGTTAAACGCATATATCGTATTACATGTCACTATCGGAGCTTTTTGATTAATTGGGTGGGCTACGCAGGTGCTTTGACAAAAAGGTGAAAGGTACGAAGTACATCTCGCAAACGTTAGCCACCTTTTCGTCTTTTTCTTCGTAAATGCATATTCCGTCTCTGATCCTTGTCTACATTTCCCAACTCTTGTACATTAGGTACCTAAGTAACTTGAAGACGGAATTAAAAGGAAGAAACTCGTTTATCTGTCGCGCGCAAATCTCCCTCCGTATAAATATTATCAGAACACTGCGACGATGAATAACGAACAGTTTCGTCGACTTGTTTCTACCAGCACCCCGAAACCTTCGTCAGATAACAATGGCGCATCACCAGGCGCGGCGACTCCTCGAGGAGGAGCCCTTGGATCTAGACAGAGGTCGAGCATCCCCATGACGCCGTGAGTTTACTAACCCCTTCACCTTGACTGCATGCATTATTAACTAATTCAGTCGTTCAGTTGGCCTTCATAATAAATCCGACTTCGCGCGACAGCTAGCAGAGCGTAACCACGGCGGCGAGAAACAAGCGAAGAAATTCAAGTCGTACGATCCCAAGGGCAGCAAGTTGGCAGAGGGGTATGTGGACCGTTCTCGCAATAGAACATCGGAAGAGGAGGACGAACGAGCTGCCCGGATAAAGGCGCTAGAAGAATCCCTCAAGAAGGAAGAGATCGACCAAGAAACCTTCGATAAACTGAGGAGCGAAATTGCCGGTGGCGATTTGTCTAGCACTCACTTAGTAAAAGGCCTCGACTTTAAGCTTCTCGAACGAGTTCGAAAGGGCGAAAATGTTTACGGTGAAGATGGCGCGCAAGAAGAGGCCCCCGAGCCGGAAGACGACGTCGACGAGGAACTCGACCAACTAGAAGAAAAGGAAGTTGCAGCGGTCGCAAGAGAGAAGGCAGCAAAGAAAGGACAACTAGCAACAGTGCCGTTAAATCCGTCCAAAAAGCGAACGAGAGACCAGATATTAGCCGAAATGAAAGCAGCAAGAGAAGCGGCAAAGGCTAAAGAGGATACAGGTTTGGGGTCCAAGTTCAAAAAGATTGGTGCGAAGACTCCTGGGACGAGGATAGAACGAGACAGCAAAGGCAGGGAAGTATTAATAGTGGTGGACGAAGACGGCCACGAGAAGCGAAAAGTTCGCAAGATTCAACCGGGCGTCGAGTCTAAAGAAACATTGTTGAAAGATAGAGATATGATGATGCCTGACAAAAATGCAAAACCTCTCGGCATGGAAGTTCCAGAACAGTATAGAAAGCAAGTTGAAGAGCCGGACGATGAAGACATCAACATTTTCGACGACGTCGGTGACGACTACGATCCCCTTGCCGAACTAGAGGAAGACTCCGAAGACGAGGACTCATCGGCGAAGAAACCGCAACCGTCTGACACCACTACCAAGGAAGATAAAGCTGCTATGCCTCCTCCACCGCGGCCAGCTACTACTACTACTACTACTACTACTACTACTACTACTACTACTACTACTACTACCACAACTACAACAGAACCGCGGAATTACTTTAAGGATTCTAAGACTAAGCTGGTGTCATCCGAGTCGCTTAAGGCGCCGTCTATGTCTGATCCCGCAATCCAAGCAGCTCTCAAGAAGGCCGCATCTCTCAACCCTATACCTCGACCTACAGAAGAAGACGACGAGGAAGCACGTGCCAGAGCAGAGCGTCTCAAGAAGATGCTGCAGAACAACGATCGCGACGCGGAGGATATGGATCTAGGCTTTGGCACGAGTAGGTTTGAGGACGAAGAGGACTTTGAAGAGGAGAAGGTCAAGTTGTCGGAATGGGGGCGCGAGGGAGACGATGGTGGCCATGGTGGCGGGGGCGGTTCCAAACGGAAGAGGGGGCCGAAGAAGCGGAAGGGAGATGTTAATAATGCCGCGGATGTCTTGCGAGTCATTGAGAAGCGGCGGGCTGCTGAATGATCGGTATGAGATGATGCTAGTTACTATAGTAGTTAAGAAGAGGTATAGTTAAGACTTGGCTCATCCTTTGAAAGCTTAGGTACGAATAATAAATAATTAATCAGCCAATGCAGAAGTGATGATTATTAGTTTACCTTGGAAACTTTTGATATATTTGACATCGACATTAAACCTTTCATATTCTATCATATAAGGGGCGTTGATAAAGAGTTGTTGTTGTAGTTGTAGTTGTAGTCATGGTGCGAGCAACAATTCCCACGGCTTTTTGTCCAACTCCAGTCCCACAGATTCAAAATCCGTATATTTCCGTCCTGACTTCGGTTTCCTTCTCTTTTCCCACTTTTCCGTGACCGACTTTCATCTTTACAAACCAGATCTCACCTCGCCTCACCTACTAGACCAAAACATACTACTACTACTACTATTTTAAGTTATAGTTATTAGATATCGGTATCGGTATCGCCTGTGCTTGCTTATAAGAAAGAACCCTCTCTTCTTTCTCTCGCAGTATGTCCGAGCCTGTCCCGCTTTGGCTGGATTGCGATCCGGGCCACGATGTGAGTTTTATTTTTTATTTTTATCCTGCCGTTTTTATTCAACCAATCGGTCGCAATACTAGTATATATATTCTCAAGAGAGGCTTTTTTTCTCATCCCCCCCCCTCCTCTCCGGGCCCGAGACGCGAGCCCCGCCCCAAGCGCATCCCTGGTTTATCGCCGGTTCGGCGTTGGAGATGTAGTAATCGTAGTAAACCTACCTCGGGCGGGCGCCGGCTTAACGCCGGTGATGCGAAGATGCCAGCGCTCGGGTTTTTTTCTTCTTTTTATTTCTTCTTTTCATATGTGATAGACAATTATATAAAATAAATACGTCCATACATCTATACCTACCTCCCTACCTACCATACATATATCACAGTAATGCTAGTTATCTATCCATGCGCACGACCTAACCCGACCCCCCATCGCAGGACGTCTTCGCCATCCTCCTAGCCGCCTACCACCCGGGCATCCGGCTCCTGGGCATCAGCACCGTGTTCGGGAACGCGCCCCTGGACAAGACCACGCGCAACGCGCGCTCCGTCCTCGCCGCCATCGGCAAGCACCCGGAGATCCGCGTGTATGCCGGCGCCGCCCACGCCCTGGAGCGCCCGCCCATCCACGCCACGGCCATCCACGGCGAGTCCGGGCTCGACGGCACCGATCTCCTGCCGCCGCCGCCTCCGTCCCCTTCTCCTCCTCCTCCTTCCCCATCCCCATCCCCTTCCCCTTCTTCTTCTTTTCCTTCTTCTTTTCCTTCTTTTAAAAATGTCGACGGAGACGAAACCAAACTCTCCTCCCCCGCCGTCGAAGCCATGGCCTCCGCCCTCAAGCGCACGCCCCCCCGCAGCGCGTGGATCGCCGCGACCGGCGCCCTGACGAACGTCGCGCAGCTGTTCGCGCGGCACCCGGAGCTGCGGGCGCACGTGCGGGGCGTGAGCGTCATGGGCGGGAGCGTCGGCGACGGGTTCACGCCCGCGGTGATGGGCGTCGTCGACGGCGTCCCGCGCGTCGGCAACTACACCCCCTGGGCCGAGTTCAACGTCCTGATCGACCCGGAGGCCGCCGCCGCCGTCTTCGGCGACGAGGTTCTCAGGCCCAAGATCACGCTCGTCCCGCTCGACTTGACGCACCTCGTCCTGGCCAACGCGGAGGTCCAGGATTTGCTGCTTTATGGACCGCCCGAGGACGGGGGCGTGAGGGAGGGGAGGGGGAAGACGGATTTGAGGGTTATGTTGGTCGAGTTGTTGAATTTCTTCGCTGGGACCTATCGGTGGGTTATATCCCCCTTTTCTCTCCCCTTTCTTTTTCTTTTTCCTTTTTTTTTTCTTATCTCTCGCCCTCGTGTTACCATTTCCGCGTTAAGATACCTAACTCCCTAAACTAATCCTAACTAACACACCCTCCCCTCCAGCGACGTATTCGGCATCGTAGAAGGCCCGCCCCTGCACGACCCGCTAGCGGTCGCCGCCGTGCTGGCAGGCACCGAGCACGAGATCCCGTTCTACGACTACGACCCGAAGAGCGCTGAGGGGCCGAGCCGGCGGGAGCGCTTCGCGGTCGAGGTGGTGACCGAGGGCACGCTCGAGGAGGCCCGGGAGCGCGGCGCGCAGACCGGCCGCACGCTCGTCACCCTGCTGCCGCCCGGCCGCGAGGGCGTCCGAATCCCCCGGGGCCTGGATATCCCGCTGTTCTGGAAGGTTATCGAGGAGTGCTGCGCGAGGGCGGATACGGTGAACAAGAAGATCCTGGACACCAAGCCTTTGAATTGATTGGCGAGTAGGTTACCTAAGGTTAGATCTTGTGTGCGATTATGACGCTATAAACCTAAAGAGAGAGAGAAGAGCAGCGGAGACTACTTGATAGACTGACTGGCAATGAGTTCATGACATAAAGAGACAGACAGACATACATTACATTTGATTATATTGGATACACAAGATAGTACAATTTATTCTTTAGAATGCCCGTTGAATGAAGCAATAGACCACCATTTGGGAACTTATGATCCATAAGGGGCTCTTCTCGACTATCCATTTTGCCAGACAAAAAGAAAATCACTACTATACACACGCTATTGCTAGCCAGATTACAATTCTAATCAAACACCCGAAACTCCCCTGATATACAGACAGTATTCATAGCCACCATCTTTAACACCTTGTTGTTCAGTCATCTGTGAGGTCAATAACCTCAATGAACTTGCACTTATCTCCAGCGATGGGGTTGGGAATCATTTGCGTAGGTCTCGACGACGTAGTCCTGTTACTACCCCCGGCCGGGCTCGACGCGCCGGCGGAACTGTGCCGCGCCGGAGACGATAATTTACTCTGTGATCTCCGCTTGTTTGCGCTCTCGCTAATAACGCGACTTACTTCCAGCATGGATCGTTTCGGCGTCGGTCGCGGCGCAAGTCTGCCTAGCGGCGGCGGCGGTGATGCGGTATATGGACTCGACGCCATATACAGACGCGACGAATCCAGGGGCGAATATGGATTTGGTGGTGTATACGACGGACCTGGGCTGCGGCCATATGAGGTGGCAGGCGTCGACTCTAATAGACATGCATTAACACGTTGCTGTCTCGCGCACACGGTGGGTTGCGGAGGTTTGAGCAGTTTCAAGTTGACGATGTCGCTGTATTGATCCCCCAACACAGTTTGTAGCATTTCCTGATCGAAAGTCTCGAAGACGGATTCCGCATAGATTCGCCGCGCGTGCCAACAGTCCATCTCCACATCATACTGCGCCCTCGAACCATATCTGGTAGAGCAGTATCTACAATCGCAGGGCGTTTGCGGCTGTTGCCGGACGAAGTTTAATACGTAGGCCTTGAAAACGCTCTGGTAGATCCGCGTCCAGCATGGTGCCTGAAGAATGGCCCTGCGTTTCTCGAAAGCTATCAACAGCTCATGGAGAAGGGGCATCCAAAGCGTATCCAATTCGTACCCCTGGACTTTGATTATCTCGTTAGCTATCCCTTGCGCAAGACAGTCTAGATGGTTCGGGAGTTTGAGCTCGATTAGCCTTAAAATGAACCTCGACATGGACTTATAAGTCACGTATTGGGGGATCCTTGGGCTTCTACGGCCATTTACTCTTACGTCTAGGGGAATTTCCGCGGACGTAAGCGCATTTAAGTCAAGATTAATCAGTGCAGCATGTGCTATACGCTCATAAACAGCTTGCATGTCCTCTTTAGGGGTCTGAGAGTATTTGAAATCGAATGATTGGAGAAAGCCGAGAAGGAAGGCCGTTAAACCACCGTGTGCTTCTAGAATAGGTGTCACACTAGGTAAATTGGTCAGCTTCAATCCTGGGAAATACACCTATCATTAACGATACTTACGTCGTCTTCAAGTATTCTAACCCCAGTTGGTAAAAGGAAAGTCCAAAAAGAGCCTTGCCATCTTCTTCTTGGAGTTGTACCTGCTTCCGATAAAGTTCTAAGCATTCGCTAACTGTTCGCGACACAAATGATCGGAGATGGCACCACTGATCCTCTTCCAGATCTACGTTGGCATCGCACAAAGCCGACCATCGCCTATAGATTGTAGGTTGAAGGTCAAAGGCGAGTTGAAATCTAAATCTAGTTAGTCTTCCTGTCAACAAATGGCCTAAGCAGAACCTCACATTTTACTAAAGTCGTCCATGGAGATAACCGATCTATCGTATTGCCTTCCTAACCAAGCAAAGAATTCAGTGGGAGGTGGTCGCTTATATTCCGTCATGATTAACTTGGACAGTCTATAGTCGTTACTTTCCATGGATAGTTGAAAGATTTTCGAAAGATGACCTGGAGTAAGTTCCTGCGTCGAAAAGGACAAGCTGGCATTGACGGATAAAGTTTCGTACAGCTGGTCTAACCTCGTGGCTTTCCTTGACGATGCTTCGCACTAGTTGATAAAAAAGCCACAAAGATCTCGGAAATAAGTCATCCTTTTCACCTCGCTTTTGAGTTGTCTAATCCCTCCTGATAGGAGAAGTGGCACTGTTTGTCTTGAAGGAACAATAACAAGGACCTAAGAGTATGATTAGCAATAAGGTACCTAGGTAAGGTTTCGTTATGTTGTATTGGGGTGGTATCAACCTACCTTTGATGTATAAAACCGGCGTACCCTTATACGTTTCTGTCGCTTAGTTAGCCTCGTAATCTACCAGCAGGATTTGATAATACGTACAGCAACACCTGGGTATTCTAGGTACTCTACGTCGCAAGGATCGACTGGGAAAGGATTCTCCTGCAAAATGCTATCCTCGTCAAGCTCTATACTCGGGGTCAACATATTTCCTTCAAAATCAGTTACCGTTTTCAATTTATAGGATGTATTCCAGCCCTCGTTCTCCCTATCGTCCCAACCCCAACCCCCATATTGATTATCTTCGACAATACGAGTCTCTTGTTTTTCTAATATCGACAAGAACAAATCAAAGTCTAAATCGGTACACATGTTCCGAAGCCGCCTAGCTCGTTCGCGGTCGGCGTCTTTGAGTTCTTGGATTGATTTAATTCCGTATGGACCGTTACACCTGTCGTCCAACGCATAGCAAAGAGGCAAAGGTTTCTTCGAGCCATCACTCACTTCGCGTGACCACGACTCGAGAGCTACACGAAGCCTATTGTCCTCAAGACGACTCGCAGCTGTTGGTATTGGAGCTGTCGGATCCGTTGTAAGATTATAAACCAGGACCCAATGATATCCGCTCTCTATGGACAAGACCTCATAAGAGGCATCGGAAACCTTAACGAGAAAGTTATTAAGACCATATGATTCAGTGATCCAGTAGTATAAGACGTACCAGAAGGCGCAAGCCATATGATGCTGTGAAGTAGGTAATGTTTTTGAAGCACCACAGTATTTTACAACCACGTCTCCGCCTTCGTAAGGCGAGGGTAGGCTAATGACCAGCCTTCCAAACATGCCAGGAACATTCTCGTTGCTGCTTGTTGGTGAATTCTCATGTTATACCATAAACAAAAGGGAGGGACTTACTAATTAGAAGTCTTAGACGTTGCACCCGGCTCATATAAAAGCATCTTGTAGAACTCGGTGTAAATAGGAGAAGCGACGTCTAATTTCTTCGCAATGTAGCCCAGAACCTTGTTTAAGTGAGACTGCCATATCGGCGCTCTTATTTCAAATTGGTCCAGAGGGAGTTCCCAGATTTTCGGTCCCGGTGTATTTTCAACTATCTCTTGGTCTTCTTCGGAGGGTGCTTGGCGCGACTTGGCAATAAGCTGCTTCGCCTGAGTCTCTGAAAGAGGATTATCAATCATGCCGACATCCTTCACGAAGATCTCTGGGTTGAAGTCGCCCAGGCGGATCATAGATGCGACAGAATTCTTTTTGCGAATTGATTCGAACGCTTCCAACAAGTCTGAATTCTGGAATGGTCTTTTTGGAAGATTGCCATTGTCTTCGTTTAGTTTCTCCATCTTGTAAGAGCCAAGCGGCATAAAAAATAAAAATCAAAGGTCAGGATTTCCCCGATCCCTGATTAATTTTTTTTTATCAAGTATTATTACCAAGAGACTTTCCGTAATATGGAACCTCAATTCGACTTGACGATTCCGAGGTTCCATTATTAAGACGCGTTGATATATTAATTTTGCGTTGCTAAGACGCGACTTTTGCTGTAGTTCAGGCAGACCGTGCTTAAAGGTGGGGGCCTTCATTAATACTATGGGCAACCGTGTAACAAGTAACAAGTAACAAGTAACAAGTGACATCCCGGTTAAAAAAACCCCCTTTTCTGTTAATCCTGAGGTCTTTCTCTTCGCACATGGCATCCTGATCCATCATTTTTACCTTAGGTACTTGACGCCAATAATACTAGATCATATTGAATCCCATATGGAGGCATTTACTCAATTGTTAACATTATTTCTTCGTCAATTGCTCGTAGTAAATTCGCCATCTTCGAGCTGTTTGCGCTTCAACCCAGTAGCAAACAACGGTGGCCCCTCAGAAACTGCCGCTAAAGAAGCCCGTGCGGATGGGACTTGTGGATGCACAGCAGCCGGCAGCTTGTCCGCCTGGATTAGCGTTTGCTGAGCTCCAAGAGGAGTCGCAGACGAAGAAATTTGCGAATAACATGTCCCTGAAGCGAATATATATTGTGGCTCTTGGCTGCGATATGTCTGGAATTTTTGTGTTTGGGTACAGTGGTCCGCAACAGGAGTTTTCGGGACAGAATACGACGGTGCTACCTGGGATATGGGCGTATTATACGTTGACGATTGCATCGGCGTGCTACTTGGGGGGTCAATTATTATCACTTCTGCTTGCTGGTTTTCGGAGTAAGGTGGTGCGTTTCCGGTGATGTTGTAATAATCTCTCCCCAACACCAGCAGCAGACTCCTTTGGTTGAGAGTTGCAAATAGATGCCTAGCATGCTCTAATCGCTTAACCCAGCAGGACTTAACAAGCCTTCCATTAGAAGCCTGTCTTCGTTCATTCTGAGTGGGAATGGGCTCTTCCATGACAACGTATCGAGTCCAGAATGCCTGGATGACAGCCCGTATTAATGCCGAGAATAAGGGATCCAAAATCGAGACCGATCGACTTGCTAGAAGATCCATAAACCTGCCAACAAAGGGGACGTAAAGGTCGAAAAATTCGAGCAAATCAATTCTTTCGCTTTGTTCTATCAACTTCGTCCCCAGCTCGCGCAAGTCAGCTTCCATTCCGAGGTCTAATAGAAGTCGACACGAATTAAGTAATGTGTTACTAGTAACTGGTGGAGGAGGCGGCGGCGGTAGAGTTGCGTTCCCACTGGGCGGTATATGGCTTCTATGAGGTACTCTTTGTTGTTGCCAACGTTGGAATCCTTGTTCACTTATAAGGCGAGTAACGTCAAATCGTGCGATCAGATCCTTCAGGGTCTCTTTCACAAACCCAAAAGAGTCGGACATATCCAATCGACCCTGGGAAACACTGACATGTAGTTGCCAACTGAACCACAATACGAAGGCAATATCATCGCGCCTTTTAGAGACCAGAGGGCACAGCCTACATCATGTTAGAGATACGCAAGCAACAGGTAGTCATAGAAGCAAACCTACTTGTCTAAGAGCCATCCATAATCCCGATGGGTACAGGCAATAAGAACTAGAGTTTCTCCATCCTGCTCATAGAATGTAGAAGTATAGCATAGTTCAACCATTTTGTCTAGGATGCCCGGGACGAGTTCTCGTAGCTCTTTAGGTATTATGACAGGTACTATTTAGATTCAAAATATACATATACCGATCACCAAGGGTTTGCTGCCCCAGGACAGAACGTTCGAGGCTGCCGCTGTTAATAATAATTTACTTAGTAAGTAGCAGGTACGAGGAAACTAACGCTGGAGCCAGTGTAGCGAATGAAAACTCCGATTCCTGAAGCTTTGTCGCGATTCACGAGAAGAAATAAGGCGACAGGTGGCCGTTGATATTACTGCAAGTCAGTTCAAAAAGGTCGCGATCCCGGAAGAGAACCGCGACTTCAAGGATCTTGGCAATGGTAGATTCAAGGAGTTCCCCAAGATGCTTCTTCGCTTTCCACCGGGAGAAGAAATGGTCGCACAGGTTAAACAGCGTTTCGAAATGCATGTCGTCGCTTGCCGGGTTATTGCATCTCGACGAGAAAGATTCTAGGATATAGGATATGGATTCGATATCACTAGCTTGCAAGAAATTGTTGAGAATATAGGTAGTCGTCCTAGTTTGGGGACCATCAATAGAGCCTTGGAAAGACCATTAGTTACTATCTCCAATAACTTTATACTGATAGGGAAAAACTGACCAATGACCTGTAGCGTCGGCAGAATCCACGTTGCTGCTATGGTTAGCCATTTGAAAACATGGAAATAGGAAGAGCCGAGACTAATATCAGGGTGAACAGGTTCATCATAGCCTTCAGGAAGACCGTCTTCCTCATCGGGCTCGCGGTCACTAAGAACATCATCTCGGAGAATTGATTCGGGTTTTATGTCCAAAGTAGGGAGCTTTCGATTACCATCGACATCGAGGGCTAACTGTACAGCCCATTCTATAATATCAATATCCGGGCCTTCCTCCACTTCTGCAGAGGTATCTTCATCCCCGCTTTCATCCTTCTCTTCAAATGCCCGGTACATGGTATCAATTTCTGTGCCTATCTCTCTCTTCTCCACTTGGCTGATGAAGACATAAAAGTGACACTGAGATTCGAGACTTCGTAAACAGCAGAAACGGGTTAAGTCGGCGGGTGCCAAGCCATTTAAAGATATATCGTCAGGGGTAGATGAATCTTGAAGTACATAGAGTAAAGGAGTGTCAGGCTCAATAGATAGCCATTTCTGGATTGCGTCTTCGAGACGATTGGGGTTTTTAGGTGAGTCGATATTGTTCAACGGGACAGCTTCAAGGGCGCTGGTTAGCTCTACTTTGAAATCGGTAGTAGAGCTGCTGTCATGAGAATCTGCCATGGTGCTGATGCGATTCGTTCGTCGTATTATTTTTTCTTTTTCTCGAAAAAAAAAGTACTTAGTTTATATATACTGAGCTACCTATGTGAATGGTGTTTCGAGTTTTATACTCGCCTAGTAAATCGCCATATACGACGGATATACGATGGATCTCAAGAGACAAGGGGTTAGAGAGTTAATGCGTTATCTCCTATGTTCTACATAGTTGATTAAGGTAAGACCAACTAAATAATGGGTATTATAGACTGATCAATTACTTTGCATCAATTATAAAGTGCTAAACATGGTCTCATCACATCAGGATACGACTCATGTTTAAAGCCATGACGAAGTTCAAGCAGAAATCGCAGAAATCGCGAGACGCGTATCAAATTTAAAGCTGGGGTTTAGAATCATACCACTCAGTGTTTAAATAGATTCCGCATTTAAGTGCATAATTGCAAAATTCCGAAATTCCAGTATTGCACTAGATAGCGAATTCCTGGAGTACCGAGATACCTCCGCTAGTTGTACAGTGTAAGTATAATTTCAGCCTTACCAAATGACTACCCACGCACCAATTTAGGTGCATTGCTTTTTTCTCACCATTTTTTTTTCTTAGCTCCAAGCTTTTTGTTTTTTCTCTTACGCAAATCGTAACTAGCACAAGCGTGAGGGATATAATAAACAATAAAGACTCAAAGACTCATCGGCAGCCAGCCAATAAAAGGTGGTATAGTATAATGGCCAGTACAACACGTTGTGGATATGAATATACAAGTGTTCCGTGTAGATCTGGGTTCGATTCCCAGTACCGCCACTTCCTTTTTACCTTTTTTCCCCTACCTGTCTGTTTCTTACAGGTTTACTTAGGATTATTTTTTATACCAGTCAAGTTAAGCTTCTATCTAACCTCTCGGCCGCCCGTAGTAGGTAGTAAGTAGGTAGTAAGTAGCTAAAAGAAAAGTTGGTATATCTAGAATCTCAAAAAGCGTGTTAATTTCACCATTATAACGTCGTCTTCATGCTTCACGGGCGGGATATTGGATATACACACGGCGACTCCATGGGTTCTCCTCGCCGCTTGTGACAAAACCCCAGTTTAATATGTATCAAAGCCCTTAACGACGAAGCCGAAAAGTTCATCCGTGCCCAACTTGCTGCCAGTGGACTTAATCCGAGATACCAAGGCCCAAGTCCTAAAGAACGGAAACCGCTCATCCCAAGATGTTTGCCATAAATGATATAAAAGTGAGTTATATGTTACATGCATGTGTGTGTGTGTGTGTGTGTGTGTGTGTATTAGGTAGGTACTAGCAGGTAGGTAGGATCCTTTTGTCCATTCATTGTCAAAGAGGATACTAGTCGACTGCCTAAAAGAAACAAGATTATGTAGGGCTCTGAACTGCTTACCTAGGTACCTACCACCTATTGATCTTCAGGAGAAGGAGACCATCTAGAGAAATCCTGAACATACTACTAAATCTAGTTCAATGACATAAGTAACCTATACCTCAGGGCTGATCATCCAGGATGGTTCCAGCTTCTAGGCCGGGGCGCCCAACACTTCTAGGTAGGTAGTTACAGGATATAGTTCTGAGGTATCGAGTACTGTTAAACCCCCAAATTACTGAAACGCATGGGGCGTAAATAGAGTCTTTACCTCTAGATAGGGTAGGTACTTACTTTAGGTACCTAGGTATGCTATGACCTCAGCCCTATTAATAGTCAATCAACTGCAAAAAACTTCCTTCTAGTTTCTCATGTGATGGGATCCGGGTCATGTTGCCTACAATAGGTTAAAACTTAGGGCCATATATAGCAAGTTGTTGTTGTCAGGAGTTATATTGAGGAATCTGACATAATAGTCAAGTTATTGTGTTAGGTTGGTCGGCTGGATACGTTTTAATCCCCAAGGACCACCACACCACCTTTATTCAGAGACTCCCATGTACTAAAACTTTCTTAGTAGTAGTAAGTCGTGGTAACAACAGTTTCCAACAGGATAAATAGCATTGCTAACATCTATAGCCTTACCTAGCTAACTAGCAACTATGCAATAAGCTATTTGACAGGCATGTAGAGGATTGTCTAGAGAGTCAGTTGTGCACGTTACATATTCAGTAGTCTTCAATTTCACTATGTATACTCTGCTCCCTCATGCTCCATTGGTTCATACTCCCAACCGGGTTCTGATTCAACGGCGCCCCTAAAACTTCCCCATAGTTACCACCACCACCACCACCACCACCGCCGCCGCCGCCGCCGCCTAGCATTCCAAAGTTCGTTATCAGCGAAGCTCTTCCATTACCCTCACCCCCGCACGTGTTTACCTGCGACGCCGCTAGCCCGCCGCTCTGCGAGGTGTTCCCTGACCAAGGCGGCCACGCCCAGGGGCCAGGTTTCGGGAAGACTCCCAATGGCGGATGCGGCGGGTTTTCCGCGCTTGCAAACGGGTTAATAGGTGGAGGAAGGGAAGTAGGAGAAGAATTAGAAGCAGGCGACGGATTCCCGTCTAACACTAGGACTTGAATTACCGGTTCAGGCTGCCAGTCCATCTCGTCGTAGGTATCAAACCCGACGCCCGCGTCTTCAGACCACGCGGCGAATTGCTGGTTGCAATGATTCAGGGCGCGCGCGGCCCAGTTTCGGAAGCGCAGGTTGGCGCGGCGGACAGAGCTGCACTCGGTACAATAACGCATGTTGCTGTTTTTATTCTTGTATACGCCGCTATTAGTGCATCGTAAGGAGGGGAAAGGGGGGTCGTGGGTATCGATGCCGGCTTTTTCGTCCAAATCAATGTTATCGTCGTCTAAGCTTGCTGGTCCGCGGTGTCTGCGGCGGTTGCGTCTCGTATTTGGGTTGCCGTCGGCATGGATGTTCGCCTTATGGCCCTGAGCGTTGCGATGGAGATTGCGGTTGTTGTGTGAGTACTGGTCCCGTGGGTTGGTCTTATAATCGCCGTGACGTGGAGATAGGCTTTGACCATGCGCTGGATGACAGATATTCTGGCCTCTTCTTCCGGGTTGTGATTTGTTATGCTTCGTAGTCGAAGAATCAACGCCGCCCATAGGATAATCCTCGTCGAAGTTGGCGCCTTGACGACCTCGCCTATTATTAGGACGAGTTGCTGAAGTCTGGAGCTTATTGGAATTCCACTTTCTTGCCATCTTTTATGCGTTATTCTGTCCTTGAAATTTCACCCGAAATGGTTTTATTAAAACGTTCTTGGTGCGGTGGAATTTTGAAAATTCCCAGGCAGGAAATGGGCAAATTCTGCTGGTATCTGGTTGCAGTGGCGGGGTTCCCGAGTTGATTATGGCAGACATATTGATACCGCAGTTACCTGGAAGACCAAGGCACTGCTGATAATTCTTAAAGGGTACCTCCTCCATCTTTAAACTTCTCTATTTTCTAGTTTCTAAAAGGATGCGAGCTTATTACATAAATGTAAGAAGTAAGTAGGGACGTTCTAGAATAGGACGGAAAAGGCTTTCGTAAATAAAGTGATGAAGGTGACCTCCAGGCAAGAAGATTATGTCCTGAAGGTCAATACCGCAAAAACGCGAGATCTAGAAGCTTTCCATGGCGGGGATAGTTGAGTCGTCTTATTCGAAGAGCTATACAAAGGGGATTTCAGACAGTACGGAAGAACTTGTCAGCAGTCATGCAACAGTTCTCAGGATTCACTTAGCAGACAATGGCAAACGTGAAGACCAGGAGAGTCATAACTGAATAAACGAATAGCATCCGACACCCGCATGATTACTGAAAGCCGTGAGCTTTGATGAATCTGAGCGAACTTCCATTTGAGACCTGGTTTCAACATCAACAAACTTGGTCTAATAGACAGAAAGAGCCAATAAGAGAAAACATGATAACTACCTCTAGGTATAATCAGTGGAGATTTTGGGGAATACCAGTCATGCAAGCTACCACATATATCTCCTATGAGTACATACACGAGCGTATATTCCATCGTTGGACCATAATTTCCTCCATCGTAGCCTTAGTCTAGGGAGGAACGGAAGAAACAGCATCGTAGCAAATCTAAATAGTTTTAGACAAGTCTCGACGCCGTCAATTTGCGAACAACGATATCCCGAAGTCCTATGAGGCCCTCGTTAGGGAACTTTGGCAGTGTTTAACCTGCGGCTTGCTATCTCGAAAATGTTGAAGACGGTTAACGAGGCCAAGTTTAGTGATATTGAAGAAATCATTGTCGCCTTGACTGTAACACACAGATGCCCCCGACTTGCTTCCATTGTGCTCTCAATAGGATACGAAGCTCTGCGCAACCTTTAAAACGTGATTGACCCTGCATCGGGGCTCCGGGAAAGCAATTGTGGCACGGTAGTTATCGTATTCATCAGGCATGCCTCCTACAGAGACGATGACGTCAAATCATACAGTGCTTTATGCGGCCGCGCATGTTCTCGTGAGGGGGGCGAAGGGGTTTCGCATGCGCTTTGACGTTCAAATGAGGCCTAATTCTTGGTGGCTGGGCAATAGGACACTTAAGGACGTCCCCAAGAACATGAACCCCCCGTTTCCAGCTGCGAAAACCCGTGCTGCATGAGCATCCAGTAACCCCCGGCGTCTGTATACCTTGTTGGCGACAGTTTGGAATTATTTAGATGCCGTGGAGCTCTTAGTTTCAATAGATACCTCGAACCATCGCCGGTGCAAAACGAAAACGACTTGCAAGCACATATATTATGTTGGCCTACATAAGCTAGGCGATTCTGATGTCTGACAAAGAGAATAGCTAAGTATACGACCTGAGGCTGTAGAGCTATTACCACTGTTCCCGGAGGGTAACCCAAAAAGTGTAACTTACCGAGCTGTAGCCCCTTGTTCCCATTCTGCCAGAGTCATATGGTATCTTTTTGGCTGTCCACCATCTTAAACCAGTCTTGGATTTTGTGTACCTAAATCGGACACTAGGAAAAGCGGCGTGGTATTATAATTGAGCCACGAGGCACATGAACGCAGCTGCAATTTCTTAGCCTGCTATGGACTATATAGCTGGCTGCGTCGTAACGGTTTATAGTTACTACCTAGTAACTGTGCCCTTATATTATCACGAGCCTCTTTCGGACGAGACTCCTGCCAAGCTCAAACATCCTCTTAAGACTTCTTAAAACAATCGGTTGGAGATGAATCGTGTGCATGAATGTTTATAGGTCAAAGCTTCCCGGGGGTGTCCAAAAACTAGAAAGGTGAAAGCAGATCACCACGTGGAAATTGCGAAATCGGGGTCGAAATCGTGGTTGAAATCGTAGTTGATCTGATTCAAAATTCTGTAGGGGCCAAGGGGCTGAAGTGGCTGTACCTGAGGGGCCTGGGGACTCAAACCGCATAATAGAGAATGCACGTGCCACGCCGTGTTCCTTACAGGTATGTACATAGGTACGTGGTATGTATGTAATGCCCCGGTACCTAGGTACCTTAGGTAAACACCTCGGTGCATATTACGGATTAGGTAATAAACAGATTATCCCCCGTTTCGCTTTTTTTACTGCTGCAGTTGGCGTCAGCACTTATTCCATCTTTCATCTTACCACACACACTATCATCATCTACTGCCTTCAACAGTGAGCCTACATTCTATTCAATTACATCAGTTTTTACGATTGCCAGATCTTTATTGGATAAGAAACCCGGCATTGTGATCGCGTTTGTAACCGCTCACTTCTACACCGTCGCAGAAATATGATGTATCGAACATTGAAAAAGATCCATGGCCTAGAGAAGCATCACTTCACCCATTTTACACATCTCTGGAATGTTTCCACTAAGACCCTCTTCTAATATCAAACCTATATCTGAACTTAAGGTATACTATGTCGTATCCGTTAAGCATCCCCATTTCCCCCCTTTTTTTTTCTTTTCAGACAGCCATCCGCAGTCGGACTCTCCGGTAAATAAGATGACATTTCGTGATAGCCAGCAAGATTTCCTATCACAGTAGTATTTCCCTACTCCAGTGAGCTGCGTCATCCCCAGATGACTACAGATGCGACTTTCTGCGCGTCTTCCATTACTCTACATGGGATCATCAGCGGTTCCGTTATTTTTTATCCGCCGTCGCTTTTTTTCAACTATAGCACAATATTCCTAGCTCTCGTTGGTCGACGTCGGCTTGGCGAGAATACCGTTGTCTAGTACATCAAGCTGGGGTAAATACCTAGTAGTTATTACCAAGCCACTATGGAGCCTTTTCTGCCTATACTAGATATGTTTCGACGCTCTATCCACATATTCTAGGATCGCTTTAGCTACCCTGGTCTCTTAGTTGCTCGAGATGAGTTGGAGAAAGGTCAGCACATGCATACGGGTGTAGTACAACTTCTACCCGTTCAACGAAACGGGCATAGACGCACGTCAGCGTCAACTCCCTACAGGCTGGTACGAAAACATCCTGGTTCTCTGACTGATGGTGCTGGTCAAATCCTAGAGCAATCGGCCTACTATCCCTGGCCATCATGTCCGTGTATTTTCTCAATGCTTGCTGCTGTAAAATCTTCTCATTCTCAAATTTGTCCTTTGATTGGTTCATAGTGGTTGAGAAACCCTTCCACCAGCAGAAGTCCCATTCTCCGTTAAGCTTTATTACCTAGGTCAGGGTACCTAGTCAAGTATCCAATACAAGGTTCTCTTTATCAGTCGCGTGGCATCCCCTGGTATTCTTGTTAGATGCCAGGAGATACGAATCTACATTAATGTTCTGTCCCCCCAGAGATGTTGTCAATATCCACATCAATAGGCAAGGCTTAGACCCCTCCTATCCCAGATAAGTTTAATGAGTCTGGTGTGAATGGGTGCGCTAGGTGTATAAGATTCTCTTGACATCCAACTTGTAAATGCTGTGCATGGACAGGTGGACCTTTTAGATCCTTTACGATTTATGAACTACAAACATATCGATCTCAGCCAACCATATCGGGACTCGACGACTCAACTAGGTTTACAAGTCCCATTTACCCGGATGGTGTCGACTCATCAAACCTGCTGGAAAACCAAACATTAATTAACGACTCAGGCCCTCCTTCGGCCAGTTATGCGGCTTTCACAGTTCTGTCAAGCAAAGCAAACACAGGGCCCAATATACCGTGACTACCGACTCGGTAGCGGGCCGGTCCTATTGGTACAATATATCAACTTAGAGCCCAACTATTGAGCCAACTACAACCCAGTTCTCTCGAATTTGATACCATCTACTATTCCATAATGGGGCACGAACTAACCGCGGGGGAGCTCGAGGCGATTAGCATCATTGAGCGAGTCGGCTCCGTGTTCTCGCTATCGGGGTCTCTTTTTGTTATATGTACCTTCCTTTCTTCGAAGGCTTTCCACAAGCCTATCAACCGCCTAGTCTTCTACGCCTCCTTTGGTAATATGATGAGCAATGTAGGAACGTTGATGTCAAGAAGATTTGTGACGGATATCGATTCATTCGGATGCCAATACCAGGGTTTTCTTATACAGATGTATGTTATTTGCAGCTGCTTCTTGCACAACTCACTAAACTTTGCAAGGTTTCTGCCCGCCGATGCTTTCTGGACATTGGCCATGGCGTTTAATGTTTACTTGACTTTTTACTGCAAGTTCGACGCTGCGAGGCTCCGTATGATGGAAAAGTGGTAAGTTTCAAGCTCAATCTCCTGTACCTGAAGAGTAGAAAAGCATAAAAACTCATGCGAAATCACATCAAGGTACCTCTTAATATGTTACGGCATCCCATTCATCCCCGCACTCACGTACGTTTTCGTGAGAACCGAGTCGGCTGGTAGGATATATGGCAATGCCACTTTATGGTGTTGGGTTAGCACGAAATGGGATATCTTGCGGATTGTTACTTTCTACGGTCCCGTTTGGTAAGAGCCTGGGAGTTTGTGCCTCGAAATTAACTAGGTAGCATTACTAACACAAGTTGCTTAGGGTTGTTATTTTACTGACCATGTCTATTTATATTCGGGCGGGAAAGGACATCTACCAGAAGCGCAAGCAACTACGAAACTTTGGCGCCAGCAGTAGTGCCCACGATCCCGAGGCGTTGGATATGAATGATCCATATTCGGTGAAGACAACAGAAGTGACGGTTACATCAGAGTCTATTGAAGAGGGCGGGAATGGGATCGATCTTGCGCCCCTCGGGCGATTCAGCACGAATAAGAATAAGCCGTCGTATTCGGTGACGATATCCTCGCCTAATAACAGAGCAGAAGGTAGCAGAGCCCAAGAGGGCGATCGAATTGCCCCTATTCGGAGCCTTCAACAAACACCGTCCGCGGTCCAGTCACGAGTGAAGTCCCAGCGAAGAAGGGCGAACTTTGAGGCGAACAATGCGGCGTGGTCTTACAGCAAATGCGCTATTTTATTCTTTACGGCACTCCTTGTCACTTGGCTACCTTCGACGGCGAACCGAGTGTACAGTATCGTGAACACAAACAGCGCGATGGCGTCCCTCGAGATTATGAGTGCGATAGTCTTACCACTCCAGGGTTTCTGGAACTGTCTGATCTACGTCGCGACGAGTTGGGAGGCAGTGAAGATGACTTTCTCCGATATCAAAACCTGGTGCACCAGCGGTCCGCGTCCCGACCCGGGCCGGTATGGCGGCGATCATCACGACAAGAGAAATTTGGCCTTCAGGCTTCCGAGCCGAAACTCGCGCAAGGATATGGAGAGCGAATCAATGACGGAACTAGCTCATGGCGACAGAGCGTCGCATTTTAACCAAGAAGGCAAGGAGCAAACAACGTAGCAATACCACATTATAGACTTTAATTTTATATATTTATGATTCATCGCACTCCTTAAGCATACCTAGGTACGCTCCTTGTATCTTGGAAAGCGATGGCATTCCCATGGGGCATGGGCAGAAGAAGTCTTTCTCACTATCTAATCCCAATGATATGTACCTGCATAGGTAGGTAAATTGTCAATCAGACACGATTCGACTAATAGAATTCCAGGACTCAAAGATGTTGGGAAGATCCCTGAGTTTTTACCTTGCGCCAAGATCAAATCGTATGGCCCGGGATAGACTAGGGCCAGCTACGATGGGGAAGCCGATTCGAAAAGGTGGATATGATTCCGTTCTGACGGTACCTGTAGTTAGCCTTTACTTCTTGAAGCGTAAAGTCGGTCCTTTCCCCCATCAGCGCTAAAGAGGTAGTCAAATGTGGAGAAATCAAAGCGTTTTCTGGGTCGGGCGCAGAGGAAAGTTTCCTTTTAACCTTTCCGGCCTTCCTAACTTGAGCACCGAGTTACGTGGGCATACATGTGCTACTTATGAATTATGGGGGTTTGGAGATAGGAGAGCACGATTTCATATTCGCGGATCTTTAATTCCTCTGGGTTAGTTAGTATGCATGTTATTGATTCCCAAGCTACTCATTTAAAATCGAGAAGAAGAAGAAGGGGTGGCGGTGAAAAGCAAGATATTCGCGGAGAAAGGAATATTTTGCCCCAGATAGGAGGTACCTAGGCATAGCTAACCAACCTATTTGAGATAGGGACGTAACATCGTGTGTGCCTTGAAGAGAATTGAAGAGAATTCACTGTTTCAAAGAACAGATGGTTAGCAATACCCTGGGATCTATCTGATGTATTATTTGCTAGCAGCTTCCCCGGTACAAATTAGGGGTAGGTACATCTAGGTAGTATATGCAGGAACCGTCAAATTATCCAGGCGGTCGAGGTTGTGATAGTAAGATGCGGAACTTGCCTGACAGGTTCGAGGGGCTATTGTTAGCGGCCCTCCTACCTAGTAGTCCGGCTGTTGGGGCATAAATTATAGCGAGGTGGACCAGTAGGAATAGTAGCTGTAAGGCTGACTTATTACCCTGGTGCTCTACTATTAGCAAGGCGACACTACCTAACCTAACCTAACGCCAGACCTGGGTTCTCCAGTAGGTGAGGGGCGTAGTAGGTTTGAAGAGTTTCTAGAATCATTATTTACTAGCTACCTATCTATATCAAATATCCTGTGCCATCATCGTATATATCGTATATACCTGCTTAAGATAAGTGCCTATACTCACTCAATTAATAACCACATCGAATTCTTGCCAGTATTGGATTTCATGTAAGCAAGTCCCGTTTTCGATAGACCTCGCGGGGACAAACCCCCGAAGAGAAAGACCCTAAAAAACATTCCAGTTTTAAAAATTCCGGTGTTAGGCTCAAGCTCCAACACTCGTAAGGGACCCTGGGGAACTCTTTGCCAATCAAATATCACAGATCTGGGCCCTCCGGCTCGAATAGGTAAAGTTCCAATTAGCCCCCAACAGTCATAACATTGTATTGTACCTGCATAAGCACACGAGTTCTTTATATAGTGTGCTTTACTCTTTACGGGACAGATTGAGAGATTTATCTTTAATAGGCATCTATTAAAAGTACGAAGAGGAGAAAAGGAAAAAAGCCACCACAAAAGATTACAAAGCGACAGAGGCAAAAGCAAGGAGGAAATTTTCTCGGTAACGCAAAAAATTCTTACCGTCGTATTCCGTTCCGCTACGGTCCATGGTTCCGGGTCTAGCGAAATGGGACCTGCTAATGGGGCCTGTGCCATGGAGCCCCAGATACCTAACGGATTACAGCGGTGGTCGTAGCGTTCGGCTCTGCTGGCAATTGGTTACGGACACGAAGCGGGGCTGCCGGGGAGTTAGGTAGCAAGGGGCTTGCATAGGTACGCTATACTACTATGGTACCAAGTAGGTATACTAGGACCAACGGCAAAAACAGTCAGTTTTATTCCGCGTGACTATTCCGCGGACGGCACAGTATTCGAGCACGTCGTGCAATTTTCTACGTATTCTAACACGGTTAAGAGAGCTAAGCAGAAAAAATCAGAACAAACAGGAAATAATATTCTGCGACGAGCCTTGAGACTCTCTTTACTTCCCTAACCTCCATATCTCATATATTAGGTTAGGTACATATGACAATTTCGAATTCACATGCTTCGGGGCGGAACTTGTGTGCCGGTTTATCACTTCGAAAGAACTGATCCTAACCATGAATCCGCAAGTAATACATACACATGAATACACATACATACCCCTTGACCATGATAGGAATCAATATCCGTAAGGCTATCGCTTTCGGCTGCTCCTAGTAAATAATATGCAGTGGCGTCGTCTGTGCGGTCGAAGCGCTCTGTCGCACGAGCCTCGGGTTTGAACGGCAGAACGGTTGGGTATCTACACTGCTACCTTAGGTCAGATCCTCTTTATCAGATGAACAATAGGCCGATTGCATTGGCGGTATGCATGTACTATGCTATGCGCCAGCATGTACGTAAATCATCGAGCAAACACGCTGTGATAAGGGAACTAGCTAATAGGCTGGTCACCATGGAGCTGGAAGAGAGATCTGATGATTGTTCTGTGGGCTGTACGACAACGGTCCGATTTGGCTGTTTGGCCTCGTGTTAGAGGATAGGCATCGAAAAACAAGTACCTAGTAGCGCAGGTGGCTCTGTTCTATGGAGAACTGTAGAATATATTATTGAATGGCCTACAGGGCGGCTCGCGTGGTAGAGAAGCGTGGATGAAAACCACGCAAACCGACGCGCAATTGCAAACATGGATTTTTACTAAAAGATGCAGCGGTGCCGTTCGTGCGTATGAATATGCAGGTACGAAAGCAAGCAAGCTACCTACCTAAACTAACGTGTAGAATGGCCCTTACATATCTGGGATGGCATCCTTTTCCAACTCATCCCATAGACAAATACGTACAAGCAAGAATGACATATAGGCATCGCGCATCTACCTCAGTGCCTTAGGTAGAGATCCGCGAGTCCCCAAGTCGCCGGCCGACGGCCCCAACTCTCCAGATCTCAAGATCTGTCAGGGGCCGATACCTAGCCTAGCCCCAAGCCACCCGTACCCGATTAAACGGGTCCGATTCATGGGTGGCCGCAGCTTTCGCCAAACGTACACCATACGGGTCGCTCGGGTTACCCTGGTACCTAGTCCTGCCTGATGTTTGCTGCGATCCTGCTACGGCCCACGAGCCTCGAGACGTTGGTGCTGTGCCGTGCCGTTGGAAACTCTGGACTTGGGAGCGTAGCGAGGGGAGGGGAGGTCGCCGGACTACTGAGACTACCCACTTCCTGAAGAAGCTGAAGGTTCCGCTCGAGTGCTTACTATGTACTTCCACTGGCCATGTTCCCTGTTTGTTAGGAATCGTACCTGGTGGAATGGGCTTGATGCTTGAACCTAATGGTGATTTCATCTCGCCATGACACGTATAATAGAGAGCCTGTCCCCTCAACCGTACCTTAGTATTATAGCTTAAGTTCTAATATTAGGCTAGTATCAAAATTATTATCTAAATAAGTTATCCCTTCCACTAAGTAATCGCGTCTAGAAGTTTGAGCAGGTGAGGGTATTCATATGACATGTTTCTCCTGAAGTATTAATAATGGTCACTGGCATAGGATACAACATTTGTCTTGAAGAATACCAACTAAACTACCTAAGTAAACTTCACAAGAAAATAATCTTTGGTTTATATCATAGCATTTATTCTGGTGCCTAGTAAATGTTTGATCTTGGTGGCCCATTGTTACATCGAGTACTGTTGAATTTCAGCTTAACATATTACCATGTGTATCCTTTCGAGTAAGCACATTAACCATCAGGATGATTACTACGGACTTTACTCAATAAAGAGGTATAGACCAAGACGATATGTTCATAACTAAAATGTATTGAGTACCTAAATAAGATCAACAGTAGGTACAAAGCCCGTCAAAACTTTTCTACTATCCTAGTAGCTAGTAACTCACGTCTATTTCCCATATAAACTTGTCACTGTTATAGTCCTGAGAGGAGCAAAAGTCTTTCAAACGAACGCCCTCTAAGATTTAACAGTATAGAACTTCCACCATTGCTACCTAAGTAGGTACCTAAGGTAACCTTACTCTAATGTAACTTAGTGTGACTCGAACAAAGCATAGGTAGACGGGCTGCTCCACGTGCAGATATATTAGAAGAGTTAAACATTGAATATTTAGATATAAAGGGTATTTACCAAGGAACATCTACCCAAGGTAGCACATACTGTATCCATTAACTAGGGGGGGGTGATATCTCCCATCCATAGTGAAGGCATACGTTAGGTAGTGACTACAGAAGAAGAGAAAGGGGATTAGATATAAGAGAAAAAAAGAGCTTATACATACTCTATATAATGTTATCCTGGTAAATTGCTCAGTCTTCACGTAACGTTCTCTTGATCTGTTAACCGTTATTATAGTGTTCTGTGTCCTTGTGTGTTTGAACATGGCGATCTTCATCATGGCACCTAGGAGACCGAGGTATAAAAGGGGGCATGGATCCACCAACAAGGAAAAAAAAAAAAAAAAAAAAAAAACTCACACGCACAAAAAACACAAACAAATACTGAAGTGGAGGTGTGCTTATCGTTTGGCAGATATACTATTCCGGAAAAGTCGGGGCTTATGATAACTCGAAATGGCCTTTTTGGGAAATGGGAAGGCGTCAAAAAACCTGGGGAGCACCTGAAGAGGAAGTGGACGGGAAGGTGCGTTCCTCGATCTTATTAGCGCAGGCTCCCGCGGTCTATCTTTCGGGTCAAGCAGGTACGAAGGTAAGGCACTAAGGTAAGGTACGAAAGTAATGTACTCGTTAGTACCTACTTGCTCGCACTTGCCATGATTTCAAGATGCAAAAACCGGCTTAGAATTTGATCCAGCTTCAAATTTGTCTCACCTTTCAATCTAAGTTTCCAACCTTCTACCGGGTTCGCACGCGGTTTCTCATGTCGTAGTTATCGAGTCTCACTTCTTTCTCCTATCAACCACTTTATACCTATGTCTTGGTTTACAAAAGCCCACCTATTACCTTCTGCATCCTTACTATGACTTGAAGTCATATCGCCAATTCCGTGTCACTTTTGCGATTGAAGCAGGTAATTCGTCGATCGCGAGTGGCGGGACTCTTGAACCTCTTGCCAATACCAATATCAACATTACCGCGTACGAAACTCAGCCGTCTTCGTGAATCTCTTAAGGTTCACTTTAACCCCTTAATCACCCCCCTTTAACATCCGATCTATCCGATACCCTAATATTAAAGCTCACACAGGAGGATTTCATGAGAGAACTTCCCTCTAATGCTAGACAACAACAATAATATGGCACGTTCAACGCCCCTTGGAAGTTAACTCGACTGCCGACGATAATTTGGGCCGTCATTACACTTAGGTACTTTGTGTTACGATTGTACCGGGCCCTTGAAAATCCCCCATTCCACCAAGTATACAATAATAATACCTCAAACGGATATTAATCTCTTGTGACAACGCTTCGGATGGAGAGTTGATCATAAAACAGTCATCATGTTCGACGTTCTCTGGACTGATCCCAACAGGGAGCTGGTGGGTGAGCGGATGGTAAGAAAAGAGCAAGAAGCCAAGATGAAAGACAAAGAGAAAAAGCAAAAGCCTGAAAATGGTCGTCGGTCTATCTCAACTGAAAGCTCAACTTCTAGCGACCGTGGGTTTGGGATCTTTTCTACTAGAAGCCGAAGGAAGGCCCCGGCGTCACCTAGACCAAAGGACCGGACCGCATCGCCCGCTACTCCCGCTCGTAGCATCAATAGGACAAACCGAGCATCAGCTTACGCTGTTAAGAATTTGCTTATCCATCAAGATGAATCGGAAATTACTGTAAAACCTGCCGAGAGAGACTATCTCCCTGCACAGGTTTCGGAAGCAGCCGAGGTCTCTAGTCTGTCATCGCCAGGTGGGAAATTGAAGTCCTCTTAGCTGCTATCTAGCTACTAATGATCGGTTATGATAGATTCTACGTTGTCAAGATGGACGGATCCATCTGCTATTACCAACAGCACTGGCGTCGGAGCCTCCCTGAGTGATGCCACTGCAGGTATAAAGTCGGAGTACTTAATTCAAACCCTGGGTCCATCTTCGTTCATTACAAGAACCACCGAAGTCATGTACTCGCCTCGTGATCCAGACGCAGACATCGACCCGTTAGTTTCCGAAGTCCATATTTCAGCTAGTCGAGCGAAGGTCACAACACCACCGATAACGGATTTCCCAGAGAGAACGTAAGTCTACGAAGCTTATATGACATAGTAGCCGATATTATCCTAATCATCTTTTAGTAATTCTATAGCGTTTGACGATCCTGGCTCTACAGGTCAATCCTCTGCATCGCCACATACGCCACCTCCAGTCGAGTTCCAGAATAATAGCGTCATATATACTCCAGGATGGAATGGTACAGATAGACTAGGAAATCCAGACGCCTGGAAACCTCCGCATGAATGGGAGTGCACTCCGAATAGACAGTTGGCAACTCATTCTGATGAGGAAGGGCTGCATAATTCATTGATCAGTGACGATTCTGAACGATGTATGTCCCCGAGCCTCGCGGCGCTTCAACGCGAGGTCCGGATGATGGCCGCGGCAACCCCGGAGCTTATGCTTGCCAATATTAAATCTAGCATGGGCTATTCCTCGGATGCGACCGTTTACAAAGAGCTTGAAATGGCTAAGAAACGTTGGATGTTCTCTGCTCTTCAACACGAGGGTTACGTTCCGCTTGTGGACTGCGCAGATAGCTGCCCCGGAAGTTTAGATTCGTCAAAGCCCTATAGACCTCCTAGGATCCTCGCACTCTACGAAACTCAAGGTGCGTAGTCTACTAGTAAGAAAGTTTCATTCAAGTTTGCTTGCTGACACATATCAAACTAGCATCTGCTTCGTTTCTTGCTGCTATGCATCCACAGGCCTTGATATCACACTTATCGCCAAAACCGATATCGCCGAATCTATTTCCTAACGTCCAGCCGTTACTCGTGCCGGTAATATCTGCTTCGGCAGGCTCTCGACCGCTTGCTCCACAGTTGTATTCAACCGTAACCTGTCTACCCATGCCTGCGTTGTTTCCTTCGAGCGAGATACCCCCACTTCTCCGTCACATTTACCGCTGCCTCACACCCGGCGGCGCTTTACACTTGACCCTTATAGACCCTCAACCTGTCTCATCTTCGATGGGCCCCAAACTGCGACAGTGGCTATTTGAGAATCTCTTGATACAACTCGAGAAGAAGTGCCGTACTACGTTACCAAGTGATACGTTTCCCGCCTGGCTAGCTGTTGCGAAACTTCGTGGATTCGGCAGCACTATTACAACCATTTCTGTACGTGCCGTACACGAGGGCGCTGCTACGACAGAAGACACGAATGATCAAACATCGGTAGAAAACGAGCTACGATGTCTCGTCTCAAGGATGTTGTGGCAAGAGATATGGGGAAAGTTCGTCCACGCCGACCGATGGTGGTGGGAAGAGGAAGACATCGTACAGGAATGCATCGAAAGGGGAACTTACTGGCAGTACTCCCACATCGTGGCAGTCAAGAACAATAGGCAGTCATCTTAGCCCAGGTTCTGCCACCTACGGGAAGGGGTAGGGCGTTACGCGCGGGGCCATTCTTTCGGAAGTTGGGTTATCATAATGGGAAGCAACTACCCCAGTTGCCTCATCATATAGGTGTTCGAGGGCGAATTATTCAATAACGCCGCGCTACATACGCTGCTAAGAACACTGGACGTCTCTGCAGCGAGTTATCTGAAAAGCTGCCTCGCTATCTAACGCGGCAAGTCATGTTAGTTTTCACAGAAGTTTCATGTTTGGTGGAAGATACCCGGATGCAAGTCTTTCGTTTAGCAGCTATTCATTTGGTATTCTCTCGCTCTCGTAACAGAATACATGCTAATTTTGGTCATCTTACTGCCCCGAGAGGAAAGTTGTTACATGTATTTTTCCGTGTGTGGAATTCATGTAGCTCGAACAAATACAACTGGCAATGGCATAATACTTACATACCTCCTTCATACCTGAAGTAACATTACCTAGCACTTTCGTGCTCCGTCAGCCCGTGGATTACATCCAAAGCCCATTGCTCTTACTTTTTAGACGATTCTAGGCCTTCGCCCGAGGATTTGGGTCTCTAAAGCCGCACGGTATCGCTCGTTGCAGAAGCCCCAATGGTTGGGTTATAGGTGGTGGTGGTGGTGGTGGTGGTATGTATGGGGCTATGCCATGGTGCTAGTTAGATACTAGGGGGAAAAAAGCGAAAAGGTGAACGGTCACGGCAGCGCGGCAAACAAGTGCATGTTGTGCACATCTTATTACCCGAGATACGTGCGTTGGGGGAGATGGTACAATACTACGAAGGACCGTGTCTTACTTTGGGTTGGTTAGGTTAGGTAGGTAGGTTGTGAGATGGGTTGGCCGCTAACGAATATGGTGGTGGCTGAAAGGATTTTCTCTGTACCTAGGTACCTACCTACCTAAGGTAAGTAAGGTAGAATCAGTTTTGATATTTTTTTTTCTCTTCTTTCAAGTACAGCCTCGGTGACAGCTACTTAGGCGTAAGTCAATCCAGGTTACTGCGTGTTCCTTCTAGCTGTTATATTGTTAACTCTCTCTAGGTATTGGACTTCGGTATAGCTAGCCCCTATTCTCCGGCACAATGCACCGCGCGTGTAGTACGACGCTCCCCGCTCCCCCCATCTCCCTCAGGTGATCGATTTACCGCAGCAGCGCCAGTAACAGCCCGACGCAAGTAACCACGACCACGCGCGATCGATCCCTTCTTCCCTTCCCTTCCCTTCCCTTCCCTTTCCATTCCAATCCCTTCCCCTCCTTCCGCATCTCCTCGGGCGCCTCCTTCGGTACTCACCTCCTAGCGTACCCCCTCGCGCGGTCGAGGTTGAAGGCGGCGCTGATGAGGGCGAGGTGGCTGAAGGCCTGCGGGGTGTTGCCCAGCTGCTCGCCGCTGCGGGCGATCTCCTCCGAGAACATGGACAGGTGGTTCGAGAAGCTGAGCATGTTCTCGAACAGGTTGACCGCCCGCGCCAGGTACCCGGACTCGTACGCCGACGCGCGCGTCAGCGCCTCCACCAGCCAGAACGTGCACATGCTGAACGCGCCTTCGTGCCCGCCGACGCCTGGTACATTGGTAAGTAAGATGAGCTGGTACTTGGCGGTGGGTCGAGGGTTTTTCTCTCTCTCCTTCTCTTTTTTTTCTTAACAAGAAAAAAAAAATGAGAAGGAAAGGGGGGATGGGGATGTGTCTGGGGAAAAGGGATGGTGAGATAGGATAGGATAGGGAGGGCTTACCGTCTTCGGCAAGCTCCGTGTTATACCGGGAGACCAGCCCCGCGCTCGTCAGACCGCCTTTATCAGGCGGGAGGAGGATCTTGTCGACGGTGTTGAGGAAGCGCGGGTCGTTGGGCGCGATGAAGAAGACGAGCGGCGCGATGAGGATCGAGGAGTCCAGAATCGTGTTGTGTTCGTAGCTTTGGATGAAACTATCCATTTCGGTGTTGTAACCTTTTTTTTAAAAAAAAAGAAACTATGAGTTAGCACTTATAACGGATCTAGATATATACCTATGCTGGTGAAATAGAGGGAGTTTGTTCACCTTTCTCCATAACCTCCTCGCAGATGGCGTCTCGGGCGTCTTGCCACTTCGCGCGGTTGGGGCACGGAAGACATCGCTTTTCGGCGAGGCGAATACCTCGGTCTAGGGCTACCCAGAGCATGACTTTTGAGTAGACGAAGTGCTGCTTGTTGTTGCGGACTTCCCATATCGACATATCCGGTTCTTGGTTGTTCTCTTGTTAGCGGTGCGGGTTTTCTTTGGATGGTGGCCCTTTCACATACCGTCGAGTATTGTCAAGACGTGATCTGTTAGGAGTTAGCTAATATGGTAGGTAGATTATATATTTCGTGGTTTAGCTGGCATGACTTACCAAGCATTTTGCGAACCGATACCCAAGTATCCCACGATATGGGCTTTCCGTACTTATTGTAAAGATAGATAGCGTCCATGAGCTCGCCATACGTATCAAATTGCTTGTGGAATACGGCTCCGTTGCCGATCCGTACTGGTCGGCTACCTTTGTAGCCATCCAAATGGTCAAGTTCTTCTTCGGGTAGATCGGTCTCGCCCCTTATGGTAAACATGATAGGCAGATCGCGGCCCTCCGCCGTAGTCTTTTTCAATATTTCGCTTATGAACTCCATATACGCGTCCGCCTCTTGCGTGAACCCCATCCGCAGGAAGATGTAGATAGTGAAGCTGGAGTCTCGGACCCAGGAGAAGCGGTAGTCCCAATTCCTACGCCTAGTTAATCGTTTTCATTTCCTCGTAACTTAGTTATAGGATATATAGAAAAGGGAACCTACCGGACTCCACCGATAGCTTCGGGTATCGAGAACGTAGGAGCCGCCACTATGGCCCCGGTGGGTTCGTAGGTTAGTAATTTCAGTATCATGAAACTTCGCATGACAACCTCGCGCCAGGCGCCCTTGTAACTGCTCTTAGATAGCCAATTCAACCAAAATGACTGCGTGTCGTGTTGCCGCGCGTCGAGGATCGAACTTGTGATGTTCTCCGTAACATGGTTCGGTATATCTTCTCGAATGACGAACGAGATTGCTTGGCCCTCTTGCAAAGTAAAGTTGGCAACGACTCCCTCGCCCTTCATGCCCTCTTTCTGTACCTTTTCGAAGAGAAGGGTTGGGCTAGTATCCGAGTCTCCGCCGCCATAGTCGATAGTGACGTCGAGCTGAAGTTTCAGACTCTTGCTGTGGAAGGTAACCGTCTTGCTTTCGAAACTGTCAACTCCCGAGACATTGTGAAGTATAGTAGTAGTATGAGGTTCCCTTGCGTAGTCGAATGCCGGGAAGACGCCTACATCTGGATGAGTGTCAGCACCCTGATCCAAACAACCAGGACGAGGAGAAATAGCAGACCTAACGACATTTTACCGCGAATGCACTCGACCCGCCGAACGAGCCATTTCTTCAGCTCCTTGTATACACTTTTAGCCTCGCGATAAGCATTATGCTTGTTCTTCGTGGACAGGACAGTGGATTCCTTAGGACGGGGGAAGAAGTCCACGACATCGACGACACCATCTTCGTTAATGTAACGAGTCTGTAGAATAGCAGCTGACGGGAGATACTGTTGCTTTGTTGTACACGATGAGGGCTCAGGGGGCGCTATGCTAAAGTAGCCCCCCTTATCCTTGTCAAGCAGACGGCAAAAGACGGATGGAGAGTCAAAGTCTGGCCTGGAAACTCGACTTAGCTTATATTCTCGTCACCACTAACAGGTAGATATCATCTTCGAGCCGTATGAAGATTTCCTATAGAGCAAGATGCAGTTGGTAGCAAGTCGTCTTCCTTTTCTTCTTTCTTAGTACCTCCTCTTTCGAGGATACCAGGATGATCAAAGTTCGAACAGAAACCTAGGACAGGGCTATATGATAAGGACTTACCAACACATGAAATCTGATTGGGCAAGATGTTCTATGGTTAGCTTTCTTGATAGCTGATATAAAGTCTTCAACCTAGGTAAGTAATTAAAGAGGCTCTAGCTCACCTATACTCCCATCCATGCTCACCAACGCGCAAGTTCTCATATTCCCGATTATGCCATAATACTCAATTGGAAGATATCCCGCAGCATCTCTCGTGGAGACGTTGAGAGTAGTACCCTTAGCGGTTCCCATGATGAAGGGGAAAAAGAGGGTTCGCTGGAGTTGGAGTTATGAGAACGGAACTTCCGGATCTTGAAATGCCTCTCTTTTCTTCTTCTTCTTCTTCTTCTTTCTATAATAGCTTAACGAAAAATTGAGTCGGCCTGTATGAGTTTGTATAAAATTTTACATATCTATGTATTATGAGAGTTCCTAGCCGGCTTGCCTAATCCGTAAATCTCCAAAACCGCATACGTCAAATGTCTTGACATCATACTAAAGTCATGAATGCGGGCTGAGAGCTCTACTTAGTCTAGTGTAAGCTCCCATCCTCACTACTTACCTTAGGTACCTGGTATCTAACGTTAATAATAAATCCCCACGATTCCCCCAGGTTGAGTTAGTTATCAGGTAGCTAAGGTACCTAAGCCTGACGCGTGTGTCTCAGTAAGGCCATTACATGATAAAAAACTTACATGTAACTAAATGATAAGTAGCTTACACAAGTTGATACTTGGTATAACTACTGTACCTAGACCAATGTTATAGCCTATGTTTATGCACGTCATTAATTTTCATATGATAGTTTCAAGTTTCACAGGAGCAACCTCGGTGTATTGCAGGGCAGCCCTGCACGCTGTTGAAACATCTTGAAAGGTCGTGAAGTTAAACCGAGGCTATATTGTCTCTTGGAAGTTTTGTTAGTACATACCTAGCCTATATACCTCTAAAATCTCGGAAATCGTATTAGCTAAATTCGTTGCTAAAACGGGTTGGCGGGGGTGTCTATTCCTAGGTTCCTAGGTGTAGGATAATGCAACATCTGGAAAATCATAATGGTAACCTGCTAATACGAAAATGGGAGAAATGCGACCGGAAGTATATTTTCAAAAGGATTCAAATTTCTTCAAGTCGTATAATTCGACAAGTTACGAAGTACCAAAGCAACATAGACGGGCATAATTGGGTTTAAGGTTCTGATGTCGTAAAGAACTTTAGGAACTTTAGATCCAAAAATAGAAATAATCTAACTTCATATGGGGGACGGTTAGTTAGATCGTATATCTTACCCGCAGGATTGGCGCTTTAGTACGTGCCCACCCGGTGTATCAATCAAGTAAACGCGTCGGTATATTAATTCCAATATTATGTTAGTCGTGGTGAATTTTCATTCTTACCAAATCCTATTCTGATTTATTATAACAATATTACAAAGTGATAAAGCAATAAGACTCTTTCCAACAAGCCTCAAACGGGGACCATTAGGTTTATACCTTGACTTATGCGTGAACAAATGCTTACTGGTAACTACTTAGACTTATTAAGTACCCTGTTGTGCGGAGAGAACCTACGGGGCTTATGCTTATGACATGGATGCATTAAGTACCTAGGTACCTACCTATATGACATGTGAATGCAAGTACCCGGATAGCGTTCTTTATGAAGTATCCACGGGTGGTCAGTATTCAATGTTATTAAAGCAATTTGTCGAATTGAGGTACTATATGGTTTCCTTTTTTCAACCAAGCAGAAAATGATACTATGTATAATGCACCAATGATAATATCCTTTACCAATTCGGCCGAGATATCTGTTCCAATTAGTTAACCGCGATTGAAAGTGTACGTGCAAGACATGTTACCTATTCTTTTTAAGGCTACTGTGGTTTCAGCTGGGTTTAGACTTATTAATGATGGGACAGAGTACCGATTAGGTAGCTGCGAAACAAGACTGAGCTAGGTAACATCTTCCGAGGGGAGCTGAAGCTAACAGCTGCGCCAGGCACCTGCAAACACCTATCATAGCAGAGGTAAGTATCGAATTTGCATAATATAGTAGGTTGGGTACGCATAATATGATAATATATGCCGGGGCCCGGTACGACTTACCTACGGCGTATTACCTTAGGTACATTACGGCGTGCATAAGTGAGGTACCTACCTATATAGCAACTTTAAATTACTTAGGTACCTAGGTAGGTAGGTACTTGCAAGGTAATTAATTGTACTACCATTGCCTATTAAAACACTGCTAAACCACTGCTTAACTCCGCCCTTCCCGTCGTCTCCTAGTGTACCTACCCTACGGTATATTACCTAGGTACCTATAGCAAGGATCACCACTTGGGCATAGGAGATCAAGAAGGTATACAATATTCAATCCCACCCCCAGCGTTCAAATCTGCCGCGTCACCTTCCATTTTCTTTGTTACACATCTTCATTTCTACTCTTATTGGCTCCCCCGCTTGATCTGATTCAACTTTTGTACAATAGCACGGCCCAAGAACAACAACGTTTGCCTAAAAGAAACCATAATCTTGTTTCCCCTTTTCGTTCGAATGCGACCGTGCCAACTACAAAGTAAATCTTTATTGAATTATGGCGTAACACTACCACCACTATTGTTCTAACATATCGCGACGCCGTCACCGATTATAACTTCATAACCTTGGCATCGTTCATACATGTAGTAGCGCTGTGCCATGTCTACAGAAATTCAAATGTCCAGCATGGACGAGAAGCCGGCCAAGGCTAGCGGGAAGCTCTCGTCGTCAGCTTTTGGCCAACTTCCCGACGAGATTATCGAGCAGTAGGTTTTATTATACTGCTATTGGTTCTATCAGTTAACAATAGCTGACGTCTGCGCCGTGATTAACATAGAATACTCCAATTGACCGATCCTGACTCATTCGCGTCTCTCGTGCTGCTTAATTCTAAATGGAGGCGTGTTTCTCAGCAAGCCCATCTCTACGCCCACCATCTAATGCGATGCCCATCCTATGGCTCCAGTCATGCTGTCGCACCTGTTGCGGAGTCGGATAACGATACTTTACCCAAACTTCGACGATTGTTCGCCCGCGAAGTTAAGAGGAACCTTTTTGAGGCTTACTTACGTCCCAAAACTACTACGATAAAGCTGGTTTCCAATTGCATCGGATCATCTTCTGCCCCCGGTGGTGAGGGCATGCAGTTCAGTTCCTCTCCTAAGGGCCATCATCTTCTCGCCTATAATTCCTCTCGAATAGTCGTCTTGGACGTTAGAGAACCCGAGTTAGCCGTAAAACGGGAATTTAAAATACTTCGCCGCCCAGCCGCCGCGTGCATTTTGGATAATGGTAGTCTCTTAGCAGTATTATCGACTGACATGCAGGTTGATTTATATGATCTGGGAAAAGTTCCACCTCGTCGAACACGGTCGTTGATATTAGACCATGCTCCTCGTGCCATCGCCTTATCTCCATGCGGGAGCGTACTCGCAGCTGCGTACGAAGGCGGCATCGAAGTATCTTCCATAAGCCCCGGGGCGCTTCCGACGGATCGGAGAGCAGTGAAATGCGACGGTGTTGATTCTCTCGCTTTTTCCTTCGATGGGACACAGCTATTGGGTACGACAACAACATCCTATACCCCTAATACGGTTATTTTAACAGCGCCGTATTACGATCCCGGCAACCAAATATCCGAAGAGAATAATAATATTAGCGCATTGTGGACTACGTCTATTCTATTTCCTAATACGAGCCGAGATTGCAGTCATGCTGCCTTACTACAGGAGTCGGGCTCTATGGAGGCAACCTGGGCTTTTGCTTACGACCGAAGTTTTGAGACATTTCGCGCCGTACGGATCGATGATCTTCGCAATGGCACAACTTACTTCACAGGGCCGGCTCCGGGATCGCCTTCGCCTGGGCCCTTATTACCGTGTACGCTACCTGCTGCAAATTATCAAGGGGACCTCGTCTCGGCTGGATTCGAAGGGAGAGATGTTTGGTTATACGGGATTCCCGAAGACCTGGAAGCAGTTCCGGAAGGCAACCATCCAGCAACAACATCCGATTCAAATGGACCTCCACCGTTAAACCGCATGAATAGTGGAGTATCAGCACGTTCATCTATTCGTATACAGGAAGCGAACGGTGGCCGGGTTCCGCAGTGGCAAATTTTATGCGACAAGTATCGCAACACGTTTGTGTGCGGACGCAAAATTGCAGAATTGAGTGGTGTGAGCCATTCGAAATGGGTCTCCGGGTTTGGTGATACATCTTCGAAGGAACGCTTGATCATTGCTGCTCGAGGGGTGATGCCCCCTAAACTTGTGACTGAGGAAGACGGCATCGATTTTGTAGATGGGGGGAGAATCCGAATACTCGATTTTGATTACAGTTTGGAAGATGGCCAAGAAAAGGAAATCACTATTGAGGTTGGCGCAAACGAACCGGAAGTGTTGGAAGAGGAGTATCGCGATATCGATACGGAAGTGGCCATTGTTAGGCGAAGAACAGTAGCACAACGGAGAGGAAACCGGGCCAGTGTGGTTATAGCAACACCTTCACCTCGTCAAGTTGATGCTCTACTGCGTCCATCAACCGCTCACAATGACGATCTGGAAGATCCGCTAATACCACGGGCTATGCCTACGGCACGTACTAATGCTCACGCAGCGGATCTTGACGAAACGGAAGATGTCTCGCTGGAAGAGGCTCAGGAAGCTCTTGATGCCCCGTATGCCCACGCCAATCCACGATCTGGGACAACGCTACGCCGCGCCGCCACCGCCGCTGCTGTGAGTCGCCGGCGTAACCCACAGCCTGTAGCTGGTCGGGTTGAGTATCGGCGTGCCGATGGAAGAGGAGAGCATCCTCATGAAAGTGATGCCGATAACTGGGTCCCTCCCCCACCGCCGTACTCTAAAGAAGACCCTGGCGATATGCCTGACTTCATGCGCCACTCCTCCGTACGCCAGTCCACCATGCCCGATGTTGGGGTCCTACCGGGGAGGAGGGACTCTATCCCCCCTGTTCCTCCTCTTCCATCTTCTGTTTCGTCAGTTCCGCTGGCCCCATTGGTTCCGCCTAAACCACTCCCGCGAACGTCCGGGACACCAAATTTCAGCCGACCCGAGTTACCTCGTCTCCAGACTACTCCTTTCCGGGAGAGGTTGGCGCACATGTCCTGGCATCCTCACGCTTCGCAGCAAAGGGTTGGGAATGCCTCCATAAATGAAAGCCGGTCTGCTGGGCCTTCTGGAGCACAATCCCATCGACCGGTATCAGAGTATTCCTACACGCAAGGGAGTAGATCTGTTGTGGACGATGAATACGGCGATATCTATGACGTGTCTCCAGTTGGGTCACCTTCTAGGGCCCCGAGCTCCCACGTATCTGAGGGCCCAGCTGCTGAACGTACACCTACCTCGCCGGGGGCGCATCAAATTGTGGAAGTTTCTCGTCCGGGCTCGGCAATTCCTCATTCCTTTGATCCTACAACACCATCATCTATAACAAACGTCCCGAGATGGGAAACCGAGCAGGGTAGGGGGAGCCCAATAGTCGGTAAGCTTCCGAATGCTGGTACTTGGCCGAGAGTCCCGGCACGACCCAATACGGCGTCGTCGGCTTCTACCTACGGATATCCCCTCTCGGCTCCACCAACAAACCAGATCAACGAGGACATCATTGCTACAGCTCTACCTCCAACGCCGCAGTCAGAGCGGACAACACGTTTGCATGATAGGCAGAATAGTTTTGATGCGTCACATCCTATCTCAAGGGGGTTTCACTTACCACGCGTACCTGTGGGTAGTCGAGGTCAGGAACTTCGACGAGGCAGTGTGGTTCCCACGGTAGAACCAATACCGGAGCCGGCTCAGCCGCTCATAATCAGCACTCCCACAGGGGTGAGCGGTGCTTATGATGCTCCTGGTCAGCTGGATACAGATAGACCACAGACAGGGCCAGTCTTGCATGCACCAGTTCCTCGCCATCCCCGGCCAGTATCAGGGGCACACGTGCTGCGCCCCACCGTCGAGCGTCTCGAAACAATATCTAGGGTTGCTAACGGAGAACCGCCTCTACCTCCACCACCACCTCCTTCGCAATTTAACTTGACATCACTACGCCACCATACCAGCTTAAAGCGTCGACAGAGTCGGGCAAGGAGGGGAGCCATTAAAAATATTCAAGACGCCAAGCTACGGGGATGGACGGGGAGAAAGAAAAATAAGAAAGACGACGAAGCTGACGGTTGGATGGACGTGACTTGGGCGTCAGCCATCCCGAGAGGTCAGAATAAAGATAAGAAATGCATCGTGATGTAGGAGAGGAACGAACCGGATACGCGACAAAAAGAAAAAGGGTTGGCGTCCGAGCATAACAACATACACGAACGACGTTTGAATTTAGCTTTGAGTCAACCAAGTAGGCTCTCATTTTCGGATAACTCGGGGAAAAAAAGGTTTTGCTTTCAGTCATCGTCTACCTTTGGACGAATGATAAGAGGGGGGAAAGGGATCATGAATTTTCATGTCGGGAGAGAATATAACCAGGACCCGTCTTTGGGATAAGTGATCTGATCTGGTCTGGCCTTGGTCTGAGGCGTAACGGTAGAAAGGGGAAGGGGGGAGGGGGGGATTTTATATTCGCTCGAACCCCCGGGTTGAACTTTAGGGGGAAGGGAGAGAATATAAAGAGCGATACGATGTACATGATACCAAAAAGAAAAAAAAATATCTGCCTATCTAGAACCTATTGCACATGATATAGGTACCTAGTATATATATTTATCGCAGGATTAGGCTGGGTTGCCTATGGTACTTAGGTGTGAAAATTGCCTCTACTGCGGCATTTCGTTGTTTTTCTTTTATATATACATACTGCTTGGTTAACACGTAAATAACTACGTAACCTAATGTAGTGTGTATTATGAATACATTAGATATCAAGCGGTAGTACCTATATGTAAGACGTAATACGTATAACGTTAGTAGGTTTTTATTATTATTATTTTATTTTTTTTATTTTTTTTACGGGAATATATCTGGGACCGGGAGCGTTTGTCGCGGTTGTTCGTCGTATTTAAGGGGGTTTGGTGGCTACCTCAAGTACTTACCTACCACCTTAGGTTAGGTACTCACTGGTATGGTGGTATACGAGGGCAGGACGCGTATTTCTAACGCGGCATATATTAGGAAGGTATGTATTTCCAATAGTATACCTAACGTAGGTAGGTATATAGAATGGGGAATGGGGAATGGGATATGAGGTATGTAGAGCTTGACGGGATCTCCGTGCTTGGCTGCCTCGCTCTCACTCCCAATCTCTTAACTGTGTTGTTGAATAAGCCGGGAATTAGGGGTAATTTAAGTTAGGTACCTAGGCACGTTAATAGTGCGAGAGTTGAAAAATAAAATTGGATTAAGGGGGTATTCTATTGCGCAAAACGCACACATCGAGCACAGAGGTAGTATGTACCTGTTATCCTTAATATAACCAGCAGTTTTTTTGCCAACGCCGAACCGTACTCCCTCGCAACAACCGTCTATGCTAACGCCATAGGCCATGCAGAACACATTGCATCGCATCGCTTTTTAGGGGCTCAAATACATACAGCCCCGTTGTGTGATTGGAAACAAGAAGATGAGGGCCGTATTCCCGGTTCCCTCTCGATTTTCTTTTTAGACTGGATAGTTTCCCCACGAGGAAGCTCAAGCTTAGAACTCCATACCCATCATGGCCACGTCCTCGTCAGCAAGGGAGCTCAGACCCGAACTTGGTGGTCTAGACTCGACGTCAACAGTTTCGGGCTCGGGGGGCCGCTGCGACGTCTCGTGCATCTTGCGCGCCCACGCGTGTATGCTATTTTCGCTCCCGCCCTCGGGGACGATTTCGCCTTCGACGATGCCGCGGCCTAATATCGTGCCCGCATACTTGGAATCTTGGTCCGTCTTATTATGCTTCCGCTTAAGCGCTATGGTTCGACATTTGTTAGTACGTGTTCTCGACAGACACGGGTCTAGTGCAGATATGGAGTTTTCGAAATCATACCACTCAAGTAGTCCGTCTCGCGCTGCTCCTCTACTCCTTCCACTACGACTTCGCCGGTAATAGGCTTGTCCAGAGCAGCTACCATGCGAATCCTCCGATTTTTGCTCCCCTTAGCCCAGCGTATGAATTCGTCAACCCCTCTCGTGTCTTCCTCCCCGCTTATTTCCTGGGCCGTGAAGTCGCGTTCCGGCCACAAGGCCCCGCAGTCTTCGAGGGCAAGGCGCACATCTACGACGTCGGGAAGACCAGGTACACCTGTCTCGTTGTTGAGCGCCGCGTGCTGTGCCGTGCGTCGCGAGATAGCGGTAAGGTAGTTCGCAGCGAGCTCGGTCAGCGCGTCGACAGTACTCGGTGTCGAGGAGTAGTAGCCCTGAGCGCGTAGGATTTGTAAGATAGCCGGCCGTAACAGAGCATGGTGGATTTCGGAAGCTGTGGGCGCACGGTGGGTTTGCTGGATATATGATGACATCGTGGATTTTCCCCTATTATTCAGCGTCGCGAAAGATGGTGATCAGAAGTATTGGATCAAACCAGTTTCTTAACACAGCCCTGTTTTATTGAATCGTAGAGCGGCTGTTTGGAGCGCGTGTCAAGAAGATCAAGGCAAGATTCGATCAATGGAGTTGTATCGAAGATCTGCACAAGGTGTAAGCTCTCTAAAATTCACATCAATACGAGTTATTGAGTCGTAGACTTCGTACATTAATGGATATTGATTTGCCAATGGCAAGGTCTGCCTTGGTATTACTGGCTGATACTATGTGACTATAGTGTACTTGATCTCAAAAAGGAACAATGTGACTGAGTTGAAAAATATGTTGTCGCCGATTTGTCCAACGAGCTCGAACAAACGTATTATAGCAGACACACAATGCGGATAAGAACCAGTCGCGAAAAAAAAAAGTATGGGTAGTTTAATATTTCGAGAGGCTTTTCTAGTTTGTAAGGATTGGAGTTTCGAGCTTGGAGATTAAAGTTGAATGAATGTCAACTCGAGTCAACTCGAAGGGAACCGAGGATATATCGATATCGAAATTTGGTTTAATGGAATTATTTGTTAGCCGTATTCGAACGATTCGGTTCGATTCTCCATCTGATCATTAAGTGCCTAGTATTGGTGACGGGCTGTTGGCGCCATATCAGCCAACATCCGTGGTGTCTACAAATTGGACATTCTTTAGAAAAAGCTGAGAAAGCTAAGAGAATTAATTACTTCAAGGTTTGGAGAAATGAAAGCAACCTGCAAGGAGCAAAGCTTACCTTGGGTACCTAGGTACACTACCTGCAGGTGCCACCTGTGTTAGGTACAGTATTAAGTACAGTGTACACATCCCAAGTCCCACCTGCACCGTCTACCTGGTACATGTAGGTACCTAAGGTATCAAGTACAGGTACCGAGTACCTAGGTACCCCGGACACCTAACGACGTAAACTCCAAACTCCAAACTTTAAACTCCAGATTTCATGACCCTAATTTCGATTCAATGTCACCGTTGTATTATTATATTAACAAAGCAATCTAACTTACCTACCTTCTACATAGTGGTTTGATTCATGAGACAGAAAGTCAAGGTCAATTTCTCTATCTCATCCGAGAGTCGAATAGCATAAGCCATCCCTTTCGCCGAACCTTGGTCCTCGCCCCTTTCATCATGTCGTCGTCTATCAACGTGAAGCCGACGCTCAAGCTCGACACGTCGCAGCAGATGCCACCACCTTCGTCGAGCCTTGAAAATCCGAGACCTATCCTAAAGCTTAATACAGCATCGCGACAATCTTCATTCAGCCGTGATATCGGTACTCCCACACCGTCCGGAGAGAATCGAAAAATAAAAATTAAGCTCAGTAGCCAACCGAGCACGCCAGCCGCTACGCCCGTCGCTCAGAGTCCAAGTTTAACCAAGTCAAAAGCTGGGAGAACATCTAAGCCGACTCAGAAGCTTGTGGAGTCCAAGAAGCGCGCATATGATAGCGATGAAGATCAGCCCTTATCCGTTACTAGGCATGAATCGAATCGACCTAGTAAGACAATTAAGATCAAGCCTACCATCTCGAAACCCGATCGAAGATCGCATACCGTGTCAACGCCTATTAGCACCATAAAGTTCAAGCCTCGGGGCGAACCGGTCGAACATCATCCTGGAGATGCTTACGACTCCGAAGCTAGCGATCGCGAAGTCGATCCTGTCCGGGAAACCACCTTCATTCTCCGGGTTATGCCGGGAGCCGCAACAGAGTACTTGAAAAAGGCATTGGCCGAAGGCACTATTGGTGTACCCAAGCAGAATGGAGGCGCAGACTTCGGTGTCCAATTTCTCGATGCTAAGCAGCGACGGGCTATGGTCACTATCGATGGCATTCATTACGCCGCAGTCCTTGTACAACTACCAACTATAACGGAGGCGATGAAGTCTTGGGATCGCAAAAACATGATGAAGAATTCCGATATCGTCGAGATGCTTTTATGTTTTGCAACTGTTAAGAACGAGGCCGAAGCGAAGGCCATTCCGCTGCCACCTATGGTTACTAAGAACGACTATAAGTGGCCTCACGGCCTTACTCCTCCCATGCACGATGCTGTCCACCGACGATTTAGAAAGACCATATCAGAGAAGCAGTGGCAGAGTACCGCCGCTCAAGTTGCCAAGCTGCTCGAGGACGATGCGAGCGCTCTAGAGTCCCACGCTGAATACGTCTACGATGACGACGTGTCGGGAGATTCTGACGACGACGAAGAAGATGCCGAGGGCGAAGCTGATCAGGATTACTTCGGAGACAATGCTACCGCCAAACTCGACGGGGAAGAAGATGCTGAAGCAGAAGAAGAAGACTACGAGATATTAGCAGCCATGGAGGCCGAACTCGAGGAGAGTGGGGCGCATCATGAAGAGCCTGCAGCGAGCACACCAGCCATGCAGCAAGAAGCTCAAACCCCCATGACAGTCGATGCTAATACCCCGGCTGCCATGCAGGAAATCATATCAGAAGAAGATGAGGACGACGACGATGACGACGAGGATATGGAGGACGGCGACGAAGAAGAGGTCGACGAAGAACAATTAGTGGCGGAGAGGGAACGCAAGGAGAAGCTGGACGAGATCGAGCATCTGAAGAAGTCACTCGACGAAACGCAGCGCCAACTCTCCGAAGTCACGGCACCGATCTTGAAGAAGCGTATCCTTCTCACAAAGGCCAACCTCGAAAAAGAGATTGCTGTCAAGAAGGCTGCTCTAGGCCTAACCGACGAAGATTAATAGCGAAGCATAAGGTACACAATATCAAAATTACCTACATATATGACGAGAAAAATATGGGGGGAAAGGAGCGAGGATTACAGTTGCGCTTGGTGCTTTTCCAGGTGCTGATGTCTACCTGTAAGGTACTTTATGAAAAAGGGGGGGGGGGGGGGGGGGGTATGGCATTTTAAAATTGGTTATTAATAAGGGTTGGGTCGAATACCCCAATTACAGAAAAGAGTAA